TATTAAAGATAAGGTTTAAATACTTTATAATATAAATATATATCTTTATTTCTTAAAAAGTATTTTTATAAATTTTATTAAGAAAAAAAACTATATAATAATAATTAAGGGGTATAAATATATTATTAAGTACTTAAAAGATAGTAATTATTTCATTACCTTTAAAAATGCTATAAGGTTGCCTTCTTATAAAGTAAGTTTTAATAAACTTTTTTTATAAGGCTTAAAGAAAGCTAAATATTTTCTTAGCTTTAAAAAAGTTGTTAATAATTACTTACTTTAAGGAGTAATAAATAGCTATAAATAATATATACTTTTAATATAAATAATTTTTTTTATAATTAATATTAATTATATATAATTAATTGCATTATTTATAAGTAATATATATAGCTTTATAAATAGTTTTATAAATAAAATGCTTTTTAAGATTAATCTTTATTATTAAGAAAATAAGGAAAGCTATTATTATAGTAAGAAAGAGTATTATTTATAATATTATAATAAAGAATTAGTAATATATTAATAATTATAAGGTTAATAATCTTATAAGATTTGCAAATTAATAATAAAGTTAATTAGGTAGAATAACTTATTGCCTTTTTAATAGGGAAAGTAGTTAGCGATTTTGTTATGCATGAATCACTTTATAGTTTATGCGTTTCATTGCAGCGTTTTTTAGGCGCCCCTTCTGAAATTGCTAAATGCATACACTAGGGGGTGTGGGCCTGAAATTTCACCATCGCTGGTCTACACTCGACAGGCTACAATTTTGTTAGTTCGGCATGAGCATCCACACCCCCTCGCTATCAGGTTGGATTGGATTGCCTGCCTGCCTAACCCTCTGAAATATCCTCTCTTCTTCGGATATTTATGGAGAGAAAGTAGTAGGACTTCTTCTTCCACAGAATTTGAGTGCAAGTTGATGTTCTCTACTTCTCCACCCATATCCACTTCATGTCGAACTAACAAATTAAAGCCGGTCGAGTGTAGCTCGTGTGCTACAGAACATGGGGTACGAATACCGTCGGCCGGTTCCCCATTCCTCGGGGACAAGCAAGTACTCGTGCGACCACGAATCTGTGTGAAAGAGAAGCTCAGGTCTCACTAACTACGCGGCTTCTTCGGGAGTTGTGTTACCCTTGACGGCACCACCATTTCGAGTCTATTTCCATAAAATGGCGAACCCCCGCGGGATTCATGATTCAGTGCAGTCAGTCGCGGTCTTCATGTGTCGTCGAGAAAAAGCAGGAGGTGTGGCGGTGGGCAGCCGGCTAGGCCTGTCGGCCTGCCTGCCATGGACGTTCTCAGGGAATCCCCGGCGACATCATGGAGCAATTGCTCCTCCCCAGCCCGACTGGTCAAGCCACCTCTGGCTGAGGCGTGGCTTCTCAGGACCGGGAGATTGGGAAAACGAGCTGCCACAGTTGCATGTGAGCTCTGGCCCACGGTTCTGGCCTCGTCCTCTTGACGTTGATTCGGGCAGACCCCCGGATCAATGACCAGCCTCCCGTGAACAAGCTCCCATTGATGACAGCGCGGCGGGCGGCTCGCAACACAACGTCCCCCCTTGGACGCTGGAACCGGTCACCGAACAACGCAGAAGCTAGACAAGACACTTGCGAGCATACTTTCGCACGAAGCACTCTGTTTAGCCACGCTGGCGCATGCTCTCCACCAAAACAACGTCATTCGTCACAGAAGCGCAGTGCTAAGAGGCAACAAACTTACCGCGGGGTCCACGCACATATTCTCCGTACGAGGATTCGATGCACGCCTCACACGAATCGGGAGTTGAATCCGCAGCTAGAAAGGGCCAATCTCTGCGAGGCGCTACTGTGGGATGGGTTAGTCCCGGTGCAGGATGGGAAGACTGCTGCAAGAGCAGACGACAGCGTAGTAAACAGACGAGAGACTAAACAATAGCGGTTTGAGGAGGGCCACGCGTTGAGGCGTCGATCAGCTGGCGAGAGGCGTCGAACATCCCGACACCCCAGAGGTCGTCGAGGCGTCCGTTCATCGTCCAGTCTGCCCGACCGCCCGACCGCCCAATCGGTGGGCGCACATGCTACCTCTGCCGTCGCATGCCCCCAGTCCTTCGCAGTAGCGCATGCCCCGGTCCAAAGGCTGTCACTGTTGATCAAGTGGTCCAGACCGCATGCCCGTCGTTAGCAGGAGGGTGTTAATTGCCCTGTTTTGCCAATTCGATCCGACTACTACTGGGGGGGCACTGACCATGCCTCCTTGCATAATAACAGGATCGACAGGATCATCTGAAGGTGCGGGCGGTGATGTGTGGCGCTCGGGCTAATAGTAGAGCAGAGCTGTGGCTCAGCCGTCTCGTTTTTTTTTTTCTGGTTGTCCTCATTGTCTGGTTCGGTTGCGTGGCTGTGTTTTAGACTTCGACGGGAGCAGGCGATCATGAAACGGTCCGGTGGCGCGCTGCCACGAGCCGCCTGGGCCGGGCAGCTGGTTGCTTGGCGAACGGAGGGGAAGGCCAGCGCTAAGAAAAGGCCCCAACCTTGGGAGGGAGCTGAGACGGTGGCACTTGAACAGCTTTACCTGCCCCTGGAAGCCTAGAAGGGGACTGGAAGGCAGGGTAGAACAGGGCCGCCCGTACCAAAACGTTGGAACCCGTGGTAGAAGCCGCTCAGACGGTGTGACCCAGCGTCCCGAGGTTTGGCTGACGGGGCGTCTGCGGGCACCAAGATGGACGTCCTGTAGCACACCCGCTGTCACACTATGCTGATAGCCGTAAGTCAGTTGGAAAGCTTGAGCCGGCGCATGTCTCACAGCGGCGCAACCTAAGATGCACGCCTCGAAGCATGTGGGTTCCTAGCGTTGGGTGGTGGCCCATTCCAACCTCACCCGCTCACCTACCCGCCCGCCCGCTCCTTCTCCTGCATCAAGGCCAGGTACACACACAATGCATACATCCATCTGGACTGTCAGCTGATAGCAGCTTCCTCAATTGCCCAGCGTGCATGCTTTCCTCGGTCGGTGGGGTCGGGGCAGATTCCTCAACCAGACATCGTCAACCCGATTCTGTACTGCGCCAAGCCATGTCAACCCCAACGAGGCAGCTTGGTGCAGCTCCCACTACGTCCGACAAGCTCCAGTTTAGTTTGGAGGTGTGCATACTGCATGCCCGGCATTTCATCAAGGGGCGCATGGCCCTCCTGTGAAGCTCTACGGATTGGTTGATTCGACAATTACCACATGGCCGACTACCCAGCCTAGACATATAAACTTCGCCTTCTGGTCGACTGCGGCCGCTGAACCAACATGTCCATAGCATCGACCCAGCTTGACTCCCATCAAGGAAACCCAAGAATACACCCTCCTGTTATTTTCAACCCTGCGAGATTTCCAAGGCCGAGAGACTGTGGTTCAGCCGTTCCATGGTCACTCAACGTCTGTCTCAAGCCATGACAAACAGGTTCATGGTTCATGTGCTCCCTCGACCACACCCACACCAAGACTGGATATCTCCCACCGGCTATACGAGATCCCTTGGTTGTGTGGTCTGCCGGTCTGCCGGTCTGCCTTGCGCATCACGATATTTCTTCGTATCGACCAGTCACGTTGACCAGTCCATCGACCAATCCCATCGACCAGGCAGCTCTCACCAGTACGAGCGTTGCTATTACACAGGAACCAGCGTGTCCACAGGCCCGCCGAAGGCATCACGCTCGCCGCTCTCCTCCTTAGGATATGATGGGTTGGATAGATTATTGCCCTCGTCTCAAAGCGAGCAGAAAGGACCAACTCTCATGCGCCATGCGACCTCTGACGAGGCGGAAGCAGGAAGTGCCTCTAGGTGTGTAGCACGGCAGTCCTTTGCGCATCCCCCTATTCGCTGCGACAACACATGACCAGCAGTATTGCGCTACTGAAGCGTAGTTGCAAATACATTGATCGACCAACCAGGACCATTGAACACAACGCCAGCCGGCGCCCCTCCAGAGCGTAGACCATAGTACGGTATTTAGGGCTTCCTGGAACCATCCGGCGCAGCTGAAACGGTACTTCATACTCGGCACTGACCTCGTCCTGGGAAACTGTCAACCAGAACGGTTCAGGCGGCCGGGAGGTCTGCTGCCATCCAAAGTCGCCGGTGTGGCTGGAGGGAGCCTGGACCTTCCTCCCGTAGTCTGGCGCTGTCCTTCATCGCATCATGGCGTCAGCCACACCTCAAACACTTGTCGAGTCTGGACTCCACACTAGCCTCATCTCACGCACGAGTGTGGAGCAGATCTGGGTGCTTCCGTGGACCCAAAGCAGGTTTCTGGCATCCCGTCGTTGAATCAGATTCCTCGATTCCGATGCTGTATGCGCGACAGTCAAAGTGATGTCACCCCCTGGGATGGCCATTCAGAGATGTGGCTTGACGCTTTGCCTGGCTACGTCTTGAGAGAGTAGCGGGGTCATTCTCCGCAACACTGTCCCTGCCTGCGCCTCACCCTTTCTCGCTACCGTCCTTGTCGTCTTCCGCTGCCTAACCTAGGTAGTCTAGGTAGGTTGTCTACGTCGTGTTCCTGCGTTCTCCGGACACCGTCAACGGCGCCGGACTCATCTCATTCACACTACTTTCTTACGCTTGCCTTTGTACTGCATCCTGCCAGCCTGCAACTGCAGCATCCCTTGTCTTCGCACCAGACCAGGCCTAGAAGAGTCATACCCCACCTCACACACCATTGCAAGTGACGTAGGCTGCGGCTTCTTCCGCCTGCACCTTTGGAGCTCTCGCAGTCGGCTGGCTAGAAGGTGAAGCTGAGCGCGTCGCCGCCACCTGTCGCGCCGCCTGACGCGACAAAAAGCGTTACCTGGAGCATATCGCCGCAGGCAGTTTGTTTAGACCACGGCCGTCAAGCTTCGCCCTCACTTCGGAAGGCGCAATCCGTCCGCAGTCTACATTAAGCAGTGAGATGGGCCATTGGTCCATGACGACTGAGAAAGTGTCACATCAGGGATCACTACAAGGGTCCTACGAGATCCCCATGGAGCAGAGCACCAGCTCTGGTGGTGGTGGCAGCGGCGGCCACAAGCCTGCTGCGCCCAAGGCGGCCAGCAATGTCGACAATGATGCCAGCGACAATGCCCGCCAGTCTGCGCACCGCCAAGGTAGCTCCCAACCGGGTGTCCACAATGATGAAGGTCCCGAGATAGAAGAGCTTTCAGACGACAGCCCGGAACCGGAACGCAGCCAGAGCCCAGGTGGTTTGCGGAAAAAAACACCAAAAGACAGCCCGGCTTATGTGGCGCCTATTGGAGACATCCCCAGAGTCATCCCGATAGACCCTATAGAGTCCAATCCTGACCCAACACCACCACCAGAGGGTCAATCTTCAGATCCACCAAAAAAGCTTCCCATATACCAAATACCAAAAGATCATCTCGTGGGCAAAACCATCGATGAATTCGGAGATATTTTGGACAACAAGGGAGATGTCCTCGGCCGAGTCGAGGGGGATCTTCCGTCCATGGTCGGGCGGACAATATCAAATGCCCGGGGCGATGTGCTCGGCGACGAGGGCGAACTGCTCGGTTACGTGGCTGAAGTGGAAACCGGAGAGGGCCAGCAGCAAGAGTCAAAACAACAACCCCCAACGTGGGACTTGGCAGAAGTCATGAAAGCTATGGCTGCTGCTGGTCAGGGACCGGGCGGATTAAGGGTCGATCCATTCGGTAACATCCTGGATGCGGAAGGGAACGTCGTCGGTTCATTCCATGACAACAAGAGCGGTTTCGGGAAGAAGGCTGGCGAGGGTGGTCATGGTGAATCTGGCAAGGCGCGTTCACGACCTTCGAGTTCGGCGCCGAAGCCTAAGACAGCTGGGTCAGGCGACGAGGCGGAATCGTCGTCCGAGTCGCGTCCCCGCGAAAATGCTCAGAGCCACAGGAAAGAGCCCGAGGAGAGGAAGCCGAGCCCTTCGGACATCTTCCTCGACGTCAAGTCAACAACTGAGGGCATTCAACTCACCATACGCATCCCGACAGTCTTCAACAACAATGGACAGCCAGCACAGCCCAAAGTCGTATTTTCGTAGTTGGTTGTGGGCGGAGTGGTCTTCACATTGAGCATGTTGATAGTGCCAGTTCGAAGAAGAGACGAGAGCCGGCGTCAGGAGTTCTAAATAAGGGCTATGGAGTACCCCACGGGGTTTGTCCTGGAATGATGATCTGAGAACGAATCTGTGGTCCGTGTGGTGATCTTGGAGATACTCCGTGAAGCCCGAACGGGCGCAGGAAGTCCAGGATACTCGGTCAACACACAGCGAACTGGTGGCCCAAGCGGAAAACGCTTGGTCAGGGTAGTAGAAATACGATTCGCAAAATTGCACGTTAGCCGGGAGGCCCGGATCTCCCAGAGCAGGGAAATCAACAGCGCGAGGACGGACAGAAGCAAAGAACAGAGCAAGTAGCCTCAGGAGAGCCGACCCATCCGCAAACTGTTTCCGATAGGGGAACTCAGCATCAACGAAGCAACCCACAGGGCCTCATCCCCACCGGCCGCATGACGTATTTCTCGAGCAGCTACCCTTGTCCGAGCTCTAGCTGTCCTGCCTGCGTGAAGGTCGCAGGCAAAAGCTGTCGTGTCGATCACTCCCTGTCGAACGATCCTGGTGGGCGAAGTGCATGTCTGGCGGCCACTTGCGGCTGTTGGAAGGATGCCAGTGGCTGGCTTGACTTCATTCTGGTGTAAGTCCTTCGCCACACGCCAGGGAGACAAGCCACACCTTTGCAAATAACCTGTTTCTTGCCACTTGCCGCATGCGATGATACGCTGGGCGTCGTCTCCAATTTACCTGAGCCCGGCCAATGGCATTACACGAGTCTGGCCCACCCTCCCAGGTCTACCTCACCTCGGTATGCCAGGCAAAACATCCACGAGGCCCCGTCTGAGACATGTAACCGCTCGCATCCTGACGGGGTCTGGGCCCGGCTGGGGTGCTGGTCCAGGGCTTCAGAGTGTGATACGCATCTGCAGCATTACACCAGCACAAGACAAGTCACTCCTGCCCCCCTTCGATGAAGTCATCCGTGGGGAGCTCTGCTAGCTCTTGTGGCTTGATGCCTGCTTCATCTGCTTCTGTACTCACCACCATTCTGTCATTATGCGATGATCTCCTCCGCCGGCCGGGACGAGACACGATCGAGATGGGTGTGGCTGTGACGTAAGGCTGGAGGAGTGCTTCCAACCCCCTTCCACAGATGACGTTCCCTGCCTGGAAGCTGTCGACAGCCTGCTGTAGCTGCTGCTAGGCTGGAGCACGCAGGGTCCCTCGAACTGGTGTTGTGAACGCATATAAGCTCGCGTCGCAAGCAAATCCAGGCTGCCAGATTGGTCCCTGCCATTATCCAAAGCTGAAGAACACACAAATTCCAAATCAGTTATCGCATATTCAACAAGATTCCCCTAATTGCTCATCGTATCTCTTCAAATCGCATCCCTACTGTGCTGTCCGACTGAGACACCACACCTCAACGCCATATCACCACACCACCAACGCTGTTCAGTGTCACCAGACCCTTTTCTTTATTCCCGTGCTCAAGATTCAACATGGCGGACACACAGCCACCAGGAGGTTGGCCATGGGGCAAGAACAAGCAGCAGTCATCCAAGGGTGATGACGGCTCCGAGGCCCCCACCAGCACAGCCCAACAACAACTCCAAGATAAGGGCGTTCAAGAACCAGAAGTCCTGCAAGAGGGCGAGGAAGGCGGAAACGCACAGTCCCAAGTGCAATCCAAAGTCGGCGGCGGCAAGTCGGCTGCCGGCAGCGTCGCCAAGTCTGTCAGGTACGAAGGAGATGACTACGCAGTCAAAGGCCCTGGTAGTAACAACAGCTTCAGCAGGAACGCCAAGGAGCCCAGCGTCTTGTCCAACGGCGTCAACAAAGATGATCTTTCAGAGGATGCCAATGGCGCAGTCGAGAACGCGCAGGAGACCGCCCAGTCCGCCAAGGACGACCTCCCCGAGGACGAGGGCAAGGACATGACCGAGCCTGCGGAGCAAGCTGGTGAGCAGGCCACTGAGAAGGCCGGTGAAGTCGGCGAGGATTCCCAGAAGGCACAGTCTCAAACTGGCTCCCGATTCTCCAACTTCGTGAGCGGCGCCAGCAGGATTGTTCCCTCGTTCGGCGGCGGTAGCAAGAAGTCCCAGCAGGACGACTCCGAGATCCCGGAGTCCATCCGCAAGATCCAGAGCCAAATCGGCGACCAAGGCACCAACCTGACCATCCCAGAGGGCTCCCAAGCACAAACCCTGGGCTCCGAGGAAAAGAGCGGCACCGAGGCCACCACCGAAGAAGGTGTCACACCCGCTGAGACCGACGAGCAGGCCACCACTGAGCAGGCCACCACGACGGCAAAGCCCGAGGACAGCCAGTTCACCACCGAGGGTGACGAGCTTGACGGTGAGGAGCTGCGACCCGAGGACTCGGTCACCTACGCTGCTGACAACAGCCAACAACTACCAGGCGACGAACAAACCGAGGGCCAGACTGGCACCGGCACACTCCGCGAACTCCCCGAGGGCACCCAACTTCCTGAAGGCTACACACTCTCTCAAATCGACCTGAACGACCTCCCAGAGGGTACTCAACTCCCGGACGGCACTCAGATCCAGGGATCCCAACTCCAGGATGGAACCTTGGCAGAGTCTCAACTTCAGGGAACTCTTCCTGAGGGAACTACTCAGTACGAGGGTACCCAAGTTCCAGAGACAGAGGTCGGAACTCAGGCCGAGGGCACGCAAGCCGCCGAGGGCACACAGGCTGCTCCCTCCGAGGCCCAGATCCCCGACGACCAGCAGACCGAGTACACCTACGCCAGCGGCTACCCAACTGCCACCGTGCAGCCCGAGGCTGAAATTGACTATTCCATCCTCAAGGGCGCCACTGTCAACAAGCTGGGCAATGTCGTCAACGAGAAGGGCCAGGCCATCGGCCGCATCACCCAGGGTATCACGTCTCACCTCATCGGCCGAAAGGTTGACGAGAACGGCATCATCTGGAACGACAGCGGCAAGGAGATTGGCCGCGCCGAGCCCATCCCCGACAACGAGCTGCAAGAGCTCATGGAGTCCAAGCCGTTTGAGTCCTTCGAGGGTAACGTCATTGACGCCAAGGGCAAGGTCATCTGGGAAGGTCAGCAGGTCGGCCAGGTCATCGAGGGCGACTTGAAGGTCCTCCAGGGCAAGACCGTCGACCCCGACGGCGAGGTCCTCGACAAGGCCGGCAATGTCATCGGCAAGGCCGAGCGCTGGGAGGAAGAGGAGGTTGAGCCCGAGGCCGAGGTTGACAAGTCCATCCTCGCTGGCAAGCGTGTCAACAAGTCTGGCAATGTCGTTGACTCTGCCGGCGTCATCTTCGGCCGTGTTGTCGACGGTGATATTAGCAAGATGGTCGGCCGCATGTGCAACAAGAACGGCGAGATCTTGAGCGAGTCTGGCGATGTCATCGGCCACGCGGAGCTTGTTACTGAGGGCGAGCGCGAGGGTTCTAAGGAAGGTATCTTCGCCGAGCTCAACGGCCTGACCGTCAACAAGGAGGGTCACGTCGTCACCCCCGGCGGCGACATTGTCGGCCGCCTCGTGGAGGGAGACCCCAAGAAGCTTTCCGGCCGCACCGTCGACCAGGATGGTGACATCCTCGACGGCAATGGTAATGTCATCGGCAAGGCCGAGCGGTGGGAGCCCGAGGAGGTTGAGAAGAAGAAGGGGGTCCTGGCTGGTCTGCACGTCAACCAAGACGGCAACGTTGTCGACGAGAACGGCAACGTTGTCGCCAAGCTCACAAGCGGTGACCCTCTCGTCTGCGCCGGTCTCGAGATTGATGACGACGGCGACGTCGTCAACAGCAAGGGCCTCACAGTCGGCCACGTCAATCTGCTCTCCGAGATCCCCGCCGAGGAGGGAGAGACCGAGGAGGAGAAGGAGGCACGCCTCCAGGCCGAGCAGGACAAGAAGCTCGCCACCCAGATGGCCATGTGCCTCGAGCAGTGCCTTGACAAGATCAAGCCCATCTGCAAGATGATCACCACCAAGATCGAGGCGGCCGAGCGCCAGCCCGAGGACGAGCGCGACGAGGAGGCGCTCGTCAAGGAGGTCCGCCCCCTGATCGAGGAGGGCAGCAACATCCTCCGCGAGGCGCACGGTGTCATCCGCGGCCTCGACCCCGACGGACACATCCAGGCCAACGCCAAGCACAAGTCCGGCACCCGCGAGGCCACTCCCGAGGAGTTCCACCTTGCCGAGGTTATCAAGGAGGTAAGTATCACACCCATCGACCACAATACCCTCCTTTGGTCACATTCATATTCACATATACTAACTCGGTACCCCACAGCTCACCGGCACCGTCACCGAGACCATCGAGGGCGCCAAGCGCAAGCTCGAGGACATGCCCCACGCCAAGAAGGAGCTCAACCCCCTCTGGGGCCTCCTGGGCGAGCCCCTCTTCCAGATCATCGCCGCCGTCGGCCTGCTGCTCACGGGTGTGCTCGGCATCGTGGGCCGCCTGCTCAGCGGCCTCGGCCTCGGCGGCATCGTCGACGGCCTGCTGGGCACCCTCGGCCTCAACAGGCTGCTCGACGGGCTTGGCCTGGGCTCCCTGACCGGCGCCCTCACCGGTAAGAAGAAGAAATAAATGATGTGCGCAAAGCACGCCTTTTGATGATTTCGTTTTGGGAATCTCTATGACGGGAGCATATATTGGATTGGGCAAATTCACGATTATTGTTTGTTGAGGACCATGGGGAAAAATGATTTTGGACTGACGGAGAAGGTGACTTTTACGCCTTTGTGGTATGCGACTACGATTTAACGTCCATGTATCTTAGTATGTGTGTATGATTTTCAAAGATTAATTGGATATCTTTAATGTCAACCTCACTTGAAATTATCTCCCTTCCTAATCCGCCTTCAAAATTGTTCTTTCATAACCTCTCTGTCCACGCCTTGGAACAAGTACAAAAACATAAACTCGGGGTGTCGAGTTGAAGACGCATGGTACTGATTTGAGATAAATACGAGGTCTGCAATAGATATAAGTGTCGCAAAGCAAGTCTCATGGAAAGGTTATCCCGTCGACCAGGGAGGTCTGACCAAGGAAAGCAATCACTACGATGAAGATGGTAAGCTCCGTAAATGACAAAACTTTGCCCTTGATGATAATTGTCCTGATCAGCGTTGTATTCAATCTATAAGTAAATTGAGGTGACGCCGTCGCGAAGGCGAGGTAGCCTCGGGTATGGATATAACTCGAGAGACCATTGAGGTTTTCCGGCAACGTAAATCAACCATGAGTATCACATTTCTTCCCGTTTCAGGGAAACCGAGATTATTTCAATCCCTCGAACTCGTTCCTCCGGTTTGCATCCTCATTTCCAAGATTCCAGGAAAAACGACGGCGTTCACCATGATACTCCACCAAGCCACGAATGTAAAATCCCACCCACGATGCACCGCTATTCACACTTAACCCCAACCTCACAAATCCAAGAGGGAGAGGGAAAATCAAAACCAAAATAAAAAGACACCCAAATGTCATACACTCGGACGGCTTGGCCTCAACAAGATCTTCGAGGTCTCAGGCTCCCGCATTGCGCCGACGCGCGAACCAGCCCGGTGACAGCCCGCGCCTGCGCCCCGGCCGGGCCCCGTTCCCACCCCCGCGGGCGCCCCTCCGGAACCAGGCCTTGAAGTCGGACAGGAGATCCCTCAACCGCCAGCGCCCTTGACCACCGCGGGAAGAACTCCCGGAAGGGGAAGCGATGGTACTCGTAGGACGCCGGGAGGGTGATGGGGTGGACGAGTGGATGGCGGTGGGCTCGCCCACGAACCTGACAGCAGTGGCTGGGCGCGAGTCGGGTGACAGCGGTATCATCGGTGACCCGATGTCGACAGGCGATATTACCTCTGTCGGCACGCGGTCACGTAGGCGAGGCCGGGGCGGGAGGGTTGGTGCAGGATGGGGGCATCTGAGGTGTTGGGGCCCTGGAGTCGACCGTTCACGGGCAGGGACGTCGTCGTGTTCAGCGACGTTGTTGGTACCCGAGGATGAGGCTTGGTGGTTGACATTGTCGAAAATGTGTAAGGCGTTGTTGTGTACTTGGCTGTTGCCGGTGGCTTCTTCCACGTGGTGGGTTATTCGATTCCAATAGACGGAGCCTGAACAGGAGGATGTCGGTGTACCGTTGTCTGGGGTTAACTCCGGACAAGCATCAAGTGGAGGTGGAGAGTCGAGAGACATGGCTGCAGTGGAGTAGGCCTTGTACAGTATGGTCGTTTGTGTGCTTGGTAGAATTCGCGACCAGCTCCTTTACAAAAAGCCGTAACGCGAGAGGTAAGAGAACTCTCTGTCGCAGGTAGGGATATTTCGTTAAACTCTCTGGTTTGAAACAGAGATTTGGTGCTCTGTTGGCAGCGTTGTGGGTTGAGGCTGATAGAACTTGGTATTTGTGAGGTAGAATTTAGATATACAAACACAAGAGGCCACCTGAAAGCCCTGGCATTTGAATATCCCAAAAAAGACAATTATATTATTGGCAAGAAGTAAAGCCAATCCAACTTGCAGCACAAGGCAGAATTAGAGTACTGGCTAAATTAGTCTGGTTTGGTCAGTGGCCTTCAATAATTGAGATAAATTTAATATGACTCTGTAAGACCGGTCGAAGGACAATCATGCGTTGGTACTTCTAATGCAATTAGTGCTGTCCATCAAGGTGGAAGGTGCCATTCGCCCACTTCTGCGAACCTCTAGTTATATGCCTAGAACCAGACACAAGCACTACTTGTTGAATCTTTGGGGACACTCATGTTCAGCCATCACCGGAGAAGCCCTTGTTCTGGGAATTCCTATTTTTTTGGTCGAATTCTGCGTGCACTAAGCGGGTAATTGACATACATGTCCCTTTTCTGCATAAACTCTCCTACGATTTCAAGAACTCTCCCACCGTATGTAATTTCATCTCATAGGATGCTCAGTCTTAAGACGGCACAGCTATATACCTAAGACTGCACTGGATCCCAGAAGGCGCTCTTGTAATTCTGATATTTTGGCAATCTGCGCTATAGTGCAGCGGGCGTAGGGCATCGTCTTAAGTCTCTGTCTCATCTCCCGCCCTTTTACTGAGATCAGCTGTCATCTGAAATTGGTCCATGTTTCGATAGCGGCGGCTGCCTGCCATGTCTCGCTCATAATTTGGACGCAACTGTGAGATCTGAGCGTCTCATCTAAATCTCAGGTAGGCTGCGATGGAGACTGCGCTAGCGCAATTATCTTCTCATAGGTGATCTACCTCAACCCCGTGGAAGACTGCCAGCATGGCTCCGCAGGAACGAGTCATCAAGACGATTGCTGGTAGGAGCAGAAGGTCCTTTTTGCTGTGAGGGATGTCTCTCAAGGGTGTTCCGAGTTATCATGACTGACCACCCTTGTGTGCAATGCCGACCTTAATTCTGCATGTGTCGAACAACGCTGGCGTGAAATTACATGACGTTGGATTGGGCCGAATGCGTACTGTTGGTGGTCTGAAGTCTGAGCGTCGTACTCCGTACCTGCGCACCGAAGAGCCTCATTGTGAACAAGGATGCCACACCCGGGATCCACTGCGCCTGAAAGAGGCTCTGATGCTACCCAGCTCGGCAGCGCCCGAACAGGCGATCTGAGACAGGTACGTACCCACGCGTTTATCGGAGCGTCGGGAGCTGAGCTTATCCGGCGGTTTGGATTTTCTGGGGTCGCAGCGAAGCTATGCTTTCCCCTGTTCCCCATGCTGCAATCCCCTCGAGGCCAAGCACGTCTATCCTGCCTGTCTGACGGACAACGACTGCGCTCGAGCCGATACCTCGCAAACAACTCTTCCGATTGACCTAGTGGCCAGTTGAGCCGACCCGACCCTCCCGCCCCGACAAGCCGACCTGCAACTCGCCGCGCTGCACCATTCTTGGCAGCGAACCCCCCGGATAGCTCCCTCTACCGCGAGGACTGTCAACAGGGTCAAGGAATACGCTGGTGGCCAAGGGCAAGGGCTTGGAGGGAAACGCATTGGACTGGTTGGAGATATTTTGGCGAGCGCCATCGGAATACCAGCCTGCGATTTATTCGAGTGCAAACAGGGCCCCGGGATCGCCGTCCTGACGCGCCTTGCAACGACCGGACCGTCTCCGCACTCGAACCTGTCCAACCACGCCGCTTGACTCTTCAAAACACTCTCTCCAACACCTCACAATGTTCGCACCAAAAGGCCTGCGAGGTCTCCTGAGACCGACGCGCACCAGCATGCGCCAAACCACCCCCTCGCAAGACGGAATCGCCTCCCTCGCGCGCGCCACGGCCGCGCTCTCGATCACCCCGCCACCGACGACAGCACCCAGCACGCCCCGGGCCTTCAGCACCACGCGGCCGGCCCTCGCGCGCGTCCCGCCGAAGCAGCAGCAGCAGTCCAAGAAGGGCGGCGCCAAGGGCCCGCCGCTGGACGCGGCCGCGCGCAAGAAGCGGCGCGCGCAGATGGCGGCCAAGCTGGACCCCAAGGTGGCGGACCTGATGAAGTTCATCTACGCGGGCTCGCAGCTGCCGCCGCCGCTGCGCATGGCGCGCAACCGCTGGCTCCGCCACTGGACCATCCACCGCGCGTGGCAGCTGTTCCGGCGGAGGGAGGAGGAGGCCCGCGAGAGGGAGCTGATGCGCATGCAGCAGAGCATGGAGCACGCCTGCGAGGTGCTGCGGACCATGGGCGGGCCGGGGACGCGGCCCGAGGGCTGGCTGTACCGCAAGGCGATGGAGAAGTTCGGCGTCTGGGGCAAGGGCGCCGTCCCCATCGAGTACGCCCGGCCGCTGGTGGAGACCCCCGCGGAGAAGGCGTGGAACCATGAGTGGAAGAGGCAGTAAGCTGCCGGCCCTGTTCATACTGTCAAGGAGTTATGATGTCTACATAGGCCCTGTGTTCATCCCGCTGAGGCCGTTCTTGACGTTATGTATCTTATGTATTCACGAGAGCAGAAAACATACAACTCTGGCCTCCATGCCAGTCACCCGTGCCCACATATTCTAGTCTGTGTCTCACAGAGAGTGTAAAGAATGGAAATTAGATGCCTATAGTTAAAACCTGCTACGCAGCAATTTCAGTCTGCCTGAAGAATGCGCATTTCTGTGGATGCTGCTCCAAAGGACCGACCCCCTTGCCCCCGTCCCCTCCTGTTAAACCCCATAGACCGTACCTTTTTACGTTCCATTCCGCCCGACCGTGGACCGGACCTTGCTAGCCAGCAGTTGGGTACACCTTGCGTTCCTTGCAAATCTCCTTCGTGTGGGTATTATACCATTGATGATGCAGGGCAGCAGGGCAAGACTGCTGCCAAATGTGTTTAGCCGTCGACATGCGTGTTTTGTCCGTGGCGTAGTGGCCCTCGCCGTGGCCTGTTTATATCCCGTGGATACCGAGTGATTGACGGTGTAAAGAGGAAGTGGTTGTCCATGCATTCGTTGTCGGGGACGTTTCGAAGTTGTGCCGCTTTGAATGGATACCGCCAGGAACTCCCGTGTGGTTCTCTGGCGATATCCCTTTCCCACTGAAAACCAGTCTTTCCGCATTCTCACAGGATCACACAGCAGCCACCGCCCTCGCCCTTCTCAAACGTGAGCAGTGCTGCTCTTGTCGCCGCCTCGAATACGTCGTCGACGCCCTCTCCGCTTAGACTCGAGCACTCGAGATATTTCTTCGCTCCTACTTCTCGGGCGGCCGCCTCGCCGTCGTGTTCTGTGACAAATCGGAGGGACTTCTTACGCATCTCCTCGACGGCAACTGGGTCCTCTCTCAGATCTTTCTTCAATCCGACAAGTATGATCGGCACGCCCGGGCACTTTTCCGTCGCTTCTTCGACCCACTGTTCCGCACGAATCTCGTCAGCTTCTGCAGTTATATTCGGCGAGTGGCTGGCGCATCGACTGATCGGCAATGAACCTGATGTTCACGAAGTTGACAGTCGCCAATGCCGGTGGGGCGTACAGTCTCGGGAGGCGAGACCATCCGTCGCACAAGCCTCATGCCGCCATCTCTCCCCTATGAGCCGGAGTCCGGAATGAGAAAAGGACCCACCTTGTGTTTGACGTTGTCCAGTGAATCTGGCGTATCCACGGAGAATCCTATCAAGATGACATGTGCTTTCGAGTATGCCAGGGGGCGCAGCCGCTCATAGTCCTCCTGTCCCGCTGTATCCCATAGCGCAAGCTGAACTGATTTGCCGTCTACCCTACAGTCGGTAACGTAGTTCTCGAAAACGGTAGGTATCTGGCGCGGGTGAGCTCGTTAGATATCGTGGTCGTGGTAGCACAGGCCGTGTGGTGTCGCCATGACGGTCGGGTACGGCGGTCTTCTCGATGGATAACTTACATAGTGCTGGCAGACATTAGTTAGTTTATTTACTCAAATAAATAGAGGTTCGTTGGGATTATCAGCTATGGGGGACGACTAACCGTAGGAAAGTAGCCCAGTGTGAAGACGCTGAGCAGCGAGGTCTTCCCGCAAGCTCCGTCGCCGATGATGACCAGCTTCCTGCGCAGACCGACGTCAGAACCAATTGGTGCCTGGAATTTCGATGCGGCGAGGCGAGGAGTAAGGGGCTGTGGAAATACCTTCGGATGACGTTCTGAGCACTCCCAGCGCTTGCCATCGTGGAGAGCAAGGTTCGCAGCGCTCTTCACCGAGCAATTGCTCCTATCGGTGGATGTTGGAGAACCGTCGCAGGTGGGAAAGCTTATGATGTCGTTATCGGACTGGGATGTCTGGCGGCACCAAATGCTGCTGACTGATGTAGCGGGAGTGGTGTTTCTGGTGCTGCTGTCCCTGCCGCCGGCTGCTGTGGATGTAACGGTGAGGGTCGTTCTCCTTTTCCGCCGCGAACGAGTGCGCCTGATGGGCAAGAAAAAGGGTTTGGGGGGGGGGGGGGTTGGGTGAACGATTGTCAAGAAGGAATGAATGAAGCAAGTAAGCAAGTAAGTGAGTAAGTAGCTGGACTAGTTACAGTGAAACCAGCTGGGCGTGGAGAGGTGCGAGAGAGCGGACGGGATAAATGTTTCGGACTGGGATGTCGTGGGGGGAGGTTCCAAGGCTGGGGGGATCGGGATGGGAGTTTCTGAGGGGAAGAATCTAGGTAGTCCAGGTAATTGAGCTCAGGTCGGCCAGGTCTTTGATTGAGCCTATGCCAGGTTGGTGTCGGGTCGTGGATGCTCGCTCGTCAGGGTGCTGCAGGGCCGTCAGTCAAAGACAAAGTGCCAAACTTGGGGGAGCCCTGGAAGTCCCGTCCTGGACTGAATTGAGACAATTTGGGGGATTGGGGGTTGCTCTGCTGCGCCCGCCTCGATGGGCCAGTGGATCGGCAGCAGGGATCTCCTATGGTGCCAAGCGCCCGCCGTCCAAGAAGGGCACACACATAGCCCTGGGTCTTGGGCAGCACCTGCAGCATGGGGCCTGGGGGATTTGATGCGCAGGCGGCAGCAGGAACCACAAGCTCTGCATTCCCACCCGTCAAACACCCGTCGCTGTCACTCCACTCCACTCTGGGCCAGCTCCGCCGACAGCCCGGCAGACCCGTGCCGTAAAATGTGAGTGCGAACGTAAGTGTTAACGTGAGCGTGACTGAGGACATGAGGCCATCAACAAATGGCATCTCGAAGCAGCATCCCGACGTCTGCTGTGGCTTGCAACAACAGACCGCCAGCCCACCACATCCCAGAAAGCTTCCACGGATCGGGGTGCACACCCACTGCAACCTTGTGACGACATGGTGTGTGCAAGACCTCGGGAGTGTGCCCCTGCTCTTGCTCTTGCACAGCACCGAATACTACCAAGTCTCTCGACTACGACACTAGAGACCTTCTATGCGTTCTACCCGCCGGTCTCTTGACAGGCCATATTTCTATTTCTGATCATGGCCTTCGTGTTCAGATGGATGCTTTGGCCCGTCAATGCTGCAGCAACCGTCTGTTCCCCGAGGCCTACAGGTGACTATCGACAGGCTGCATTGGGCCTCGTGAGATGCGACGGGATCAGGGCACCGCTCAACCGACCCGAACGGCAGCATCCAACGAGACCCTGCTTGCAGCACACAGCACACGACACACACTGCACTGCACACCTCAATTCGATCTTGTCTCAGGGGTGCGTTGAGGCTCTCGGGCACTTTCGAACAACCAAGCAACAAGCTACTGCAATGCCACTCCACACACACATAAACACATAAACACATAGACAGTAACTTCACTGTAAACAACCTCACCGTCACTTTGCTAACAAGTAATGAGAACTGGCACGAGTCAACGAGAATTTCCTTTCACCCTGGCCCTGAGGTCCACAGCACCGCAAATGTCGCGAGACGCGTGCGCTGCATACGTAGTCTCGCTCGGTCCTGACTGGTGCTCGCTTCTCGCCTGCAAACCACCACAAATCAGCGTATGATGTCGAATCAGACCCAGCGCCGGCCGGCCGTCGACTCTAGGACTCGCTGCTGCCGACGGTGGGGCCACCGGAAGCCGCTGGCAAGCTACTGTGCTGCGCTCTGCGAAGCGATGCGCGTCATGCCGCTGGGGTTGCAGAGGCCAGCGAGGCTGTGCAACCTTGCCCAAAGGGGGTCCCAGGCTTTTGTTCCTGTATCGCGACACGAGGAAGTGCCTGCGCAAGGCAACCTACGCTCCTCCCCCATAGCCGTGCCGAAGATCTTTGTCATAGGACTCTTGGCTCCCGGCCGCCGTCTGGAGGCGGGGACAGGCCACGAACTGGGCGGGCTGGCATTTGTTGTTGGGACAATTTGGGGAGGCAACCCAGGCCCAAGGTCCTGACGCCATGAGAGTTGTTAGCTGATGTTTCGGCCCTATGACCCAAGGAGCCGGGCACGCACCAAGAACAGAGGCGAGATACGAGGGCCAATTTGATTTGGAACGTTGCGTGGGCTAACGTGAGCGAAACAACTAGCAACATACACTAGCCCTGGCTAACCTTCGAGAACCCCGATGGCGCGCATGGGGCTGTCTGTTGTTATCGTCGCCCGCCTCTGCCATACCGTCGGATGCGGATCTGGGGGGCCAGTGTACCCCATTTTTGCAACAGGCGAGGACCATCACATGCACACTCGAGTTGCAATTCGTGCGTGCTACTACACTACACACGCAGGCACGGCAAGCTGGAGCGGACAATAAGCAGCACGTCGATCAGGGGGATCGACGGCAGATAGACAGCAAGCGATTCGAGAGTATCCGTAGTATACAGGGCCGGGCACCGGCTGTCGGAAGCCGCCTCCCCAATGTTTTGCCAACAGCTGACACGTCTGACGACGTCCCTCTGAGTTTGGCACGGCTCCATCCAGGTACACGAGTAATTAGAATGACATAGAGAGGGATCTACCTGCGTACCACAGGAAATGTGTGTTTATCCCGATTTTCTCCACACAAATCCCTAGAAGAGAATAGAGCATCATACGTCCTATAAGAAGGATACACCATTTACGTTACGCCTGTTTTTTTTTTCGGGCCTGCTGCAAGGTCCGATGCATTCAATGGAATGTCGAGGTTGTCAAAGAACACGAGCTAACATCTATCTGATCGGAAGACCCGGGAGCTGTGTCGCTACTCCGGGCTTAGAGCCTAGGGCCGCTGCGCGTTTCTATCAAGTCCCGGAGCTTGACGACAAGGCGGATTACATGCGCAAGTCGTGATTCATTCACGTGAAGTTATTGGCCCACGGCCTGCAAATCCCGTGGACCATCATGAACAAGCGTGACTCATTTACCGGATTTGGTGTTGGATCTGTTTTGAGTATTGGAGTCGTTCGAAGTGTCCTTACTGTCGGTCACTCTGCCCTTGACCATAAGCGATGGCCCGAGGGCAACCGCCCACCATCGTGGTGGTACAGAATTCGGACTCAATTACTAACGTTGTTAACCCCGATATCATCTTACAATGCGGAGTTAAAGATTCGGTGATGGTAAGCCGGTCAGCCACGATATACAGCTTGAAGACTTGAAGAATTCCCAGCTGCCTGCGACAGTCGACAGTATAAAGGTCGGCATGAGTGGGCGACGTGTGGGCCATCTGCCATGGCGAATGTCCTACACCAGTCATTGAGCTCGGCCAGAGTTATAACAATCGTCAGAATGCTGTACAGCGTAATCACCGCTCTGAGTATTCTCTCAGGTTGCGCGATCGCCGCGGAAATACATGGCTCCCCTCTTAGGGAGGCCGAGGCGCGAACCATATACCAATTTCCCAACAATACATATGTGGAGAACTTGGCAGTTCGACCGAACGGACAGATTCTTGCCAACGTCCTTACCTCACCTCAGGTCTGGCTGATCGACCCTGAGCGTCCCGGCAAAGCGGTACTTGTTCACGAATTCTCGAGCGTGCTCGGGCTGACCGGTATAGTCGAGTACCAGCCGGATATATATGCTATTGCCGGAGGCAACCTTTCCCTGGGCACTGGGGAGAGTGTCGTCGGATCCTGGTCCATCTGGAGTCTTGATCTGCGCGGCTTGAATATAACTTCGAATGAGTCCGTCTCGGCCCAGCCGCCGGCTTTGAGCAAAATTGCCGACGTACTACCTGCGAGGTTCCTCGATGGCATGGCCTTGCTGCCGAGTCCGGAGAGACAGCTTCTTATTGTCGGAGACGTTAAGACCGGTACTGTATACTCGGTGGATATTAATACGGGAGGGTATGCGGTAGTGATCAATAATACGTTCACAGCCCCTGCACCTGATTACGCCTTCGGTCCCTCCGGCACGAACGGAATACAGATTCGCAATGACACGATGTACTTTGTCAATACCGGCCAGAAGAAGCTTAACAGAGTCCGACTCGATGTTAGTGACGGCACACCGGCCGGGGATTTCAAAACGATCGCGCAGACGCTCACTCCGTTGGACCAATGGGACGACTTCGCGCTCGATGATGAAGGCAATGCGTGGATGGCCGCGGGAGGAGCAAACACGATCCAGAAAATCAACACGCGCACGGGAGAGGTCAGGGTCGTTGCTGGAGACGTGAACTCGACGGCCATTGCAGAGGCGATATCTGCAAAGTTCGGAAGGCGCGATTGTGATTCGACGGCCCTGTATGTTACTACGGCTGGCGGGCTCGCGACGCCCGTGAATGGTGATATCGTCATTGGAGGCCAGCTTGTGGCCGTCAGGACTTGATCCGGGCGAGGTTCTTAGTCAGGCATTATGTGTAAAGTGTGCCCGGGGTTGTGTTGAGCCAGGTGTACAAGCAAGGCAGTGGACTATAGCTGAGCTGAGCTGAGCATTTGCTCATGTTTCAAGATGGGGAAATAAAGAAATCCGATGTGGCAATTTGCATTTTCGAGACGTGGAATCCAGTCAAACCAACTGACGCTGTAAACTGATTGACTGCCTCGAATTCAGGCTTTCCAGGCTCCCTGGCCTCCCTGGGTTCGCCTGCTTGCCAGGCCCGATAAGGCGGGCGCGGGGGAGACTGGGAGCGAAAGTGGGTCCACAGGTCACATGAGGCGAGCCTCATTGGTCTGCTCTCTCCCCAATGTCATGGGCATGTACCAGCCACACCTTGGCGGGACGCCAGGGCTACCTGGAGGGGACATTGGGCCCGCGCCTCCCTATGGCCGATTGCTGGAACGACGTTGCCGACACTGGACTCTGGGAAAAGTGACTGATTGTCAGTGTCACCACGGCGCCCCTTGGGTCTTGGTTCTATTTGGGAAGACGACAGACAACCACCTGTGCTCTTGGGGGCAGCATCATCATCGCTCTTTTCTGTGGCAGCCTGCATTGTGGTTTTTCTGCTGACACGACCCACCGACTGGCTCCCTCGCCCGCATTCAACCACTCGCCCCTCGCTCTGGTCCATCGGGAAAGCTGCTGCTAGCTGCTAAGGTAGCCAGCCCTTCAGACGCTGTCAGGTAAGGCAGGCCAAGCCAAGGCGAGCCATCGCAGCCCCTCCTGTACCCAACGAACAAGCCTCCCATCAACCGCCCGCGATATTTCTGTGCACCAAGCACTATCCACACCTGTTCCTGCACCTGCACCTGTGCCTGGTTCCATTTCCTTGCTTGATCTGTACCTCCTCCACGCCTCCGTCCCATGTGCAGTCCCGGTCGCATACGAGCCATAGCTACCGCCAGAGCTTCTGCCACCAGCGCGACACGGCCACAGCACTCGTTTGGCCCTTCGCCTTGGGACCGAATCCTCGAGCCGACCGAACAGGGACTGTTCTGCGCAGGGCGGATTGTTTTTGGCTGCGGAACATCTGAGCTGACCTGCGATCCCACCACCGTCTAGGTCACGGTTGATCCCCGAGCTCTTTAGACCTTGACGACCCGACGGGCCGCGCTGTCGCCGCACGCACCTCTATGACCTCGATACCCGCCTCTTTGTAGGAAAATAGAATCAGTAAAAATGAAGTCCAAAGGGTCTCGGAATCAGCCTGCGCCCCCCGCCCCTCCTCCAATGTCGCCGACGGCCAGAGGCGCGAAATACAGGAACAGAGACGGCTCCAAGTTCATCACCTTGCCCGATACCATGTCAGCTCCCGATTCCGCACAGCCCTCGCCCACGACTTCCGCTGCCTCTGGCGCAAAGCCACAGGCTATCGGGGCATCTGGCACGACAAGCAACGGGCCTGCCCCGGTACCAGCAAATGTCAACCGGAAGAAGCAGAAGCGTCGTGAAAAGGCCGCTGCCAAAGCCGCCGCCGAGGCGGCTTTGAATGCGGAAAATGCCAACGGCGCATCAAATTCCGTAGGCCACAGACCGAATCACGATCCCGACCAGGAGGACAGCGAGGACGATGAAGACCAGTTCAACAACCAGCTTCACCAGGCACATGCTCAAGTGAACGGCCGTATACCTGACTCCGCACCCAAGTCCAAGAAGTCCAAGAAGAAGAGACACAAGGGCGCCGCAGCGGCAGGGGAGCTGGCAGATCAGCCGGACTCTCCGACGCCCCAGTTAAACGCGCCTCACCCATCCGGGATCTCCAAGGAGCGGATTTGGAATACCAGTTCCCAGGAGGAGCGGGAGAGGATCAAGGAATTCTGGCTCGGGCTCGGCGAAGATGAGCGCAAATCGCTCGTCAAAGTCGAGAAGGAGGCCGTGCTTAAGAAGATGAAGGAGCAACAGAAACACACATGCAGCTGCTCAGTGTGTGGCAGGAAGCGACACGCGATAGAGGAGGAACTGGAGGGCCTGTACGACGCCTACTACGAGGAGCTCAAGCAGTTTGCGAACCACCCCCAACAAGACGGACACCCGCCCTTGATGGGTGCGTCGCGGCACTTTGGATTCCACCACGGCAACAGGTTCCCGAGTTACGCAGGGCACCAACCCTCACGCGGGCGAATAGTAGAGCACGTCGGCGAAGACGATGAGGACGATCTGGAGGAGGATGCCTATAGTGAGGAAGAGCTCGACGACGAAGACGCCTACAGCGACGAGGAGCCTGAAGAGGAGATACATCGCGACTACGCTTCCGAATTCTTCAACTTCGGAAGCAGTCTGACAGTTCAGGGTATGGGTGCTCCTAATCTCTCTATGCGTGGCTGCAAGCAGTGTCAAGATGGTAACTGGGGTCTGTTCTAGGTGGCATATTAACGGTAGCCGACGACTTACTGAAAAACGACGGCAAGAAGTTCATCGAAATGATGGAACAGCTAGCCGAGCGACGTATGGCACGCGAGGGCGACTTTGCTCAAGACCAGTACTCTCGGAGCTACGGGCATGGTGTCAACGGCGGGCTTCCCGGTCATGATCACCCTCCACCTCCACCAGTCGACGACGAGGAATACGAGGACGATGAGGACGAAGACTACGATTCTCAAGAGGATGACGAGTACGAGGAAGAAGACGACGTAGGTGTCTCACCTGTTTTCTACAGCACGTGACCACATCAATGTCTGACATGCCACAGGACACTATGACCGAAGAGCAACGCATGGAGGAAGGCCGTCGGATGTTCCAAATCTTCGCTGCGCGAATGTTTGAGCAAAGGGTACTCCAAGCATACCGCGAAAAGGTAGCGAGGGAACGACAGGCCAAACTCATGGAGGAGGAGGAAGAGGAGCTACGGAGGGAAGCGGCCCGCAAAGAGAAGAAAGCCAAGGAGGCCCAGAAGAAGAAAGAGAAGGCAGCCCAGAAGAAGCAAGCCCAGGCCGAAGAAAAGGCACGCAGAGAGGCTGAGAAAGCGGCTGAGGAGGAGGAGCGACGGCGAGAAGAGGCTCGTAAGGCGGAAGACGCGAGAAGGAAGGCCGAGGAGAAGCGCAAGAAGAAGGAGGCCCAGAGGAAAGCCGAAGAAGACGAACGGGCAAGAAAGGAAGCCGAGCGACAACGCCAAAAGCAACTCCAGGCCGATCAGGAGCGAAAAGCGAAAGAGGCCAAGGACCGTGAGAAGAAGGCTCGCGAGGAGGCTCGCCTCAAGGAGAAAGAAGAGCGGGAGAGGTCGGATCGCGAGGCCAAGGAACTCAAGGAGATGCAAGAATCGCAAAGACGGCAGAAGGAGCTCGAGAGCAAATCCTCGGAGAACGGGAACAAGTCGACCCAAAAGCAGAAACAGGAGGAACGTGCAGCTAAGAAAGCAGCGGCCCTGGCCACGGCTCCTGTCACGATGACGCTTCCAAAACGGCCCGCCCAGCATCCAACAAATCCAGCATTGCCCGTCCTACCTCAGCAGCCGCCCACAGCAGCTTTTGCTTCGCCGAAACCTTCCGTCGCGACGCCGGCCTTACCAAAGGCACCGACGCCGATGCGGCCGCGACAGTCCTCGCAACAGGACACGAGCTCTTCAGGCCCAGGGACGACATCGCTGTCCGGGTCTACGAGTCACGACCCGTCTCCAAGCTCCAACACACCAGCCCAGACCAGTCCGCGGCCGTCTGGGCCCCCGAGTGCCCGAGGCAGCACAGCAAGTCAGCATTCGGCGAATGTGTCCCGGGCGATGTCGCCGGCGCAGTCGAGCGGTGCGAGGTTCCCTTCCGGCCAGCCCGCTCCCATCAACATTCCACCCATGGGCATGCCGTTCCCTCCTGGGCTCCCGCCCCCAGGCTTTGGGAACCCTCTATTTCCGCCCGGGCCTCCAGGCTTCAGACAGCCGCCGCCCGGGATGGTTCCACCGGGACTAAGCAGTCCTATGCTTGGCCGAGGCTTTCCTGCACCTGCACCGCCACCTGGGTTCGGCCAACCGACTTCAGATCTAGTGTCACCTTTCAATCCCTCATCGAAAGACGCAGCTCCGGGCACACACACGCGGCAGCAGTCAGGAGGCTATGACTCTCCATCTCTGCATGCCGCCCAGCCCATCGGTCGACCCACACCCATCGGACGGCCCTCGTCCGTCGTCCATGGGCAACGGCCGCATTCAGGCTCCCCGCCAAAAGCTCCGCAGCAGGACCCTGACGACATGCAGGATCACTTGGGAAGTAGCGCGTTGCTGGACGACTCTGAAGACGTCCTACCGACGCTCCCCGACTTCCAGCCAGGCTTACGTCGAGGGTACGTCGCCCCGGGCCGACCAGGGCCGGCTTTTCCGCCAGCTCCCTTCGCCGATCCGGCAATTGCTTCCATGTGGGGCAGCCCCATGCAGCCGCCTGGAATGAGCCCATTTGCTCAGACACCCGTGGCTCCTCCTGGGTTCGGTGGTCCCGTTGGATGGCCCGCCAGCCCAAGCCTCGGGTTCAGTGCGCCTATCGGCATCGGTCGTGTTGCGCCAGCTCGCCCACCAGCCAGCGTTGCGATACGGCAGATCCTGTGCAATGTCTGCCGCGACCTTGCCATGAAGGAGCCTGCTAAAGACGGCTTCATTCCTCTCAGTTCTCTGCAGGAGGCAATGAAGACATACGTCGACTTCAATCCCATGGGTGACGGCCCGCTGACAGAGAACGACATCGTGGCGCTCTGCGAAACGGAGGGAAATATGGCGAACGGTGGCGGAAACTTCGACTTGGCTGACGAGGCTGGCACGAAGAGCATCCGGTGGAACCCAGACAAGATGGCTCAGCCGTTGGGCGCTTTTGGTGCGCCTGGCCAGATCGGAAGTCCTGTATTAGGGTCGTCCTTTGGCCATTAGCTTTCGGACATTGGCGACGGGTCATGGATGGCGGATCTGTTGCATCATAACATGGCAGCCTTATGCGAATGTTCCCGGCTCTCGAGACACTATGCGACGACTACTTGCCTGTGAACAAGCCCTCATGTCGGAATCTCTCGACGACATCTTCGATGAGGAGGTTCTGGTTTCCAGACCCATACGTACCATTCCGCCTCAACGCTTGTAGCGCTCTACGAATGCTTGTCTCCCATTGAAGCCGAGAATTGGCTCTCAGATTGGGGTGGCCGCCCCTGTTGATACCCCTGAGCCTACCAATCTGTATGGAATATCACTGTAATACTAGCTGGTATTCGTACTAAAGGTGCGAAACGGAAATTACACAAACAGGTGACCCAGGTCTTGACGATCTATCACTGAATCTGCTTGCCGGCCATGCATAATACGTACGTTTGCACAGGTAAGTGTGTGCGCGATGACGCTGGGGCTTTTGTCTTGGCCCTGACAGGCCAAATCACATTCTCCCGTTAGGCTGCGCCCAGACACGGTACCAGCAGCTCACTCTCGCGACTTGCATGTCATTTTTTATTTCCGCAGCACTTCGCCACGAAGGTAAGCCTGGTCGTTGAACGCGACCCGATGGCACCTCACATTGTGGGCCATGGATGGGAACTAAGGATCCTTCAACCTGAGATCCGACAAAATATTTGCCGCATCGGCATCTGGGCATCAGGCACTGTAAGCTGAAGATCGCCCAGCTGATCCAGAGCCCAGCTTGCTTGAGCCAAAGGAACCTATGGGAATAAGCTCTCAAAAAAACCGCAAGGCAGATTCCCGTGAAACATGCTGACATTGCACAGAATCAAAAAAAGGTGCCGTCGAGGGCCAAGGGGTCAAAGTATGGGGCGACCCAGGCAGCCAGGGTTGGATGCACGATGCCGAGATCCTGGCGAATGAAATCATGAGACCGACTTATACGGGGTTCCGTGGTACCCATACTTGATCCTTCACAACGAGAGAGGCCACCAAAAACGGCCGGTCTGTGGCCGTGCCTGCGTGAAAGTAAGGGAGACCATGGAGAAGCTGCAAAATGCGAGATGCGACAGGCAACTCCGAGCTTTAGTGTGCTTTCTCACATGCGGTTTCTTGTCTGGCCCTGCCAGCCTGCACGCTGCCTTTTGAGTCTCCTCACCTCAGCAAGACCCGATTCTCCTTTTCGAGCATCTACAATTACTTTATTCCGAATGGGACCCACTGACTGAAATCCGATACCGTTGCCTCCGTCCTTCCCTCTCACCGCTTGGCATCGGAGCCGGGCTTATGAGCACCAACATGGACGACCCAACCGGCGCTGCGCCGCGCTCGAAGCCGAAGGGGATCGACCAGGCCACAAACCCCAGATGGGCCACTGCAAAGATCACCGTCAGGGGCACAATCATCGTTCTGTCCCTCGCCGCGAGCATTACCAGTCTTGTGTACCTCGCCGCTCCAAAGCGATGGGATACCTGGATCCTCTTCTCTCCCCTATATGGGCTTCCATATGTAAGTCCAACCACCCACGCAGACCTGCAGGGCTGGTCCAACGGCTCGCCTCTGCCCGGAGACAGGGGGCAATGGGGGCAGCTTGGATGGGCACAGCGGCGCAGCAGACCTCAGCAGCTGCGTAGATACTGACACGACGACACCACGGCAGCCACTTCTCAGCTTCATATGGGAGGTCAGCGAGGTCACCATCCTCCTCGTCAGGCGCGACAAGAACAAGGGCCTCATCCCGGCCGTGCATCTCGCCTGCGAGCTGCTATTATGGCTCGGGGGCGTGATCGTCTCGTTGCTGTGGGTCACGTCCGTGACTTCCACTGAGCAGCACTCGGCTACTTTCACGGAGGGCTCGCCAGGCATACCGGCGTCTACGTATAAGATGTGGGCACGCGTGATCTACTTCTGGTGTGCAGTCAACTTGGCCACTGTGTAAGTCCCAGACTCTTTCTTCTCGGTCCTCCGCCCCCAACCTCCGGCACCTGCCCGCCACAACAGACCAAGTACCTGTTACTGACAAGCTTCCCGCAGCGTGTGCCAGTTTTCCCTCTTCGTCGTTTCCTGCATAGAGTTCGACCGGAACAGGAGGAACATGGAGCGGAAAGTGAACGAGCTCCTCGCCATCTTGGAGGAGCGCGGCCAGAACGCCAACGACGTCCTCGCCTCGCTCCGCTCCCCGCCGCCCGACTACGACAGCACCAAGCCCTCGTGGCCGGTCGAGATGCCCGCGGTGAACCAGCAGCCGGTGGAGATGAGCGTCGACGAGCGCCCGATGGAGGTGGTGGGAAGCCAGGTGGGCCAGGAGATGTCGGTGCCCGGCACTGATGATCAGACTGGGAACCAGAAGTTTGTGCTTAAGCCGAGGGCCTGATTGTTGCATTATCGGTCCACGGGTGGAGCTGGGAGCAGCTGGCCTCTGGGACAGGGACAGCTCATCACACGGCAGGTGGGTTTGAGAATTTGCATCTGGCTGATTTGGCGCAAGTTATATACCAAACAAACTTGTCTCGTGACCAACAACACGTCTGTTTGACTTTAACATGAATCTTGTTTACGGATGCTTGAAGTAACTTTATTATCAGTCTATTTAGCCCAATTTTCCTGATACCTGAACATCCAATTGTAGCTTCATCCCTCCCATCTCGCCTTCACAATCTTCTCCTAGCACCACCCACCCCACTTCAAACCCAGCGAAGAGATGATGCACCACGTCGAGAGTTACGACCGTTCCTCACCTAGAGTCGAAGTACTGCTGCTGCACCCCCCTGAACGGATCGGCCGGGCCGGAGATTTCGGGGCCCTCTCGTCCACCAGCAGCATCGCCAGCACCCATCAGAGGCACGTAGTCACCACCACCAGCCATGCCGGTGGCGGCACGCGGCGCCCTCTTCGCCTCGGCCGCCTTGGCCAGCGCGGCCTGCGCCTCGGCGGCACGGCGGTCCCTCTTGTTCCTGCTCCGCTCGCGGATGCACATCGAGCAGATCGTGATGATGGAGACGGCGGCGCCGACGCCCAGCACGCTCCCGACAATGATGCCCCCGATGCCCATGCCCCCGGTCGTCGCGCACCTCACGGCTCCGCTGGTCTGGCTGTAACCACACTTCATCCCCGGGACGCAGCTGGGGATGACGGCGGTGGTGGCAACACAGGCCGTCTCGTCGGCGTCGTTGATGAAGGAGCAGGCGCTGGTGGCGACGGTCGCCGGGGTCATGCAGGTCACGGTCGTGTAGGTTGTTCCCTTGAGGTGCTGCACCATTACCCATGTATTTGTTGAGGTGGGCGCGGCGGTTGTGGTCTCACGGATCGCCAGGGTCGCGAGCGTGGTCTTCTCGCTGTCGCTGTCGTCTTTGTCCTGGGCTGCGCGGACCTCGACGACCTCCCGGATTGTCCGCAGCCCGTGTCGCCCACGCAGCTGCCGCAGCTCCATGTTGCTTCCATCGCTTTCCGAGTTGCTCTTGCAGCGCTTGGCTGCCCGGGCTGCCTCGACCTTGGCGTCCTGTAGGGGGCAGCCTGCACTGACGAGGCAGTTCTGCAACAGGCCCTGGTCCCCTGCGAGATCGGACAGGCAACGGGTGACGGCGTCTTGGGCTCCGCAGGCAACATCTGCGGCGATGTTATGCCTATACGCCAGAGAGCATTCCTCAAATGGTTCTGCAACGGTCGTGCTTGCTAACGAGGCGGCCAGGAACACCGCCTGAAGGCCATGCCGCATGTCTGCCAGCTTCATTTTCGCCGAGAGGCCCGGTCAGGAAGGTCGAGGAGGAGGCAGTTAGATACGGTTGAGAGAAACGGATGTACCGGGCTTGTAGACTTGGCGACAGCTCGTCACACCAAGCTAGACGAGGAGAACTGAAGACGAGAGGATTCAAAGTATCATGGAGTCGTAAGCAGCGAATTTGTCTGCTTAATATTAGAAGAGAAGAAAAGCATTGCTCGCTTGAGCTACCAAGGGACCAAATCACAGTCAGATTCCCGTATTGCTGACGGGCCCCCCTCTGCCATCAGCCACTTTCAATGGCAAACCCATCACCAACGGGCGCAGTGAATCCTGTCAGACCCTCAAGGGCTCGCACCTCTGGAGCTCCGTGTCACGAATGCCTGAGTCGCCCCTGGCCAACAAAGTTAGACCGGCTGTCTCTAACGGACAAATCATCGCACAGCCCGTTGGGAACTGCGCCGCAAAGTCTGCTAGACATTGTGGATGCTCACAGGCTGGGTGCACAAAGACGAGAGCGGCTGCACAAAGGATGGCCACCGGTAGGGGTTACGCTTACTGTGTACTGTGTTACTCTACCCCTGAGGACTGCCTTTGCTTGCGTATGCTCCCACGGGCTGAACATGCTCTGCTGAAAAGAACAGTGGAGACAAAAGAGTGCTTGGGTGATAAATGAGAAGAGCCATGTCCTTCTGGCCCGGCTGTTGTTGGTGGACTACAAAGAGGGAAGATCTGTTCTATTTTAGTAACAAAGTTTATCCTACCGTTGGAGCTTCCGTCGCGCCGAGCGGGTGCCTGCTGTGGGCCCCCTTTTCAGGTGCAGTGGAGACGCGTACTCTTAGATCTTACACAGCATATGCTGTCCCAACAACGCCCCTGTCCTGCCCTGCCCTGCCCGTCAGCCTTCTTTTATTCCCAACTGATGGTAAGATTCTGCCCTTCAGCGGCGCCGGCGCCGACTGCTACGCCATCAAGACCAAGGCGGCGCCCAAGCAAGAGGTCCCGCAGGTCCCCACAGTCATGGCCCTCAGTGATGATGGCAACGACGATGGCAAGGAGGTGAATTTGGCTGAGGTGCCCGTTGGCACCTCGGCCGAGGGGTCCGACGACGTCGTGACCGGGTCGGAGAACATCGCCGAACCGCCCGGATCCCAGCAGCTCCAAGGACAAAGGCCCCGCCCACGCAGACTTCGACCGCTCCTCCCTGGGCGACGTGCCCTCCCCGCGCGCGTTGGACATGCCACGGCCGTCATCGGCAACCATATCTTCCTGTTTGGCGCGCGCGGTCGGGTTTGAGAGCTTGAGCTTGAGATTGAGCTTGGGTCTAGCGCCAATTCCAGGGACAGAGAGCCTTTCGACTTAAGATTACTTGATATGCTTCTCTTTCATTCGTCCTAACCATGGGCTGTATGAGCAGTACAATCAAAGCGAGACGACAATCTTCTTAGCAGACACTCCCTCCCTCAGAGTGTCCATGGCTAACTGAAGGGCCTCGAGACTCTCTCCCACAACCTCCGACTTGGGAGCAATTGTGTACCTTCCATCGGCGAGTGCCCCGGGCAGGAAGTCGTGCAAGACAGCCGAAGCAAGCTCCACGTCAGGCCTTAGCTCCACCACGAATTTGGTCTCGATGCCCTCAGGTACTGGGAACGCCGGAACCATTGTCAGGGCCACAAACTTGCTGCCCTCTGTGCTCAACACGGCGGCCGCACAAGCTTCCACGATCCCTGGAAACGTGGAAAAGTCCACTCCGCCGTTGGCAATGGCCCCAGCCACCTTCTTGCCCTTGAAAGCGGCAACTAGATCTTCTTTCACGGTGGGACTATCATCTGTGATGTGTCAATAACCGTTGTCTGAGGAAACATGTACAGGGATTCACGGCCGCCACAAGGAATGGCATATACGTACAGTCAAACACCTGGGACGCTCCAAGCCCCTTGACGTACTCGAACCGACGCGGAGAGGCCGTTGTGATCACCTCATACCCAGCGGCAACCGCCAGCTGGATCACATTCGAGCCGACGCTGGTCGAGCCGCCCCAGATCAGGACCGTCTCCTGCTTCGGGCTCGGGGACGCGGACGGCAGGTCCAAGGCCAGGAAGTCCTTGTGGAAGAGAGCCTTGGTCGCGACAGAGACACCCATTGGGAGCGCGGCCGCCTGCTCGAAAGTGACGGAGCTGGGGATGGGCACCGCCATGTGCTCCGACAGCAGCACGTGCTCCTGGAACCCCTGGTTCACGAGGCCGGCCACCCTGTCGCCGACTTTGAACTTGGTCACGCCGGAACCTAGGGCCTCGACCTCGCCGGCGATGTCATAGCCCAGGATGGCCGGGTACTTCAGGAATGGGATGGCTTCCGGGCCCTTCTCCTGCTGGAACCAATCGACAGGGTTGATAGCTGCAGCGCGGTTCCTGACTACGATTTCGTTCTCGCCTGGCGTTGGGTAGGGGACCTCTTTGATTTCGAGAGGCGCCTTGGTGGCTGTCAGAAATGCGGCTCTGTTGGAAGGCATTGTTGTATTTTTTGTGCAGGTGTCTCAACGATGTAAATATATTTCCAAAGAAAGAAGTCAATTTCGTCTCCTTTGTGGATCATGAAGTTGCAACAGGCTCAGTAAGCTTCATGTCCAATGTATATGTATGTAAGACTGAGGGGCTCGTGCCGTAGCTCACCCGTCTGCCCCGACGGACTTAGACGGAATTCCGTACCATCGTCCATTTCGGGACCGACACGCATTTAACACGCTGATCCCGAAGCCAGCTAATAATGTTCAGAAAATAAAGGCATTATTGGTTGAATCAATTTGCATCATGACGGCTAGATAGTGAGCACCAAAACATCCTGGATACAATGCCTTGCCTTTCGGCTTGGCTACGAAACCGGAATTGAAAAGCTAGGGTGACTTGCCTTTCCCCACGAGCTCGATAGGCGATCTCAAAGTGGTAGGAGATATTCCCACTAGAAGTAGGGTCTTATCCTACTGGACGTTACCCGGGCAGGATGGTGAATCCATGTTTTGCGAAACTTGACTTGCTTGACAATCAACATGCCAACAGCCAATCTGCATAGATATTAGATGATTAAATATTGGACACACTTTACGTCCACAACGGACGTCCTAGGCAACCTACTGCTCCGCTCCCTGAAATTAAAAAGGGCTGGACATGAGAAAGTCTAAAAAGAGAAAAGAAAAGCACGGGGAGAAATCAGGAGGTGCATCCTCTGGAGAAGATTCAACGGCCTGTGTCACTGAGTATCACGTCCTCACACGGGGTACATCAGCATCAGTCACCTCGGGGCTGCCTCCGAAACCAAGACCAGCCTTCCGCTGCCGCTTGGCACCAGCGTCACCGTACTTGTCGTCGAACCTCTTGATGGCCCTCAGACTCGCCATGTCCACGCTGACACTGGCGCTGATCTCGGACAGCGCGACCTCAAAGTGCGCCGCGCTCAGGACCCTCCGGCGGCCGCGCGACGAGCAGCCTCCTCGGCAGGCGGCGCAGGACGGTGTCGTCCAGGTCGAAGGGGCGGTTCGTCGCCGCCATGACGAACGCGCCGCCGCCGGCCTCGAGGCCGTCCATCTCGCGCGGGAACTGGTTGATCACGAACCTCCGCCAGCCCCCGCTGTTGTCGGTGCCGGCACTCCCCGTCATGTTTATACCCTCCCAATATTCTCGCTTGAGAGCCCTCGCGTTACCAGTCTCTGGCGTTGCCAGACTGTTTGCAGCAGAGTTCAGCCACCCACTCCTCTCTGCGGCCCGGAAGCGAAGGTTTGAGATTGGATCCGTGGGAATTCGGATGCCGTCCCTCGAGAGAGGCAAAGGGCACTCCAGCAAACGAGCGATCGAGCTAGAAGTGATGTGGACAACGTCTGCCTGGAGTCCGGCTGCAATATCCTGCACCACGGAATGAGGGGCTAAATAATCTGAAAAGAGCGGCAGGTCTAGAATGACGGCGCGGGTTGCGTTCCCTTCCTCCTCCTCCTCACCATCGCTTTCGTTCTCTTCTGCATTGAAACCACAAGCGAACCTGTAGCCGACTTCGTCTGTGACATGAAATGGTGAAAAAACCGAGATTTCTCCGGAATTTGATAAAGAGCAGTTCGCTTGGGAGTTCAAAGGGTTGTCGGCGAGTGAGTGCTCGAGGTCATTGTACAAGAGCCCAAGCTCAGGCCGATATGGGAGACCGGAGAGGATCGAGTATCTTGTTGCACGTTGCACATCATCAGCCAGAGAGTGGAGGCCGACCTGGCCATCTTGGCCGGTTTAGACGTGGAAGGTCGCTTGGCAAGACACTGCGCTATCAAGGCCAATCGAGAGGCTTTCCCGTTCCTCTTGACGTTATCCACGAGGGGTTCCAGTGATTTTGTAGTTGCATGGCTGACTACGGCAGTTTCTGTGCCTTCGGCTTGTGTGGAGTTCAACCACTGCCTGACCAGGTGGCCGGCATAGAGCCAACCCGCAGCTACCGTGAACTCAGACCGCCGTTGGATGAGCGCGAGGTAGACTGGGAGTTGACGGCTGTCTCTTTGGGAGTCTTTGATCCATCCTTGTTTATCTTCCATGTACTTCGACCCAGCTTCCTCGACGGCAGCCTTGCTCCAGCATGCAATTTCGAAGATCGTATACCACACGGTTTCCTTGGATGCGGCCCACGCTTCGGTACCCAAGCCCAGAGCATCCCATGGTGATAGTGCTTCAGGCTCTGTGCTGCTTTCATTTTTGTTATCGGCCCTGTACTCGATTTCGCGAGCCACGACTCGCCCATTGGCCCCCTGCCTCCGCAAAGATCTTGAATATTCTGGCGCGGGTCACCGTGACGGTAAATGCCGAAGAAAAAATCCACGTCATCGGGAGAGACCTCGCCGCGGCTGATGGGGCATGCCAAGCAGAACCGCAGGCCGACGCCATCTCGAACGGGCCGGCCGGTGGAGAGAAAGGGTCGATGGAAGCCAGGTGGCCAACATGATTAAGCGAGCTCCGTGCAGGCAGGCCTCCAGGTCTTGCACTCTTGGTGCCGATAAGCGTGCGCGTCGTCTTGCTCGGAGGGGATCCGTGGCTGGTGGTTGGGGGCCTTGAAGGGATGAGGCGTTGCTCGTGGGGTCTGTGTTGGTTTCCGGGGTTATTGCCACCCCAGACCCGAAGAGGAGGATTTGCTCCATTTTTATGCATATAAAAGTCCCTGGAGTGACCGCATCGATTTTCCTTTTTCTCATGCGGGCTGGCAGGCTCCCTGAGCAGGACAACTGAGGCCGGTGTGCATATTACGCGCAACCGACCTTCTGGCCCCTCGTGTAGGCGAGAACATGTTCAGAACCGTGGGGAAAATAGAGGGGCTTAGGGACATGCCTCCTATTTATGTATGGCGTTGAAATAACAGGAACCGGCAATGATAACCAGGTCCTGCATAAGAAAAGGCTAGTGTCAACAGATCTTTCAACGTTGAGGCCCACCTTAAAATTACTGGGCCATCTGACGGTGAGATGGGATCGCTCACCAGCCTACACCGTGATTACCCCTCGTTCGTGGGATTCCCTGGTACGATCGACACGATTTATTGTCTGATTTTCAAAAAGATACGAGGGATTGGTTCCGATGAGCCTCAGCCACCGCTATTTGGTCCTGCAAGATCGTGGGAAGCCGGATCTATCGAGGATCTATAAGAAGACTGCCCCAAATACTCGTCTAGACAGACTGAGATGTGACAAGTGAACAGACCCAGTAGAAAAGCAACTTCAGAGCTCTTAACCGTTTCACCAAAACAAAAAAAAGCAAACCCCCCTTGCCAGCAATCAACCATGCTCTTCACAGCCTCTACTCTCTTCGCAGCCCTGGTTGGCGGCGCATACGCTGCTCCGGCCTCTGGTGGGACCGTCATCCAAGCACCTAGCGGAGATGGTCAGATTGTCGTGAGCCAGACCCAGCTCCGTGTGACGGGATGCCTTAATGGCCAGGGACTCTGGACCGTAGCAGGCGACTGCGCGACCTTTTCCGGTGATGACGATGGCGGTATCTCTGGCCCAGAGGGCTATCTGGTCTTCACGGAAGATTCGGGCATCACTACGTCGCCGAGCTCCGATTCAACCTGGCTTGGCTATTACTTGAATGGAAACGTAAGTTTTGAATATTCCCTCGACAACGGTCGCGCTGGGCCGATGGAAAATCCACTGCATACTGACGTGTGGACAGACATCCGCCACGTACATCTCTGCCGACAAAACTACGGTTGATGATGCATCTGGACAAATATTGCGTAAGTAACTTGTTTACTCTTCCACTCGAGCATCCAGTCTGCTATGGAGCCAGCCTTTGAGAGGAGTGGTACCTCCAACTTCTTGGTACTACCACGGCATGCTGTTGCAACAAGATCAGAACTGATATGGTTTCATCACAGTGCATGCGGACCACGTTCCCTCTGGATCCGGGACAGTGCCAATACACGCATCTTCCACCGACGGGGATGTTGCCGTGTACCTCTCATGGATCGCTCAATAGGACGGGACCAAAGAAGCTCTTGAGTCGAGAAATGCGGAATGAAATCAAGGCTTGATGATTGAATTGGACTAAATATGCAGTAGGACATAATGACTATGTAATGTTTACGAATAAATATAATTGACTGGAGCTCAACCACATCACAAAACTGTTTTACTCTATGTCATCGTCAATAACTTGATCACGGAGTTCTCAGTTAAACAAGCAGACTCTGGGAGCTGTATTGCAACTCATTTCAATCTTGGGGATGATCAGGCACACCTTGTCAAGATAATTATCTTAAGGCCTTTCTTTTACCCAAAATTTCACGAAAATAGACCAACCAGGTGCACACTAACAAGATATAATCGGATATGGCGCAAGATCTTTTGGCCTTATCAGATTTATCAAGCCTCTATAATGACCTGAGTCCCCACTGAGGACAATTTATACAGATTTCATTGTGCATAAGTAAGTATTTACAAGAAAGCCGGCCGTATCCACGAAATACTCGAGCTCTTTAAACCTAGAAGTAGGTATGGCCTACAAGGATGAGGCAGTGGAAGACTTCCAGTGCTCAAGTGCGGCTTGTGACAATGAGAAGAACTGAATGAATACCCAGGATCTCCACGCAATGCGTGACAATCAATCAGAGACATTGAGAATAGTACTAAGCCAAACATTAGCCATTGCAGACGCTCCTCGAGGAACGGGGTAAATTACCTGGTTGGTAGCGGAGCAAGTGCTCCCCGACACACAGCACGTGGCGCCGGCCCACCCCTGCCCGCCGCACTGCGCGTACTTGGCCGCGCAGTTAGTCCCACCGCCCCCGGAGGAAGCACCCGTCGTGGTGGTCGCAGCTGCCGACGTCTTGGAGGAGGTGGACAGCGTCGTCGGGGCGGCCGTCGCCGACGGCAGCGCCGCGGTCCCGCTCGGGCCGGACGTGGCGGCGCAGGTCGACTCGCAGGCGGCGCACGCCACGCCGGCGCTCTTGGCCGAGCCGCCCGAGTAGACGGTCGGCCCGGGCGGGACGTACGTGCTCATCTTGGCGTGGATGTCGACCAGGATGCCCGGGTCGCTGGCGGCGTAGGCGCCGGGGAGCTTGATCGTGGCGGGGGAGGCCGAGCCGCTGCCGGTCACGGTGATCTGGTAGCACGTCATGTAGAACTGGGCGCCGCCGGATGAGCCTGCTGTGTGTAGTGCGAGGGCCTCGGCGCGCACTTTGTTTGTTGGAGTTAGCCATAGATCGATCAAGTGTGGGGGGGGGGGGATGGGAATGTCAAGCCCAACTTGATAGTATGGGAGAGGGCGTTCTGAAATAGTCAAGCTTCTTGGGGAAGTTTTGATAATTGCCATGGAACTTACAAAGATAGTCTCCCGGTGCAATGTCAGATGGAATCTTGACGTTCATTCTACCTGTATCATTCTTTCGTTAGCGTTTCTTAAACAAAGAGAAAACATTGCTGAACAATTCGAGATATGTGACGAAGCAGATTCGATGCCAGGAAGCCGAAGTGTCACAAGTTGAGCACATACCACAGCAAGTGTTAAGGTCCTTGGTCCCCCAGTGGTCGTCATCCCCAGAGCTACCGGATGGGTTCTTCGCCCAGGTGTCGGCAAAGATCTTGAACCACCCCGCCGAAGAGCCAACAGCCGTCGCGGCGTCCGAGACCTTGGCCAGGTAAACCTGCACGGGACCGTAGTGCGCCCCGCCGATAGCCTCAGAAGCGCAGTCCTTCGTGTTGGGCTGCTGGTGCATCTCGACGGTGACGGTCGAGCCGGCCTTGACGGCGCATTTTGCCGCGGCGCTCGAGGAGCCGGCGTTGCATGCGATGTCGCTGGAGAGGACGTTCGTGACTGGCGAGTTGCTCGCGGGCAGCCTGGCGCACTGGGCTCCGTTCGGGGAGGTCAGCCTTGGAGAGTCATGCGAATTTAGCAGGAGATAGGGGACTTATATAATTGACGCCATCGACGTATAGAATCTGGAACGTCGCGTGGGCTGAGGCTTGGTGGGCAGCCAAGCCGGCCAGAATCGCAATCAATGCGGACTTCATTTTTGATCTTGATCTGCGCGGTGATGGTCAATCAAAGAGTCTTGGCCTTTGCGGATCGTCAGGGACTGGGACTGAAAGGTGTGTTTCGCCTGTCCGAGGAGGCTACAAGGTGCTTTCGCGGCTGTAGCACCGTTATATACACTTCATTTGGCGGTCCAGGCGTCGGAAGGCCCAGTCATCTCGGTCGTTTGATCCCGTGCCTTTGCCATCATTCATCGGTCCTAGCTCGATCCAGGGAAGTTGCATGGGCGTTCGAGGCAGGACCAGGTTTTGGGTCGCCGTGATCGAGTCGCCTCATGCTGTCTGGGATGTGGGTATTGTACACAGTACAAGTTGAAGTAGGACGTTGACCGCTGGAGAATCTGACGCGGCCATTGATTACATGCACATCGAACCAAGATCTGTTATGAGTTGGACGCCCATGCCACGCGAGCACAATATCTCGTGATCCAGACCGGGATGGACGGCCTTGTCTGCTACGGCCGGATTGGCTGGCTGAATGTGTTCAATATACCGGCAAAGGTCACAACAGGCTTGGCATACTACCTGCTTGGACGGACGTGTGATGATGCTAGGCCGACACGTACCCGGGATGATGGGTCTGGTCTCCGTCCCGTAGGTATGAATTAGGAATCATGGAAGCAGCCTCGCCGAGATCCGAAATCCCACCTGTACTGTAGCGGGGACAGGGAAGTACACCGACAGTTGCTGACCACGTCTTGAATTGATGCGTGCCCCTCCGATCCTGCGGAGACTATGTACACAGTGTCTGGGGGAACTCGGACGTCTGCACGACGTATTGTATGGCTTTCAATTTCTCCAGTCCCTCTAGTTAACTAAATTGAACTCCAAGTTTGTGCTACTTTGAGGTGAATTCTCCGGATCCTGTGCAGGTCAGGCTACAGTAGCATGCTTGGCAAAAGCTTGATTCATCTACATTACTCAGTCCATTGCTCCAGGTTTCCAAGTTGTACATCTAATAAGTGCGAGTGAGTAGCAGTATGCATGTAGAGCGACATGCTACAAACGGGCCCGGGAAGAATTTAACACGAGCCAACTGAGTTCCAAGGCATTCCCGAAGCAAGGGCCTGCGCGAACGTTACATGTATAACATTTGGCTTCCCTATTATTGAGTGTCAACAATCAAAATGTACAAGACTGGACGCCGTGTACTAAAGTCGCGATGTGCAATAGTTGTATTTCGTCTATCCATAAAAATACACAACTTGTTGCTACGCTGAAGCGCCTTGATGCGGTAAAGATAAGCCTGGGCTACAGTAGTCTTGGCCATACTTCAAACTGACCACCATATGATGCCCACACACTGAATACTTGATACAGGACAGAGTCCTCAGTTAGGGTCCACACCACACAGCCTGTTTGCGAGATCAGAGCAGTAGGCATTCGTTGCGCCGCCACCCGAGCTCAAGTCCTGGAAATTGATGCCCAGATCTCCCGAGTTGTAGCCCCTAGCAGCGACGTAGAAGTCGTTGTTATAGCGGTCCAGGAGCTGCCTGTAGCCATCACCACCCGCGGGCCCCGGGACGCCGCCAGCACCGTCGCGAACCATCTGCAGAATGGAGCCCTGGGGGTCGCCCTCGTTGAACGAGGCGCCGTTGTGGGCCTGCATGATGCCGGTGTTGTTGACGCCGGCGCCGGGCGACGTGGTGCTTTCGACGCGCACCTTGCCGTGTGACTCCTGCATTATCACGGCGAGGATGCAGCGGCGGTCGATGTTCAGCTCGCCGGACACCGTGGCCACCGCGTCCAGGACCCACTGCGTCTCCTGCGCCGAGTTGCCCGTCGTGTTCATCACCTGGGCGTTGTGCGCCGACATCGTCTCCCACGACACCCACTTGTCCGGTCCTGGGAAGTTGCTGCTCGGCCCGCTGTAGTGCACGATACCGCCGCTGCCGCCGCCAGTCGCAGGCGGGTTAGTAGGCGCGTGGCCACCGGCTGGGATGGTTAGCACGTCGCCCTCGTGAAGTGCATAGTCCGGGGGCTGGACTTGAGGGTTGGCGGCCTGAAGGTCCTGCAGGCTGACCCCAGACCTCTCGGCGATGTTGTACATGGTATCGCCGGCAACGACAGTGTAGGTCTGGTTACCACCACTCTGGCCCGGGACGTTGAGGGTCTGGCCGACATTGACCTGGTAGTCCGGGGGCCGAACGTCCGGGTTCGCCGCCTGGAGCGCAGCAAGGTCCACGCCGAGCTTCTGCGCGATGGCCCAGAGGCTGTCGCCGGGGACGACGACGTAGCCGCCGCCGGTGCTCTGGATCGCGGACAGGACCTTGACGCCGAACTGCTTCTGCGAGCTCTTGCAGGGGACGGTGAGCACGTCGCCCTTGCGGACCACGAAGTCCGGGCCCGAGATCTGCGGGTTGCGGGCCTTGAGGCCGTCCAGGGACACGTCGAGCTTCTGGGAGATGTTCCACATGGAGTCGCCGTCGACGACGGTGTACTCCGACGACTCGGCCGGCGCCGCGTCGGTCGCTGCTGAGACTGCGACCTTGTTGTCGGTGCCGTAGGCGTTCTGGCCCATCCAGTTCCCTGGTGGCGTGTACCTGCCCACGATATAAGTCGCGCCATCCGAGGCCTTGGCGGACGCGATGCCGACCTTGGTAGTCGTCGGCCAGATGCACTGGTCATGAAAATGTGATTAATATGACTATTGAGAAGAGATCCGTTGTCATCAAGCATACCTGGGTGTAGTGGCCGTAGCTTCCAAAATCGCCGTCTGGGATGTTCTCGCCGTGGTAGTTAGGCTTCTCGTTGAGCCATGCGCGGGTGGCATCGGCCAGACTGGCATCCCCACTGGACATGAAAAGGTTCTCCCCTTGACCGTCAACTCCCGAGTGCTCGAATTTCTTAGTATCTGCCAGATGCTGCGCATACTGCTTGGCGTCGTTGGCAAGGCCGTCGTCCCAGGTAAGATCTGGACGCTGCTGGCCGGGAGCCTCGCGGCGAGCTGGTAGGTGGTTAGTATCCCGCATCAGGGAGGCAAGGTTCGCAGGAATATATTCACCATCGTTGTGAGCGTTGAGGGCGGACTGGCTATCAGACATGCTTGCTGTAAAGTTTAGGCGAATCGGTTTTGAAGTGGTTAATGGCTATTGTGATATATCGAATAACAACCGAGTTTTGAAAGATGGATATAGAGCTCTCCACCATTGATGGCCTGCTTCGTCTGTATTTATATACCCGGGGCGTTTGCCTTCGAAAAGCCCCCAAAACTGCTGAATTTCTCATTCCGGAAGCTGACTCCATCTTCGGACGTTCTGATGTCGCAATGTAGACACGCAAAATCTCACATGATTGCGAAGGTGCACCTGCTAAGCCCATGTCTTACGGGCTGGGGGCAGAATTGTTGTTAACTAGGCGTGTGACAGAGGGCTGAGACAAGGCTGCCATCGTTCTACAGATCTGACTGCTTATGTTTTGGCCCGGCAGTGTGCGAGTCTCGCAAAAAGGATGCCCCAGCCTCGGTGGCTCTGGCCTCGTGTCATCTGAATCGGTTGGGACATGAAGTAATAGGGACCTATTAGTAAACTGTAAGCAGCCGTCGCCATCGCCGTCGCCGTCGCCACGGTAAGGCAAGCTCAAAAACGCAATGGGGCCGTCAGGAACTCTTGCTGACATATTGGGGCGGGAGGTCGTGGCTCATCTCAGCTGACCATGAACATGGCGTTCACCACACTAGGAGCTACTAGATCGCTGATGTTGGCAAGTACGACCCTCGCTATTAGGAGGCTACTTTAGTTATCCCCTACGGGGCACGTAGCCTCTTAAAACTTAAACAGAACAACACCAATACACGATTGCTTCCCATATAATTATTGTACATACAAGAGACCTACCAATACTAATTAGTAGTCATGGGTATCATAAATTAACAAGGTAGAAAAGGCAACCCCATAAAGATTTTCCTAACCTAAAAATTATATCCTCCTTATTAGCAAGCGCTATATAGCAATGATTGCTTCTTTAGGCCTCTCTATATCATTAAACTCCCTAAGTAAATATTATAAAGATTAAATAAACTAAGTAGCATTTCCTATAATATCTATATACATATTTATCGTTATTTAAGAAATATGCATTTATTATATATAAAACTTTACTAAAAACAAACTTATTATAAACCCATCTTTAACTCCTTTTTAAAACTTAGCAAAACCTAATAAAGCTCCATTTTATTAAATGAATAAAGCTTATAATTATCATAATTATTAAATAAATAAAGCTTATAACTATCGCAATTACTAAAGCTAATGCAATGCTACGTTATAAATAAGCGTGAATTATATATTATGCTTTTAATTAATATAAAAGGACTTAATAATAGGAAAAAGCCTTAGCTTTTAAGGCCTAAAGGAATTAATAATTTCTTTTTTTTAATAATCATAACTTACTTTCTATTAAACTATTATTATTAACTTACTCTTAAATATTATTTATTTTATTAATATTTCTTTATTTTATTAATCTCATTCCTTATAATATTTGCTATAAAAACCTATAAAAATAGTTAATAACGCTAAGAAGCTATTAGCTTTTATTAAAGGGTATATAATTAATGAAATGCTTGCTTAAACTTTAATTAACCTAGCTTACTGTAAATATATTAACCTAAAACTATAATTTATAGCCCTTATATAAGGAATATTAATAAAATACCTAATTACCTATCTAGCAAGTACTTTAGCAAGCTATATGCAATAAAATCTTTATAATAATAACCTTTTCATTGCTTATTATAAGAATTACGCGGCATAAATATAAGTAATATTTAAAGCATTATTAAATCCTTATTAATAATGCTTAAAAGTCTTCCTTTAAATGCAAAGCATTTATATAAAATGCAATAATTAACTTATAGCATTATAATTAATTACTATGGCTTAAGCTAAGGAAAGATTAAAATAAATTAATAATAAGCTTTGCAATACCTTGTTAGCCCTAAAATTAAGTATAAATAAATATTATATGTAACTTTAAAGATAGCAATTATAAGCATAGCCTTTATAAGAATTATAAGCAGGCTTTAAATAATGATAATTATTAAAAGGGTAATCCTTGGGATAATATTTATCACCGCTACTAACTTTAAGCATGCAATTATAAAACCCAAACTTAATAATATAATTTATTAAAAACCAATATAATTAGCAAGGCTTATTATTATTAATAAAGAGATAAAAATAAAGCTTATACTAAAGATATATACCATACCTGGCATAATCTTAAGCTGCCCTAAGAATACCTTTATTAAACGAAAAATATAACCCATATAAAACTCTTCCCTTATAACATATTCTTAATAAATGCTTAAATTTAGCAAAATTAATATAATTTATAAAAACCTTTAATAATTCTTATAAGTATATTAAGGATTTATATAACCTATTAAATAATAAGATAAAAATATTTTTTAATATTTATTATTATACTAAAATCCAGCTAAGTTAATTCTATGTAATTTTTCCCTAAATACTTAAAAATTAAGCCAAAGCCTATTACCTTTATTTTATAAATTAAATTAATATATTTATAATAACATACCTTAAAATTAAAATGCATTTTAATATAAACCTTAATTATTAGCATTACTATATAAATTAAATAATAATAATATTTATAAAGATAAGAGCATAAAACTTAAATAAAAACTTATATAAGGTTTTATATTTAATGCTTAATAAGCTATAACTTTATTAATAAGTATTAAGCTAAGATTATGCTAAGGAGGATAACTTAAAAATAATAGTAATTAAAGTTTATAAAGAAGTTCCTAAGCTAAAAATAGCTTTTTTTAAGCTAGCTTAATTATATAAAAAGTTATTTTTAAACTTAAAATCCATAGTAAAAACATAACTTAACCGCGTAATTATAATTTATATTATAAATAAAGTTTTAAATTAATATTATATTAATTATAGGTATAATAGCTAAAAGCTAAAAAAAGGATAATAATTGCAGTTTTAAGCGTTTTAAGGAAATTAAAGATTTAGCTAATTAAACTCAAGCCATTTAAGCTTTAAGTAACTAAGATCCTATGGCATTAATTATAAAGCTTAAAGTAACAATGCTTATAAAAAAAGAAAAGAAGAATAATCTTAAAAGAAAAGATATTATATTTATAAAAAGAAAAAATGCTAATTAATTAAATATTTAGCTAATAAGCAATATTTAATAAAAAAAAGCTACTTAATATAATATAAATATAAAGATTATAATAATAACTTTAATACTTTTTTAAGTAAATTTAAAGAATATAAAATAAATAATAAAGATAAATTTTATAAATATAAAGATAAATAGAATTAAGATAATAATTGCAATAGCAATACTTATATTATAAAGGTAAAACCTAATAAGGAGGTTTATTATATAAATATTAATTTCTTAGCTAATAAAGCATTTATGCATTAAATCACGAGAAATAATATCTTTTAAATAAAAATAATTATTGCAGCTAGCTAGTTTATCTTAAAAAATAAATATAACTAAACTTATTTTTAAGAAATCCTGCTAAACATTAAAGTATTATTAATATTTATAGCTAAATATAAGCAATTTCTTGCATTATAATGAAAAGACTTAAAGTACCAAATTAATCCAATCACTATAAGGAAAGCTAAAGTTAAATTTAATAATGGGATAACCATTAATTTACTTAATATAATGAAAGTTTCCACTTTAATTAATTATATTAACTTTTATATTATTTAAGCATAAACCCCATTTCTACTTTATATAGCAAATATAAATAGGCTTTAAATATATTATAATAACATTATAAATAAAATGGTTTCCTTTAATAATATAACTATTATATTAATACTTAGAAAATAGGGCTACCTATGGTTTTTCCTAAACTAAACTATTAATGCTATATATTTCCTCTTAAAGATAAAAATAAGGAGATTTCACCATTACTTTGCATACCCATTAATAAATTAACTATATTAAATGCTTAAAAAAGCCGGCAATTTAAATATTAATAAATAAGCAATAGCAAAGATTAAAAAGATATATTACTATTATTAAATAAATAAACCTATATTTAGGCATTTTAAGTTTACATTATGCAATAATTATAAATTTAACTATAAAATCTTAATTAACATAATATATTTAAGCAAACATTTAATCCTCCATATTATAAACTAAGCCATTGCTTTCCAAGAAGCGAAATTCTTAAAATTTATATTTATAAAGACCACATAGCAAATACTGCAAATGCTTTAAATTAATATATATTAAGGACCATTAAATATTATTAAATATAATGCAGGAATAAACTTTATATCCTTAAAATTCCATTTAAAAACATAGATAATAGGAATTAAATATAAATAAGTTCCCATAAAAGCATATTAATTTATTAAGAAAGTTAAGAAATACTATTAAGCCCTTAAATAAGCATATAAAATCCTATACATTAAACTACATAATAACGCAAATAATAATACTATTTTGCAAATAGCTATAAAAGCTATTAATAATATTACTAAACTAAATGGATTAATTCTTATGCTTTTAATCTTTAGCGCTTACCCATAAGTATTATATAAGTTACTATCATTACCATTAATATAAAAGCAAGCGGAAGCTATTTTAAAGGCTATAAAGATGCTGCAAAAAACCATAACTAAACAGCAAATATAAAATGCATTAAATATTAAAGTTAAACTTATCTTTAATATAAAATACTTGCTGCAATGCAAAGTTTATATATAAAGAGAGAAAGAAGGATGGAAGGGTTTATATAAGGTTATTATTATAAATAGCCATAATATAACCTTAAATATATTAAATAAAGCTGCAATATTTAAGTTAATAATTATTTAACCATATTATTAAAATAATAACAAGGAAATGCAACCCTTATAAGCAAAAAACCTAGCTATAAAACCTTAAATGCAACCTATTATGCAACTATTATTACTAAAAATAAAAGACTGCATTATTATATTATATATCTTAAAAAAAGAAAATAAAAACTATAACCTAATGATTAAACTAAAATAAGATAAAGTTATTATAATACTAAGCTTATTATTTAAAGAGTTTAATAAAATAAAAATTAATAACTTTATTATTAAAGGTATCTTTTAAATTAAGAAATAATTAGCAAAGCAATATAATAAATATTATTTCTTTAAGTTCTGCATAATATAAAAAATAAAAGGTAAAACCATAAAACCCTATAAGAAATCCTAATTTATTATCTAAGGTTATAATAATAATAAAAAGGGATTAATCTTAATACAAAGCTTAACTATTTAAAGAATAAGCTAATAAATAATCCTTATATTCACCCCCTTATTAATTTAAAAAAAAAGCATAGTTCTTATACTTTAAGATATTACTTAAGCCTACCCTTAAGCAAAGTTAAAACTATATAAAATAATCCTTATAAAGCTATTAAAGAAACTAAAAAATAAATACCCTTTAGGCATAATTATTTATATTATCCAACCTCTATATAATATAATAAAATCCAGCATTTATTAATTTAATATATATTAAAGATATTATTAATAAAAGCTTAAAATAAACTGTTTTATATATAATCCTTACTTAATAATTATAAAGCCTACATAACCTTTTAAAATAATAAGTATGCAAATAAATAATATATTAATTCTATTTATATTAAAATTCTAAGATAAGGAAGAAATTAAGATAAAAGCTGCAAAATTATAAGGAAAATTAAAATAAAAGCTAATGCCTGGAAACTTAATAAATTATAATAAAGCTTGCATAACCATAAACACCACTAGCTTAATTACTACTTAATAAAAGGAATAGGCCGATAAACTTGCCCTTATTAATATAATAATTAAAAACACTCCCTAAAGATACCTTAAATAAAAAGCCTATAAAGCATATATAGCTTTAATTTATTAATTAAAAGCTTTATATAATCTTTTAATAACTATATAAATATAAAACCTAAAGGCAGGAAATCATAAAAGCCTAAATATGCAATTATTATAGTAAATAAATAACGCCATGCAAAGAATTAAATATATACCCCTTAATCTTAAAATAGCAAAACTTTTTATATTTATAAATAAATTATTTATAAACAACTAAAACTTAATATCTTAACTTAAATATATTATTATCCTTATAAATAAAACTTATAAAGAAATTAAGGGATTTATAATAATAAGCAATATTCTTTATTAATTATTAATAAAGTATAAATATATTACTTAAAGCATATTAATAAGCAAAATTTATAGTATAGTAAATAAAATAAATATTAAAATCTCCTTAGCTATAATAATTAAAATGGTTATAAAATAACTTTTATTATTAAATATACCCTTAATTATTTATATAAACTTATATAGCCTATATAAATACCTTATAAAGCTAGAAATAATAAAGAAAAAGCGCCTTATAATTAATATTATATTACTATAAAAATTATATAAGATAAAAAAGATTATTAAAGTAAAGTGGATAAATAGGAAAAACAATCCTGCTAATATAATAATAAAACTAACTTTAAATACCGCATTATAAAAGCTTATTAATAATAATAAGCTTTGCATATAGGTAAATGAATTAGTTAAGAAACTTAAAGTAGCCCCTTCTTACTAAGGAAGGAGTAATTTATCGCTAGCACCTTTTCCTTTTAATCTTATCGCTATTAATTGCAAAACCTTATACCTTTTAAACTTAAAACCTTTAATATAAACATTAACCTTCCATACTTTAACCAATACCTTTTTAATACCTTATTATATATAAGGATAACCTTATAATTATTAATATTATTAATAATTATTATTTTAAAGTTAACCTTATTATTATTATTGCTTTTCGCTGTTATTTATTAGTAATAATATTAAAATTAACTTTTATTAAATTTATTTGCAATTTATTAATTTCTCTTATAATTAAAGAATAAATTAATAATTATTGCATAATAATTATAAAGTTTTATATTATAAATATTCATTTTAACTATTAAATTCCTATAAGATCTTTTCCTTTTTATTATAATGGAAAATATTAATAACAACTTATAAAGATTATTTAATACTTTTATTAATATGCCTTATAAAAATAATAATGGTAAGTAAAATCATTTAGTAAATATCATATTTATTACTTACGCTAAAGATATAATTAATATAATTATCGCCATAATTACCGTTAATATAATTAATACTAAAGGTAGCCTTACCGCAACCCTTAACCAAAATTAAGATTTCCTTGCAAACATTGTAATTATAATCTTAATTAATAAAATAAATATTATAATTATATTCTCATTAAGCAATAAGATAAAGATTGGAATTATTACTAAGGCTGCAAAAAGGGTTAAAATCGCCTTAATTAATAAGAATAAAGATAAGCTTATTAATCTTATTAGCTTTTATAATAAGGTTATTGCTAATAACGCTTATTTAATAAATATTAATAAGGATATTAATAATAATAACTTTTATTTACTTACTTATTTAATAAATATTAATAAAGATATTAATAATAATAACTTTTATTTGCTTAATATTAATAGTAATTTAATTATTGCTAATAATAAAGATAATTAAAATTAAGCTAATAAAACCTTAATAAAGATTGTAAAAACTGCCTTTAAATTTACTTTTATACTAAGCATTAAAAAAAGCAAGCTGCTTATTAAGATAAACTCTTAAGAAATTATTAAAATTAATAAGCTAAAGGCCATGGCTATAGCCTAAGCTAAAATACTTTTCTTAAATAACGCTATTATAATAGCTATTATTTAAATCATTAATAACTTTTAATATTAAGATAAGCAAATATTATTTAATAATATAGTTAAAAAGCTATGTATTTATATTAAAAGCATTAAAACTTTTAATACAAGATTATATAGCATCCTTAATAATAAGAATTATTAAAGTAACTATTATTTTAAATACTAAATCATTGCAATCTTTGTAATAAATAACTTAATAAGGGTTTTAATTTTAAGTATCTTTTATATATATTAAATTAAAAAGATTTAGCTATTAAAGAATTAAATTATTATATTAATTTAGCTTTAAAACTTTTTGCATTAAATTATTAATAAATGCATATAAGGCTTATATATAAAGGGACTTATTAAGAAATATATGCTACCGCCTAAGTAATTTAAGCAAAAGATAACTATTAAGAAGATTAAAAAGAATAATAAAAAGTAAAAAAAGGACTTAATAAATAATTAAGCTACTTATAACGCTTAATTTTAAGAAGATAAAAAGTAGCTAAAGGAAAATAATTTAAAGCAATATTAAGTGCATTTTAATAATAAGAATAAAAATAAAAATAATAATATTTGCATTATAAAAGTATATAATAAAAATAAATGCAAGCTAAAGGGTTTAGCATTAGCTTTGCAAGCATTAACTTTCCCTATAAAGAAAAAATTTAAAACTAAGGTTTCTATATAAAAGTTAATAATTTTCATAAAGAAGCAACCTTAAAAGCTAAGTATTAAGGATAATAAGTATAATATTTAAGAAATGATATAATAATGAAGGTTATAAATTTAAGGAATAATGCAATAGCAAGGGTTGCTAAGACTTACTTTAAAACTTATAAGTTATAATTTTAAGCCTCTTTAATAATGCTTTTTTATAATAAAGGTTATATATATATAATATGCAATAAATTATGATTTTAGGCTAACTATAATAAGGATTATATATACTTATTAAAAGAAGAGAAAACTTTAAGTATTGATAAGTATAATCCTCGCTATTAAGAGGCTACTTTAGTTATCCCCTACGAGGCACGTAGCCTCTCAGAACTTAGACAAAACAACACCAATACACGATTGCTTCCCATACGATTATCATACGTACAAGAGACCTACCAACAGCTGAAAAGGGCATATGCAGTGCAACACATTCCGAGGGTCGGACTGTGAATGACCTCAGCTTTTAGCATGGGCCTTGCATCCAGACGATCAGGCACCTCAGCTCTCGTTTCGTAGTACGAACACGTGCTCTCAGCATCACTCTCACCCATGATTGTAGGATTCCCAACGAAGAGGGCCGCGTACTGGAATGAGCCTTGACGACAATCGAACATTCTGCCCGGGCTCTTGCGGGGGAAATAAAGGGGGGCTATGGACATCTGAGTTATACTGTCTTACTTATATCAATGGCTCAGGTGACAGCTTCGAGTCGGTATGATTGATTCGGACCAGTGTAAGTAGGCTGTAAGGCCTTATTTCGAGATGCTGCTCAGATATACGTGGCGTTGTATGTTACATTCATCCTTACAGCTCCATTATCGTAAAGAGCAAAAGATAATAGGTCCAGAAGCTAATTTAACTTGCAAATATCAGGCTATAACTTGCAGAGCTTACTTCATTGAGAATACAATCTAAAACAGATCTATCTGGCCAATCGTTCAACCCAACCTATCAAATTCGACTGAGCACTCAAACATGCATGGGCTGATCATACATCAACTTGAACATGAGGTCTTTGAAAGATCCGTCAGGGTTCATCAGCTGGGCCGCGGGGCTGACAAAGTCGTCGGCCAAATGTCCCATGCACCCGAAGAAGGCATACTCGTAGATGAATTCCTTGCTGTCCATCCAGTTGGCCATCTCAACAGTGAAGGCGACAACCTCATCATAGTTACGAGAGATGCTGGCGATCTCGTGGACTATGATAGGCAGGTTGTAGCGCTGGTGCATCTCCTCGAGGTAGCGCTGTGTGGCGCCGGCGTCGGTGTTGTAGGCGTGCAGGCCGAGGTAGTCCGGGGGGCTGTCCGCGACGAGGGCCATGAACTGCTCCAGCCAGGCGCGCCCGTCCTCGGTCCACGCAGGGCAGGGGCTGCACAGCTTCTTGCCGCGCTGCCGCAGCTGCAGGACCTGGTTGTGCCAGATCTCGGCGGCCTGCTGGGGACTGATGCCGTTGCGCTCCGGCTCGTTGAAGTAGATCACCAGCGGCTGGTCGCTGTTCAGGATCCACTGCCATTTGTCGCCCTGTGTCTCGTCGATCAGGTGGATCATGGGCCGGAAGGGGGCCCGGCCCTTGAGCTCGGGAGGAACCCAGGCGTTCCAGTTGCAGACTGACGACGTGGGATGGTCATTGTCGAAGGGAACCTGGTCCAGCTGCTGGGGGAAGCTGTTGGTGTTGGTGTAATCCCAGAGGAGCATTCGCTTTCTGACGACCATGATGATGAAATGGATTGGTGAGGAGTCTATTAGAGAGTGTTGATGATGGGGTATGAAATTGATAGAGACTTTTGCTGGTACTAGGTGGTGTGCTGTAATGAAAACGATGATGTGACTTGTGACTGGGAGAGCAAGATTATCACGGAGCCTTTGTTGATATATGGAAAGGGAACTCTAAAGTATACACACCCACGACTTACTGCTTCGCCTCTTGATGTTATCTAATATACATCATCTCACATGGCATCACCGCAGGCTAACGTGATCATAAATGACGAGAAAAGGGGGCCGGGGGCGGGGGCCGCAGACCGTTGTGAAGGAAGCATTGAATCACGAGGCCAGCGTGGTACGTCGAATCTGACGTCTTGATCTGCCACAGGACAAGAACGACGTTCGTGCCTAGAAGTACAATGTTGGATGCCAATTCTCAATAAGCAATTGCTGAGAGTCACCGCCGCGCTTACTGGCCCATCAATGATGTATGCAGGAACGTCAGATTTGCTGAGGCACCTCCAGTCTACATCTCAGCCACCCCAAGTAAGGCTGACTACACCCATCATTCGCTCGACCCCGTGGCTCTTCAATTGACCAGTCACGTCAGCTTTGGTTAAATAGTGAAGCGGGTGGTCAGCCGACTTGAGAGACTCTACCCTACTATTATTGAAGCCTAGGGACGCCGCTGTTAGTTTTCTTTTGGGGTCGTGGCTGATATTTGCCTTCAGCTGTGCAAGCGTGCAGGCTGTGGAAAGAAGCGCAGACCATTTTCGCCACTATTGGGTAACCTAGATGACGACGGAATTCCTCAGGGATTTATCCTGGGTCATCTGGACCGACAGGGAGATTTATAAGCTTGTATTTATAGCCATAGGGAATGGAGGGTCCTGACCGAGGTTGATTGAGTCAACCAAAATTCAGAAATATATAAGTCCAGAACGACAAGGGCACAAGAGTCTAATCATCGAACACAGACAACCAAGAGTTGCTTTCGAAATCATTAGAACGATCCAGCCTAGATTTACTCAACACTCTCCATTCCTATAAGCAAAGTCTTACGAATACTCACCAGAACAGCAGAAATGGGTGTCATCAACATTAACAACATATCTGGCCACGACCAGAAATTTTACATCCACGGATGGGGCCAGAACGACACCACCGTAGGTGCTGGTCAGATGTTCACCTTCGATGCGCCTGACGGCACTTCTGGTGCCATCATTGCCGTCCATGAGGGGCGTGAGGGAGAGCAAGTCGAGATTACCAAGGGCGGATGGCAAGGTCTGTATTTCTTGCCGTTGGTGCTTTGTTCCTTTTCCACTCGCTCTGACACCTGGTCATAGGTAACGACACCTTCGACACCAGTGTCCTAGCCGGCTCTGGTGGAAACATCACAGTCCAGCACTGGGGCAACGATAGCACCCGAAAGGGAGCACCAACCTATATGCAAGATGCCCAGGTCGCCTGGGCCAACGCCAGCCAGGAGACTAGAAATGCTATCCAGAGCTTTATCATCCTCAACGGCGAGGGCAAGGTTGTCTACATCGGGCCCACTAAGGAGAACCGAGCCCTGGAGAGCTGGGTTCGCACCTTTGCCAACGGCAAGACCTACATCGGTATCGGTGCTTGGGGTGACTTCCCGGGAGATGAAAACGATAACAACCTGGTAAAGTCATACTTCAAGCCAAGAGACGGTGCCCTCCATGCTTTGATCTTGACTAACACCGACTGAACACAACAGAGCTCTGCCGCTCCCGGAAGCCACGACATCATCATAACCTACAATGATGGCAACGCCAACCCTACCAAGGGGGCCTCAGGTGGGTCCAACGCGCCCGAGGCGGCCGCGGTCTTCGCCTTCACGACGCAGGAGGCCGGCGCGCCGGAGGGACCGGGGATCGTCCTGACTAACAAGTCCGGGGCGCAGGCTAACTACAACTTCTACAACAACACGGCCAACGGCGACGGGTGGGCGAACCCGGAGTTCAACATCACGACCGCGAGCGTGACGCTGGGCCCCGGGCAGACGCAGTTCGTGGCCCTCGACAGCTCCTTCAAGGGCCGCGTGCAGCGCGGCACGCAGCAGCCGGCGACGTGGGTCGAGTTCCAGCTCAGGGCCGACGACGGCTGCGCGTGGGGGAATATATCGCTCATCATGGGCTGCGACGGGGCGGCGATGATCTCGGCGACGGATGGAAAGGGCGTCAGTGCGGGCTTTACGCAGGACATTGTCAGCGGCGCGCCCGACGCCGCCAAGGTGACGCGGGGCGACGGGGTCGTCGTTCTTGATACTACACAGGGTTATTGGGCCGGTGGGCCGAACAAGGCCGCCAGTGATTACGAGTTGGCTGTCGTTGGCCAGCAGAACGCCTATGTGCTTGGTGGCTCGGGGACGACCGTCGTTCGCTCGGAGAACAACCGCCTTGCTGTGGACATTTATTGATGGAGTTTCACTGTTCCTTCTTTTACGATCTTGTTGTTATGTTTCCTCTTTAGTAGTAGATAGTGACTTTGGATTCCGTAGGTAATGGACTGGATGTTTGTTGCCGCAGAAAATGGCTTGTGTATATTGAAGTCATTGAGGCAAGGTGGACTCATTTTGCGAGCATGCGCTTGAGCATGCAATTGCTTGTGCCAAAAAGGTCTTGAGAAGTTTTTAGCCAAGTGCCATGTCACGCATAAATTGAAAAGGCTGCTGGTTACTACCTAGATAACTGCCCTGGAAAGAAGTCCAGTCCTGTTGTGGAGGGCTAGAAAGGCTTGAATTAAGCTGGCAACTAGTTACCCAGGTATCTGATACCAAGACAGAAGCAGCAAATACTGGTCTTTTCTTCCGTTCATTTCATATTGTAAAAGTAGAAAGCAAAGCAAGCCTAGTGCCTCGCTTGCCTGTAGGTCCAATGATAGTTACTGTAGCTTTTGCAACTAATGAGTGGAGACTATGTGGCCCAGTTGAAGCCTTGCATCAATCAATTCAAGAGTATGATATCCTAGCAAGGTAAGAAGCACCTGTACAGAAAGAAACAAGACAACAGGATCCTCAGCAACCTAACCGCATGCTCACATTGGATTATAATGATCCATACCAAGTAGACGAGAAATTAGTGCTAGTTAAGTGATGCTGCCTCTTCCTCGTCACTTGCGTTCAGAAGAGTTTGGTCATCCTCCTCACCATATATGAGATCAATGAGTTGAGGAGTCCTTGAATCTGTGGTCTGTGGAGGTCTCTCAGAGACTATATAATTCTCAGGCTGGTGTTCACTCTCCGATTTGTCCAGAGTGCAAACAAATCTGGCGATGTTGTTGTCATATATTCCATGGCACAACGATGTTCCCTTGTTGATTGTGCCGGGCTTGCAGGCATGAGAATGTACACCAACGACTTTTAGTCTTGGCTTTCCACCTCTTGCATGCCTCCAAATAATCGGGCCACCCGAATTTCCTGTGATAATGTCTTGTTAGCATGACATGGAAGGAGTGAAGGTAGGTAAAATGAATGAAAAACAAAATCAATTGATCTACTTACCGTTCGAGGTATCAGCTTTGTAAGTGATATGGTCGCTGAAGGTGCTGAAGTCAAAATCACCGGTACTCTCGTACATCACGTTCCCTGCTTGGTTGGAATGGCTGGTTCGTCTTTCGGAGTATGTTGGCACATCGCTGGGATAGCCCACAATTGAAAGTTGCAAGGGCCCCTTCAGGACCTCCCCACGTCCAACGCCGAGTCGGAACTTCCCATGGGCCTTGAAAGACGGCTGAAGCCGGATACCTGCTTCATCACAGGGCCATCTCTCTTGTTCAAACCACAAACGGTGAACGAAGACACGCGAGGCTCTCAGGCATTCAACGCCCTCGTGAGGGAACTGACCTGAGTAGCCCAGGTAGATCCAAATGTCGTGAGAAGCTATGCGGCCGTAATCGCGATAATTTGCGTTGTAGACACAATGGCCTGCTGTCACCACTGTGTTCTTGTTGTACACCCAGCCGCTGCCTCCACCACGGAGTGGTCCGACGCTCGGGTCGTCGAGACTGCGGATGCGGATGTCGAGCTTGCACACACCTGTTAATTTAGTATGCGCGTCTCTCAAATCCAACCTGGAGATTTTGCCCCATGGTGAAAAAGTAAGGATCTTACATCGGTGCTTCCCAGCGGGAGCGAAGTCCTCCTTGCGAACTTCTTTCTGTTTTCCGAAACCATCCACCCGTACTTCTGCCAAGTGCTGAACAGCGCTAGTCAGACCCTCGAGATCTTTGTGTTCCAGAGGAATACTTGCCGTTCTCCGATATTTGAATATGTGAGCAAAAGAATCGACTTCTTCCATTTCACGATTAGGCTGCTCTTTAGCAAGATCCATGCGCCAGTGGTATCCGAAATTCCCATCCTGACGGAGGCCCGGCAGCTTGACGACTGCGGTTTTTTGGATGACATTGCGAAGTCCAATGTAATCATGAAGCGCTTCTACTTCGAGCATAGATTCGTCACTCACGTCCTTCCAACTAACACGATCTTTCAGATACCTGAGACGGTCTGACTTCGACGGTCTGACTTCGAGTCTTGGACATCGCGGCTCAACGATCTCAAAGCGTCTCGAGTGCCCGATATGTCCTATTGCGATACTCGATTCAGTCAGCGCTGCAGCGAAGAGTATGATAAAGATAAGAGCATGCTGTAGTAAGCACCTAGTTAGTTGCCACGGAATATAATGGGATGAATTCTTGCCCTTGCGACTGGCATGCAACCTGATCCCATGCTTCTCATTGCATTCACTCCGACATTGAATTTCTCTGAGAGGGACCGCTGACGAGCATCAAGCAAAGTGTCAGTTGACGTTTCCACAATGATGTTCTTGTTGATTTTGTGGAATAATCGCTCGATCTTCCGGACCTTGTCGTTGTATTCCTCGTACTTGTGACCCAGCAGATCTTTGAGATCCTTTGGTGGCATGTTCTTCCGTGATTTTTGGCTATTGAAGTTCTCGATAAGCTCATGCTGAAGATCCAGGTAAGTGACTGCTAGGCTGGACACTCTTTCCATCGACTGGAGTACTAAGTCGTGCTGAGTTGGGTGCCTTTGGTGGCCACGAACAGAGCCCTCGGCGGACTGATGATTAGATGCAGTTGCCCATGGTGCAACAATTAGTTGTGTTAATGCGGCTTGGGCAACAGCGACTGTGAAGTGAGAGCTCGGACCTTGTTGCAGCCCATGCCTATCTTCAGGGGCCTTGGCAGTAGCCTCGGGGCTGATGTTGATCTCGTCGTCCCCCTCCGCTCTGGAACCTTCAGTTTCGTCTAGCATGTTCGAGCCAGCCGTACCTCCATCTTCTGTTTGTGGCACATTACCTTCAGACGCAGTATTCTCTGGGTGGTGTCGTTCTAGGGTGCTGTTCTTTGGAATAGCGTCATCTCTTCTGTTGTTTTGGTGTGGAGTCTCCCGAGTTCCAACAGTTGGGCCGTCCTCTTGGTAGCTGTGTTTGAATTTGGAAAGACAGTTCCCCATGTTCTCGAACAGCACCGATACGGCGATGCGGCAACTGGAGCAGGTTGAGACAGGATACTGAACAGCCCGTTGAGACTTGGTCCTGCAATCATCAGGCTCTCGAGACCCTGGAAGCAAGACAAATACAATTGTTGCAAAACGCCAGAGCCTTCGAAAAGAGCCTCGCCTTCATATGAAAATCATGTACCCAAGAGGGAGGCTCAAAATGAGATATTACTGGAACCATCTTTCTTGATGCCTCGGATGTTTTCGGGAATCAGTCTTGTTTTGAGTCGTGCCCGCTCAGCCGGTCAGCTTCAATACCACACTCTTCGTTTGATATAGAAGGTGGATGGGTACAGTTTCCAGGTTTTCTGCATCGGCTGCTTCCCTGATGCAAAGCGATTACTCACCTGCTCTTTATCCTGCGAGAGATTAAGCCCAGAGCCTTGTTTGACCAGCAGCTATCCTATCGACGGCCAACTCACACCATTTCCGCCAAACTGAATTTTAAGATCCTTCTCCTGACCAAAGTTCCTTAGTCTTCCTCTAGTAACACTTACTTTGATTCTGGTGGCGTAGTTGTAGTAAGGAAGGACGGGCTAGCTCTATGAAGCCTGCTCGTAATCTGCTCGCAATCTGTACTCTATACCTTCAAACCTCTGCAATATTCCTGAAATCAAACAGTTTTCAGCTTGGGATTACTAAAAATTGGTTCTGAAAGATGTATAGTTGAGTTTAGGAGCGGTGATGGCACAGTTTAGTTGGTGCTGACATGGACCATGTGATGTTGCGGCTCTTGCTCGCACTCGGAATCGGCCATTTAGCCCAAGTGTTCAATATGGCTTGCACCGGGCAGCACTAGATTCAACAATGCGTTTTCTACACCGGTCCACGGCTGAGGGGATGATGGGTTGCACAAGCGATGGCTTTTTTCTGGAGGCTGGCAGGCAGCTGTATCACATGTGCAAATTGATCACTGATTTTGGTGGACCCAGGCCCAAATCACCAGTAATGTCGGTCCGACATCGAGCTGAGTTGCACACATTTATTACCTCGTCAAGGACGGTCTTACCGCACTCTCGGGGCAATTCTACTAGGCCTTGGGCCTTGATGGCGACGCTCACAGAAGGAGAAATGGCGGCTGGTATGCCCATACCAGCCGGTGGCGTCTAAGCCTGAAGTTGAAAGGGTTGGGGTAAGACAGAGTACAGGTGGGGGTTGGGACTGGGGGTGGGACTGGGGGTGGGCATGGGGGGGCCCGAAGAGGAAGGTGCAGTGACTGGAGCCGCATTGAGGAGTCACTACGGCTCTGCCAGCTGGCATACGTCATGGGCCGGCTAGGGAAGGCATACGACATCAAGGTACAGATAGACCACAAGAACAAGATTCCAGGCTCTCGGCAGCTTTCCCACTTCAATCAACACTGTCTGAATCCAACATTACTGAGAAACCATCACCATATTCAGCAACGCACACCGCCAAAGTGCCCCTCTACAAAAAACTACCCAAGCTTACCATCACCAGAACATTGCCCAACATGCCTCTCGTCGTGCCAGGAGTCACCAACCAGCCCGACAACAAGACGGAGGAGTGGACCAACAAGCTGGTCGGCAAGAAGATCACCGAGGATGAGACCTCCAATGAAGTTGTAAGCCATTCTGATGCTCACACGGCAGGAGTCCAAAGTCGTGCAAATACTGACCATTACAACAGTCTTTTGCGAAGCGTGAGCTGCCCGAGAAACACAGGGTCATCGTGCCAGGCGGGATAGTGACTAAGGACTTCGTCCCTGACCGGCTCAACGTCCATGTCAAGGACGACGGCACTGTCTCGCACGTCACTCATGGTTGATTCGAGCCTCCTTCCGTATACTGGTAGCTGTCGGGGTCGATGTTGACGATGTTGCTCGAGCGGATGGAAGGATGGAACGCACATCAGTTCGTCTTCCAGACAGGACGGGCGATATCTTCGTGATGACACCGTCGCACCTACATACCTAGCCACCTTTAATGAAAATACGATACCAGTCCTGCGTTTTAGATGAGAAGTCGCTCTCCATCTCCGTGAACATGTAGATCCAACGGCGACGAGGACCATGTGCCTGCTCTACCTACGTACTGTGGCCTGAGCTCTCCAGAGCTACCCCGCTGACGACACGCCTGTGGCGGGAGCTGATTGGCGGCAGCGCCACACCTGGGTGTCCCCTGCCCAGTCACCCCGCGATCGCTTCGCGGGGCATTTCTTGCAGCGAGCATCAATACAGACAGTCCAGACAGCCTACCTCTCGCATACTGCAGCCCATAACATCTGACCAAGGACCGGCTCTGGAATTACCAGTGCCCCAGAAACACCAGTCAAGATGTTTAAGAAAGAGTCAGTGCCCCCGCCATACCAGAAACCACCTAACTAGCTCCCTGATCGACCTTGCTACCACTCCTTGACATGCAACATCGAATGGACTGATGCGCAGTGTGCACCCACACGCCCGCTGAGCACCTTCGAGTCCCATCACTGACCCCGTCTCTCTCGCACAGTCTGCCGGGTGCTCCCAAGCAAAAGCTCAAGTCCTCGGTGCAGCGCTCCCTGCGCCAGTCCCTCCTGACGACCTACCCGCTCCTGAACCCGTACATCGACGAGGTCCTGCCCAAGAAGGCCTCCCTGAACCAGATCAAGCTGCCCGAGCGGGCGTCCCTGTACGTCGCCGACGGCGAGCCCATCTTCTTCCAGCACGACAACGACACCCTCCTGCCGCACCTGAAGCTCGTCCACCGCTTCCCCCAGGCCTTCCCCACCGTGCGCATAGACCGCGGTGCCATCCGCTTCGTCCTCAGCGGCGCGACGCTCATGGCCCCCGGTCTGACCAGCCCCGGCGGGCGGTTACCGCAGCCCAGGGAGGGGGACGAGGGCGTCGACGAGGAGGGGCACTGGAGCAGGGAGCTTGAGAAGGACGAGCCTGTGGTCGTCATGGCTGAGGGGAAGGATCACGCTTGCGCCGTGGGACTGCTGGTGGCTGGGACCAAGGAGGTCAAGGACAAGGGGAAGGGCCCTGTGGTTGAGGAGGCGCACTTCCTTGGGGATGGACTGTGGAAACTGAATATTGATTGAGGCGAATACCGTTGACCCCTCTTCGTGGTGGCTGAGGTTGTATCCTCTAAAGCCTTGGATTGGGAGCGACCGAGATGCTCTTGAGCGACACCAGATACGTTGTTGAGCCGATTTACGGAACTCAGGCTCCCAGTTTACAAGCATTGGAGTTTCAGTGCCTCCTGATCGGGGCCTCAGCTGTTTCTCCTCATGGATGCTGTTGCTGCTATTCTGAACGGCTAGGTTTCAACTCACCAAGAAGCACACAGCTACGGTAGCTCACTGGTGCCATTATGGCCTTGCGAGAAGAGTCAAAGCCATACCTTGGACTTTCAGTATCTCTAGACAGACCTCAAAGAAAGCTGAAACCAGCGTATGAAGAATGATCTCCACAAGCCACAATGCAGTCCCTCCACTCCACTACTGAGTTGACCATAGCTCGGTGACAGATCCTCGTTCCATTGCCCAGTGCGTTCTATGAACAAATTAGCAAGATGTAGGATACTCAGGACGATTAGAAGTCTAAGCAACCTGTACTCAAACCAGAGCCCATTGATTGGTGAATGAGAGGTGGCTCATGTGTTAAGGTCTCGTCGCTGCATGCGAAAGACTAAACATGCCCTACCTAGGTATGCCATGCGTACCCAGCCAGGCCTGGGCATCCTTTCACTTTTGACAAGGACTGTCAATTCTCGGTAAGAATCAACTTCTTCAAGATCTCGCACTGAAATTCTTTCAGCTTTTGTTCTGCTACTGACCATGACAAATTCTGGACACCAGTGAGCACGTGAAGATTTACTCCTCCTTGTCTACAACAAGGTCTTCGCCCCCAGAGTTGTTGCTCCAGCGCCTTGACTTGGCCTTCATGAAGTTTTTTTCCTAAACTCTCCAGTACCGCAAATCTGTTACGTACCAACAGCTCTCACTCACATGGACAAATTGATTGAAAGATAGGCAAGACATTTCGAAGAGGACAAAATCAATGATGGAAGCACACCTTAAGCATCACATGTCACAGTGAGGAAAGCTCGAAAACTGGATGATGAAGACTTGTGCTCGCCTGTATTCTTTGATCGGCAAACGGCGTCGGATAGTGAAACGCCAGAAAGTACTTTTCCCCTTCTCTCAACTGGTGCGATCAACAGCCAGCGCTCCTCTGTGCGCGAAATTGACCTTGAAACGATAGAACTTTTGAACTCCCTTTTCCCCTCTTCCCCGACTCCTTTGAGTCTTTTCTCGCCGCGAAACCAACCAACCAACAAAACGCCGAAATTCCTTCGCAGAACGCCTCCTTCCAAATCAACGGTCGCCGGAGTCTTGAGGGAGACCAGGGTGTGTCGGGCCCTGGCCCGTGGTGCTCGGTGGTGGTGCGAGCCGGTCGGTCGGGCCTCTTAGCTGGGCACGAGCATCTCCTTGCTGAGCTCGACGACCAGTGGCGGCGGGAACTCTTGGACCATCTGCGCCAGGAGGACGCGGGGGCACGCGTTGATGAGGAAGCTCACGTAGCGGTGCGGCTGGAGGGGCAGGTTGATGCTGTCCCCGCTCATGCTGATGGTCCGCTCGTACGCGTCCGAGACGTCGAGGACCCTCTCGCGGTGCTGGGCCAGGAGGCCCGCGCCCGGGTGCGCGATGACCTCCTGCTGGTACCGCACCGACCAGCCGGCCATCTCCGTCATGTAGTCGGCCATCATCTTCCTGACCCAGCCCTCGATGCGCCTCATCATGAAGCGGTCGCAGAGGACCGCGCAGTCGAGGAGGTCCGATAGCGTCCGGAAGGACGGGCCGATGTTGTGGTGGGCCGCCGGGTGGCCCGAGGAGATGACCATGTATAGTCGCTCGAAGCTGACTATGTCGATGTCGTTTAGGTTGAGGTGGCCAACCTCGCCTTCGGCCATGGCCATGCCGGCCCGGCACAGGCCGCGGAAGTACTCGGAGTGGTCGACCAGGAGTTTCTTCGAGTAGTCGACTTTTCGGTAGCCGACCGCTACCCCCGCCTTCACGACCGCCAGCCGGATCTTCAACTTGGGCCTGCAGGGACACGGTCAGAATAGGTTTTGGTAGAGTATAGGGAGCACCTCAAACTTTGAGGAGGACAGTGGACTTACCCCTGCTTGCAGAAGAGCAGGTACTCCGGCCAGCAGCCGAAGTCCTCCGGAGGCGTGCCCTCCGTGACGGGCTAGAGAGGAGAACGCGTCAGCTCGAGAAGACTCGAAAGGGGTCGCATTGCAGAGAGCAACGCTGGTTCGGTGTAGAAACGGAGAAAAAGAGAAGTGGATGCTTCGAGTTGAGGGGCCAGGAGTTGCCCTGGGGATGTGAGGGCTTGAGTAGCTCTGGAGAGATCTGAAGAGAGATGGATGATTGAGGTTGAGGAAGCAGAAAAGGATGGGGGAGGGGAGGGTTTAAATATGTTTCTGGGAAGATTTCCCGGCAGCATCGTTAGGTGCGCCGACCAATAGAACAATGCGTAGTGCCAAAAGAAACATCCGACGGTGCGACCAGTGGCAGAAAGTGGTGTAGTAGACAGAGACGATTGTTCCGATGAACATTGGACGATTTGCCAAAATTGACCAACAGGAGAACGTGCAATATAGACAAACATGATTGTGTCAGAGGGTACATCGGACGGGCGGAAGAACATGGCCAATTGGGAATACAGAAGCTGGGGACATAGGACGAAATTTCATCGCAACACACGACTGGAGCCACCTAAAGAACTCTGAGTGGACAGGAATGCACTTCACCAGCGCAGGATACATGAGACGAAGAACGCAATACATTATAATGTGATACATGACCAAGAGAATAGAAGGTAGAAGAATGGATGGTGTGTTTGTGGGCAGTAGTATAAAGACAGCAAGGCAAAGACTCTCTCTGGGCTGGATGACTTACCTCACCATACTTGTCCAGGAACGGCATCTGACCCTCCTCATCTGGACCCTCCTCGTCGCTGGGGTTGTCCTCTTTCATGATAGTAATGTCGCCCTCCTCGTCGGAGGCCTCGCTGGACAGGACGGCAGGAGGAGAGGAACGGTCGAGGTTCATGTTGGCAGCCTGAGAGGACAGGGAGGAGATGGAGTCGTCATCACTTCCGGCGCCGACAGCGGCGTTCTGCTCGTTGGTGGGAACGTTGGAAGACATGTCGGATATGTAGAGGTAGTGACTGGGTGATGTTGTAGAAGACGGGAATATCTTGCGGCAGACGGTTGGTTGCCGGAAAATTCTTGGATACGAAGGAGTTTTCAGGGACTAAGGAGATCTCGGAAACTAGTCGATGCTGTCTTGACGGAAGACTTGGAAGATAGGCCTTGAACTGCTGAAGGGCTTTTCGCAATGTTGGATAAGTGGGCGCTTTCGGGTCCTGAAGGTCTTGAAGGTCTTGAAGGCCTCAGTCAAAAGGCCAAGATGGGTGGGTATTCTGGTAGCGGGGTATGAAGAAGGCTGAGAGGGGGGATGGCAAGAGAGCACGGCTGCTGCAGACAACAGTAACTGTAGAGGACGATGGCTGGGTAGGGCTCTGGCTGGTAGGGCTCTGACTGCTTGGGGTCTGGCTGGTAGACTCCGGATGCAGAGGGCTATGGTTAAGTAAGGCGACGAATGATCCTGATGATGGTTGGTCTCAAGCTGGCTGGTCCCGAAGGATGTTGGTTCTGAAGATGGGTGATGCTGAAGATGGTTCAAGTAGGTCTTGTAGACTCAAGTCTCAGAAGATGGGTTCGTCGATGCCGTGCGCGTGTGGAAAGGAAAGAGAGATCGTCAGTTCCTGGAGGGAAGGGGAGAGGGTTTAAATATGTTCTGGCCACAGAGGTTCAAACCAGCACGCTGCCCCTGGATGCCCCATTGACTGCAAGATCACAATGGACCAAGTGGGCCACGATGGTCCGGACCGCGATGATGTCGTGAGTTGTCGCCGATTCCACCCAATCGACTATGTTGCCCATGTATCGCGACTCCGTGGAGGTATTGTTCTGTTGGCGGGTCTATGGCCACAAAGGCTGCGAATGGACAAGACCGTACCGAAGCACTGCCTTCCAGGGTCTTCGGACTGGTGGGCAGCCATTGCTTCCCAAGCTGTGTAGATGTGCTTACCTTGAATGTGGAGGCCGCGGAAGTGGCTGGCATGCTCCTGGGGTCTTCGAAGTCTTCGAAGCACTGGATATTGCAATTCTCGCGGCCAACGGGTAGTTATTGTTCTTCAGAATACAAATTCGCCACCTCCTAATGTGGAAGAATAGAGACCGCGGGTGTGCTGTTGAGAGAGCTCAGTGTGCAGGTGCCATCGTGAGGTAGTCCCCGTAAGTTCCCATTGCCGCCTGTGTTGCCACTGCTATTATCAAAGAACCAAGGAGAAGGATGCAGATCTGAGATGGTCAGAGGGTAGAAGATGGCAGCGTGCCACAGGGAAGTATTGGGCCTTCCAAAGGGGCAGTTGTCTCCATGCCATAGGACTTAGTCGCCAAAGTGGCTGTAGAGTCAGCACATCTGTTATGCTTGCAGCAGTACCATTCGAGTAAGGGGAGAGGTGGTTGAGGATGGCCACACAGCAGATAGCTTCTCAGTCAAACCCGAAGCCCTGAAAACCACCATGAAAGAAATAGAACGCGGGTAACTCAATCAATGCTGTAACTCTGTTCTTTGAGCTGTGAATTGACTTACCTCCTGAGAATCTGCTTAGACTCTGGTGCTGGCTGCCAGGACTGTCCATCTTTGTCTTCCCCACCTTTTGTTGAACCTCTTCGAGGCTAACGTGATGTATGATAGTTCTTGTGGTTCATCACAGGCAGAATCCAGAGATATCTACAACAATGAGGCAGTCATTCTGGAGTGTAGCATCCTGTGAATGAGTGAATCCCAGCGAGGGCTGTGATCTTGACGATGGGTAGTGTCTAAGCAGCCGGAGTATTAGTATCGAGACCAGTGTTTGATCGACCCATGACCAAAATCCCATGCCATCTAGTCCTCGCCAATGTATCTGTGGATGAATCTGCTGGTTTGTTATTTCCAAACTTCCAGAGGATGCCGAAGGACTCCTCCGAATTGTGTCAGCCGTGTCGGGACAGCACTGCCTTGACAGCCTCGTCTGGCAAGCTTCTCCCGCATGCCAATGACTTGAGTATGTGGCCAAGGCACAACACACAATCACCATAATCAGCGAACCGAGATGTGATGATATGAACGAGTAGGCACCATCTCTTGCCTGTCTTGTCTTCAGTCTTGTGTAAGTCATCTAGTGACCATCTTCCCAGCCTTCCGAGCATCTCCAGGTGATGCCTCAAGGATCGCCAGCATTGTACTGCTTGTAATCTTGTACCCGGGCCTTAGCGTTCCTTCCAACATGTCCGTTCTGTTTCGTCACTGTCGGAGTGTTTTCGAGCTGCTAGAAGGGAGGGAGATTCGAGGAAGCGGTAGTAGGGTAGGTATGCGCAGGGTCAGGTTGGTCTTCTGGCTCTTGTACAGGCACGTTGCTTGATCTGGTTGCATGTTCGAGGGAAGTCGTGCTCGCTCGGAGGAGATGGTTTGATAGATGGGTGTCGGTATCGACCACAGTGGTCGCTTGCCCAAGGAGAAGGAGGGACCACGAGTGTGTTGATAGAAAGAAGGCGGCAGGAATCGATCGCGCGCGACGCCTGCCGCTACATGTTAGCTGGAAGGGGCCTTGGTCACTGCTCTGCTGGACCACCTACAGCACTCTGAATGACAGGAAATGCCTTGCCTTTGCTGTGGAAGTTAGGCAGGCTGCTGTGTAGGTAATGGAAGCTGACTACAACTTGGCAGACGGTACTTCCCTCAAATCTACATCAGAACGGCCGACAGTCAACGGAGAGACAACCGAACAGACCTCCAGCTCGTGGACACGACTGCTATTATCAATACCGGGGCCGCAAGACAGCCGATACCCAATAGGACGTCCTAGGACGTCTGCGAGAGGGCGGCAAAGGCTGGTTGTGACTGTATCTTCGCCCGTGATCACCGCGTTGCGGCCCGGTAACATTCACATCACAGACGAGACCATGATCTGAGACTGCGTCCGACGTCGGTTCGAGGCAAGAGCCCCCAGCGAGAGTATCCCGAGGAATACCGGAGGGAGTAGAACTGTTTCCTTCTTCTTTGAGGCTACAGATTCGCCTCTGTGTCTTACATTCATGCTTCTGTGCTTTGCCAAGCGCCTGCCTTGTCGAACGAGGTTCGAACATCCTAGAACACGTTGGGGGTCTCTATGATACCACAGGAACACGTCAGGGGAATGCGATACAATGCTGCCGGAGTCAAGAACTACTGACGATGATTATGTAGAGACGGCCTACCCGCATAAAGCAAGAAACCCAAGAAACGCCGCAAAAATGTATCAAATTGATTATTCAAGTCTCCCTCGAGCGATTTCATACCCACAGTGTCGAGCCGTCCGCAATACAATCTGGTGCTGAGAAGCGTGTGGGTAGAGCCAGTGACCTCTGTCAAAAATATATGCAGGAGTACCAGCCTTGGATACGTGGCCGACCTCTCAAGGAAAACACATCGCTATCAGCTCAGTGTCGGTATGGAGAATGACTCCTGCTGCTAGGACAGTGTCTAGGAATGGGTGTTGAGGATGCAAAAGGTCGAGGACATCGCATTGACGGGTGCCCTGAAACTGAATTAGCTATCTAAGTTGGAGACAGGCAGTCTGGAACTATGAAAAGTAGCATAAATTCATCAGGGGTAGACTGGTGCAGGAAGACGTGTGTCGGTGTTCTACTGGTCAATTGCTGCTCGCAAGAAAGAACGTTTAATAGGCTTACGGATCGATACATCCATCAGAAGGTTGGAGGTTAGACGTCTCGTGTACTAGACACAGCGAGGGAAACACTCCTGTTCGACCGGAAGACTACGACAAGAGCCTAGATCTTGCGCGCAGCTCGAATCTGTTGGCGGAACGTCTGAACGGAAAGTTAGGGCATCTAGCAGCAGTGGTACATGGTCAGAATACCTGGCTGACTAGATCGTGACTCTTCTTGACGTTGGGGAACTGTGACAAAGTATTTGAGGTCCCCGACTTCCAACTCAAGGCACCAGGTTGCTTGACGAGATCATGAGGGACATCCGCCGACCTATGATTGATCTGACACGAGACAGTTGTGAGGCGGAAGCACACTGCTCAGGGGCTTCCCCGGGAGTCCGCATAGACCATTCGCCCCAGTTGCTGTCCCGGGAATGTAGATCGCATCGTTTTGTACCCTTCCTAGCCACGTCCCGGGCGTCCCGTCGGCATTGGAAGCCCTGTTTCACTCCTTCTGGACCGCTCGGGCATCTGTGTTGTATCATTGTTTATTCGTGCAGCTCTGATCTCTGAGTAATATCGTCAATGATATAGTCAGAGAAGACAGACGTCGCGTGGACCACGCGTTTGTAGATTCGAGGTGATGTCTTTGGAAAGGGTGTTCACAGGAGGTATCGGCTGAGTATCGAGCCACTACACCTGGTCAACCAGTCGTACTTGGTTTGGGAAGCGGGAGGGAGATCTTCCTAACATTCCTCAATGTTAGTAGTACGTATCTCCAGAGTGGTATACATGCGGCGTTGGAATCAACGACGGTGCCTTCTCCAGGGCTGTTTGGAAGTATCTGAGCCATATCTACGGCTGGGGAAAGGTCGGTCGTTCCATTCGAGATTTCGAGTGACGTAAAACGATCGAAGGCTAACGGTACGCATAATTTTGTACCGCTACTGGTACTGGTTCGGAAGATGTAGGTGTAGGCACGATCGACCCAAGCGCAGCCAACGTTGACCTTCTGTATTCTGGAAGACTACTTGAGAGTGCTCAAGATGGTTTGAAAGAGCTGCGGTTGAGAAGGAACGCATCAATATTAGGAATGACCAAGGTAGGATGGTCAGGAGGAGGCTCGGGAGGTCATAACGGATAGAAGTCGACACGTGAGGCACCGTGGTTGCTCAGGGAGCCAGCGTGGATGATCTATCCGTTGATTAGGACAACCTGATAGCAAAAGAATGGTTAGCATCTGAAGGCCAGGGAACAAGGTGGAGTAAATCGTCACGGAGGGGGCAACAAAGCGAGGATGTTGGTAAGTACACGAGGTAGTTGACCAGGTACAGGTCGCTTTGTCGTTGCTCAGGACAGAGAGCAGCAACAGCAGCTAGAGGGGCCAGTGGTTCGCAGCAGTACACGAACAAAGGCTGTCATCTTTGGAAATGGCACTGCGAACTCCGGGCCCAGGGGAGAGCTTCAGGGACAAGGATCAAAGGTGGAGAGGCCCAGCAGTGCTCCGAGGGTCATTCAGATATGAACATCTGTATGGAAGACAACATTCGGAATAGCCTGCCACGAAATGAGATGTAGAGATCGACAAAGCCTCCAAAGGCATATCACACAGTCTACCAGCATGTGAGTATGCTCTCTCTGTGAAGCTGGGGTTGAGCATAGGAGGTCCGTCATGCTTTGGACTTCGCTTGCCGCAACCAGCAATTCTCTGAGTAGCCCCAATCCCCCAGAATGCCACTGGGAGGCGAAAATATCTAACAGCCCAACTGAATTCGAGAAATTCGCCAAATCAATGTGGACACGCATGGGGTTTTCTCACACCAACAATTTGTCAAGACCGGCTAGCTAGCCTTTCAGATGACAGCCACACAGACACTGACGCTCACTGGGAAATCTGTTGCTGTTCCAATTGATACGCTGGCCCCGAAAGTAAGTGAAAACGCATTTTGTGTCCCTCACAGCTGGCATGTATCCCATGTGCCCAAAGATTTCTGCCAAGAGACGATGGCCCAGTGCTCCTGAGCATGACCACTGCCAAAGCACTTGCCATTGACAAGACTTGAGTGCTGTCTTGTCAAATTTTCCAATCCATTTTCTTTTGGCCCCAGGTTTGATTCTCTCCCAATTGGCTGATGAGGCTGGGATGTACCCCAGCAGCTTCCAACATCAACCTGCCCTGCCGTTTTACCGTACGCATTTGCTCACTCTAGGCCTAGTTGATCTCGACCGTGATCTCCGTCGACGCCGAGATCGAGCCATACCTCTCCTTAGACTCCTGCCATTTGTCGCCATGCTTCTCGTACACCCCGTCGATCAGGTCCCTGAACTTCTCCTCCGTATGCTTCCGCACCACGCTCCCCTTCGCGGTCCTGATAAACCCATCGGCCGGCACCAGCACGACGTGCGTCTTTGCAACACGCATGTGTGTCTGCACCTTCGCGTTCGCAGGCTCGATCGTCTGCTGCCATATCTCTCTCGCCAGTTCTGGGGATGGCGCGACCCCATCCACGAGCTCGACGAGTGCCAGGGGCTGCTGGTGCTTGTTCCCGATGAGTATGGCGGCGCTCACTTTGTCGGTTGAGGTGATGGAGTGCTCGATGGGAGCAGGGTGTCCTGTTACTCCCGTAGAGAATGAGATGAGGTCATCCTTTCGACATATGAACTTCCAGGCGAAGGCCGCCTTTGCTGGGTCGGGATGAGGTGTCCACAGGTCTCCCGTGAGCCACTCCGGGTAAGGGGGCTTTGTGGTCGCAGGGTGGATGTCTTGGCGCGCGTGCCAACTTGCAATCGGCGCGGACCTATCGTTGATCTTCATAACGAACTCATACAGGTCTTTTGATTCGCCTTCTTCTGACACATATCCGGCATCATCCATACGGCGGAACTCGTACCCGTCAGTGAACACGTCGAAGTAATTGTAAGCGTAGTCTTCTCTGTCAGCCTCCAGTTGAGCCGCAGCAAGTGCTTCTGTAGCGCCCCAGAAGTTCTGAATCCGCGTGTGCTTGGCCCAAACACTCGCTGCTTGTGGTGACAGAACCGCTGACAGAAGATCTGTTAGACAGGCTTCACTCAGATCGTCAGGACTGCAGATGTGACTCACCACCACCGAAGCAGACATGCTGGAAGGGCTTGATGAGCTTTGCAGCATCTGGACGACGAGCGATGTCTTCCATAATCCATGGTGTGAAGAATGCCTTGGACGCATTTGCGTGCGGGAGAAGTAGATGTGCCTCGCTTGCAACAGCGGTGCGGTGACGGAATCCAGGGAGGAAGACGGACTTTCCGAAGACTGAGAGGCACTATGGAGAAGTTGTGAGTGACTGTCAACGGCCGACCAACAGTACAGTTAACTGACCATAGCGAAACCTGAAGAGATAGCATGGAACGGCGAAGTCGTGACTATATAACGAACGTCCTCTCCAGGGTGGGACAACATCAAACAGTGCTTCCGTCCCTCGCGTTCCTCCAATAGGATATGGCGGTCTTGAGTTGCCATCATTGCGTGGTTCCAAACGATTGGTTTCTACAGACTCCTTTTAGTGAAATGCCATCTAAAGGTTGGTTTCACAAAGCCCATGCCAGCTTGGCCGAGGCTAGAGATGGGTCTGCTGCTGAATACACTCACTGGATGTCCTGTCGTCCCACTCGTATGAAGGATAAGGTAAGGGTCGTGTTCGGCTTCTTCAAATGTCTTCTCATACGGATAATGAGGCACAGAGCCTAATTCCAGTAACACCTCAAGTTCAGGGATCACCGTATGGCTCATAGGCCGGGAGGCTAAGATGTCCTTCACGTGAACGCCTTGAGCTGTGAAGAGGGCCTTGCAGTTGGTCTGTTCCATTAGGGATACGTGCACTGCTGGGGCATTGAGCATTGTTGAGAACAAGACCTTGTGCCCAGTCTTACAAACAGCCATCTGCATCATATGATACCTAACATCAGTCACCCCCAGATACGCAATGGTCTCAAAGGAGGTGGACTTTCCAATCGCCTTCTCGATGAGCCATGCCAGTTGGTTGATGCCATTAGCAAACCGTGCGAACGAGATGTTCTCGAAGCCTTTGGAAAGGTCATAGTCATCCCTGGGCAAGGAGCACCCAAGGCCTCTCCGGCTCGTCTCTTGCACGCTGGTCGATAACCGCAGGGAGAAGACGTCGACCGCAGTCAGGGGGCGGCACTGGAGCCCGGGGTGTCATGATTCGTGCTTATGCAGAAATACAAATTCGATGCGTGGAAGATGGCAAATAATAATAATCGGTGATCCTTGTCGTCAAAACCCCACGAGTTCGAAGTACTCTAAATTCTTAAAAACAGGAGCGGGTAGGTGAAGAAGAGGAAAAGCCATCGCTTCCGGCCATCCTCTCAAGACCAGTCTCGCGCGCCAGACTTCTGCACGGTCGCGAGCCCATTAGGTAAACAAAATTGTGGGTGATGCGGAAAGACACATTTGTTCCGCGCCCTGGATGACGTCTGGAAGCGCTCGCCCCTTTTCGTAGCCAAACCATGGTACACAGTACAGTATTGCCGTGGGCTTGCATAACCGAGCACAGTGAGCAGCAACGTGGATCCACAAGAAAGACGATCTTGAGATATGGCAGCATGAGACTGGTGAGCTGGCTGGATCTGCCAACTAGGGCCCAGCCAAATGGTAACAACGTGGTGCCGCATGCAAGATGTGTCTTGGCCACAATTGCCGTGAAGGCTCGAGAACATGAGCCCATGATTATATAACAACCTCGTCCGTTCCGGGGGAATGGAAGCTGCGGGTGTCAGCCAAGCAGCCACGCATCAAGGAGCCCCAGCATGTGAATGTCGGACATGTTCCGTGCCTTTGCAGCATAGGTGGACCAGGTCGAGTGGCCTAGTGCTATCACTTGCCTGAACGGCGAGATGGAACTTCCAAGACAGACAGGAAAGTCACCTGGAGGATCCAGAACGGATCCAAATTCGGCAAAAGCTCGTGCTGCAAAGGCGAGAAGCGAACCAACACCAGTTGGGACCTGATCAACGGATGCTGTCAAGCACAACCACCCAAATGACGAGTCGTTGGTCCGTCGGCCTGTGCGAAGCGGCGTTCAAGTCCTAATAGCGCCATGCACTGCTTTAATACTTCATGGCAGTTGCCCCTGTCGCTCGGATGACCAGCTGGGACGTTGTGGTGGGTACGACAGCGCGGAAACAGCCTGGATATAGCCGGCTGGCTCGTGCCAGGACGGCTCCAGAATGTTGCGCATGGCGAGAGCCGTCCGCATCCGCGAACCCGGCTCTGCCGGATGACCTATCCGTCGTCCATGCACCAAAATGTGTCTGGTAAGCAATTCAAGACACAGTCAGGAACTGGGGGCTTTCGGAAAATCTGTGATGATCCAGCGATGGACATTGACGCCTAGTCCAGGTTGGCAGGTTGATTCGACTTGAGGTTCGACGTGCCGGGGTTTTTCCTCGGTGTTTGCGTAGTGGTGTCCAGCTAGGAGATCAACCCAGTATTTGCACGCATTCTGAGAATCCCTGAATGCTTCGAAGGTCGGAGGATGCGTGACGTTGATGCTGAATGGTCTTCCTCTCGAGAGTTGCACATGCGGTCAGCCGGGAGACGTTGGACGTCGGGTGCACGGACCCTGATGACCACACACCTTTGAACAGTCCTTAGAATCCACTCCTGGGGTGAAATTTCTGCCTCTGCACACACTGAAAGCCACCTGGATTTCGACTTGCCACGCGCTCCATCAGCACCAAGCAGAGAGGCTTGCCGAACGCCGTGACGATGTACGACGTACGTAGCGTACTGATCTACAGTATGCTGGAGTCGAATTCTTGAGACCGCCACTGCATGCGGCAAGAACTTGATAATGCGCCGGTCAGAGCGACAGCCTGCGTTTGCGTCTCACTGGCCTCCGTCGGCCTCGGAAGATCCCTGACGGCCGGGAGAATGAATCGGCTACCTTCCAAAGGCGCTTTCACAATGGGATTTGTCCTTGGTCGGTGGCTGTTGACAGTCTCTGCTGGCAATGACAAAGACGAGCAGGTCCCGGGTAAGGTTCCCAACGAGTGCCCGGCTCATTTTGACTGATCATCCACCCCAAAGCCACGGCGATATACCTCCCGAACGCGTAAGTTTGCAAGCACTGTTCTTCTCTGCTACAAGGATGACAACAACACTTATCATCATTGAGAACCGCCATTGCCTATTGCGCATGGTGATTCCGTGATCAGATAACACTGAAAATTCTGACATTGCACCCTCCAACGTTCTTCATATCATTGCATGGTGTCAAACCGGAGCTAATTGTTCCCTAGGTTCCGCGGACTTGTCTCTGGTGACAGCCTCACTACCGCTAGGTCGGATCGAATCGACCTCGGATTTCGCTTTGGTCGTCGTTCTTCTGACGCGGCACTTGCAAAACGCGCCAAGTGGTCGCGCCCTGTGTCGATGTGTCTGAGTCTGCGCCAACACTGAGTGGTGTCCTGTCAGCCCTGCTGCATCTCGATGCCTCAGGTTGTCGCTTTGGAGTCGAAGCAGAGGTGTTTCTTCATGCACAAAACCGAATTCATCTCACACATCGGAAAGCCCACGCCTTTGGCACGTCTTGAATCTGGATAATGACTTTGTACGCCTTGGCTCGTGGCTCCCCAACGAGTCATTCCAGGAGATGGACCGCCTGCTTGGGTAAGACGGGCCAAGCGACATTGGAAAGACCAAGCCTCGACTCATGGACCACGTCCGGATCAAACAGACCTAGAACTGGCTTCTGAACCTGACACACTTGCTATGAATAGTCCATGGCTTGTTGTGCACCGGATGAAGATTGACTCGCCCCGTCGCAAGTGGCTCTGGAGCAAATTCGCCAAGTTGTCATCCTCTTAGCCTAGAGTTTCACTTGATCGACAGACGATTGTTACATTCTCAACAGTCATCATTTCTGGTAAAGTGAAACAGACATTCTGTTGTTTTAGTATCCGTCTTGAAATAGGCGAATGCCTCTGATCTGGTACGACTAGGAACAGCAGCACTTGAGTTGAAACTTGATCCTTCCTTTAGATAGATGTCAGAAGAATCCTAGTATTTGTATATACCGCCTGATAGACCTCATTGCAGTCGTGTTCCCCTCCGTGCATCCAGCATTCAATTCAAACTTGACCAGGACAGTATCTACTCGCCTGCCCCTAGACCAGTTGATTTCACAACGACATACCACCACACACCACCACACCTCCAATCTAGAAACTCACTCAGACTCCGCCAGAATGCGCGCCACATTCCTCACAATTTTCTCCTGGACTATCTTCGCCGCACTTGCCGCAGCTGTCCCTCCCCTAGCCGGCGTAGAGGCCCGGTCCTGCGTCGAAGATGGCCAGTGCAGCCTCGGAGGGCCAGCTGACCGGGGACAAAGCTGCTCAGACTTGAACTGCTGCAGCGGCCAGAAGAGCGGTGCTGGAAACGGGGTTGGTACTTCCCAATCCATACCCCTCATGTCCATGCGGGATGCGACCATGGGCGTTTTGAATCGTACTGACCGGTAGCTTGTGATCTAGAACTGCTGTTGTGTTGCGAGCACGGCCTAGTCGATGAGGTGGACGAGCATCACACCACCAGTCACCTGGGAGCTGTCACTTGCCTTGGGAGTTGACGGTGCCTGGGGAAGGTCGATATTAGAAGATAGGAAGAAGTGAGCGCACAAGGGAGTCCTGGCCTCCCACCTTGGGTTTTGAACCAGCTATACCTAGACACAGCGTTCGTTGGAAGTGAATTGACAAGCAAATACCACACTTGTCACCAAAGGACATGGCTTTTCGCAAATGATGGTCTGCTTACGACCTGACACAACACGGTTGGGCTTTGCACTGGTATCAATGTGCTCTTCTGAGTTTACGGATTATGTGCCACATACTACAACATCAAAAAGGTATCAAGCTCCAGTGAAACTCCCATGTCTGTCGCCAACTTTTCACCATCCCAAATAATGATGTCCGCCGGTTCCTAACCATCCGTCCCACTGCTCCTGAACGTGGCACAGAGAGCCGCATAGTGATGGGTCAAGTCCAAGACGTTCTGCGGCAGGCTGGTTGCTTGGATGATGCTCCTCACCTTCACCGCACCCTCGTCCTCTATGAGTGTTCTAATCGTGTGGAGCAGCTCCGGGCTGAACTCGCTATACCAACGGTACTGCCAGGTGACCAGGCGAATCGTCGCTGCAACTGTTTCCCTTGTGTTCTTCTGTTTCTCAAATACCCTCAAAATCCCGGTCAGGGCCTTGGGACTGAAACGCTGGCCAAGGCATGCACGGTAAGCCTCGACAGCTTCCTCGGTGTGCTGGAGACGGTGTGCGAGAGAGCCGAGGATCTCCCATTCCTCGGCGGATTTCTTGTATTGCATAGATTGAGCGCGGTACTGCGCCATCTGCGTGCGCCAGATGGTGTATACGCGCAGATCCTCGTACAGAACCATGAACAGGCTGTCCAACCAACGCTCGCAGAGACGCTTGTTGTTCAATCGGGATAGGTTCTCTTCTGGCTGAGTTGTGGTTCCCTGTGAATCGAATTAGCTCTATGAGCAGCAACGGACCGGTTCAGGCTGGTGTACGCACGTTCTCCTCAACCTTGGGTTCTCCAGGATCGGCGGCGACAATTGGCTTCTCTACATTCCCACCTTCTCCGTTCGATACGGATGACTGCCCGGTCTCGTCGGTATTGGTTGGCTTTGAATCTGCCTCAGAAGTATCCTCGTCGGACTGGTCACCGTTTGTGGTGGGCTCGGGCGTGCCGCGAAGGACGTCGGTGCTCGGCCCACGCTTCGCTGGGACGGGTGGCCCGACCTCCTGCTTCTCAGTTCGGTATTCGTCTTCCATAACAAACACATTGCTCCGGATCTTGAGTAGCTGGTCCCACCCGATCTTCGCGGTCATTTCTGTCAGGATTCCGTAGGCTTTCTTGAATGTTCCGCGATACGAGGCAGCGCGCAGGCTTAGCAAGCTGGGTTCAACCTGCTCTTGGTACCTCGACTCTGGCTCACTATCAATTTCATCGAGCCTTGTCTCAGGCAGTGTTGGAAGGTAGACGTCCTTGGGTTCCGGCATGAGAGGTGCGTCCTTGTCCTGGTATGTGAACATTGGGCAGGAGTTCAGAATTGTGAGCGCGTTTTCCCAGTCCTCCATGGCGACATATACTTCGGCAAGTCTTGCCCATGTTCCAAACTCGCTCGGGGCTGCGATTGTGCTCCTGTCTGCACACCCCAGCGCCATTCGTAGGCGTTCCTCCTTTTGTTCCTGAGTGGACGCAGTCTGCGCCTTCTTCAACAGGAAGCCTGCCTGCGTGTCGAGCATGACGTAGTCCATCGGCCTCTCTTTGAGAGCCGCGTGTAAAGCTCGTACGCCCTCAACTTCTTCGTTGCCCATGAACAAGACCTTGGCCAACAGCGAAGCCACCTCCACATTTTGTGTTCGGAGCTTCTCGAAGAGGTTGATCCCGGACGAGTAACGGCCGGTGGTTTCGAAGTATTTCAGGAGGCCGGTGGTGAGGTGGTTCGAGACAATATTCGGTACCTGAACGATAGAGTCCGAGCCAAGCTGCCAGCCTAGTAGGTGTCAGAATCCCGTCCTGTCGCAATGTCGCATCTTGCAACTTACCTCTGAAGAACAACTGCTCTGCAGCAGTCAGGAAACGCTGCTCAGTCTCTGTGTTCGTCACTGGGTTGAAACGCCGCACGCCCATGACCTTCCTGATTGTGTCACCACTGCCGTCGTCGGCGTAAGAGTAGGCGCGCAGAACGCTGCACAAGTAGGTTTCCAGCCACAGATCGTCTGTTGCCTTTCTCTTTTCGCCCCTTTCATCGACGCAGTAGCTCTCGACGGTTCCAGGGATGGTGACATGGACGCGCATATCTAGTCTGGAGAAGGCATTGTAGCAGCTGACGGCGCATGGCGATTAGCTCGAAGGACATGCACGCATCAGAAGATCGACAGAAACCATACCAGTATACACCCTCAACGATCTTGGCAGATTGTGCCTGTCCATGCTCTTTGTAGGTGAGTGTATTTATGTACGCAGCCAGGCTGGCAGAGGAGGAGGCATCCACGCCGGTCACATGGTGGTACACACCAATCTGATACACGGTCAATCGACAGTTCTCGGCAGTTCAGCATCGGGGGGAGTCAGGCTTGTAGCGTACATGTTTGCCGGAGTTACGGGCCTGCTGCTTCAGGAGGTGGACAAGATCAGGAGGACCAAGTTCGCGGAGGGAGATGAGCGACTCGGTGCGGGCATCGATGGACTCCTGTAGGACTTCCTCCGTGATCCTGGGGATGAATTCATCAGCGGGGAGGTCAATTGAACAGTAGAGGGATCGGGCACACACTCTGGAACAGCTGGCGCAACCATGGCGACGACTTCCTCCCCTTGCGACACGAGAGCAAATGGATCTGCTTGTGAGAGCTTGGGTTCAGTTCGCAGCGGTTCGAGGCAACAAATCGCCGAGAAGGAGCAGCACCGCCAGAGAGAACAGAACCAACGGAGACGTACTCGGCATGCGACCTCTGACGAGAAACAAGGGCTGCACGGGCGGTCGTTGGGTGGTCGAGTCTCGGACGGTGTTGGAAGTAAACTGTCTAATCACCGATGAGACAGCAGCAGCGCGGTGGTGGAATACGTCGACGATGGCCCGGGCCGATACTTGTCCATTCGTTCAGCTCCAGCCCAGCTGCTGCATGATCAGCAGCAAACAGTTGGCAAAAAGTGGGATCCCGGGTCGGTTTGCCTTGGAAGCCAGAGCCTGGAAGCTTGGGGTCCTGTGCTAGGGCGGCGTACCCCTGTCCAGGCAGCCAATGCCGAGCTGTCAGGGCGGCGGGGGGTAGCTGGAGCCCAAGCTCAGGCCCTCCCGAGGTCTGCGGCAGGCAGGTCTCAGGCGCAAACCACAAGCACCGTCTCTGAGTTGATGTCAGCCTTGCTACGCGTAAAGCACCCGGTGCTGTTTCGCAGATCCAGGCCAGACTCCCATTGTCGCAAACCACATCGCAGGCTGGATACAGGTCCAAGGTTATTCGGTCTGGATATGGTGTCCATTCTCAAACAGGGGCTCTCTATGACAGCATATAACCCTATGTCAATTGCATACAACGCGTCATGGTAGGCACTGCCGACATTGCGCATCTTCACGCGCCGCGCTGACTTTCAACTCGCAGCCTCCCTTCTCAGCCATCAACCTCGAGCCCGAGGAGAACATCGAGGAGGAATTCGATACTACCAAGGAGCTTCAAGTATTGTGACTCCTTTCTTTTGTTCCGCATCCGAGACTGACAGAGTCCAGGTCGATGAAGCCTTGAAGCTTTTCCAGAATGCACTCAAGCTCCATGCCCAAGGTCCCCAATTCTTCGACGAGGCATCCGAGGCCTACGACTCCCTCTTCTTATCCGACATATTCAAGCTCCCCGAGAGCACGACTGAGTATGAACGCGCCGAACGAGTACAGAACCCCTTCGTGCCGCTGGAGTCAAATTTCGGGGCAGGTCTCGACGTGACGGGCGCAGACCCTGATGGCAGCGCTGCCACTCTCCCACAGGCCCTTTTCCTCTCCTACAAGAACCATGGACAATTCGTTTTGGATAGGATAAGATACAAGGCGAAATCCTCCGAGTCATCCACAGACGCGGTGTTTGAGGAGCCCGAAGTGATAGCCAGCGCTCGGAGAGCCCTTGATGACTTCACAGCTGCCCTGGACAGAGACCCGTCCGACGCTGAGCTCTGGAGAAGGACGGCCAGGACGGCAGCTTTCCTGGACAGTACAAGATTGAGCCGATATTGTCTCGAGGCTGCAATAGAACTGGATGATGACCCAGCCCTGGTCGAAGCCGAGCCTCCGTCGTTGGCCGAGGGATTCGCCGGTGAACAATTGAAAAATCACCTCCAAGTCCTATCTGATGACACTGCTCTATCGCATCCTATTATGAAACCGTTCACTGAGAAGGAGATGCCCGCGCTGTTGAAGCCACATTTGGACCCTTTCCCTTTCCTGCCGGATCCAACAAGAGAGCTAGCCGCTCACAAACTATTAGCAGCAGATATCAAACTGTCAAGACTGCCGGTGGACATCCCGAGCTTATCGTGGGCGCAGATCGGCATGCGTCTGGTTTATCTTGCTACTGAAGTTGGCTTTACTGGGCGAGCAGTCGTCATTCAGCTCCCGGATGGCCGGGACGAAGATGAAGAGGAGGCTGTGCAGATGGAAGTTGACCAGAAATCTCCCGCCGCCTTGGTTCAGGAAACACTCCAAGACAGTACCACTCTCGATTCGCCTACCGACACGAAATCGTCCTCCAAAGATGGACAAGCTGAAAATGGAGCTAGCATTGCAAGTCGACAGCGAAGCGTCTCTTTACCATCCCGGAAGCGATCAATGTCCGTGGCTGGTCTACCGGAGCCGACCGAGGAAGATAATGCTGATTCCAAGCGACCGAAGAGGGTGAGGAGGCGAGAAACCACGCTCACTGAAGACGCCGTCAATGAAACAACTTTGCGGGCGACGCAGTTGCAACCATTTCAAGGCGCAGACCAGAACCTTTTTCAATTAACGAAAAACATCCTTGAAAATCTCGGTGTAACCGATCAGACCACCGTTGACAGGATTGGGGATATTATCGACTCCGGTGCTCTCGAGGAAAGGACCTCAAAGATCACCCATGCTGCCAGCATAGATCTACGTGACTCCCTCGTCTCGTACGACGAAGAGATCGCACAAGTCTTCCTCACGAAGTTGAAGACGCCTACTCTCGGCATGACCACCTTCCTCGAACACACAAAACCCGGTGCGCAACGAGTGGTCGAGACGGCTGGCTTTGATGAGCGCAGCGGTCTGAAGGCTTTCGTCAAGACAGTCAACTCCGGTTGGATGACCGCTCAGGATGTCGCATTTGACTGGATTCTGCTGATATCCAAAAGCTACACCACGAAGAAATGGTCCGAGCAGCTCAAAACTGCCGTCGTTCAAGTGATCAGTCATTTTGACGAGGCTATCCACGATCGGGTCGTCTATGAAGTTGGTCAGGTTCAAAGCCAAGATGACCAAGACAGCGAGGAATCCAAACTGGTCGAACTTGACAACCTTGTTCAGATGCTGTTTGAGCTGTATCTTGATGTCTATGAGCGTATCACGAATCCGAATAGCCGCGTCGACGTTGCGATACGAGTTGGTACAAAAGGACGTCTTGGTCGGTGGCTGGATCTAGCATCTGATCTGAGACGCACGAGGCCAGCGGACGCCAGCATCGACTTTTCTTTGCGATTTCTTTGGGCTTGCATCTTCTCAACCACCTTAGCCGAGGGTATCTCTCGGGACCACGTCCTCGCGTGCTGGCACAGTTTGCGGGACTATTTGACAACAACTGGTCATGACAGAATCGACTTGCCGAACAACGCCGTCATGCCTGAGATCTCATCTGTTGAAGCGGACAGGGAGATCAGCAAATTGACAACCATGGATTTCTTCCTGGGTCTTTTCCAGGAAGAGATGGCGGACCCTGTGGCGGTCATTGATACTCTCGAGCCGGTCCTCAACCCTGATGCAGTCTTCGTGACGCCGACTCAAGGAACACCCACGAACGGAGATAAAGCTGGGAACGGAGCTGTCGCAAAGGTGTCCATCAAGGAATGTGCTAGCCAGGGCCTGAAAGACTTATGGAAGTTCCTTCTTACCAGTAGCACCGATCTCAGGCTTCTCTTGTGGTCTCGTCTGAGTGATGCGTACGGCACCATCAAGTACACAACGAAGCAGTTCTCATGTCTCTTGAAGAGTATCGAGATGGTCATCGATGACATTGACAGCGAGACGTACTCGACGGCGGCGCCGGAATCACGGAAGATGGCCCTCCTGAAGCTCTTGAGGTCCATCCACGACATGATGGTATCGGCCCTCTCCTTAGCATTGAATGACAACACTGCATTCGACATTATTGATGAGGACCACATCCGGGCTACATCATCCGCCCTCGCGAGATTGAGTTGTCTCATCCACGTTGCTGTGTTGCAGGAGGACGAGTTCACTTTAGGGATCACACCAGCACCATCAAAGTCTGCAACTTTCAAGGAGTTACTGGAGCGCTTGCGGGACTTGCAAGTGAGGACCTGGACACTGCAATATTGTCTGATCAAAGTCGGCATCCACCAGGACACTGGGATATTCAAAACGCTTGACAACGATCTTGCTGAATTTTTGAACGCTGTGCACCAAGTTCTGGGGCTGAGGAAAGCGTGTAGTGCGTCAAACAAGATTTTCCTGAAGATGATGCGAATAGAGTTGCTGAAGCAAAAGAATATCGAGAATTGGGAGGACTATCTGGGGCAGGTCCTATACGATTTGCACGGCCTCAGGCTAGGCGTTGGCATCTGGGAAGTGCACGACCATGGCTGCGCGCCAGAGAAACTGGAGAAGCGACAGGCGATGCAGCTGGTCGAAAAGATCACGACACTGGCCAATCGCATATCCATGAAGGATTTGCTCAAGTCGGACCTCAAGAATACCATCGAGCATATGCAGGGGGCTATCGGGCAGGCCAGGTCCAGCACACCCATGATCCACAATCTTCGCAATTTCCAAGAATACCTCAAAAAGCCGATACATCCGCTGCGTCTTTACCAAGCGCTCGACGGCACTGTCCCATTGGATGCGACAACTGTCAACACAGCAGAAGCATCTCTCGCCAGGAATGGCTGGTTCTTCCTCTTGGGCATGATAGCCCTCACTAAGTTCAAGGGCGTTGATTTGAACCGTCGCCAAACTCCGGGAGCAACAGACGACCTTCGTATCGGAGCGACGTTCCTGCGCCTACAGCTTCAGTTCACGCCTGACATGTGGGAGGCATGGTTCCGGCTGGCAGAGTGTTTCGACTATGAACTAGATGAAGCAGTCTTGTGGTCGGCTGACAAAATGAACAAAGACCGGAGCGAGCTTCTGAAATTCCAACGCCACGCAATCCATTGCTACACTCTAGCATTGTCACACTCTCATGCGTGGTCGCCTGAGACCAAGGATGACGAAGACAAGCTGTCCCAATTCTACACTAACTTCGCCATGCGCATGTATGCATCAAGTCGAGAGCCGTTCGCCATGGAACCTTTCCAGCATAGCGACTACGCTAGATTCTACCCAGAAGCAAACGGGAGTGGCACGTTCAAGAGGCTTCTGCACAGAGAGATGAGCGAGTATGAGGTGTGGAAGTACGCAGCTACCTTGTTCAGGAGAGCCATGAAGGGCAAGCCGAACGACTGGAAAAATGCGTATATGTTCTCCAAGTGCCTATGGAAGATGCATCAGAAACCAGCGGATATGCTTGAGCTGAAAGACCGGAAGACACTGCCCACAGTGAAGGCACTCGTCGAGGCTCTGGAGAAGACAATCGAGATCGTGTCCCTACTGCCCAAACCCAGGCATGGCCAGGATCCAATCCTAGAGCCGCATTACAAGATTGTCTCAATTTTGCACAAGCTCGTCACGCGCAAGAGCTTGACCGTCCAGGAAGCGGTCGGCATTCTCCAGCGGCAGCCCTACGCAGTTCAACATGGCCAGCAAGAGAGCATCCAGTCGACAGATGATTGGAATGCCCATGTGATCGAGACCTTACGCCATTTACGTGACAAGGACAAGTCACACTGGCAGCATCGTATCATCATGCGTCACGCCCGTATGATATACGACCCACGCGAAGAAGAGCCCTCGGACCAACTCGCTGAAGCGCAAGCGGCTTTCTCTGTTTTGCGTGAGCACATGATCACGAAGACGATGGCCATTAACGTCTGGAAGTGCGATGCCGAGCGTGCCGGTCGGCATCATGTATACACGGAACAGTATGTTCGATATACTGTGAAGCTTTTGACGGTGACGAAGGATCATGTGAACATGGAGCTGCTCTTGCGTAAGATCCGCAAGAAAGGTGCCGACTTCTATCACTTCAGTGACCTCTGGGCTTCGTGCGTGCAAGCATACACCAGGCTTCTGCGTCGCACTTATGAAATCCCGGCCTTAGAAGAGGACACATTCAAGAACATGAGTTTCGAGGAATTTGATATTCTGGGAGAGCGCATCAACGACTGGGCAGGTGCGAAGGACAGGGTTCATGCCGCTCTGAGCGCAATGAAGGACGCCATCGAAGTCAAGAAACTCAATGGTGGCTTGACAAAGGCAGGTATGATTGATGACTTGATTCACGACTGCTACTCCGATCTTTACCGAAGTATCGCCGATGAGCTCCCCGGCCCGGAGCCTTCACAGGTTATTGAGGAGCGCAACCGGCTCAAAAGCTCGGAAATGCAGACCAACGGTCAACAGGAGAAAGAGCAATTCAATGGCCTGCTACATCCGAGCGGCGTGGACAGGAACATTGACCAAGGGGTCTCACCGGCGGGTCGTGCAACTAGTGAGGCGCCATCCGCAGGTGTCAACGGCGGCGAGAAGATGGAACGTTCCACCTCCAACACAGGAGATCAGGGAGTCACACGCCGCCGGTTGCTAGGCGTGCGGCGTGCAGATGTGCTCCGCAAGGCCGAGCAGGCAGCTTCGCGGGCTACTGAGCAGCCACCGCCCAAGTCTGCCGTCAGCGAGAGGTCGAACGGCCGGAGGTCCGGGCGCGGCAGCCCGGGCAGCGGCCAGAACGGCCTGGATGGCAACGAGGGCGAGGAGAGCGAAGGTGAGGGAAGAGATGGCGACGTTGAGATGAAGCAGGACATCGACAACGATGAGCAGGACGAGCAGGCTGACGAGAAGCAAGACGGTGGTAACGAGGCAGGTGAAGAGGCAGCGGCGGAGGGCGAAGAGAGCGAGGCGTCCAGCCCGAGGCCGGAACACGACGACGCAGATGATGAGAGCGACCTTAGTGATGTGCCTGATGACTACGACCAGGACATACCGCCGACCTTGATGTTTCCGAATCTGCGCCGAAGCGCGGATTTGTCAGTCGTCGCGAGTTCTGGATCGAGCAGTAGCGCATCTGAGGGCGAGGATGAAGATGAGGAAGAGAATGAAGATGAGGGCGAAGAAGAAGGTGAGGAAGATGAAGAGGACGAAGAGCAGGAGGGAGGCCAACAGGACGAGGACGAGGAGATGGCAGAAGCGGGCGAGGAAGTACCTGACAGTACGGCTGATGATGCGGACGAGACTGGCTAGCTCCTCAGGCTCGCCGAGCAGTTTTCAGAGTCGAGTGTAAGAACAACATTGCGGCCAAGGTGAGCCAAATCGTCTCTTGGATGAACACCGAGGCCTACAGCGGCACAATAATATCCTCCTTGAGGGCCTCTACCGTTGCGAATCCCCCCTCATAAAAGTTTAATACCATCCGAATTGGGCGTTTTGGCTGGGCGCACGTTTTCAAGAATAGGGATTCCCGGGGAGAAGAGAGTTTTGGCGCGGAGTGCATCAATGGATAGTAGGATCATTGACCTATGCTGAGACCGCCCTGTCACGACTTGTACACTCGCAGCGTGCCTCTGGCGCCAGAATCAACCTCAGCCCATGCCTCGATCTCGACCAAGAATTCATCCTCGTAGAGAGTCGCCTCGATCAGTGTGTTGGCGGGGAGTACCCCAGCGCACTCCATCCTCCATCCGTGAGCCTCACTCACGGCTTCAGCGTCCTTCCTGTTGGACAGGATGACACGTGTTCTGACGACATCTTTCATCGATGAGCCGAGTGCCTTCAGCGCACCCTCTATAATGTCTAGTGCCCACACTGCCTGACTGGCTGCGGAGGTGCCACCGACGCAGGACAGGGAAGGTACGGGTGGGTTCGCGGTTGTCTGGGCGCGTGTTAATAACTAACAAGTCTGAGCCTGAAACCGGATGGCCAGGCTGTCAAGTTGTACGTACACCCGAGACGTGGATATGTGAACCGACGCGGACAGCGCGGGAATAGCCCTGTGATAGGCAAATGGTCAGCGTAATAAACCGCGAGGCAACTCACCTTGCACTTACACAGATGGGCTCCCACTTGCTGCCACTCAAGTACTCGACCCTCTGGCCCGCAGCAACAGCCTCCCTGACCGACCTACTGCGATCTGTCTCCCTGACATGGTGGCTCAGATCCCCAGCAGCTGTCAGGTACGGCGGCCGGCGGTACTCGTCTCCACAGTCGCCCGGTATTTCACGCAGGCCCTCCTGCGCCTTCGCGATGGTTCTCCTGTCCCCGTCATCCAGCCCAAAAGAGAAGGCCAGGAGGTTCTGCGCGACGTACTCCTCTGAGCCGACGCTCAACCTCGTCCCGACAATGACGGCCTTCACAGCCGGCACATCCAGGACCCAACGCGTCGCCACCGCAGGGATAGGGACGCCGTGCTTCCTCGCCACCGCCCCGAGCGCCTCCAGGACGCCCTGGAAAGCCGCCCACCCGCCGGCGGCCCGGATGAAGCGCAGGTACTTCCTCAGGGACCAGTTGAGGGCGTCCGCGTCCGCGGGCTCGGGCCGCCCGAGCCACTTCTCGGAGATGAAGCCGCCGAGGAGCGTGCCGTAGCAGAGCAGCCCGACGCCGCGGGCCGCGCAGAGCTGGCTCATGCGCCCGCGGATGGCGCGCAGGTCGATCACCGAGCAGGAGACCTGGTTGGTGGCGATGTTGAAGCCGGTGTCGAGCAGCATCTCGAGGTGGGCGGCGTCGGTGTTGGTCAGGCCCAGGTGGCTGATTTTGCCTTGGGACTGGAGGCTGGACAGGTGTGTGAGATTGTGGATGTACGTATCGTCGGTGTAGTCCCAGATGTGGTCTGTTCGACCGGTGCGTGAGCTTCCATGGCTAAGGAGGGTGCAGGCCGGCAGCTGGTAGGGGATGGCTCACACTGCAGCAATGGGATTGTGCTCTGGCCCAATCTCCTCAGAGCGAGGTCGACGGCCGCCTCTGCATTTTCAAAGCTCTTGACCCCGTTTTCTGCTGGGCACCACTTGGTGAGAGCAGTCAGTCCCGCCTCGGAGTTGGCATTGTGATGCCCGACGACGAGTTCTGGCCGAGGTCAGTTACGCTGCGCAACCGGGACGTCTTGTCGGCTGCTCGTACTCACCGGCCTCTCCGTAATGATCCGCCATGTCGAAGCATTCTAGTCCACTGCTTATTCTAGGCCCTTGTCAGAACCACGCACTCTCTAGGCATGGGGGTCGTCGTCACTTACAACGCGTCCATGGCCGCTGAGGCGCTGGCGATGTCGACATCCTTGTCGTGGCCCCCTGCGAGCTGCCACAACCCATTGAGCATGCGAGGGATCTGCAGCAATCCACCTATTTTCGTTCTCTCGGGACGTACACGCGTATCTGAGGCCATTGTCCTCGTCCTGGAGTAGGTCTGGTACGTCGGTGGCGATGTTAATCTCAACTCACGAGACGCTCAACAGGAACGGGTATACAAGGCAATCCTTTTGCTGAGGACTCATCTCCTGCCACGCAATGGAGCAGCAGCATCGACACAGTCGGCAAAATTGCCTCTTTGGGTGGTGGGTTCTCAATCCTCCCGGTGTCGGATGAAGGGGGAAGAGAGAATAGCTCCCAAGGTCGGTCCCGATGGTGTTGATCTCAGCAACCCCACGCCAAGCTCCGGCGCAACTTCCAGGGACCCCAGCGAGAGCTCATAACCTAACTGAACACACCTGTGAGTCTGTATTTACACAGGCCCACCGTAGACCAACGATATACCGAGCGATCCCATAATTCAGTACAAGTCACGAAATAATCGTCTGGTGTGTACTGATATACTCCAAGTAATCAAGCTGACAATTTAACTGTCCGAGAACGGATCCTGATCTCTAGACCTCCTGCTCATGCTTAGCTTACACCTCCGACCAGCCTCATCACGGTCCACAAACCACCAGCCCATCGTGCTTTATACTACGACTAAGCCAGCAAAACAAATACTAATGGGGTCCTCTTGGGCTTCAAATCTATTCGTCAAAACTATATCAGTGAGCCTTCATCTCTTCATCATGGTCTCGTAACTCTCCTCCAGCGTGAGTTGAGGGGCGATCCGTCCCTCATCCAGCCGGTCGGCTTCGGCCCTGAATATACGTCGAAGCCTGCGTTGATGAAACCAAGCAAATGCGCAGGCGGCACAGACGAAGCCCACGGCAGCTATTCCCGTCGCAACCCACCATCGTTGGGCATCTTCCATTGTCGCATCTCTCTCGACGCTCAAGTCGACATATGCTTCTGGGGCTTCTGGGTGCAGCCAGTAGCTAAGGGGTATCTGCTCCACACGCATTAACGGACTTGGTCCACAGAGAACGTGGAAAAGTAGGCAAAGAGAACGACATTACCTTGCAGGCGCACGTCCTGTATACTCCAAGTAGTTGCAAGAAGGTACCCGCAACGGCCGTGAGAATGGCGAAGAACCCTACAAACATCTGGCCACACCAAGTAATCGTCTTTGCCCGGGTCCGCGCTTCCGACCACCTTTCGCCATACAAGCCCTTCAGCCAGACTTCCCAACCCCAAAATAAGCACTCAACTACCTGCGTGATGGCGTAAATCAGGTATGTGCCGCTGTGACAGGAGATGCCCTTCCGGGGCGTGTTGTAAGATGTCAGGAATGCAAGCAGAGATGGGGTCATCAGCAGGACAGCACTTCCAGCCGCGATGTTGAAGTGGTCTCGAAGGCTCATTCCCAATCTTTTGCCGACGTCTTTCGAAGGCATCAACCGGTCGCCATGTTCCTCAGAGTTGGAGGCGTAATCCCTGATGGCCTCTTCTACCCAGCGCTTCTTGTTCGGTCCGCGGCTCCAGAGGGTGACGGTCTTGAACTGACCGTCGTACATGGACTGGATTAGTTGATACCTTTCTGTCTGTTTCAGAATCCATCTTCCTATGGCAAAACTCTCGACTTTACTTTTCATCGATTCCCAAGAGCTGCTCTCCGATTTCTCCCGGGACGCTATGGCGCCTCCGTCCCATACAATCCCTTGTAAAGCGCTGGGATTGGGAGAGGCGAGCATGGCGCAAGACGCTATGGCGAGAATCGGGACTGTCATCCACCCTGGTTGCATGTGAGTGTAATTCCAGGCTGTGAGATTCCTCTAACTTGACTTACACATTCCAAAGGCCAGAGCATGAGCTGTGTCCTTGTCCCGGAGACTTCCGTTTTGGATGCCCAGAACGGTATATATGAAGCCACCAACGAGGAAAAGGACTGGCGCCCCAATGGTCCTTCCGAAGCTATACCGTCATGGTCAAAAAGCGTTCACCGGATGCACTTCTTCAGGGTGAACAGACCTTGCGTGCGAATTGAAGATCGACTTCAGCTTCGTTGACAGCAGTACCTTGCCACCAAACCATGCAAGTTCTGATTCATCCTCGTCGACCATGGCCATCACCCGGGTCCAGGTGTTGTCCTTTAGAATGTCTCCGACGGATAGCTTCCTCTGATGCGTCTCCGCATCCCATTGGGAGAACATCGAGATCCTCCGGCTCGTCGAGATCCGCAAGTTCCCAACCGCCACCGCCAACAGCAGCTGCGCCCTCAATCTCGGGGAGATGCTTGGTCCATCGCATTGCTCCCTTGCCTCATCGAGGAAGTCCAAGACTTTCCTGTCCAGCGCATACTCGTACATCGCACTCAGGAGCATCGGGCCCGCGAATGCAAAGCAGATGGACAACCAAATAAATGTGTCGACCACTGTGAGGAACATGGCCCACAGCAACCTTATCCAGTATGTGGCAACCCAGATCAGACTCCAAGGACGCAGCTGGGACATCACATCTGGCATCGCCAGCTTGCTTGCCCGCGGTATGTTGAGGCACAGTGCGAGGCTGGGCAGAATGAACAGGACAAGGGGCCCAACCCATTGCTGGGGCACACTGATGTGGCTCATCTCCCAGCCCTCGCATTGAGATAGACACCAGTCATACGGGACCCTGACGACCGGTGCTCCCTCTGAGCTTCCGCCTCGTGAAGGGCCGCACGGGAACGCTCGATCACCCGACAAGGCGTCCTCGAGCTCTTGGATGGTCACGGATGGCTGGAAGTATGCCGGGGTGTTCAATGACAGTGGCTCGTCTGGCCCGGCGACCAAGAAGGACTGGTTCACGGCGACGAGGCAGCAGTGTGTGAAGTTTTGCCCTCCTGCCGTACTTGAAAAGGAACTCGTGGCACCGGCCGCGAGGTTGGCGAGCTCCGGGATAAGTTCGCCGATGCTTGAGTAGACCATCTCGGCGGACTATCGCTACTGTCGGCAGTAGGAAAGCAACGACATATATGGTAGCAGTGGGTAAGGTGCGTGCTGGTGGAGATGATGGCACCAGCTGAGACTCAAGTGTGTCATCTCAGCTCTGTCAAAAACAGCCTCGTGAGGTTTTCGAGCCTGGCGTTTCTTGGGACATGACGGTTCTATCTCACTTGGGCGGCCTTTGTCAGATCATCTGCGGCTGGAAAGCTATCATATCTATCTAGCTCAGGAATTGTAGCGCATAGGCCATGCCACACTGGTTGAGGGCCAACTGCATTTCTCGATGGCCCTCATGGCTCGCGCGGACCTCTATCCAAATTGTTACTGACTCCACGAAAAGGGCAAGGCCTCAAGGTTGCAAGAGCTCGGATAGAGTCTATGCCGTCAACGCGGCAGATGCACAGACAGGGACTAATTGAGGACACAAAGACAAGCTCTAAGATATACAGTCTGTGCGCCAATCTTTCGACTACAATCGACTCAGAATCGAGGGCAACTCTGGTCTCCACATCTCGTTGAGGAGCCGGCTGGCATTGACCATCTCTGGTCGAAGCTGGTCGAGCGAGGTCACGCCCAACAGCGCCATGCCAAGCGCCAATTCTTCGGATAATACTATGACACTCAGTCAGTAAACCATATCGGGTAAAACGGACAGGCTCTCCCACTTACTGTCTACGCATCTCTCGACTCCTTGGCCACCGTAGGCAGCCATCGCATAAAAGAAAGGCCGCCCGAAGCCAACCGCCGTTGCACCCAGGGACAAGGCTTTAAGCACGTCCGCCCCATCGCGGCAACCGCCGTCCAAGTAGATCTCCATCTTCTCGAGCACTTCGGGGCAGTACGTGCGGATCTCCAGCAATGTGGACAAGGCGCTCGGGGCCGTGTGCTGCTGTCTCCCGCCGTGGTTGCTGAGCAGGATGCCCTGGCAGTCGTTCTCCGCCGCCAGCTTTGCGTCCTCGGCCGTCTGGATCCCCTTCAGGACGATCGGACCCTGGCCATTCCTCCCTGATCCACTCCAGGTCCTCCCAGGTGACCATCGGGCTCAGCTGGCCCGGCACTGGTCGCGCGCCAACCGCTGGGGAAAAGGCGTTCTCGTTGTTCTCCTTGCCCACGGGCGTCGAGAAAGTGCTATGGTCGAGCCCGTCCTCCAGCGCCTCGTCGGCCTGCTTCCTCCTGTCCTCCGTCCTCTTTCCCAGCACGGCCGTGTCGACGGTGATGAAGAGGCCCTTGTATCCGGCCTGTTTTACCTTCCGGACCAGCTCCACGGCCTTTTCCCTGTCCGTCGGGATGTAAAGCTGGAAGAACAGCCTCGATGGGCTGGTCGACTCGCCACCGATCCTATCCAGCTCATCCGCGTGCGATTTTTTGATACTCTCCAGGGGCTTGGTGCTCGCCGTCGACGTGATGCCGTGCACGCCCTTGCGCGCCAGCGCATTCACCAGCTCAAACTCCCCGTTCGGATGCGACATGCCCATCGTGCCCATGGGCGAGACGAAGAAGGGCACGAGGGAAGGGTTGCCGAGCATGGACGACCTTGTAGACACGCTGGCGACGTTGCGCAGCACCCTCGGCCGGAAGGACACCCTGGACCACGAGTCGATGTTCCCCTGGAGGGAGAGGCCCGCGTTGGCGCTGCTGGTGGCGTAGACCCAGGCCCTGCGGTCGAGGACCTTCTCGGCCTCGGCGCGGAAGTCGCTCGCCCTGACGCAGAGCGACAGCGGCTTCACCTGCTTGCTGTCGGCTGCCGGGGTGGCCTTGGACGGGTTTGCCGGGGCGTTCAGGGACGCGGCCGTCGAGGGGTCCAGCTCGCCCTTGAGGCTGCCATCGGGCAGGTCCTCGATGATCTCCAGGGAGTGTATCTTGTCGAACTCTGCTGTGGCGTCCTGTGCATGCTTGTCAGTACGCTGGCTCTGACCGGCTCTCGTGCTGCGTGGGACTCACGGCTCCGCCCTGCCTCAGGAGGATGCTTCGGCCGCCCGGGTGCTTGTCCAGGAAGCTTGTGATATCATAGACCTTGCCGTGTATCACAGTCCAGCACGAGTCAGTGGACTTGTGCTTTGCAACCTCGGAACCGGTCAACATGGTGAAGTAGTTAATGATTGAGAGGTTACCTCTCCTACGTTACGTAGTCAACCCACCCTGAGCTGTGTCTTAAAAATCGATGAATCTGGTCATGGTAAGTGAGACAGATAGCAGCGTACAAACGGGCCATTCAAGTAGCCTGCTTAGTTGATTACGCACCTACCAACCCCCCGGCCTCGGGAGTGGCCTCCGGCACAGGGTGCCGCGCCCGGGAGCCGTAACGTGATATTGCGGGGAAACTTCCTCACATTCCCTACTCTAATCGGTAAGACCAAGCCGGACCCCTGCTGTACCGCGATACTACTCTCATATGCAATCAATCGTTCCATTTTGGCGCTAGTGACCTACACATAACACCTCACACCCTTTTTCCATCACACTTTCATTTTCAACTATTTTCACCTTTTATATAATAAATACTTTTTTAATTTAATTATACCTTATATTAAAAGATAGCTATTTCTTTTCTGCTTCTTTTAATATTTATTTAAGGAGGGTAGAGGGAGTATTAAATATATAAGGTATGTTAATATTTAATTTTAAAGAAGAATTTAAAATTTTAAGATAATAATGATTTTAAATAAATTTAGTTAAATTTATATTATTAAAACTAATGATTTTAATATAACTTTTTAATTTTACCTTTTTTTTAATTCCTTTTTAACTTAAGTTATTTTTAACTTTAATTTAAATGCAAATTTCTCTTCTTCCATATACTTAATTTAATAGCAAAGAGAAGAAATGAAATTAAAAAAGAAGCAGCTTTCTTTTTATATATATTTTAAATAAATTAAAGTAAAATTAAAAAGTGCGTATAAAAAAGGTGTGAGGTGTCAAATGTAGGTCGTTAGCGCCAAAATGGAACGATTGATTGCATATGAGAGTAGGGCAGGGGCAACTCATGAATCCCAACGCCAACTAAGTCAAGCGGCCCACATTCGGTCCACCCGGGGATTCGGCCCACGTTTCCCACCAAAATCAACAATATTTAAACCCATCCAACTACACCAATTAATTATATACAAACTTGAAATTTAAGCCACAGAAACTTTTTATATATCAAATCTTATTTCAAATTTTTAAAATTCATCCGTACTTTATATACTCCTATATAAACGATATAATTTAGTAAAACCCTTATAATTTAAATACCTATATCTTATTAAATATAAAAGGTATAACTTTGGAAATTAATTTTTAAATATACCTTAATAATTTGCATATAACTAAAAATATAATATAAATTATATAAGTTATTTATATACTTAAATAAGTATTTAAAAGAAAGTATATAAAATTTATAATATTTAATATTATGTTATATAAATTAATAAAATTTAAGAAAATAACATTTTTTTTTAATTTCCAGTTATATATATAATTTATTTTAAGATGGTATAAATTTACGGATTTTATTAAACTTATATAAGTAAAAATAGTTTTATTTATATAAACTTTTATTAAAGATATTATATTTCCACTTTATTTAAGCTATATAAGTTTAAAATAATATAGTTATATTTATTTCCAAAGTATAATATAAATATAAAAATAAAATAAAAATACGTTTAAAATATAATTAATTTATTTCACTATTTATAAGGACTTTTAAACTATTAAGAAATCTTATATAATAAGGTGCTGTTATGGGCTAACCCTAAGTTATTTGCTATAAGGTGCTTAAATAAGGTTTATATTTAAAGTGCAAAAGAAGAGATCCGCTCCCTATTTATACTTACGTTAAAGCTTATTCTTATAAGGCTAAAGCCTGTTAATTAATTATAATAAGCAAAGCTTAAACCATAATATATCCTTCTTCTTTAAATCCCCATAGCAAGCCCTAAAGGGCAGTTATATAATAAAAAATAAAGAATATTATAATTTAATTATAAATTAAACATTACTCTTTACTTAAATATTTAATTATACCTTAACGCTTTTTAAATATATTAAAGGCTTAACTTATTCTTTATAATTAATACGCTTTTAACCCTTATAATTTAATATATTAGCTAAAGTAAGCTAATAAAAGATAATTATTTAAGTGTAAATTAATGGCTAAATTAATAATATTTTTATAATCCTTTAATTTAAGCCTTTCATATAAGCTTTTTTATTTAAAACCTTAAAACCGTAAATTTATTATATAATTTATAATTAATAAGCGCTTAATTATAAATAATTTGCTTTATTAGCAAGAAATTTTTAAATTTTAAGCATTTTATAATATTAAATTAGCTAATATGCAGCTAGCTTACTTTAAGCCTAAATTATTATGGGCTAGCCTTGGGTTGTCTGCCATAAGGTATCCAAATGGGGTTTATATTTAAAGTGCAAAGGAGAAGGTTCGCTCCCCGTTTGCACCTACGCTAAAGCCTATTTTTATAAAGCCAAAGCCTACTAACTAATTATAATGGGCAAAGCCTAAACCATAATATATCCTCCTTTTCTAGGTCTTTATAACGGGCCTTAAAGGGTAGCTATATAATAAAAAATAAAGAATACTATAATTTAATCGCGAATTAAATATCGCTCTTTGCTTAGCCATTTAATTATATCTTGGCGCCTTTTAATTGCATTAAAGGCTTAGCCTATTATTTATAATTAACACGCCCCAGCCCTTATAATTTAATGTATTAGCTAAAGCAAGCTAATAAAAGATAATTATTTAAATATAAGTTAATAATTAAATTAATGGCATTTTTATAATCCTTTTATGCAAGCCTTTTATATAAGTTTCTTTACTTAAAACCTTAAAATCATGGATTTATTATATAATTTGCAATTAACGCTTAATTATAAGTAATTTATTTTATTAATAAGGATTTCCTAAATTTTAAGCGTTTTTATAATGCTAAATTAATTAATATATAGTTAGTTTGCTTTAAGCCTAAGCTAATATTAAATTAATAATACTTTTAAACCTTACTTTATAAAAAAAATTTTATGCCCCTTTTAAATAAACTCCTTCTCCTTATTAACCTTAATTAATAAAAGCTGTATTTTTATTTTCTTATAGCAATTAAGGTAGTTATATTTATAATAGCTAAGTTAGCTATATATAAAATACTTAACTTTGCTTATTAAGATTATTATAATATTAATATTTATTACTTTATTATTTTAAGGTTAAGTATTGTTTTTCCTTGCTATGGCGCTAAAAATGCCTTTATATTGCTATAAGGTAAAGCAAAAGCCTTTAAATATATTTAACCATTCCTTATAATTAAGCTAAGCTTTTGCTATAAAGATTAAGCTATTAATTATTAATAGTATTTTATACTTATTTAGCTAATTTTAAGCCTTTATTATATAAGCTAATTAATTAAATTAAGTAAGAAATTTTATTATTCCCTCCTTATAATATTATTATAATATAATTAAGCTAAGTTTAATATGCCTTTATTTAAAAGGGTCCTTAAATGCAAGGCAAACCTTTTTTAAAAAGCTTTTTAGCTACCCCTTAAATATCTTTATAAAATTAATATAAGGTAAAAATTAATTATAAAAAGTTCTTAGCTAATTAAATATATAAAATAATTAAGCCCTTTTAACATTAATTACCTTTTTATTTATTATAAACTTAGCTTTTATTTTTATTAATTAAGTTATTAAGTATTTTTAAGATAAAAGTTCTTTAAGATAAGAAAGGGCTTAATAAGCTATTATTATTCTTTTTAAGTTTTACTATATTAAGTTTTATATAGTTATATTATAGGTTTATAATATAAAAAGATTTTAAATATATATTATGGGCTAGCTTTAGGTTATTTACTGTAAGGTATTTAAATAAGGTTTATATTTAAAGTGCAAAGGAAAAGGTTTGCTCCCCGTTTATACCCGCGCCGAAACTTATTCTTATAGGGCCAAAGCCTATTAATTAATCATAATGGGCAAAGCCTAAACCGTAATATAAATTAACATTAAGTTAATAAGTTTTAAGCCTTACCTTATAAAAAAAAATTTATACCCCCTTAAATAAACTCCTTTTCCTTATTAATCTTAATTAATAAAAACTATATCCTTATTTTCTTATAATAATTAAGGTAATTATACTTATAATAGCTAAGTTAGCTATATATAAAATACTTAACTTTACTTATTAAGATTATTATAATATTAATATTTATTGCTTTATTATTTTAAGGTTAAGTATTATTCTTTTTTGCTATAACGTTAAAAATACCCTTATATTACTATAAAATAAAGCAAAAAGCCTTAAATATATTTAATTATTTTTTATAATTAAGTTAAAATTTTATTATAAAGGTTAAACTATTAATTATTAATAATATTTTATATTTATTTAGTTAAATTTAAGCCTTTGCTATATAAGTTAATTAATTAAATTAAATAAAAAGTTTTATTATTTCCTTCTTATAACGTTATTATAATATAATTAAGCTAAGCTTAGCATATCTTTATTTAAAAGAATCCCTAAGCATAAAGCAAATCTTTTTTAAGAAGCTTTTTAACTACTCCTTAAATATCTTTATAAAATTAATATAAAGTAAAATTTAATTATAAAAAGTTTTTAGTTAATTAAATATATAAAAGAATTAAGCCCCTTTAATGCTAATTACTTCCTTATTTATTATAAACTTAGCCCTTATCTTTATTAGCTAAGTTATTAAGTATTTTTAAAATAAGAGTTCCTTAAGATAAAGAAGGGCTTAATAAGCTATTGTTATTCTTTTTAAGTTTTATTATATTAAGTTTTATATAATTATATTATAAGTTTATAATATAAAAGGACTTTAAATATATATTATAGGCTAACCCTAGGTTATTTATTATAAGGTGCCTAAATAAGGTTTATATTTAAAGTGCAGAGGAAGAGATCCGCTCCCCGTTTGCACCCGCGCTAAAGCCTATTCTTATAGGGCCAAAGCCCGCTGACTAATCACAATGGGCAAAGCCCAAACCGTAACAGGTGCAAACCTTAACAGATAGGTTTATATAAATATATATCATTATTCAAGCTATGTATATAGTATATAGATTTTTTTTATATGTAGTTTGTAAAACTATAGCCCTAGACAAATCCTTATTAATACATATATTTAATTGGTGGAGATATAAGTCTTTGAAAAGTGAGTGTTTTGGTGGGAAACGTGGGCCGAATCAGGGGGTGGGCCGAATGTGGGCCACCAGACTTAAGGACCATGCAAATCAAGAGCATCGAAACACTTGCCCACTGGGAAGACCTCCTTACAGATCATGGGTTGCGCGTCTATTATGGTGCCGCTTTACCATGCTGACCTAGACAAGACTGACTGCGCACCTGCCAAAACAGCTGCATTTGTTTCAATGTTTTTTGGAAAATAGTTTGAATTGTTCAGACTTCTCGATATTGGCATCGATAATGGCAAGAAGCACTTAAGGTTTTGAATTCCAATGAGCAACTTGTGCTTATGACGGGGGCTTAGAGGCTACACCAAAGCCATTTATCGATTGCTTACATTCCAAGGTCCCGATTTCCGGTTACTTGGAATCCAGTCAGGGCTCAGCTATATCCAGGAAATTATTACTCCCAAGTCGTCAGGCGCATATGTATGCGTGAATCTGGTGGACGGTCGAATCCTAGACAGATATGCCCTAGTACAGAAAGAATACTAGAGGAGAGGCTGCAGCATCCGTATATTAATTCATAATCATATGTGCCCGGATGGCCTTTGCACCGTTATACACTGGGTGACTTCCACGTCCGACCCCAAGTGCTATTTCCAGCCACGATGTCGACGAATTCACGAGCAATTATTCTATCGGTCTGCTCCGACGGGTGCAGCGAATCGTACCAGAGATAGCTGTCTCGGACCGAAGACTCATTGCAGGCAGAACCGCACGCAGTGATGGTTGAAGTCACGTTCACCGGCGCAGTTCCATTGAGGTATGAGGCAGGGTTGTTCCAAATGTCGCTCAACTATGAGGCGTCAGTATGATGGATCTGACGAGGGCGCAGAACAAGCAAGAGCCAGAATTGCGGTGCTTACCAATGAGTGCACGTCAAAGACGGTGAATGAGCTTTCCGGGTAGCGGTCCGAGATCTGGACCTCTTCCGACGTCCGGTAGTTGTATATGCTGTTGACGAGCGCGACGTACTGGCGCATCTTCTCGCTGACCTGCGTCGCATTGGCGTTGTAGGCCCCCTCGTCTTTCCAGAATGTCGTGTTGATCGTGCCGCCGTTCTCGGGGAGCGCGTACATGGGAGCATAGTTGAGCGGCGCGAGGTTGAGGAGCACGAAGTTGCGCGCGCCGACCTCGTGGAGCGCATCAAGCTGCTCGTAGACGCAGTCGATGTAGTCCAACAGGGTAAGGTCAGCGCGGTTGTCTGTGAAGAAAGATGAGGGGCCGAGGTCGTTCGTCCCGATCCAGATTGCGCTGTTGACGTTATCGTCAGCAAACTGCAATTTCTGGATTTTGCTGCCATAGCAGCCTCCTAATAGTCGACCGTGGACTACTCACTAGATCGTCTCGTTGCTAGGAATAGCAAGTGCGGCGTCACCGACACAGTCCTTGTCTTTCAAGAAGTACGGCAGTTGATCTTGCTTCACTCCGTTTCGCTTCGATGGCGAGAAGTAAGCGTCACATACTGCTCCAGACACTGCGTAATCGTAAAGGTTTATGCCGGTGTACTGTTGGACATATTGCGGCCAGATTCGTCCTCCCGTAGACGTAACAGTGGACTGGCACCTCATTAGCATGAATTGAACGACGATTTGGGTGCCTGCACGAGTTGACTGCTCACTTGGTTCTGGCTTGGCTCCGGTGTGTAATATTCTGGTCCGTCATCCGTATAACTGTCACCAAAGACGCTGTTGCAAGTAAGACCATTGCATGCCCTCATGAGAAGCTTTCGGGTTTTGAGCTCTTACACCAGACTTGAAAAATCCTGCAGCGTGGACGATTCAATCAATGCAGCACTTGCTATGCTGCTGAACCAAAGCATCAGCCGATAAGCACCTTCAAGTCGCGCCATCATGGGTATTCGTGCCGAGTTCCAAGCACCTAGACAGAGGTCATGACCAAACAGCTCCCCTTAGAAGTGAGTGTCGGCAGAGTCCCCGCTATTTAAAGTCGCATGGCATATTACTAGTGTTACGCATCCAGTAGGGACTCCGCATCATGAAATCTTTCAGCCGGCGCAAGGGAACGCGAAAGTGCTGTTGTGGTAGAGCCAGGCTCGTAATTTTCCACCACAATACGCGACCCTCGGGACATTTTGGCACGAGAAGCGCTGGAATAGACGTGAAAGAGGGGCCACTGTACTAAAGTTGGAATGGCCGGATAAATGACAGGGCTTGCCATCCTCGGCAGCAATCCACTCCGGTATGCAAGCCATCAGAGATGGCTTACAATGTGTTTCAGTTCGCAGTCTTCAATTATCGTGTTGTAGCACTCGAGGATCCAATACAATGGCTTATGTGGCACAGCAAGGGCTTCTTCAATAACGCCATTGTGCTACACAGGGTCTAGTCTGTTCTCCGATCTCGGGGAGGCGCGCCTTAGACCGAGAGTACCGTAGCATCTAGGCTTTTCAGGATTTGAGTTGATGCTAGCAGCCGGCCCAAACGACAGTGTACGTCTTCGACTCCCCGTAGATCGCTTCCTTGGCACAGTTCGTCACTGCCGACACGGTTATCATTCCACATCAATCTTCCGGACACAACTTGACCAACCATGTCGAAACCACTGGCTATTGTGAAGTCTCTTGACCATCTGGTTCTCACTTGTGCCAACATACCAAAGACAATCCAATGGTATGGCAGATTCCTCGCGATGAAGCATGAGACTTTCGCACCGCCGTCCGATCCGTCGAACCAGCGCCATGCCCTCAAGTTCGGCACTCAAAAGATCAACCTGCACCAACAAGGAAAGGAATTTGAGCCCAAGGCCATGACAGCTCTGCCAGGGACGGCAGACCTCTGCTTTCTGATTGAGGAGGACTCGAATCTTGAGGAACTGGTAAAGGGGTTTCAAAAAGAGGGAGTGGAGGTACTCGAGGGCGAGCAGGTGGTCGACCGAACTGGAGCCAACGGGGCGATTCGAAGTGTCTATGTCAGGGACCCAGATGGTAATTTGATCGAGTAAGTATCCATACATCCCAGTCCTCTTGAACTTAAAGCGACTAACTGATTTATGTCAGACTCTCAAAGTATGTCTCCTAGAAATGTTAGGACAAATGGTGCAGCCCTGTTCATGTGCAGGTACAGAAAGGCTGGACTAGATTGATTTATATGTATTATGACCCTTCCAGCCAAACTCACTAGGTCGGGTTCTCCTTGTATTACAAAGTGGTGCAACGCACTTTGAACGGCCCATACGCATGGCGTGAGGGTAAAGCTGTGAAAACAACACTTTCGCCAAGAGTACTAGTTGACGAGAATGAAGACTTGAGTTCTAACTAGTCAGGTCTCAATGTATGGATGCTACTTTGTGAAGCTCGCAGCGATCTCCATAACGGTGGTTCAACATTCACATTACCCCAGGTTCCTTGTATGAAAGGGTCAAGCATGACTGTATATAAGATATAGTCTAGTTATCCAACACATCGCACCAAAGGACGAGATGCTGGAGCTACTTGTTCAACCTAGACGCCGAGCCGGTTAAAAGAGATGGCCCTGCCAAGTGCGCGCCACGCCTTTCTCACATTTCACCTGCCAAATCGCTTTCAATAGGCAGAAACCAATGTGTCGGTAGCGCAGACATAGTCGGTGACCATGTCAATTACCCGATGCATGTGTGGAGTTAGACAGGAACGCGCCTGGAAACGCGGGGATTGTACATTTGTCTGTTGACATCTGAGTAGGTACGATGACATGTACCTCTCCCCGGCCCATTTCGCCGAGACTTTGGACCTTGGAACGCAAATCCGAGCCTTTGGTAAGCGGTTGAAATGACAGTGAAGCAGGCCCTGGTATTGGAGGGATCACATTCCCCTCACTTGTATGGTCATTTTGGACACCCTGGGCTGGCCACGGGCAGGACATCCTGACTAGTAGACTTTGGGGTGTAGGATCACTCAGGGCTTATATAAAGCTCGCGATCGAGGCTCGCCACCCCCGAGCTTATAAGATCAGGCTTGGGCTTCATACGGGCAGGTCGAGATCGCTCCCTCATCATTCCAAAACCCAAGTTCCCAGCCAGGCACACAATGTACTTCACTGCTGTCAGCCTGCAGTTGTTGGCTGCTTCTTTGCCTTTGGCATCGGGAACAGCTGGACTTCTGGGCCAAAAAGGCTGGACTGAAATACTTTGGCTCCGCGACCGACTCGCCTGGACAGCGCGAGCGCGCTGGGTACGAAGCAGCCTACCCTCAATACGATGCAATATTCGCAGACAACGGCGAATTTGGCCAGACGACCCCGACCAACGGCCAAAAGGTGAGTGCAAACCCCACGTGATTCCGGCTCAGAGGACTGACGCAGGTACTGTAGTGGCTATTCACGGAGCCTGAGCGAGGCGTCTTCAACTTTACCGAGGGTGAAATTGTTTCGTCCCTTGCCAAGTCGCACGGCAAGATCTTGCGGTGTCATGCTCTCGTGTGGCACTCACAGCTCGCCCCCTGGGTGGAGGCACAGAACTGGACAGCGGCTGAGGCAGCTGAGGTCATCACGACACACATCACCAACGTGGCGGGCCATTGGAAGGGACAATGCTACGCGTGGGACGTGGTCAACGAAGCTCTGCTCGACGACGGAACCTGGAGGCCGTCCCCATTTTACAACGCCCTCGGACCGGATTATATCAAGCTTGCCTTCCAGGTGGCCTCGGAAACGGACCCGGATGCTAAGCTGTACTACAACGATTACAACCTCGAGCGGCCTGGTCCGAAGGCCACAGCAGCGGCTGGGATCGCGCGAATGCTGAAGGATGCGGGAATCAGGATTGACGGAATCGGCATGCAGGCTCATCTCACCGCGGGCCGCTCGCCGTCTCTTGAGGAACAAGTGGCAGTGATGGAGCAGTATGCTGAGACAGGGGTTGAGGTGGCCCTGACGGAGCTGGATGTGCGCATTAATCTACCAGCCAACGAGACCAACTTGCAGCAGCAGAAGCAAGGCTATCATGATGTAAGTCGACGTGCCTCTCCATATTTATTCTTCGTCGGTACTAAATGGCCATGATCTAGGCCGTGGCTGCCTGTGTCCAGGTCGACGCTTGTGTGGGTGTCACAATCTGGGATTTTTATGACCCGTTCAGCTGGGTTCCGGTGACCTTCCCCGGACAGGGTGAGCCTCTACTCTGGTTTGAGGATTTCACAAAGCATCCCGCCTACTACGGGGTGCTGGAAGCTTTTGCGCAGGAGACAAATTCGACCTGTGGGCGGCAAAGGCGCAGGGCAGTCCGATATTTTTAACCTACGATTGTAGTCCATTGATATTGAGAAGTTAGTAGCCCTCAGACACAGGAGCCTCGTCCACAAAATGTGTGCAACATGTCAGTAAACCTAAAGCCGGCATTCACAAATACTGATCCCGGGTGGCTCCGGCGCCGCGGTTCCTTCATGTCAGACACAATGGTAACTTAACCCTGATTTGTGTACCTAATATCTTTATTCGCATTATCAGGGAATGTCCAAATGGGTACCCGGAACTGTGTAACTCTACCTATGAAGAGATTCCTGAGACTGTGACATGACATTTTCTCAAGGTTCGTTTTCAGCAAGATCATGTTTCCGTGGTGAGACATTAGACAAAAAAGACCCCATGCTCTCACATTAGTAATCGGATCCTACTTACGGCCTGCGCTGCTTACGTACCCCGCAACGCCTTTTCTATGCAGGCAGGATCTTTTTGGGAACTAGTATCCCCTATTGCCGAATCCTTGTCTTCTCTACCTTGGTATGTGCTGTCTGGACCATGTTTGGTACGTTCCGGTACAACAACTCTCTGAAAGAAGCGGAGTATGTGGAGCTATCCCGAGAGAGCGGTGTTGATGCCCGGGGATATACTCTCTTAGTAAGTCTCCACGATCCACACCACGGGTGGTCGGGCCTTGCTGACCGCGATCACAGGCATGCACACTCTGCCGTGCCCGCAAGGTAGGTCCCGCCGGCCCCGGTGATTCCATACTTATCCCTAGGCAGGACCATCAAGGCTCACCTTAAGATACAGCTCAAGTGCAGTGGCGAACGTGGCGGGTGTAGCCGCTGCCTGGCCTCGTCTGCTGAATGCGTCTATGGCCCGGAGGGTGATGGCTACGGAAACGGTAGGAGGACCGGCCGAAGCAAAGGGGCCACCAGGCGGCGGCACCGGCAGACTGTGCCGCCAAAATCCTCTACCACCGACGACGACAGGCCCTCGACCACATCCCAGCATGGCAGAACGACTGTGGGTGTAAATGGCCCTTCACGACGGAGTCGGGATGCTGAGGACGGGGATGGGAGACGGCCAGATATCAACGGTTCGTCCTCAGCTCCCCCAGACTCGACCAAGACCGCTTCCGCACATATTGGTCACCCTTCAGACGGACCTCCCAGCACCGACTGGTCTGGTGACTTATTTGGGTTCGACGACTTCACGGATCTCAACGGGGCGGAATCACCGAGCTTTGGCCTCAGCAGTATGAACTCACCCGTCGACGGGACCCTGAGCAACTCCGGCTTCAGCACGACCCCAGGACCCGTACCCAGTCTCTCCCAGCCGCCCAATACGTCCGCCCGCGCCCCTTCCACAACATCAGCCTCTCTATCAGTGCCCGAGGACCCCTCCCCCTTGACTGCCCAGGACCAGGAGATTTGTTTCCCCCGGCTCGGGCTCACCCGCCCGGGCGGCGGCTGCCAGTGCCTCACCACCCTCGCCGGCATCCTCGAGCGCCTCGGCCGCTACCGCCTGGGCGACAAGCCCAAGACCGACAAGAACCTCGACTGCCTGCTCTTCTGCCTCGGCACCGGCGTCGACGCGTGCAAGAAGGTCCTGTCGTGCAAGGTCTGCAACGCCTGCCAGGAGCACTCGATACTGCTGGCGACCATCGCCGAGCGGCTCCCCCACATCTGCAACGACCTGTGCGGCTGCCTGCTGGTGCACCAGCACAAGGTCAGGGCGGCCGCGAATACCGGCGCGCCCCAGCTCCCCGGAGATCCGAGCGGTGGGAACCCGCAGCGCGAGAGCGAGGGCGAGCTCACGCTGGTGGATGGCGAGATCTCGTTTGGGCGCTACAAGATCCAAGGAGCCGAAATGCACCTGCGGCTCATACAAAACCTCATGGCACTTTACATGACAGATCTTCTGGCTGTCCTCGACCAGCTGTATCAGCGCATAGGTCAGGTTGATGGCACAGTTGGCATGTTGGACGAGGCGCGGGAGATGGCGACCACGGCTGAATGGATGCTGCAGCAGCTGCGCTCTGGGTCTTGAGGGGGTAAAAACCCCCTCCCCAACCTTCCTTTCTTTCTTTTTTTTTTCTTCTTCTCAATTTTTCTCTCGTCCTTTTCTCCTTGATTTCGTGTTTTAAGCTGTTGAGCTACAAGGGCTGTATTTATTTCTATTGTACACTGGGAGCCTGGGCGCAAATGAATGCTTTTTGAGCAGTGAAAAATAGGGATTATAGCCTGCTGTTTGCTTTAAGAGCCTGTGTTGAAACTGTGCTGGATAACGATTTGCACAAGCCGTTGAGAGATACCTGATTAGTTGTTCGCCAACTTGGACCGATCGATGGCGACCCATCGTTTGAGTTATAGATGTCAACTGTCAGGGATGAACGTTGCCTCTCGCCAGTCTGTCTGGAAACTGAAAGATCGTCTCCGAGAACTTCGTTTTATCCAATAGAGGTCGACTTCATACCGGAATGCAGACACAGATCCCTCTGAACTGTTCAATATAGAACACGAGGAGGGATAATCTATGACACAGTGTAGCTATACCACCAAGCAATCGGCCTGGCCATGCATAACCTGAGCTCGGCTCACCCTGTGAGTTAGGTATCTATGAACGACTTTTCCGTCGCGAGGCTAACTAAACGGCCAACTCATTCAACAAGGAGCTGTCAACTATTCTCAAAATGCGCACATTGTTACTCATATGCCACAACCTCCGTCTTCAACTCAGACATCAGTAATGAATCCATCCTGTTACTTTCAGACCCGGGAACCATGGCTGAAGGTAATGCCAATTTTGCAATGGCGACAAGAGTGATGGACTTTTCATTGGGCCCATGATGGCCATGACTTCGGCATCATCTCATCTGTGAGAGCAGAGTAATTACGTAATAGGATCTTGTTGATTTTTTGGATACCTCAGAACTGAACTGGACCTGAGGTTGCCTTCCACATTTGCTGTGGGGCAGTTAAATTATTCATCCTTATATGTGCACAACCTCGAACCAACATGCAGATACTGAGAACCACGAGATGTCCTTGTGTCGCTTGCCTTCTCATTGCGCTCCAGTGGGGAGGGGTCATCTACGCATGGTCTGACGGCCGTATCATCGCCCTGCTGGTCTTGTTCAGCATCCTGGTCATCGTGTTTGTTGGAGTAGAACGCTGGATTGGCGACGACGCCATGGTGCCCAAGCGCGTGGTTAAACAACGAAGTGTTATTGCGTCCGTTCTCTTCGCTTTCACAAATGGAGGTTCTTGCTATCTATTCGCCTACTACATCCCCATGTAAGTCCCCGCAAGCGCTGCCACTTGCACTGGATTCGTGCATTTACCTTAATGAATCGAGATCCATCCGACCACTGGCTGACCAGATATTGAGGGTCACAGCTGGTTCCAAGCTTGCAAAGGCAGTAATCCAATCCAGGCCGGAGTCAATATACTTCCGCTTGTGATTGCGCAGACGATAGCATCCATCTCGTGCGGCCTTGGCGTCACAGCCACTGGCTACATCTGGCCGTTCATGACAGCAGCCTCCGTCTTCACTGCGATAGGAGCAGGACTTTTGACCACCTTCCAGGTTGATATTTCGGTTGGAAGTTGGATTGGGTATCAGATTGTTTATGGTGTAGGTATGGGACTTGCAGCCCAGACACCCTTGATGGTCGCGCAGAACGTTGTCGCTCTCGAGGATATTGCCATTGCGTTTAGTCTCATTATGATGATGCAGGCTATTGGCGGGTACGTCTTTCTTCTCCTATGTGGCTTTACACAAACTTGGCGGCTAACATGATCTTTTCCGACGTCCAGGTCCGACTTCATCTCTCTGGTCCAAGCCGTCCTTGCGAATAGCCTCGCCAGTGACCTCGTCGGCGCTGGTCTATCTGAGGAGCAAGCCTCTGACGCACTGGCAGGAGGAGTAACAGATGTCTCGAATGGGCTGACGGGCTGGCTCCCTGAGAGCCCGGGTGCTCGCCGTCGTCAACGATTCCCTGACACACGCCTGGTTGGTCCCCGTTGTGCTCACTTCTGTTAGTCTCCTCGGAGCTCTGGCCGTAGAGCACCGCAAAATCAGAGGCAAGGAGGCAAAGGTGGCGAAGGACGACGAGGCTGCGATTGAGGAGACAAAGGAGGGCAGCAACCCTGTTGTCGCCTTCTAGTCCAGCTTATCACTGGCGATTTCGAGATCAACCCAACTCCGCTGTACAGACACATAGGGCCGTCTCTGTTGCTTGTTTTCCATATGGTCTTTCTTTCTGTGCATATACATATGCTATAGTCATAACTAGGATCTGAGGTTATTCTATACGGCCGTATTGCAAGGTGCGAGACCAAGAATAAATAAGCGCATTTGAATCTATGCTAGAATCCAGACTTGAAGACTTGCCGTTTGAGAAACGATAACATGTATTTATGAATTGAAGGAGCCGAATTGATATGTATACAAGCAGGGCCTGCATCAGGCCATTATTCTTTCTGTTTGGGCGGCCTGATAGCTTTTAAAAACCAACTGGTAATCCCATCCCTGGGCTTGCACTTGTCTGCCACAACTTACGGAGGAACGAGTTCAAAAGAAATTTAATTCAAGTTTCCTGAAAGGTGTGCCAAACGACTGATGGCACATCAGAAGCTTGGAAATATCGGACGGTAATTTTATATTCAACTTTGTGCATAGTTCTTTAAGCGCCTACGACACCTGACCTGGGCGGGACTGTTGCCTTACCTCTCTGAGTGTCCTAGGAAGGGATTGGCTTCGAAAGGCTGGAGATGGAGAACCTGTGTTCTGTTGCAGCAAGCCTGCTCAATCAGGCCGCATTCTTCGGTTGGCGTGTCACAGTCGGCAGGCGTGGTTTACGGGCGTGTCCACGACGTACAGTCACTTGACTCCTTTGGCCTTTTCCAAGTCTCTACAAATTTGACAATATTCCCTTCTGCCTCGAACCATTTTTGCAGTGCTGTATATCAGACTGAGTGCTGCACTTGTGACAATTGTTTGTACCACAACGAACGAAGAAGCCATCAAGACGGCATTTCACTGCAGGCTACCGGTCCCATGCAGTAGTGTTGTTATTATTTCAGCCCACAACCTTCCAGGCATGGGTATTTGAACTATCAGAATCCTAGCAAGTCACGGAATTGCGTATCTCACTCGCCGGACCGTCACGGTATATATGACAAGCAGGAAATGGTCAGCAGTTGAGAGCCCATCCAGTCAGTGGAAATTTTTGATACGACTAATACCCTCTCATACCTTATGACAAATTTCGTCAGCATTATGGATTGTATCGAAGTTGCTTGTATCCAAGTCACACACCACAGCCGGAGTAGTAGCAGCAGCAATGGCACCAGTGGTGAGCCTTACAGTGACATGGGAGTTTGCAACAAAAGCCCCAGCTTTGACAAGCAGCAGCAGCCAGAGGTTTGCCCTAAAACATTTCTTCATGCTGAAGGTCCAAGCCTTCGAACGTCCCCCGCCTTCTACCTAGGCAGTTGACCTATCAGATCTCAAGAAATACGGGTTTGCCTGTCACTACCCGTTCAGTTCATATGTTCTTGTATTCTCATTGCTCATGAAGTGATCGATACAGGCGCAAAGCTAACACGTGGGTTTGATGGCAGACAGAAAAGTCCACGGTCGCCCTTACTGCTCCCTTCGCTCGGAACGAAATAGCCTTCAACAAACCCAACACTAGCCCAGCACCACTCATAAGGCTGTCATCTCCCACAATGTCTAGCTCCCGCATCCTGAGAAAGAGAAAGCATGAGCAAGGAACAAACAAGGCAGACAACAACGAGGATTGTGCGGCGTCAAAGCGTACACGAGAAACGCACACTGTTGACAAATGCAATCCAAACGTCCCACAACCAGATGTACCTCCAGCTCTGGGCCCGTCACCTATACCAGTCCGAAGCGACATCGATGTTACTACGCGCTCACGTACAGCCACATCAACCAAGAAAAACAAACACTCTGCTTCTGACCAAACACTTCGTCCCGACGCCTCTCAGGCTGATGCTGTGGTTGAAGAAGACCAATCTTCGTCTGACCTTGATGCGCTCAGAAGTCGAATCCAGGAGCTGGAGGAGGAGAGAAATGATTACCATGATAGCCTCCACAAGGAAACGGAGAAAGCCATGGAACGGGGCCGACAGCTTCTCCTGCTACGGGCTAGGACAGCGACAACCAAAGAGCGGAACGATAGAACACCCACAAGACAACAACCATCTCTCCATCACAAAGACGAAAGCGCCGATAGGATCAGTGGACCTGCAGAGGCTTCTCAACGGCATGAGCCGCCTAATGAACAACAAATTCCCCCAGGCAAAACAGAGGTCCTCGAAGAGATATCGATATCCTTTTGTTCGGTACTCGAGCACGAGCTACAGAAACCGGTCGAGGACCTGACTGCAAGGCTGTCTGAAGCTGAACGCGAAATTGCGGATAGAGTTGCTCAAGTCTTGAAACTCTTCAAGTACAAATGGCAAGACGAGCAGTTTGCTGCTCAGAGTCGTGCGATGCGCAAAGACGACTGCAAACTGGCCCAGGCCACCAATGAGCCGCCAAGTGGCCAGGGAGAGGCGACGGCCTTGCTGGAGAGAGGTCAGTCAGACGGACTGGAGCCGCGAAGAATGTCTCTGGACAGCACCAAGGTAAAACTGCTTCATGAGACGAATCATCGCCTGACAGAGAAGTTACGGAAATGCTGTACCGCGGGGGCCAAGTTGCAGGCTGAGGTTCGAGAATTGCGTGCCAGTCTGGAAGCAAGTGTTCGCTGCAGGGATGAAATATCCATTACTTTGCAAGATGCCAGTCAGAGTCACGAGAGTGAGAAGGTGACTCTCGAGAATCGACTCCGAAGCCTCGAGTCTAACTTAGCCCAGGCATATCTGAATATTAAGCAGCTCCACAAAGAGAAGCCATCGATAACACCACTTCAGATCCTTGATGAAAGTGGCGACATCCTGGCTCGTCTACGAGCTTCACACGATCTTCGTCAACGGATTCTGATTGAAGAACTAAAGAGCTCGCAGTCCAAGAACCAACACTTAGAGGCAGAGAACAGCAGCCTCGCGGAGTACCTGTCCGAGCTCAAGGAAAGATTGCAGACGCTGGACCTAAACTTCTCTGAGAGCCAACACCAGCTACGCACTGCGGAATCCAAGATCAGCTTACTTCAAACAACGGTTCAAAATCTGGAGTCTTGTCTCCGGCACACAGCGACAAAACATGCAGAGGACGTGCATCCACTGGAAGTCAGGATCACGGAGCTTTCCGAGCCACTCAACCAAGCTACAACCGAGGTGGCGAGACGAGAGGAAGAATTGATCGCCTTGCGAGCAGCATGTCTGGAGAAAGAACGGGCACTGCAGAAAACACAAAAGGATCACGAGAGCACTGCCGAGACACTCGCCGCCAAGATATGCGAGACATCAAAAGCTGACGCTGAAATTGCCCGCCTCCGTCACCTCGAATACGCTGTCACGGAGCATGACAGGGCTGTGAAGAGACTCGAAGAAGGCAGTGAGGAAATGCTCTGCCAGCAACACGAACGGCTCGCTGCCCTCACGGGGGCGCGCAAAGAAATAATTTTGCAAAGAGACCAGAACGGAGAGCTCCAGAGGAAGAGCGAAGCCTTGGAGCGGAGAGCACGAGAGTCAGAGACGACGAAGAGGGAAGACGAAGCGCGGTTTACGCAATTTCTGCTATCCGTTGAGACTCAAATCGGGCGCCAGATCGAGGAATCCGGGGGAGAGTTGGGAGACATCCCGGAGATCCGCCGACCTGACGACGCTACCTTGAAGCAGCTGGAGGACCGTCTACAGGAGAAGCTGGACATGATTGAACATGAGCTCAAGTGGTACAGGGACGATCGTGCCACAATTTACAACGAGTACCGGCGACTGGAGCGATGGCGAAACGAGATGGCGAGCAACGTGGCCGCCAGGCTGGGCACGATGGCCGGATCAAGGCAATCCGGCGGCTGACACCTGTTTGGATGCCATTCATATGAATTATTCTGTTTCGGAAGGCACGTTGTCCAAACCCCACCCCTAAAACGAGACCCAACGCAATGCACATGGCAACAGCGAAAGGCAATGATACTGACGGTAAAGCTCTGCAGGTCCTTGGTATAAGCAGTCAAATTCAGCGTGGCCACGTGAGAGGCGAAAGAAACACATCTCCCAAAGTTCTCGTGATATTTCGTTTTCGGATGTAATCATGGATAAGAGAGACCCGTCATGATGACATGAGAGGATATGCTCAGCTGGTGGCAAACCCGAACTTCACAGCATTGGTATTCAGGAGAGAAACATAGACTTTGCTTTCGGCTTTGGGGGGAATATCTTGAGGACAAGTGGGTGGACATGTGATAGGACCTATGGGTAGAGCGAGTCTGTCAGGCGCCTTGGATTTACAGGCATATCAACCTCTGGATTGGATATGACCTAATGATTGATGTTACCATGGACCCAAGATGTAAATTGAGCACGTGATCCTCTCCTTTTGCTGAACCTCAACCTTGGAAAAGTGAACTCTCTTAGTGCACGCCTTGAGTCGTGATCAACGTTGGTTTGTGATGAAGCGGTGATCAATTCTTGTAGGTGATTGTCATCGACTGAGTCTCCTGAGTGGTGATCAGCACGCAAGAGTGAAGCCCAGGCGCCGGTGACTCGCACCTGACCGCCAATTGAAGATCTCGTCCAAAGTCAATTCAGCAAGTCAGTGTCCACCGTGATTGACGGAGATTCTGGACAAACTAGTCTACCCATTTGCCGTCTTCTGAGAGTCGGCAAGGGCTCGGGGGTTAGGGATACTCCAGCAGCCCGTTCTGACGCCGAGAGGTCGGGATTCCGGGGTTACAGGCCATTCCCCTGAGATAATAAGTGGGCTCTGGGAGATCCGTTTCAGGGGAATTAGGCCAGCACACCTAAAAAAGATGCATCAAGCTCGGGCGGTGATGTGACGCCGTGTCATGTTGCTCGCCTGTCCTCTGGCCTCCCAGCACTATTTTCGTTGTGTACATACCATGTGAAAGAATACATCTTCCCACAGCCGAGCCGTCTGTCACCCGCGCCCACCAGAGGAACCCTCTCGGACGACAGACAATGTTAAGCAACCTCTGGGGCGGACCTGCCCCGCAGCAGCGAGGGGAGCAGCTGCTGCCCCAGACACGCGCCGGGGCCGAGGACCCCGGCGAGCACAAGGACGGCGACGAGAAGCCCCTGGACCCGGGAAAGCAGAGGGACAAGATCAAGTGCCTCGACGGGCTCCGGGGCGTCGCGTGCTTCCTCGTCTTCAACTACCACTTCCTGTGGCCATGGACGCCGCTGATCATGCTGGGGTACGGGGCAAGGCCGCCGTTCTCACCCGAGCCGTTCACCGAGTGGGCATCGCTGCCCATCGTGTGCCTCCTGCACAGGGGGCGACCCATGGTGGCTATTTTCTTCGCCATATCTGGCTACGTGCTCTGCAGGCACATGTTGAGGTCGATGTACCAGGGGCGGCTTGACGACACGCGCAAGAGGCTCGGGTCCGCGGTGTTCCGGCGCATATTTCGCCTGTACATCCCGCCGTCCATCAGCATGTTCATCGTGGCCTTACTGGTGCAGATGGGCGCGTTCAAGTCCGAGGATGCTATCTACAAGGGCAGCGACTCGATCTGGATCAACGGGACCGTGACACAGGGTTTCTTCAACGAGACGTGCATGACCAACGACACTATTGCGGTAATGGGCACCGAGGGAGTAGCTGGTGCGTTGGGCTTGCAGACCCCATCTTACCTCAACAGCTCGATCCATTGGAACGACACGCTGTGCCTCAACTCCACGTCGACACTATACGGCGCGGCCGCCATCTACGCCCCGGAGAACCAGATCCAGGTGAAAAAGCCAAAGAGGATGCTGAACGGCACGCTGGGGCTCAACGAGACGCTGCATTTCAACGAGACCGAGGGCTTCAACGAGACCCAGGAGAGCAGCACCTGGAAGGACAAGGGCACGCTGCGCGGGCTGTACAGCTACCTGGGGTACCACGCGGACGGCTCCCAGTTCGAGGTGCCTTACCTCAACTCGAGCTTCGACTTCGACTTCGGCCTGAACGCCACCAACACCACGCAGAACTTCACGTGGATGCAGCTGGGTGGCATGTGGGAGGAGCACCCGGTCATCCACCCTCACATCTTCAAGGCTCTCGCCAACTTCACGGTTGTGTACACGGAATGGGCAAACCCCTTCAACTTTAATCATTACCACCCGCGCTACGACCCGCACACATACACCATACCGATGGAACTCCGCGGCTCGATGGTGCTCTACACCTTCCTGCTGGGCACGGCGGCACTCAAGGCAAAGTGGAGACTCGGCACGGCGGCGGTCCTCTCCCTCTACGCCCTGACCCTGGGCCGGTGGGACATCGGCACCTTCGTGGGCGGGATGGTGCTCTCCGAGGTCGACGTGCTCCGCTCCTCCGACCCCAGCGAGGTAGGGCCCGAGGACCGCGCCCTCCTGTACGCCCTGGGCGGCGGCAAGGGGGCCGCCAGGGGCGCCTGGCAGAAGATGTCGCCGCTCAAGGCCAGGGCCCTCCGCTGGTCGCTGATCTTCGTCGCGCTCTGGTTCCTCTCGTACCCGGACGCCGCCGCCGAGTACACGCCCGGGTTCAAATGGCTCGCCTGGCTGGCGCCGCGCTACTACCACCCGATATCCAAGTGGATGTTCTACCAGGCCGCCGGCGCGCTGCTGCTCATCCCCTGCGTGCTCCGCAGCCCCACGCTGAGGAACCTGCTCGAGGGCTCGGTGGCGCAGTACCTGGGCAAGGTCAGCTTCTCCTTCTACCTGGTCCACGGGCCGGTCCTCCACTGCCTCGGGTTCTGGATCATGCCGCGGCTGTTCGAGCTGTTCGGCAGGCCGGTGGGGTACGTGATGGGGTGGTTCATGCTCCTGAGCGCGACGCTAAAGCTGGTTTCGTACTGGCAGGTGATCGATAACTGGAGCGTCACCGTGGGGAGGAGGGTGGAAGCGGTGTTGGTCCGGTCGTGATGGAGTCAGTTGTCCAGCCGTGTTGACATTTGTGCATTTGCAAGGGCAGAAGTGGCCCGGTCTACCTAGATATGAGCAGGGCCGCATGTCCCCAGGGAACCATAACACCCACCGCCGGAACAGTGCTAGACGGGTGACATAGCTTAGACAAGAGCCGCATGAAAGGGCAGTGGCATTTGCAGAGGATGAGGTTCAGGAGTTGGTGGTGGATTTGGGCATAGAATAGATCCTTTGGTTTGAATCGGCGTTGGCGGGCATTATTACACATTAACGTATCGGCATATACAGGCACTTACGGTCACATTAGACACATGGCGTCTAGATAAAGATCCTGATATCAGAAATTCAGGACGCCACAGGGCAATGCCTAAATGTAGGCTCTGTAGGATTTATTGGCACCGTTGAAGCTTACCTTGCAAATCTCAAGGATGGTGGCATCGTCGAATTGTCGTGACCGAAGCCCCTGCACCCGAGCCGCTCCCGCAGGCGCACAGGCAGGCCCAACCCCGCCGGTTGATTGATTAGACTAATGTAGGTACTGGCTGCTGGGCCGAACAGGCACAGCCATTACGGGCTCGGGGCGCCGTACTACACAACATTATGCAACCCAAGATCCTCCGATGTCAAGCCGCGAGCCAACATCACAATGCATACAACACCCCATTGGCCCTCGGGAATCATGCCGACCAACAGGATCATGATGAGAAGTGGTTGGTCTTAAGATGAGGCGTCCTGCGGGTGCGTCGTCCACTGGCACACCTACTCGGCCCCCCCTTTTTGCCGCCTTTACGACCCTTCCCAGATTTTTCCCAATTCCAATTTTAGGATTCCTCTATCGACGCAATTTGCTGCGAGGGAATCGCGACACCCGGCGCCGGGGGCTGATTGGGCTGTCGTGTTCTCGCTGAGTCGCTGTGCCCCATACCCGCAGACACGGCCGATTTTAACTTCTGATTTCGACCGGGGAAGGATTTCACGGCCCAGAGCCAGGAACGGCGAAGGCACTTGTCCGCAAAGGGAGCGCTGCGCAGCCAGGAGGAGTCTATGCCTTGTGGGCCCACGCCCGCCACGATGCGACCCCAATCAAAAGATCCTGGCCGCGCCCCCGTACCTGCGATCTGCAGGTGAAGGGGCTTCGTTTTCTCCAGGTTTTCTTGCTGCTCGGCTCCTCCTGTTCGAACCTGCATGCTATCTATCCAGACAACAGAGCAGCCCCCGGCCCCCAATGCCTCGAGAGGGCGCAAGCCAGCGGGAACGGTCCAGCTCTGAGCAATAAAACGGATCGCAGTGGGGACTCCTGAGCTTTTTGATCCTTCTATGAGATCTCATTACCCCGGGGGCCAGACACTCGGGGCATTTTCCCCTTGACCACCTCGTCGCTAGCACCATTACTGCGTTGTTTGCCGACCAAGATGGTCTCGCGCTCTCTCCTTCTCATGGCTGCGGCGCTGATGGCCCGGGTCGCAGAGTCTTCATCGGCCCGCGTGACATCGGTCTTCATTGACACCGTCTCGGGGTACGACGAGCTGTCGACATGTGCCGAGGAGGTCCTCTCGACCATCGTACGAGCCCAGTATAGTGGATGCGGGGACAACGGCGCGGTGACGAGCTACACGTGCTTCTGCACGGATTCGAGCTCACAAATGAGCTCGATGATCACGTCGGCCGTTACACTGTCTTGCGACTCATCTATCGCCTCCGCCCAGGCGTCAAGTGCGATCGGGGTGTTCGATGCATACTGCGAGATCGGGGTCCCAAGCGACCTAGTGGCAACGACGACGGCCGGTACGTGACGTTGGATGGTTGCCAAGGCGAATGATCGAGAGAGTTATTTGTACTGACCCTAGAAACAATAGCTTCCACAGCAAGCGCGACAGAATCTCCGTCGCCAGCATCGACGGCGTCGACAACTGCGGCATCGGCGACTTCGGTCTCCACTTCATCAACCTCGGCATCGGCGTCGGCATCCAGCGACTCAATGAGCCGCTCGAAGGTCGTGGCCATCGCAGTGGGCGTATCAGTGCCTTGTGGCGTAATCATCCTCTCACTAATAGCCTGTCTCTTTTGGTGCCACCGCCGCCGACGCCATGAGCAGCTGAGATCAGAGAAGCGCCAGCAGTTGGAATCGACGTCCCACGCGGCGGGCGTCGGAAATTCGAGACCCGAGTTCAGGTGGCCGGCCCGGATCGCAGGCTCGACACAAGAACTGCCGACGCAGCATCACAGCCACGAGATGCCGGCCAAGGGGCCCATCGCCTCGCCCAGCAGTTCCGAGTACCACATATCGCCGTTACCAATCACGCCGGCCCCTCAGAAACCGCCTGTCTATCAGGTCCAGCCAGAGAAGATCCCATACCAGCATCAGGAGTTCTACCAGCCGCCGAAGGAGGCGCACCACCAGCAAGAACCTCAAGAGCTGCCGGCGTCGGGACAGCTGTCGATCGAGAACCGGCATGAGTTGGAAGGGAGTCTCAGCCCGGTGTCGCCATCGGGTCGTTTCTCATATCAGGCGAATGATAAGTGACTGGGCGAGGCCTTGTTGAAAGCGGAGAAGATACCCTGCGTTCGTGTATTTTATGACTTGATGTAGATAATGAGATGGCTTCTTCCATTCGACCCAGACACTGCCGTGCCACTGATTTGTTCGCTGCGTTCATCTCTTTGGCTGCCCAGTGAGAGAAGACGAGGAAAGCTAGATCCACAGAAAATCCGTGAGAGTTCTCGGAGACAGTGACGATGATATACATGTCGCCTCGAGGTTGGTGTGTGGTCGAGCCAAGAGTCGTGGAATTGTAACGACGATTACCCAGGCCACCTGCCTGCATGTACGTGCACCCCTAGCTTTCCCAGGGACCCGGACGTCAGAACTCAAAAACCCAGGCTCCTGCACGGGTCGCTAGCTGCCTACTGCAGGTGCTGTGGCCCAGGCGGGCACAAGCTCTAGAGAAAGGGTGCCGTCCGTCAGTCTCACGGTTGGCCGTGCTGGGTTTGTGGGTTTAGGCCTGCCTCGATCTCATTAGGGGGTCCTCCTCCGCACCAACGCGGGGCCTTGCAGGCTTTCGCGGGGAAGAGGGCCCCACATTTCACTATCTTTTGTGAGATGTGACATTAGTCTACGCTAGAGGTAGGTGCAGAAGAAGATGGTTTGCCTCCTTGATATACGTGATGGCGGCTGCTTCCTGAATTCTTGACAAGCTTGGCAGGACCTGTGACAGAAAAGGCACACGGGCAATGACCTAGAACCCACTGTCAAAATTTAGGATGAAGGCGCGGTTGGGGTTGCCCACCACATTTGCAGCTTCCAAGACATCGGTGGCCCTTGGAGAGGAGCCAATAGTCCTTTTGCAGAGAGCGGTCAATTCGAACCTGGTACAGCGGCCGTTGTATTAAGCGGCGTAAGCGTGTAGGTAGCAGCTGTTTATGTGTTCATGTGTCGAAATTATATTGGATAGACGTTCAGTCTGATGAGTAGAATGCTGCGGATTGAATTCACACACAACTAGATGTCAAGGGCGTTCTTGCACTTCCGGCTAACTTGACCCACAGCTTTAAGGGAATTCACTTCCTTTATTTATTATCAAGGGTGCTATGGAAGAAGAGGGCGATCCCTTATCGAAATATCATGTCGGCCTGCACAGCTGCGGAGGGTCACGAGAAATTGTGAGCGTTGCGTATTCTCCTTAGTCTGGGACTTTTTTGGTCCGGTTTGCGTCCATCATGCAAGCGGCCTTCTCACCCACAATTGCGACTCCGACACATTGGAAAGACTCTGGAAGCTACCAAGTCCCCAAGACAGTATGTTTCCAACTAGCTGTAAAACCGCTGTCTCGAGCCAATTTGGCCCGGAGTTTGACATTTGTGTTGGCCTAGATATCTACCCTGCTCGGCTACCCGTCGGTGCCGAACACGGCAGGGAAAATTTGGAGCTCTCGAGCTTCTCGTCCCTGACCTAACTGCTGCTCCCTGCCGTCAGCGACACATTGACTCACCCCGCCGACGTCTTTCCTGCCTCGTCGCAAGTCCTGAACAGCTTGGCTGTCTTCACTGGCAATTGAAGAGACTGCATCGATCTCCGGCCTCTCAGCCATACCAGCCAAAATGGACGTCGACTCTAACATGATCGACCCCGCCCTGTCCGACTCCACGATGGACCACATCCCCTCCACCCACGCCAAAGCCCCGGCAAACGACGACGACGACCCAATCGTGGCGTCATACAACGTCTTCCTCAAGCCCTCGCTGCCCGCCCACCGCAGGGTCATGATCCTAGAGCACCCCAACAAGTCCGACGGCAAGAAGATGGCCCGCGCCCCGCTCGAGATCCGCATGAAGACCAACACGGGCATGGTCGAGGTTGACTACCCCATCGACTACAACGCCTTCTACGACAGGTCCAAGGGCCTCAGCTGGGGCACCCACCTGCAGAAGAGCACCGAGGCCAAGAAGGGCGGCACCCACGGCCTCGCGGGCGGCTTCGGCGTCGGCGCGCCCCCGCCGCGCGCCAGGCCGGGGAGGGCGCAGGACGAGGTGTTCGACCCGAGCACCGACTGGGCCGAGGCGCTGAGGAAGGACTACGTCCTGCGAACGCAGACCCTGGGCGGGCAGATGCCCGACACAAGCCAGGAGTCCAAGTACATGGTTGGGGTATTTTCTGGACGTACGTGAAATGCTGATCTAATTCTCTGGCACCCCCACTTGTACAATCGCTTACGGTGTCCATCCACGCGCAGCAAACCTACACCTCACACCCGCGACGTCGCTCATCCACCTCCGCCCGCAGCTCCACCACATCGACGCCACTACCGAGCAGGAGCGCCTGGCCGCCACCGCGGCGGCGGCGGCGCGGGCGCGGCGGCGACCAAGGACGTCGCGCGCGCGATCCACATGACGGTCAAGCAGAACACGGACGGCAGCGAGGAGATCGTCCAGGAGACGATGGCGGACCGGCTCAAGAAGGTGCAGCTCGAGGCCTGGAAGAAGATGCGCTACGTGCACGAGGAGGCCAGCGACTCGTGGGCCGTCGCCGAGGAGGCCCTGTACCTGCACCAGCCCGAGCCCGCCGCGGCGGAGCAGGACGCCGGCAAGGGCAAGGCGCCCGAGGCCGAGGCGGCCGACCCCCTGAGCCAGCCCGGCCTGCCGGACCTGGTCGACAAGGTGGCGCAGCTCCGGACGGGGTGGGACGAGCACAGCATGCTGGAGACGACGAGCGGATCGCGCGGCCCCAGAAGAACGTAAAGATCGAGATCTCCGACGACGAACCTGCTGCACCCGCGTCGAAGGCGAAGGGCAAGGGGAAAGCGGTTGCCACGACCACGACCACCACCACCACCACCACAAAGGCCACATCCAGGGGTAAGAGAGCAACCAACACCGCGAAAGCAGGATCTTCGAAAGCCAAGAAGAATGATTCATGATTATACGAGTGCTGATTACGGACGGCGTTACTTTGTCATTTTTAGGGTCAGGGTCGTGATGAGTCGACCAAGGCAGCAGGAACGCTTTCTAGATGCATACAACGGCGTTGGTTAGGCGCAAAAGGTCAAGATACCCATCACGGATGAGAAGGGCATTGGTGCGCTGCAAGGTACTGAATGCATATATGCATGTTGTATTTCCATTCCATGGATACTATGGTTCGCTGATCAACAGTGATCGGCTCAATTTATCGAACAGGCTCAAGACCCCCCCGACATTAAACTTCCCTCAATGCTGTGAATGAGACAAGTCTCCCAACTCTTTCTCTTAAGAGTGCTGGTCTCCACGGATTGTACAAGCCTCCCGTGCCTGTCGCTCAGAAATCCGTTTCCTGTGATTCGATGCCACCTGAAACCACAATCCTCGAGACAGTTGTCCACCTTGCGTCATTGATTTCAGTTTGTAGCCCATGGCTGCGGTTCGTAAATGTCGCTACTTTGCCCTTCCAAGAATTTTCATCCCGCTTGTCTTTCTTCGGACCTGATAGAGCCCCACGTGCACGTTGCTGAGGGGCGTAGACATCGAGCCCAGTCGTAGGCTGTGTAGATCAACCCAGCAATGACACATCGAGACCGATGGCCTGCATGAACAAGTTCACGTTGTTGAGGCGCTGCACTGCCAGATCCTGAGGCAGAGTCTTGGCAACCTCGACGGTCCCAAGCACGCGGTCCTTGACTCCTACAACCAACCGCTGCTGCTGATCAGCATTGGCACCTATGCCCAGGGCTGCGAGAAGCTGCCACACGTAGGCATCCTCGCCGGACACAGGTGTGCCAGGGAACATGTATGGAAGAGTGGGCTCCAAGATGTTAAAAAGATTTGCGTAATTCCGCTCCCTGTACAGAAGTGATCAGTATATTGCGTGCGGTCGGGTGTGAGTCATTACATACCATGCACCCCCATCTTGGGTCCGGATGGCGTCTTTGCCTCCCTGCTGCTGGATCATAATCTCGGCGCGGCTCAGAATCATGGTCAAGAAACCGGCGCCAACGCGGGTTCTGGCAACAAGGTCCACATTGACCTCGGAACAGAGCAGACCGAGAATGCCGGTGATGATGTTCAATTCGAGCTCACCCATGAACATGAAGAGCGTGTTATGTACTGCCACGCTGAAGAGCTCGATGTCTTCACGCAACTTGGCATCGAGGTTAATGTGACCATCGGTAACCGAGCCCCTCCGGACGACGTCAAGCTTGTCGAGATTGACGACGATCAATGTGAGAATCGTCGTGCGCTGCTCAAAGTTCACATGGCGAAAGACACGTGGAATGGCCTTCTTGCCCTTCGCAGTCTCGAGCATTGCGATAAAAGGATGAACGAAGGCCCCTGCGGGTACGGGTTCATGGATCTTGAGCTCTCGCCAAAGCTGCTGGTTGAGCTGCTGTGTTGTTTGCTCCCACTCAGCGAACTTCTGAACGAGCTCCGAATCATTCTCGCTCGTCGCTGGAGGCGGCATCTTGCGCCCGTGATCCTCGAGCTTCATTAGAGTGTTGTAGACCTTCTCAATGTCTGCGAGCAAGTTCTTCCTGTTAAGAATTGAACCAGCGGGGTGGGTTTTGTGTGGTGTGCCCTGACGATGAACATCGCCGCCACTCTCGGTACGCTTGATGTTGAGCAAAGGCTTTGGGGTCTTGGCGTTGCTGAAAGAGATCTTGCCTAGACTGCCCTCGATCACCAGTTGCGAGTTCTTGGGCTTGTTCTTGGCCGCCTCTACAGCCCGCTGAACTTGCTGCTCCATGCGCTGCATGTGGTTTTCCGGTCCACCACGGTGACGTCGGTGACCGCCTTGACGGTTGCCCGTCTGATACAAATACGTCTGCGCGAAGTTGCTCAGAGGCTGGCTGGGGTTCTGGCGTTGGCCACCGCGGATCTGGTTGTGAACTTGGTAGTAGAAATCTTCCGCGAGAGCCTCATCGGTACCGTTGTCGGACGGGTTGCCCGTAGCAGCAACAAGCTGTTGGAGCTGTATGCGTGTGATGAAGTTCTTGTCGTGCGGGGTCATGATACCGTTATCGCGAGACAATAGGTAGATCTTGTGGTTGCGCTTGGCTCGGCGTGCCTCCTGCTCGAGATAGGCCGCCTTTTCGTCCTCCGAGAGCTGGGCCAGTTGCGAAGGATGGGTAATTATTGGCGGCTGGCGACCAATAGACCCTTGTGACTGGTGTGTAGCATGAGACGGGTAGGACGGTGCTCCCGCCCGAGTAGCGTCGCCGGACAAGCGGTTTGGATTCTGCAGAATCTGGGTAGGCTGGGGTGCCGGCTGCCGCTGCTGAACCATGGGGCTTGAAGAAGCTGGCACGGTAGGCTGTGGTTGCTGGGGCTTCGAACGAGGGCGCTGGAGTATCTGCACTGGTTGGCCATGCGAATGAAATTGTGCCGCCTCGTTGGGACGCTGAGCGTCAGTTGAAATAGGAGGTTGTCCAGCACGTTTAGATCCACCGTAGAAGTCAGCTTGGTCAAAACCACCCGGAACTTGGGGCACATGTTGCTGCTGCTGCGAAGCCGGTTGCTGGAAGGTAGCCTGAGCTGCTGCGGCGGCATCGACCTGGGCTTGCTTCCTCGCTTGGGCTTCAGCTCTCATCGCAGCCTCGACCTCCTCCAGGCTCATGACCTTACGGCCAGATGCTGGCGCGGGCGCTGGGGAGGGCTGAGCTGGAGCGGCAGGGGCAGGCTGCTCAGCAGGAGCTACACCCCACAGGGTAGGGTCGACTTGGAGATCCATGCTCGAGTCCGGCGCATCGTATTTCTCATATCCCGTACGTGCAGGCCGGTAAGAAGGCTGCGCGTAGTTGTTGTAAGATGGTGCATACTGAGGGTTTGTATGAGCGGGTGGGGCTGCAGCAGTCGCATTGTTGCGGGTATAGAGCATGTGCTCTTCCTCGATGGCGTTGGCTACCTGAGCGGTCCGACCAAAGAAATCGAAATCCTTGCCAACCGCCCCACCTCCTGCACCGGCGTCGCCTCCGAAGGTATCATCGTTGAAGTCATCGCCGGTTTCATCGAGCTGGTCGCCCAGGCCATCGTAAGTGTCTTCGAAATCGACAGCGTCTCCGTCACCTTCGTGGTGACCAGAGAGTCCGGCGAAAGGATCGTGCGCCTGAGAGAAGCCAGGTGCGGCTTTGTTATGTCCCGTGGGATCAAAACCAAAGAATGACATTTTGCAGGTATTTAGTCTCGAGTCTCAGAGGGGTCGAGAAGCGGATACGGGGCTGAAAACTTGTCAGTCAGAAAGGGAATGCTGAGGAAACACAACCCGCCCGTTGCATGTCGCAAGCTGGGCAACTGGGTAAGGATGATACAAAAAGAGCAACGTTGTAGGATAGTTAGTGAAGTGAAGAGCGTGGAGTCTGGGTTTGGGCAGTGGGGTAAGACCAGCTTTCTGATGGCGCGGGAAGACCAGATGGAGCTCCGGCGTCAGGAATCGAGGCCAAAGCTGTTGTGAGGTGGGCGGAAACCAGCAGTCCTAAGCTTGCCATAGGCAGGCAGCTTTGAACCGTCTGGTGAGGCCCAAGTGGGTCTGTGGTGGAAGGTGGGCAAGGGAGGGGTGAACAAATAAAGGCCGAAATGATGCGGCTGACGGCGTTGGAAGTGAGGACTTGCGCAAGCGCTTCAGTCATGGAACGGAGCTGGGTAAGTACTCACACCTAGAGAAAGTAAGGGTATGGTGTGTCTCCAATGGTCGGCTCTATCATGATCATCTCGAGACACAGGTGGGCAGGATTGCAGCAAGACAGGATCTTGGCCTAGCCGGTCCAAATGGGGTCAAGAAGCAGGACAGTGTGGCCCTGTTTCCCAAGAATAAGTATGTGTGGACAGTCAGGAAGCAGCAGGTAGGCGAGAGGAGCCAGGCAGCCCCAAGATCAAAACAAGCGACGAGGTCGACGTGGTAAGGATGGTTGGGCGGTGGTGGGAGGATGACGCCTGTCACGATGCACAACACACGGTGGTGATGCGACAATTGACGAGGAGAGCTCCAGGACTAGTGCAGCTGCACGGGCCATTGTCGGCGCTGTGGCTTCCGGCACCCGAGGTCCATACGTACCTACAAGTACAGCGCCTAGGTACCGGGCTATTGGGTAATAGTAGCCTCGAGGGTGGGCTGTCCAGCTGCCAGCCATCGAGGCATTGTTATAGTTCAATTGCATCAGTTCTTTCCTTGCTCTGATAACAGCAGGCATACTGTCTTGGCAGTCTTCCACGACACAGGCTCCTGCATAGGATGTGGACGAGTACAGTTCAATCGTCTACAACTTTCTGTCTTTGGAAACCTGGCCATATGTTGCAGGTGTCTTTACCATTGCGATATGGGCCATCAAACAAGTTTCTTGTGGTAATGCGAACACAGACGGGCAATTAATCTAGCTTATGACAGTATGCCACCCGGGCAGCCGGGGAACTTTGTGGCCGGCGCCCAGTTAAAAAACAATATACCGTGACACCGTACTTGATGAGGATTCAGGACAGCGGCCGTAACGGGATTAGGCCCGCGGTAATACGAAAGGCAAGCTTTGTGTCATTGACGGGCTGTTTGAAATGGCTGGATCCGGCAGTAGGCAGTAATACGAGATTCTCGAGACTAGCCAGGTACACTGGGGTAGTTTTCACTGGACATAGGCACACCCAGGCCATCTCAAAACTACCTCAGTAGCTGCTTGCTACTGCTGTCCGGTGCAGGCTCTGGCACAGGTAAACCGTAACGGTTGACGGCATACGTGCGACTGACGTTATCCATGACCGTGAGAATGAGGCTGGGCGGCATACGAACAGGTGTCAGAGCAGACCCAATGGATCGGGCAAAAGCGAAACACCATGTGGACTTGTGGGCGGGAAGCAAATTAAGAGATTGTCGCACATCACCTGCGTGTTGACAGATTGACAAATGAGTGCCGGCGATGCGATGCTAGCAGACCGTGACAATGGGGCCTGACTGGGCAACCTTGGGATAGCCTACCTATCTCAGGGTCCTCCCAGCTGTGTTCTGGCCGGCCCCTCCGGGGCCTCTCTACTGGAGACACTTGCTCAAGAGTCAGTTAGCCGCCACAACGACGGATGCCGCAGCGAATGCTGGAGGACCTAAGCAGGTGAAGACTGCTGTAATGCAGATCTCGAGGGGCACTTGCGGCAGCTAGAATAGATACTACGTTTGCGACAACGAAAACAGGAGGGCAAAGGAATAGGGGGCATGAATCGGCTCAGGCCTGGGTGGCTTGGGTCTTGGGTGCTTGACGGGCAGAGTCACTTATCGATGCCACTCTAACTGATAAACGGCAGATCGGCGCAGGCTCTGTGTTAGGGAGTCCGATGGTCCCTGGCCACTAAATTAGCGTCAAGTGCAGGGGTAGGACAAACTGACGCGGCATCTAGACTCAGACAGGAGGGTGGTGCACTTGAAAGCACGACGACTTAACTGGCCTCCGTCCATTCGCACTTCTCGACAAACGCTTGTTTTCGCTTCTTCCATCCTATCGATTGTTCTACGGTCGCCAACATCCTGCCGCCGGCTTCCACTTTGCAGCAGCCGATCTCTTTCCTTCCCGTCTCACCTGACAGTGCCGAGTTGGCGCGGACCGTAGGCGGAGGATGCTAGGCTGAGCCCGAATTGCGATCTCTTGCTGCCGATCGAGCCACGACACTCGACCAGCAAAAGCGGCCGACCCTTTGAAAGGCTCACACTCCCAGCCCTCATTGACCCTGGCGACTACCGACTCTCCTTTCCCATCGTACAACCTCTTCTAGTCTTCAACATGGCTGGCGGCGTACGGATTCTGCGATACGCACTACCCACCGTCTTTGTATGTTCTCGCAAAGCCCACTCCCCGTCCACCGCATGCTCGACTGCCCACGTGCGACATTTGTACAATGTGCGCAGCAACGCCAGGCTGTATTAACACTGCGCCAGATAATCATACTTCTCTACATCGCTCAGACTTCCTACCGAGGCTCCATCACAAGCCCTGGGTTTTCCTATGGCCAAACAGATGCCAGCAAATCGAATGGCGGAAACACACAGCCTACCACCCCCAAGAACGGCGCAAAGAATGAAGACCTGGGAACAAGCCCACTGATCACCCAGCCTGGGTCGCCGCAATGGGAGGATCTGGCAAGCACTGCGCCCGGCCCGCGCATGAATGCGACTTTCGTGACCCTGGCTCGTAACTCGGACGTTTGGGACATTGCACGCTCGATCCGACAGATCGAGGACCGCTTCAACCGCCGCTACAACTACGACTGGGTCTTCCTCAACGACAAGCCATTCGACTCGACTTTCAAGAAGGTGACCACGTCTCTGGTCTCAGGAACAACGCACTATGGCGAGATTGCCGAGGAGCACTGGTCTTTCCCTCCTCATATTGATCAGGAAAGGGCTAAGCAGGTCCGCGAGGACATGAGGGAGCGCAAGATCATCTACGGAGATTCTATCAGCTATCGCCACATGTGCAGATTCGAGTCCGGCTTCTTTTTCCGCCAGCCGCTCATGATGAACTACGATTACTACTGGCGCGTTGAGCCCAGTGTTGAGATCTTCTGCGACATTCACTACGACCCCTTCCGGCTGATGAAGGAGCAGGGCAAGAAGTACAGCTTCGTGCTCAGTCTCTACGAATATGTCGAGACCATCCCGACTCTTTGGGACAGCGTCAAGAAGTTCATCAAAAACCACCCAGAGCATATTGCAAAGGACAACTCTATGGGCTTTCTCAGCGACGACAACGGCGAGAACTACAACCATTGCCACTTTGTAGGTTCCCTAGCAACCCGGATCTCCAGCACTTCACTAACATTGACCAGTGGTCCAATTTCGAGGTTGGCGACTTGAACTGGTTGCGTTCACAGGCGTATATCGACTTCTTCGAGTCTTTGGATCAGGACGGCGGGTTCTTTTACGAGCGATGGGGCGATGCACCTGTTCACTCCATCGCCGCCGGACTCATGCTGCCGAAAGATCAGATCCATTTCTTTAATGACATCGCATACTACCACGTCCCATTTACGCACTGCCCGACAGGCGAGAAGCACCGTCAAGATCTGAAGTGCCACTGCAACCCAAAGGACAACTTTGACTGGAAAGGATACTCATGTACGTTGTCTTCGCTCAAGGTATTCAGGGCCACGCTAATCCAAATCTGCAGGCACATCGAGGTACTTCGATATCAACGGTATAGACAAACCAGAGGTGGGAAAGCCAGCAAGACTAAACAAACCATTTGGCAATTCTCCAATTCATGTATTTCTACATTTTCTCGTAGTTCAAACCTTTTTCTTCCAAAAGCTATGGGTCGATCATACTTCTGGAGGGATCAAAGAATCTCGGAGGCGTCTGGGTCGGGACTTGGCAGGCCGGATTTGGGCGATGCGGTTTTTTTTATCGTGAACGGGATTGCATCCATAGTTATGAGGTCCACAATCACGAGCATTGAAGCCTCCGTGTGAGGCCCGTGGACTCGGAGCGCAGGCACAAGCGCCACAGGAAATATGAAGACGTTAAACAGTGACGATTGACGACCTGTGGCGTATCATGTGTCGAAGGGAAGCTTTCTGTCTCCTAGACCAGTTACTACACGGTGACAAATTGAAGAGTTTTAATTCACACATATATACATACAAGTGTACCAGTGTGGTGACATTTCTCTGGGATTTCATGATCCTGGAAAACAAGTGGTTTATTGGTCACTGGCTTTCAGTTGCCTGCCACTGTATGCCATTTGATTCTGCGATCAACAAGCGTATCTCCAGGCCCCGTTATCCTGATGACATCTCAGCCATCTTTCTCCACAAAAGTGTCGACATTGGAATCTGATTTCATGCTGGTCTAAAATGTAAATATACACCTCCTCCACTCGCCAGAGATGCCCAGCTCTTCGCTCCACGCCCCTCTACCCAGCCTTAACCAAGACTCGCCTTCTTGGGCTTCTTGGTACCGTACTTGCTCCGGGCGTTCGTCCTGTTCGTCACGCCGCCCAGGTCCAGCGCGCCCCTGACCAGCTTGTACCGCACACCGGGACAATCCTGCGCCCTGCCGCCGCGGACCAGGACCACGCTGTGCTGCTGGATGTTGTGGCCCTCGCCCGGGATGTAGGCCGTGATGGTCTTGCCGGTGGTCAGGCGCACACGCGCCGTCTTTCGCTCGCCCGAGTTGGGCTTCTTGGGCCGCGTGATGCCGACCTTGATGCACACGCCCTTGCGCTGCGGGTCGTGGCCGCCGGCGAGGGCGGGCGAGACGGCGTGGCGGGCTCGGCGGGTTTTGCGGCAGCCCTGGGATGTACGGTCAGTATGTGTAGTGATTGGAGGCAGGGGACCAGCTACAGGGCAGATCGCACCTTGAGAACTTGGTTCAGTGTCGCGTTCTGTGCCGGTGTTGAGGAGAAAGAGCGGAAGGGCGACGGTTTCAGGAAAGCAGATTTCGCCACAGGACGAGCTGCAGTGGCGACTGCCCTCCGTAGCGATGGCATCAACAGATGCCTCAGCATTGGCATCGCCATGGTTGTTGGGGGGGGTGAAGCTGCGTGGGTTAGATGCGCCTGGAATCACAGCTCGAGGCCCACTGGCGCGCAATGACATTGGAGTTTCCCATGAGCCCAAAATCTTGGACAGTCGATGTGGCCCGAGCGTTCTGCTAGGCTTAGTCACTTTCTTCACATGCCGCGTTCAAGATGACCCTTGGCCTCTTCCCCGGACCCCAATTGTCTCCATGACGCACCAGGCCGACAGCACCCCTGCGGCCAGGTGCCTCGGGGGAGCAGGGGTGTGCTCTAGGTGGGCATTGGAATGCGGGATGCGACCTGATGGTTATCCTCGGCTTGTGCCCGTTCACTCCATCGGCCTCTGGCAAGTCGCCTACTTGGCTCTTTTTTTCCTCAAACCCGCCGCTGACCATTGAGACATTCTATGCAACTCTTACTCCTGTGATCTTCGTGGCGATCCAATTCCTAGCCTTGCTTCCGCTATCTGCCCTCCATCCATAAGAATCCCTCCCGCACACCATGTCTTCTCTCGCGAGAGCGTTGCGCCCGGCTGTCCGGGTAAGCCAGAGGGGACTGGGCGGTCTGCGTACAACCCCCAGAGTAGCACGTCCTGTTCAAAGGCTTGCCAGTATACAGAAGTGAGTCCTATCCGTGTAGCTCGGCCTCGACGGCATGTTTACTCACCATCGTGACTTGGTAGTGCCCGTCCTCTGTCTACCAGTCCGCGTCTGATGTCCGACATCACGGAGATCCCACCCACGCCGATTACACATTTGTCCGAGGTCGAGACCGCGATGCAAGAGACTGTCTCCAAGTTCGCCAACGATGTGATCCTGCCAAAGGTCCGAGACATGGACGAGGCCGAGAAGATGGACCCCGCCATCGTAGAGCAGCTCTTTGAACAGGGCGTCATGGGCATCGAAATCCCAGAAGAATACGGCGGGGCGGGGATGAACTTCACGGCCGGTATTCTCGCCATTGAGGAGCTTGCGCGCGTCGATCCTTCCGTCAGTGTGCTCGTCGACGTGCACAACACGCTCGTCAACACCGCCATCCTCAAGTGGGGAAGCAAGGACCTCCAGAAGCGTTTCCTGCCCAAGCTTGCCACCAACACAGTCGGTTCTTTCTGCCTATCGGAGCCCGTGTCCGGGTCTGATGCTTTCGCACTGGCGACAAAGGCCACCGAGACACCAAACGGATACAAGATCTCAGGGTCAAAGATGTGGATCACCAACTCCATGGAGGCAAACTTCTTTATTGTGTTTGCAAACCTGGATCCCAGCAAGGGATACAAGGGAATTACTGCCTTCATTGTCGAGAGAGAGATGAAAGGCTTCTCCATCGCCAAGAAGGAGAAGAAGCTCGGCATCAAGGCCAGCAGCACGTGCGTCGTCAATTTTGATGAGGTCGAGGTCCCCAAGGAGAACCTGCTGGGAGAGGTGGGCCAAGGCTACAAGTATGCCATCGGTCTCCTGAACGAAGGCCGGATAGGTATCGCGGCGCAGATGACCGGTCTCGCGCTTGGCGCGTGGGAGAACGCCGCCAAGTATGTCTGGAACGACCGGAAACAATTTGGTCAGCTGGTCGGCGAGTTTCAAGGCATGCAGCACCAGATCGCACAGTCATACACTGAGATTGCAGCCGCGCGGGCCTTGGTGTACAATGCCGCCCGCAAGAAGGAGGCTGGCGAGGATTTCGTCAGGGACGCCGCCATGGCGAAGCTGTACGCGTCGCAGGTGGCCGGCAGGGTCAGCGGACTCGCCATTGAGTGGATGGGAGGCATGGGCTTCGTAAGAGAGGGGCTGGCGGAGAAGTACTGGAGAGACAGCAAGATCGGTGCTATCTACGAAGGAACAAGTAACATCCAGTAAGTCTCCAGTCTGTGATACCAGCAAACGGACGAATACTAACACTAGTCCAGGTTGAACACCATTGCGAAGCTGTTGCAAAAGGATTACACGTCTTGAGGACGTTCAGTCAGTCAGCTTGGAGAGCAACGGCGCATCTTGGCAGATTCATGTAAAATTTAGATGACAAGCAATTGGCAGCCAGCAATGTACCACTTTTGAAACTTCCTCTAATCGCATCCTACCTGCCGGCACCCAGCGGCTGCCATATCCCGGCCTTGTAATCTTCCTCGAGCTGCTTCACGACTTCTGGCCCGACTTCAGCAAAGTGCTCCGTCTTCTCGGCCCAGTCGAGCTCCTCCTTCGTACTCTCGCGGCCCCTGACCGCATTCGTGTACGGATACCTTCCAAACCGATCAATGATTGGCTTATGGATGTCCACGAGCATCATCCACCACCAAGACCACGTCTCCAACGTCACACCCTCGCCCTGCGGCGGACCAGCACGCACGACATTCGGGAAACCGTGGAGGTCCGAGAGGACCTCGTCCCGCCTCGCCCTCCACGGCCCTGCGGGTCGTGTCCGTGAAGCCCACGGCGATCTCTTGGTTCTCCGCGGACTCGGAATGGACGAACGGGGCGCCCAGCCAGAACCGAACGCACGTCCAGTAGTCAAACGACGCGCCCAGCTCGTCGCGCCAGCGGCGCAGCGAGTCCGGCCTCTGGTCGTCGGGCAGTGCCAGCCACGACCTCGCGAACCGCTGGCTCACCACGTCGAAGTAGCAGCTCCTCCACCTCCCGTCGACGCCGGCGCAGAAGGCGCGCGGCGCCTGGTCCAGGAGGAGCTGCAGGCCGAGGCACTGGCGGGGGAAGTCCGCGCTTGTCGGGGGCGGCAGGAAGTTTTCCATGAGGACTTCGGGCTTGAGCGCGTCCAGGCCGGCTTTGCTGAGGGCAATAAGGGCGGGCCATGCCTTGGACTCCACTTTCGGGGCGAAGTTTCTTTCGAGGAATGTCTCCCGCGCGACTTGCCCAAAGTCGAGGGAACCCGTCTGCGGGAAGGGGATGCGCGCCTCGACGAGGAGGGTGAGCAGGGAGGGGGTGATGAGTTGCTTGAGGTCGTCCATTGTTTTCTTTGCAGCCGTCTATGTTGTAAAGATGAGGACCCCCTCACCAGTGGTGCGGCGCAATCTCATTGCTGAGGCGCAATGGGCGTTAGCTCCAATGAGCTGGTGCGCTTGCGTTGGCCGTCCAGGAGTAAGACGGATAGATTTGATCCATTGAAGTCTCCACTATAGTGTCACATCCGAGGTCGATGTCAATCCAGGTGAGGACCAAAGTGTAAAAGAGAATTCTGGGTATACAAATGTTCTTCAAACTAGGTCAGAAGGACCAAACATACATTATTAGCTGTGACGGAGGAATATGCTCGGCCTCTGAAAAGTCCGCCGTATAAGACACCGCGAATTCCTCCGGCAATGACTTCATTGAGACGCACCACGACGTAGCGCGCTAGAGCTACGGCCTGAGAGCCGCCTCAAATGTTGCAGTTTGACTGTATTTAAATATCAGGACATTCTCATTCCTGGGGAGTTTACCATGCTTTGTGCCAGACCATCTTAGAATTCAATCGGACAGTTGCTCTGTGAGATTCACGACAGCGTGCCTTTCTCATTGACTCGCCTCGAAATTCTCAGCCCTTGAAGACGACTACAACTGGCCAAGATGTCCACCATCAACAGCGCCTTACAGGCCACAAGCATATCCGTCTCTCTCCTCACAGCTGGTGGTATCGCGACCCTCTCCCTCTTCGATGTCCCCATCCTGAGGGCTCAGCCAGCGTCGCGCTCGCTGCCCTCGGTCCGCTGGCTGTTCAGCCGCGGATCACACATTTTCCCAACGGCGGCTATCATCTCCGCGGCTGGCTTTAGTGTCCTCGCATACCGATCACTGCCAGGCTCCCTGGCGTCACGCACGGTATTGCAGCTGCTGCGTGATACGAGAGTGAGGGGGTACCTTGCCGCGGCCGCTCTGAACATTGCCATCGCACCGTGGACCAGCTTGGTCATGATACCGAACAACTTTGAGCTCATAAAGATGAACAACGAGCTCGGTGGTCATCGGAGCATCGCAAGCTCGCAGGCGGCTGAGAAGGAGAAAGGCGACCTCAGACAACGGAGTGCTCGAGACTCTGTCGACGGGAAGGGTGAGGGGATTGACCAGTTCAAGGATATCAGCGATCCACAAGAACAGACGCTACGCAAATCTTCTGATGCGGAGGATGAGAAGGTTAAGGCTATGCTGACCAAGTTTGGCTCCCAGAACTATGTGAGGGCTGTGTTGACGCTCGCTGGGGGTGTCGTTGGACTTTTGACGGCGCTGGGATGAGGACGTCGGCCTGAATTTCCTCCGAGGTAACATGCACGGCTTGAATTTTGCATAAAGCTCGAAGGTGCCCTACGCCCTGCACAAGCAAGTAAAAACAGTCTGAATAGATTACAGTCTGCTGAAAAGCCAGTTCTGTGACAGAGGCTGTATTCTGTGATGAGAGTTCGACCTATTAATTCGTAATTAGTCAATACGAGTAGTTCACGTCCGTATTGGTTGACGGCATTTAATCCTGCTTTCCCACAAGATTCTGAGGGTAATGCACGAGAGATGAGACACAAGACATATCAAGGTGCACGTGCTTGACTCTTTAATTGACTTGAATATACAAGAAGATTATAACTGCTACACCTGAATGTGCTGATTCCACGAACTATACTTAGCACAGAAAGCTGGCGCGTGCCGTTTGTTTTTGTACTACATGCAATTCAGTCGACGGCGTTGAATCCCAGCTGTGCTGCTCAGTCCATCCTCAACTTGAACAACGAAACTCAGCACAGAACTATCATTGACAGATCTAATGTCCAAAGAGAATGAAATCCGAACACCCGACATAGGTCTGATTGTCAATCGTAGACCAGAACCATTGTAGAGCACAGTCTCCAGCCACACGGCAGTCCGTGTCAGCCAAATTTGTGGGCATCGTGACTGCGAAGTCTGTGTTGTTGGGTGGTAGCGCAGGCAAGTCCCTGTTTCCGTAATCGTCAAAAAGAATTAGAGGAGGCCCTATCAAAGTGTTGGTGGCCGTTTTCACTATCGACACGTTCGCCGGGCCACCATGCAGGATGCTGAGTTCGATCTTCATTGGGACGATCTGGCCAGGTCGGAACACGGAGAGTTTATCCAGGTTGTCATCGAATTGGTGTCCGCGGCAAAGAGTGAGAGGGCCTGAAATGAATGTTAGCAACTACTCCATGACAACATCATCTCGTGTTGCAGTATCACTAACATCCAGCCGTGATATTTGGGGCAACGGTCTCGAGCGAGGCGGTCACATCTCCTTTGGCAATGTCGAAAGCAGTCTGCCCACAAAGGCGAGTCATCGACGGCCCCAGCTTTCGAGAGGGCGGGTTAATGATTAAACCATGCGCGGCGACGGTCGCGGCAAAGAGTGCAACGCTGGTGGCAGGGACCTTCATCTTGACAAGGTTTCCAGTAATACTCGATAGTAAAGAGAGACCACACACAAAGAGTGAATACAATCAAATAAACGAAAGAAGCGAGCGCGCAGCGCCGACGGTGTTGAACAAGCCTGCCTGCTGACCGGGCACCTAATGACTGGGCCTTGGTGTAAGGTACGGACCTGAGAACAAGCAGAAACGAGTCATCGGGAAAGAGAGATTCCAGGCGGATCTTATGGCAACAGCATCTTGCGCAGTCATCTGGCGGTATGGCATAGTTTCCCGTCACGAGATCCCTGTAGGCTTTTTGATGAGACGAACACCCTCGCAACAGAGTCATTGTCAACCATGGGTAGATCCACCTGGCATGGGCAATTCCGCTGTGTTGCTGAGTAGATTCGCCGGTCGGCAGGAATCCGGACCCCTATTTGTAGAGGCAATTTGCATATGCCAAGTCAACAGGAGTACTGTCTGAAACCTAGGAGGGCCTCACACGGCATTGTGGGCTTTACTGTTAAGCTTTCTCCCGACAACGTGAGGTGCTTCAGATGAAAGTTTAATTTGATTTCCGTCCGATCCGACAAACGGGCCATATGGCATTTTTTCCGCCTGAAGCTCTAGAAAATTTGATTGATAGTATCATTCGTATCACAGCACAAGATTCCATTCGGCTGCAGTCTTGTAACCATGTCTTCGCGAAGGGAGGAGTGAGTGATCATATGTTGGTCCGATGGCCTCCAGATGTATATGCATTCCCTCCCGGTTCCTAGGACTTTGGAAATTATTGAATTGTAATTTAATATGAATACTTTGGGACTCTATGTATTTCAATTCGACACATCCCACATCGTGCCTGGCCACAACTTGCGCATGTGGGGGTAGTGTGCGCATTCATGTCGTAACCGCAGTAGCAGCAGGCCCAGAAAGCGACAGCGCGTGGCGAGGTCTTTGGAGAGCCCGCAAAGAAACCAGTTTGTATGCTGTTACTGGTATGCGAGGCGTTGTGCTCGGACTGCTGTATCGTCGACTGTGTGTTTCTGTCCGAGGCCTGGTGTGCGAGTCTACCTGTTCGTTTCTTATCAGACCGGGGGGTTGACTCTAGATTTTGGTCTGTCGAAGGAGGTTTTGATAGCAAACGCCCGACGTCACTTGGTTTTTCACGGGACTCGCTTGGGGGCCTGATCAAAGCTTCGGCTCCAACGCTTGCTTCCTTACCAGGGACGTCGAAAAAGGCAGAAGCCGCTAATTGCTCCAGGTGTTGGCCAATGTGGCTTTGGTACTGGTCGGACGTCTCAATGTCGAAAACGGAACATAGAGGACACGTCCCTTTGCATCGACTGGAGTCAGATGTGCTGCAGAGAAAGATAAATGAATCAAGCTGGCTAGAAGAAACCTCGTTGGGATGTTGAAGCGAAACATGGTTTTGTAGGATGGCCGGCGAAGAACACTCGATCGAAGGACAAAACGGGCAATTCCATGACCTCCAATGCTTCTGAACCATGTGAGAAAGCCAGTCTCCGTGGTACATGAATGCATTCCTAGGATCCGTGCATGATTTTACAAGGCAGATGTATGGTCGTAGATCCTTCGCAATATGTTCACTTGCGAACCATGCCAGTTAGTATCAAGCAGAAGCGGGTTCAAGAGAATACTTACTTCCATGAGTTTCTACCAACAACTACACAACAGATAGGGCAAGGAGCGGCGCCGGCTGGGCAGCCTCCTAATCTCAATGCCACATCGACAGTGTTCCCCGGTTGCACACGGGATGATCTTGTGTCTTGATCGTATAGGCTGCCGCGTCTATTAAACCCTCCTTCGTCCTGACTTGGCCGCGATATTTTCTCTTCTGCTTGCAGGCTGTCACCTTCGCGATAAGGAGGTTCAAGATCGCTATCCACGGCTTCCTTCACCTCCAAGTGAGCTGTGTGCATGTGTATGTCTGGTCAGTTTTTAATAACCATAAATCGCCTTCATCATATTCTCTTACTTTTCTCTGGATCATTGGTCTTTAAAGACGGATCTCGCCAATTGGCAATGAGGGTCCGGCGCCAGCTGAGGGCTATGAGCAGTCTTTCTGCGATCATAGAATCTATGGTTGGGGAAGATGCGCGGACAAGCTGCGTGTCTCGCTCTAGCTGGCTGTTTGACTCCGTACTTGTTTGGGAAGTGTTGGGCGTAAGCTTTGGCTCGGTTCCGTTATGTATGGAAGGGGCGAGACTCAAAAGGCAGTCGATGATATCTTCAATGTCTGCCAAAATTGCCGAGACGTCATCGCCAGAAACGGTCTCAGTTGTCGATCCAGGCTCTTCAGTGGCGAAATAGTCAAGAAGTGCTTGGTCAATACCCTTCTTGGCTTCTTCTGGGCGATTACTGTGAGAGTCCGAAGCCATCTTTGTCGCTAGTGAGTGTTAGGTTCTGTCTTCACTTGTCTGTGTCCCGAACTATGTCTGCCGGATAAATTACCTTCTCTGCTTAGGTCGACTAAATCATCCAGTAGAGACCTGACTTGCGCCTGTATTGACAACGAGACATTAGGCCAGTAGCTTGTCACGTCGGATCTTGACGGGTCCGCCAACCCAATACTGACTGCCCAGACATTGATTCTGGCCAAGTGAGATGCTGCTGCTGACAAGTTCCACGATGCGTCTGAGGACCTGACTCTCAGGGCTTCTTGTAGTCCTCTCAGCTCTGCTGTAACAGAACTCACAGCTTCACCGAGTTGCTCCATGATGGGACCCGATGGCTTTCACCGCATACAAAAGCTGCCTGTTTCTTTGGCAAACCCCAGGTTTCACTCGACCATCAGGAAGATGGACACGTCCATTTGTTTCATCTGCAATAGTGATACCCCGCCCTCACGTTAATATACATTTTGTCCTACAAGGAATGCGATGCCCATTGGTGCCCGCCTCAAAGCTGGGCCACATACATTTGAGCCGCATGTTTGCTCACACGTGCAGCGCTACGTCTCGTCTCCGCTTTGTGTCAATCCACAAGTCTTCTTGACTTCTTCATTCCCCTCTGATGAAGACTGCTGGGACGCTCTCTTTTTGTGTTTTCCTTGAGAAAGTTCCGACATGGAAGTCGCCGGGTTAGTCCTCGGCGGAATACCTTTGGCAGTTCATGCTCTCCAAGAGTATAAAATATTTCTCTCGAACTACAGGCATGCTCCGAGACATCTCGACTCCATCATTCGACACCTCCAAGCCCAGCGAAATATCCTCGAAAATACTTGCAATGTCCTGCTCACCGGGATTGCTCCACCATCCGAGATTGATGCAATGATACAGAGACCTTTTGACTCTTCTTGGAATAAATATGAGGGAGAAATCAAACTGCGCCTCGGGGAGGATCTGAACATCTTCCAAGACACGACCCAGGAGATGCAGAGCATTGTCAAGAGTCTGCACAGAAAACTTGAGATAGATGATGATAGAAAGGTCAGTACGGTTAGGCGCGATTCGGCGTTTTACAATATATCATACATTGATTAGAACCTTGGCTCTCGAGTTGAAGAAATTAGGATATCGGGCGCTTCTGTTAACTTTGAACGTGGTCCATAGCCGACTCTTAGGGACGATGCGTCACTTATCCTTGCGCTGAAAGAACGTGTCCGTTTCGCACTGCTAAGAAAAGACTATGATAGTCTCATTGCAGCTCTGAATAACGGGAACGCCACCCTCCTCACTCTAGTCAGCCAGAGCAAAGAGCTAGAACCCTTCCGAAAGTCTCGAGATCGGCACAGCTTCATACGAACAATTCAAAAGCTCACAGAAGGAGTTCATACGAGTCTTTGTGCGTCCGTCAATTGCAAATGTACTGGTGTCCACGGGGTTGCATTAGAGCTCGATTCGCGGAAAGCTGGCTTGATGGACATCGACAACGAAGGACACGCGAGCAAGTCAACTTTTGGTGTCGCCTTTGGCAGGAACCGGGCAAAGACCACGGAGCGATGGGAGCAGCTCCAAGCGTCTGCGACGAGCATGAGCAGAAATCCGCCATCCGTACCACTGGTGCCACAAGGATTTTACTTTGGGAAACCCCGTGGCTCAATCGGTCTGTCATTGGTAAATGCTATCCCGACATCCACGAACAGCCCTCTCACGTCCACGACGTCAACCATGACAAGTCCCAGCGCGAGGCTCACACATCCCAGTGGGCAGCAAGCCTCGGCAAACAGTCCTGTGTACCGAATAGAGGACCTCTGTTCTGTGTTTGCAGGCAAGAACAAAAGGTTGGGCGGAGGATGCTTTGGCTTCATCACTGACAATACCAGTCAATTTTTTCTTTCCCATAAAAACTGCAACTCATCAGCTTATACAGCAGTCACGTTGAGGGAGATACTATCAGGGGACAATCCACGTGTCCCAAAACTTGACTACACCCAAAAGGTCAGGATTGCATACGCTTTATCTTCGAATCTTTTACCTCTTGTCACAACTCCTTGGCTTGAAAAGGTCCTGAACATCGACGACATTGCTTTCCTGTGCGAGAAAGATCTAGGAGCTTATGTATATCATCTGGACCGGCCTTTCTTGGCCAAAGATCTCGCAATTTCCTCTAGTACACCGGGTGCTAGTTGCGGGCACCAGCCTTCAGGTTCCGTCCCGCCCAGAACATTTACGATTCTCTCACTAGCATTGATACTCGTGCAGATCATGCTAGGCAGTGGTATGGAAGAACACAAAGTTGCAGAACGATAGTGTATAGGCTGTCTACTGCACCAGCAAGCTGCTGTGTCCCAAAGGGCTGGTACTGTCTTATCCAAGGGTGGTGATATGTACGCAGATGCTGTGAATTGGTGTCTTGGAAGTTTCATGTCAAGAGCACGTCAGGATGATGAGACCTTCAGCCAGCAATACTACGACACAGTTGTCGCAAAGCTCGAAGGTATCATGGATATTGTTGGTCCAGTTTCACCATAGTCACAAGTCACTGCACACTGCAGACTCATAATACATATCCGATGACCACATAACCACATGAAGTTATGCTGTCCGTATACAGGATACCAGAAGTCATCTCCAGCATTAACTGACTTATTAAGCTGGCAACCTCGCTGTAAGCATTCTCGCTATGCCATCTTTTCTTTCACGATGGCCTGGATAAGAATGATAGGTGTTTTCATGGAAACCTTGTATAAGCTTTACAGTTTTAACTCAATTCAGGTAAATATGTCACGTGGGTGATGGAGTCTTCTTGTTTGTGAGGTCTTATGTCAGAATTACCTTTTAATTGATGTTGGGCAAGTCCTATTATCCGGCCCATGAGTAATCCGGGGCGACTGAGCAAAATCGCCGACCTAGGTAGGACTGCCGTTTCAAGGATTGGATATTATAACTCTGATTGCATACATTTCGTAGGATGGCGCACAAGAATCGCAGACCTGCTAGGATTCACGTTAGTCGATCAAGATCAAGATACAGCCAATTGAGTCCCAGTGCCGGGACACAAATGTTTTCCGTTCAGACGATCGGTCACCTCAATCGACTTGGGAGCACATGAATATGTCCTCAAAGTATTGTCTTTTTTTACACGTTGGTAAGCCCTGCGCATTGCGACCAACGACAGACATGCCTACAATACGGTACGTACAAGAAAGGATTTCAGTCACGCTGAAGAAGAAGTGCTTCTGTACTTCATGATCAATTGCGGCTTGCTCAGAACTCTGAACGGCGCGAAGTAGTGACAACAACTGCATTTCAAGATCTATGAGTGATCCCCTCGACCTAAACCTGGCTGTTGAATATACTGTTACGTCCTCAAACAGTTATCATTGACCACTGCAACAATGCTCAGCTAGGGTTCCTCAACTATCCATTCAACCATCTACCACCTGAACGAAGCCGTAGAAGAAATCGTCTATGAGAGTCACGCCGAGGAGATCTACTGTATCGTAGACTGTAGTGAAGATGAGATCGTCAACCCAAGTGAAGTTGTCATAAAAGACTGCTTTGGTCATTTTCATGCTGGTAGCAAGTGGAGTCGCTTGAAATTTGAACACTTGACTTTCGGCAGGATCGAGGGCTTGGCGGCTGGTCACCGTGACCGTGCAAGAACCCGGGATCGCAGACAGAGTCAGGCAGCCGAACCAGAATGAGCGAGGTTTGAAATAACTCTGATCAGCAATATTGTAGAGATTTGGGACCAAGATCCTCGCTTCCTTGTTTGCTGACAATAGACCGTTGACACCGCCATAATAAATGGCATTCGGGTTGCTGTTGGGAACTATTCCGAGAGTTTGGGACAATTCCGACGCTTTTGCGACAGCTTTCGCGGAAGTCAGCCCCAAAAAGGACGTAGAAGAATGATTTCGGCAGCAAGCAACTGTACGGGCGTTTGAACTAACCAAGTCCAGTATAAGTTAACTTATAGTAACTGTCTCCGTAAGAACCCAAGTCCGTGGGGTTGAGCAGACTACCGCTCGCCACATCATCGAAGTTGTGAGTGTGATTAGATATCCTCTCTTGTCCGTATGGACCATTGAAACCGAACCATTGTTCGAATTTCTTTTCTTTCATGTATGCGTGGGCTATGCCTACAGCATACATCATAATTAAGGCGAATTTGAGCATTGCGACTGTGAATGATGTTATATCGGACTTTCTTGTGTGATTGTGAGGTGTTGAGTCTGTAAAGATGAGGAGGCATTTAACTAGAAAGTTAGATCTGGGGGAGCTGGGGTATTTATAACCCTCGCCATGATGAGGACACCTCAATCAAGTGCACAGTCAAGTGATCCATCATCGTATGTACTTTGCGTGAGACATGCTGTATCCCTGAATTACCTAACGATTTCGCAACATGTCATCCACAAGATGTAACAGATCACAAACAATCAGACATCTGTAGAAGCAGGGAGTGGATTATACAATAAATTGACAAATGTAAGAATTCTCTTGAGCCCTAGGTGTCACGGAGTGACTGTGGAGAGTATGTGTGAGACCTATGAGCACAATGTATGGATCCAATGTCAAGTGGCGTTGAGATCTCCAGCCATGCTTTGGAACTTCAGCTTTTTATGCTTAATAAAGACAGTTCTTCATTCCAAAATGGCCCCAAGTGAGCACATGAGCTTCCCCTTCCGTGGAACCTCGGCTCCAAGATCAAATTGAACCCTACGTGCAAGTGGGAGGACTCAATTCATAACAACTTTTACCGACTCTAGGGGGATCAAAATGGCTTTCCCTTGCTGTGATACGTCTAGGATCCACCAATGACCTGACGTCCGTAAAGCGCTCCTTGAAGTATTGTCACACGGTGGCGCCAGAGATCCCCAGCCATGTTTGACCTCTTTCCGAACTTTACATGTTCATTATGAAGAATTAAGGCCGGTGTTACTCCTTCTATCTCACGGCCATAGTACTGGGAAAATGATGTTGTCAAGTAATTAACTGTGTGGTTCATTTATATCATCATGTTTGGTTGAACAAGAACCCGTAGGCGCAGCTTCGAGACTGATATTTGGGAAAATCGAAGGAAGCTTCAATTCTCAAGTGGTATGGAAGCCTGCCGGCCAATAGAATCTTGGTGTCTGAGACTCAAAGTGGGGGTATTGCCTTTTCCTTCGCAATAAGAGATATCTTTACGTACATAGTGACACTCAAGGCAATGGGAGAGGACCTCACTCCCGTCTGGAAAGGCTGGTATGCAAGCCGAACACAAGCTCTTGTTTGGAGAAAATCAAGCTATTGACCCAGATTTAGGCTGTGAGCAAGGCTGATCTCACGATGATGATCACCCAAGTGGCGCAACGGAGAACTCCGCTGGGTAACACAAGCCATGTTTATCCTGTCTTGCCCTCTGTATATGGTGGCTATTCAAAGTTTGCTACTTGACCGCTACAAGAGTATCACAAATTACATGAAAAATGTTCATACAAAACAAAAGGCACACCCTACCACACGCCTGCGTCTGAAACAGGCCGAGTCCATATACATTTACATCGCCAACCATGTACCGGAGGTCCTGTACCTACGGTCAGGCACAACTGGGGGGAACACTGACTTCATTACATTAAGAGCACTGCAATGTGATGCAAAAAAGACTGCTGGTACAGGGTTTCTGAATTTCAAGAATGGTCTTCCATGAAGTAGCTCTCATATTCAGTGTATCTTGAAAGAAATCTCTGGCTGAGGCACTGCCAATATGGTGACCCGAAGAATGTATTGATATAACGCGATTCATGCGTACCTGTTCGGATTGAGTAGTCGGAGACAAGCTTATCTCTGTGAAGTCGCCAACAATCAAGGATAGGAGAAAAGTCGGTGCGTAAGAACGGTGCTGGCTCCAATGTCACTCTCAATTAGTGGGCCACCTGAATCAGGTGGCGGGCTTATCCAAACGCATTTATGGTGGTGAGTTACAAGTGGCAGTCGGAGGATGTTTACAAGATTGTGCGAACCCTGAAGCCCCCATGATAAGTAAGCTATTCTTTTGATGTCAACCATCCTGGTCTTGTCACATTCTCTAATACAGCAAGCACATGAAGCCGGAAAGCATGGTGCTGACCTTGAGAGAGCGGGATAAGAAAACGCTAGCGGGAAGAGGGAGAAGGTAGAAAAATGTAACATTTAAGACCAGGCTAATTGTTCTTCCGCCCTTCCTAAGTAGCCAAAAGTCCTTTACTCGATGTCACTGTTCTTCAGTGGATCTTGCAAACCCCACTGTGCATTGGAATACGGAGATTTTCAAGTTGACACTTCGGACTTAAATATCTTATGTCCAAGATCTTCTAGAACTCGGTCAGCGGCAATGTTATAAGTTCATGCCATTCTGCTGCCCATGGTCACAGCAATGATATCTGGTATCATACACTCGTTTTCTCCCGCTCAAATCTGCAATATGCCTATGATCATGCAGAACTACCGCTCATTAGGTCTCGCTGTCCTCTCGTTGCTGCCCTTGGCTCTATCGATTCCCACCAGTTGTGACTGGCAGAATGCAAGCAATATCACAACCTTGCAAGTCGTACCAGATACCCAAACCCTAGAGAATATCGCTCTTCGGAGCAATGGCGATATCCTTGTGACGTCGGTTGCTTCGCCAACGCTGTTCGGGCTGTCCTCTCAAGGCGAGCATCCACCAATCCCGATTGCTGAGATCCCCGGAGTCACCGGTCTCCTCGGAATCACCGAGCTCGAGGAGGACGTCTTTTACGTAGTGGGTTCCAACCTCACGTCGACCGAGAACTCGAACGGGGTGTGGCGTGTCGATATCCGCGACTTCCGAGCTGCCCAGAACGGCACCGTCATCCAGCCGGCTTCAACATCGTTGGTCACACGAATCCCATCAGCTCTGCAACTCAATGGCATGGCTCGTCTCGCATCTAACGATTCCAAGAATCTCCTCATCTCTGATTCTTCTCAAGGAAATGTCATCCGGTTGAACGTCGACACAAGGGCGGTGGAGACGGTCATCCAGGAGCCCGAGATGGCCCCATTGACCACGGGCTTGAGCATCGGCGTTAACGGCATTCGGATTCGCGACAACAAACTCTATTTCGTGAGCTTGGACCAGGGCCTTTTCGCCGGAGTACCCATCTCCCTTGGTAGTGGAGCAGCAGTCGGCCCGGTGGAGACACTTGCTTCCAATATCACTTTCGGGGACGACTTCGCTTTGTCAGAGGACGGGAGATGGGCGTATGTCGCCACGAATGGCTCTCAAGAGGTCATCGGGGTTGATCTATTCCGTGGGGGGAGGGCAGTTGTTGCCTCCTCTCCTCTGCTTGGATCCGCTTCCTCGGTGGCTGCACAGCAAGTTGACGGGCGCAGGGTCTTGTATGTGACCGGTGCCGCACCATCCGGGAACAGCACGGTTGGGCATGTCTCCAAGATAACATTGGAGTGCAAGGCTTAGGTATAAAACCCCTTCTGATACTATCCAATAATATTAACAGAATGGAAAGGAAAACACCTTGACCAACAACTTCTCGCCTTCACATATCTCCAGTCAAGACGCAAAACTTAAATCAACACCTTGGTTCGAGACCACAGGTTGTGTAAGTGGCACCAGGATGACTGGGATGAAAAACGAAATCATTAAGTCGATATTCCTAAACTGAGGAAAAATGTTGCGAAGCATTGCATTGGCGCATGCACTGCTTGAAGGGGATCCTGAGTGACTGCCACCCACCGACTCGAATTTCACACAGAGTCACAGCGACCCATGCCTAAACCTCTGGCCCAGAGAGTGCTTCTCCAGGAGCGCCGTACCATTCGCTCTCAGCTTCTCCGGCCTCAAGACCTCAGCCTTGGGACGACCGGAGGCCAGGAACTCATGGTAACCCTGCAACACAGCCTTGATGCTCTGCTGCGGTGCGTATGGAAAGTCACTGCCGAATAAGACGTGTGACATGTCACCACCTACAGATCCGATGAACTCCAGAAGCCCGCTCAACTGTGCCGCACTCGTACTCAGCGCCGTGTCGTAGTAGAACCTCGCGAAGTCCGCGACGGCTTCCTTCTCGGTGACCCCAGCCTGGGCTGCAATCGGCGGGAAAGCCAAGGCACCCAACGCCCGCGTCCCGATGAACGGGAGGGTTCCTCCCGCGTGGGAGAGGATGATGTCGACGTCGGGGCAGGACCGCAGGGTACCCGTGAAGACCAGGTCGACGGCAGCCCGGGTCGTGGCCAGCGGGTAGTCGACGATGGGCTGGGGGAGGAAGCCGCCGATGAACCTGGGCTGGACGTCGGAGCTCGTCGGGTGCAGGAAGACGAGGGCGCGGGAATCCTGCAGCTTCTGCCATATCGGCCCGAAGCTCTCGTGGCCGGGCAGCTTGTCCCCGTAGGTGGTGTACGCGCCGACGCCGCTGCAGAGCTTCTGCTCCGCGAACAGGAAGTCGATCTCGGCGCATGTGCCCTCGACGTCCCGCCAGTCGGGGAGGACGCCGAAGAAGCCGAACTTGCCGGCGAGCGGGGCCTCGGCGGCCGTGGCCAGCCCGCCGAGGAACGTGTTGAGCTCGCGGGCGAGCCTGCGGCCTTCCTCGCCTGCTCCGGTGACTGGGACACCGGGCGAGGAGACGGATAGGATTCCTGCTCACGTGTGAGTGGCCGTGGGTGTTTTTGAAATGATCGATTAGTCATATGTAATCACCAAGAGATGCGCCAACTGCTTCCATCGAGGCGATCGCTGCCTCCGGCGACCAGTCCGGCTCAGGAAAGCCCGAGGGGTCGCCCCCATGCGCCTTCACTGCGGCCGTGTAGGCTGGTGGGAGCGCGTGGAAGTGTACATCTATGTGTCCAGCCATTTGACTCAACTCAGGTGCTCACAAGGAGCTGTTGTGGCTTGGTGTCTATGAGTTCTTCGGGATGGCCAGTCAGTCGTCAGGGACACTGAGCGAGCCGGGAGACAACCGAGAAGACAGTTCTAGACCGCAGATGGGGAACTAAAGTGCGAACTTGGCGAGATTGAATTTGCACACGAGTGTTGATCGGTACGGGCCGCGTGGCTAGAATCACATGTCATTGAAGCAAGTGGAGGTGCACAGGTTCGTCCGCGGCGAGGTGCAGGAGACATATCGGGCTGACGGCGGGGAGAGAACGCAAAATGGCCGGCATATCCGGCGTCGATATGACCTCTTCCCCGTCACGCCACCATGCTGTAGACTCAATTCATCAATATATTTTGCATCTGCACATGCACGACATCTGGCGTTGTTACGGCCCTCGTGGCTGGAGAATGGTGATGTTAGACAATGGCCAGGGCAAGGTAGCAAAAGCTACAATCGACTGACCGAGGTATCAAGGGGACTCATCAGTCCATAACCCGCATTGTTTGCTTTCCTTACCTAGGCAGGTCTTGCCGATTCACACCGACCGTTTTGGTGTGCAGTCGGCGCCTCGTCTAGATGGACCGGTCCAACTCCCGGCAGTCTGGATTGGCAGCTCGGAGGTCGAACATCTCGGCACTCGGGACGCGCTGACGAGCAAGTCGAACATGGAGGGGCCGGTGTGAAAGGTCGCCGTGAAAGGGTTAGGGGCAGCGAAGTCCTGGATGGGGTCTGCCTTGTTACACGGGTAGGGCGGGCCAAAAGTCCTAGACTAGACTAAGAGACTGGCCAGACAATGCTCGCCGCATGACTGTGTTCGAGGTTGGCCAGGCGATGGCGCCCCTGGCCCCGGGAAAGAAGGCGACGGGAAGGAAGCTCCCGTACTGCACATTCATGCAGCCTGGCATGGCGAAACCCAAATGGTACCTGGGTGGTAAGAGTGGGTGGTCGTGTGCGTACAAGGCAAAGCCATGCCTGCCCTCTCTCTCGTCTTGGCCGTCGGGGGAGGGACACAGGTGCGTTGGCAGCGTTTGGATGACGACGACGAAGGCGATGTAAAGGTGAGTGTAATAAGGTAAGGCATTGCTGTCCTTGCTGTTGAGTAACACAACCACTTCTGGCCGGCCATTGGGTATCAGGGTATCAGCTGTGTGGGCTGGGCTGGGCCGTCTTGACCGTCTTGGGGCAACTTGCTTTGACCGTTGAGCCTTGCGAGTTTTTTGCCACAGTCTCGATGTGCCATTGCAGGTGAGCCCATCTCAGCTTCTCCTGCTACTTTTTCCGAACATTCTGGCCGGAGTGACGGCCAGTGAGGAAATTCGCCGGCGTGGCTGCCTCCAGGAACGTGTCAATTGGGTGTGGTTGGGCAAATTGTGGTCGTCATGTTCATATCTTGTTGCTGTGCAAGGGAGCAGCAATCAACCGAGCCTAGGGATTCCGCCCCCCCCCCCTCACCCCCCCCCCCTCCCCCACCCAGCCCCCCCCGCACAGCAAGCAGATGCTGTGTCCTACACAGTACGGCGGTGGTGGTGTAGTACCCGTGCTCACTCACACACCCTTGTCAGTTGTCACTTGTTGCCTGTCTCTTGTGTATTGTCTCTTCACCCCCCCCCCTCTCTCTCCCCCCTCCCTCCACCCCCTGCTTGCCGTAGCCCCTCCCCGAGAGGAGCTTTCTTCGCAGTAGCTTGCAGAATTGACCGTCTATCTGCTTCTCGCCTCTGCTGCTTCTCCAACCCTTCCCCATCCAGAACTACCTGCTTGCATGCTTGTTTGATTGAGTGAAATGAGCGACCGAACCGTTGATTGAACTGCTGAGGCATGCTGATGCGAAACAAAAACCCCGCCATTGAACCCCCATCAGCCGCGATCCATCCGTCCATCATCCACTATCTATCTATCTCTCCGTGCCAGCAGTAGCACTGACGACATTCTTCCCTTTCAACATTTCCAAACGCACTTTGTTGTCTCTATCTCTCTCTGGACCATATCCCCACCCAGATCCCAGATTGTCGGCTCCACATCCCTCGCCCAGTCCGCGCAAGATCGTCTTTTCACGTGAGCTGATGCTACACTACTGCTAGCGGTCGGGCGAGCCTTGGAACCCAACCGAACCCGAGCGGCAGAAGTGGCAGAGCCGGTGGCTGTGGGACAGACACAGACGGCCAGATAGACGGCCAGAGAGGCAGGACAGGCCAGGCCAGGGTAGGGGGTGGAGTCCTTGGGCGGTTCCGTGGGGACTGCACTGCACCTGCACCCGCTCCCGCACCTAGTCGGGCACGACCGTCTGTCTCTACTAGTCAAATCTTCACCAAACCGCGAGACTTCCCCGTGGACCACGACAACCTCCCTCTTCCGTCGTGTCGCGTGGGGCGACACGATCAATCTACCAGTCTCCCTCTCCATCCATCCACCCACTCAACCACCATCCCACCAACCCATCCAGCCCATCCAGCCAGCGAGCCAGCGACGACCCAGCTCGCTCTCCTAGGCCACATCCCTTTCCACATCGGATCCTGCTCTTCTCTGCCCTGCGCGCCTGCTCGCGCAGCACAACACCGCCGCCATGGCCGACGAAGACAAGATAATGGAGGTCTACAAGAAGATCGAGCGTGAGAAGTCGCTGATCCAGGCCGCAAACCTCATGCGACAGCAAACAAACAACGACACCGTCCGCTCCAAGCTCGACACCCAGATGCGCGAGGGCAAGAGGAATCTCGAGTTCTTCGAGCAAAAGCTTCAGGAGCTTCAGCTACGTCGGGGCATGCAGGGCATGGACATAGGCTCCGGCAGCTCTGGCTCACGACCTCACGGCGCGCGCTCCGACTCAGATGCTCCTCCCACGCCTCCGCCCAAGGATGCATCCGGTCATGCAACCTCTGGCGGCGAGACCCAGTTCAGTCAGATCGGCGGCCACAGCGACCTGATGCCTCCCCGTCATCCATTTGCACCACCCGGCCCAGGATCAGGGGGCCCCAAACCACGCCCCAACTTCACCAAGCTTGGTACGTCCCTTTTGCCCCGGAATGAGGCTTGTCTTTGTCCCGCTATAGCTGTGCTCCCAATGCTGACGTTGTGTGTTCTCCCAAGACCTGATCAAATATGATACACCCTACCTTGGGCCCCGCATCCAGCTCATGCTCTCTCAGATCCAGTTCAAACTGAACGTCGAGGAGCAGTACCTGAAGGGTGTTGAGAAGATGGTGCAGCTGTACCAGATGGAAGGCGACAAGAAGAGCCGTGCCGATGCCGCAGCCAGGAAAGTCGAGAGCAAGCAAAAGATAACTCTCTTGAAGCAAGCACTGAAGCGGTATGAAGAGTTGCACATCGACACTGACAGCGCTGAAAGCTCGGATGGTGCGTGGCCCCAAAAATGTCACTCAAGACCTCTTTCCTAGCCGTCGCTGACATGTCTTCCCTCTAGATGATAGTATCAACATGCCAAACCTGCGGAAGCCATTGTCTGGTCAGCTCACCATCAGAGTCGTTGCCGTCAAGGATGTCGACCACGCCCCGACTGGGCGTTTCGCCCGAACCCCCGACACCTTCGTCGCTGTGAAGGTCGAGGACGCAGTCGTTGCACGAACCAGGGCCACGCGGAACGACCGATGGGAGGCTGAGTATCACAATATCGAAGTGGACAAGGCAAACGAGATCGAACTGACGGTGTACGACAAGCCTGGCGAGCACGCTCTCCCGATCGGCTTGCTCTGGGTCCGTATCTCCGACATCGCGGAAGAATTGCGTCGGAAGAGGATTGAGGCGGAGATCAACAACTCAGGATGGGTGTCGGCCGATAGGATGGCCAGCTCCAAGGCTCCTCCGTCGCAATTCCCAATGAATCCGCAGCAACCGCAGCCTCAATTTGGGCCTCCTCCGACGTCGCCGGGGTACCAAAGCGCCCAGGCCACCTACCCGCCGCCCCAAGCTCCAACACAAGCAGTATCTCAGCCTATCGATGGGTGGTTCAATTTGGAGCCCACCGGCCAGATCCTGTTGAACTTCAACTTTATCAAGCAGACCAGCAACACACACAAGTTCGACGTCGGTCTCGGTCGGAAGGGTGCCGTCCGTCAGCGCAAGGAGGAGGTCCACGAGATGTACGGGCACAAGTTTGTGTCACGGCAATTCTACAACATCATGCGTTGCGCTTTCTGTGCCGACTTCCTCAAGTACTCGGCCGGTATGCAGTGCGAGGACTGCAAGTACACTTGCCACACGAAATGTTACACTAATGTTGTCACCAAGTGCATCAGCAAGTCGAACGCCGAGACCGATCCCGAGGAAGAAAAGATCAACCACAGAATCCCCCACAGATTCCAAGGTTTCTCGAATCTCACTGCCAATTGGTGCTGCCACTGTGGCTACCTACTGCCTTTTGGTAGGAAGAACTGCAGGAAATGCTCAGAATGTGCCCTCACTGCCCACGCGCAATGTGTGCATTTGGTTCCGGACTTCTGTGGCATGTCCATGACAACCGCCAACCAGATCCTCGAGGGCATGAGGTCCCAGAAACAACGGCAGTCGCAGAGGCCATCCATGAGCGAGAGGACACTGCGTTCTGGCACAACCAGTCCTGGGGCTTCCCAAGCCTCGACCCTTTACGATCGCACGAGCGGAGGCTCGTTCAATACGGTATCCCCCGAAGCTGCAGAGGCAGCCAGGAGAACCTATGGCCAGCCTTCACCGGACCGGCCTGGAAACAGCCGCATGTCCAGCTCGACCGACGCCGCTGCAGCAGCAACATTGGCTATGAGCGGAGCCGTTGGAACTCAGTCGCCACGGCCACAACAAGGCGGACAGCAGGATTACATGGCTCGCCAGGATAGCTACGGACAGCCTCAGCCAGGACAGGAAGATCCATACGCCACTCAGCAACACGGCAGTCCCACACAGGGTCGGAGATACAATCCAGCCGATTATGCCAATGTTAACCAATACGCTCAACAGCCTCCAGTACAGCAGGCCAGGCCACCCGTTCAAGCCCAGCCGCAGCAGCCCTATCAGCAGCCAATTGCTGCGCCGAAACCGCAGCCGGAGTCCATTGCCCCCTCGCCGACATCCTCGACTGTCTCGGCTCCGCTGAAGAAGCCTCTCCCCTCGGCTACTGATCCAGGCACCGGTATGCGGATCGGCTTGGACCATTTCAACTTCCTTGCCGTGCTTGGAAAGGGTAACTTCGGAAAGGTCATGCTGGCAGAGACAAAGAGGTCGAGGAAGCTCTACGCTATCAAGGTGCTCAAGAAGGAGTTCATCATTGAAAACGACGAAGTGGAAAGCATCCGGTCTGAAAAGAGGGTCTTCTTGATTGCTAATCGAGAACGACATCCTTTCCTGACCAACCTCCACGCCTGCTTCCAGACAGAGACAAGAGTCTACTTTGTGATGGAGTACATTAGCGGTGGTGACTTGATGCTTCACATCCAGCGTGGACAGTTCGGAACGAAGCGTGCCCAGTAAGAAAGCTCACCCGAGAATATCGTGAATTTTGCTGACAATTCCCCAGATTCTACGCGGCTGAGGTCTGCTTGGCTCTCAAATATTTCCACGAAAACGGTGTCGTGTACCGAGACTTGAAGCTCGACAACATTCTCCTCACTCTTGACGGTCACATCAAGATTGCCGACTACGGTCTGTGCAAGGAAGACATGTGGTTTGGTTCCACGACGAGCACATTCTGTGGTACACCCGAGTTCATGGCACCCGAGGTATGTACTGCTGTGGGCACGCATTGGACGACCGTACTGACCTCGACAGATTCTTTTGGATAAGAAATACGGCCGCGCTGTGGACTGGTGGGCTTTTGGTGTTCTTATCTACCAGATGCTCCTGCAACAGTCCCCATTCCGAGGTGAAGACGAAGACGAGATCTATGACGCTATCTTGGCGGACGAGCCGCTCTACCCTATTCACATGCCTAGGGACTCTGTGTCGATCCTGCAGAAGCTGCTCATCCGTGAACCTGACCAGCGGTTGGGAAGCGGCCCCACTGATGCGCAAGAGGTCATGAGCCAGCCGTTCTTCCGGAACATCAACTGGGACGATATCTATCACAAGCGCGTCGCGCCTCCTTTCTTGCCTCAAATCAAGAGCGCGACCGACACCAGCAACTTCGACTCCGAGTTCACAAGTGTTACTCCAGTTCTTACTCCAGTCCAATCAGGTATGATTCTGTTCTTCTCTTGCAGGCTAGTTTTGTCTATACGTGTACTAATCAATTGTATAGTGTTGTCACAAGCCATGCAAGAAGAGTTCCGTGGTTTCTCTTACACCGCCGACTTCGAGTAGGCAGGGAATCCACAATGGCCAATGTGATGCTACGCGAGGAACGAACGAGGACGGCCGCGGCTGGCGTCTGTGGAGCCCTGTGTTGGCATGTAGCCGCGCTGCCAGAATGTGCGGGCCACGAAAGGCTGGTTTTATATATAAAGGGCTAATAATACCTGGGCGAGGCCAAGCGCAGGATGTTTTCATGCGCACGCAAGCGCTCAAAGGCCACACCCCACGACGCTGAAGAAACATTTGACGCATCGGCAGCGCGCGGGACTGAATGTTAGATACTGTAGAAATGATGGTCACGTACTTGACGATGAGTTGCTGATGCGGACGACGGCTAGACAGCCTACTTTAATAGAGCATGGAAACAAAGATGAGATTCCGGCACGAGACTGCCTGTCATGGAACCTGGTGCTTGTTGGACAGTACTTGGCGGCTGAAAGGCGTCTTCTGTTCATCTTGGTCCTCACAGCTGCCCTCCCAATGGCATTGAACAGTATCTCTGGGAAGATGGTATATATTGTAGTAACCGAAGTACACAATATCATTCCGTGCACTATCCCCAGGGCTTGAATGCGCCAGACCGCGGACAAATCTACACGAGACAATCGGGAACGGGGAGTCGCTAGTATCTCTCTCTATACAATGATTTTACAGACCTTTCTTTCTTTCTCGCTTCTAAGCGCTCGGCACATGGCATCAGCGCTGGCGAGCCAGCAGCGCGGCGACGCCGGCCACGGCGACCGCACCCGTCACGGCACCCTCCAGGGCAATGAGCGACACGTCCCTCATGCGCAGGTCTATCGTCCTCTCGCTGTACAGGTCCTCCAGCGCGGGCCGCCACAGGCCGGGGTCCGACAGGAACTCCCTCCACGACAGGGCCGGCGGGCTCGGCACCTCTGGGGCCTTCTTCGCGTCCGGCAGGGACGCCACGGGCGCCGCCTCGACGCCGACGTCCTCAACGACCGCGGCATTTGCGGCGGCGGCGGCAGCAGCGGTGGCGGTGGCGGCTGCTGCTGCCTCGTTATCCTCCCTCCTTGTCATGGCGCCCCTGACCTCCTCGAGCTCCCTGCGGACGGCGTCGAGGGCGGCCTTCTCCTCTGCGGCGATGCCCTTCATGAGCCGGTTGCGCTTCCAGGGCTCGGCGACGAACTGCAGGACGAGGAACAGCAGGATGTTGACGCCCATGAGCCCCCAGGTGCCCCAGGTGGACTGGCGGCGGATGCGGTCGCTCCAGATCTGCTCCTCGTGGTAGCGGCGCAGGATGCCGCTGTTGAGGGCCTGGCTGAGGCGGGCCTCGTCGGCCTCGGCCTCGGTCAGCGCCGAGCTCGCCTCGCTCACCGCCGCCTCGAGCTCGTGGTCCTGCCGGTACATGGTCGTGAAGCGCTCCAGGTCGGGCGGCGCCCAGGTGTCCTTGCGCGCGAGCAGGGTCGTCACCTCGCGCTGCGTCGAGGCCCGCCGCGCGTTCACCGCCTTGTAGTGCTGCCGCGCCCGCTTCAGGTCCGCCTGCGCCCGCGCCAGGTCCGCCTCGAGGGCCGCGTTGGTGGCCTTGATCGCCTCGATGGCCGAGTAGCCCGTCAGGTCGCTGAGCGTCTGCGAGGCCACCAGCACGCGCGACTGCAGGTTGTCCATGAAGTGGGAGAAGTTCTGGGAGGCGGCGGAGCGGCGCGAGTCGGTCTGCGAGGGGAGCTCGGGGCTCGGCCTCGAGGGGGATGTGTGTGTGGCGGGGGAGGAGGGGCTTTCTGGCGACGAGGTGGGCGAGGAGGAGGTCTGGGCGGGTTCGGACGGCTCCTTGGCCTCCTTAGAGCTCGCATTTTGGTCTGAGGGTGGTGGTGGCTGGTTGGTAGAGTAGAAACGGAGTCGGCTCTGCAGTCTGCATCCCGTCCGCAGGGACAGCAGCTGCCCTCGGGAGCTGCTGCTGCTGCTGCTGGTCAGGCCGAGGACGGAGGAGGTCGCGGATATCGATCGTGATAGCGGTGCCGATGGGCCACTGAGCTGCTTGAGGAGAAAGGTAGACCCAGGTCGCAACAGAGGCCGAGCAGCAGCTACAGGGCCCGTCATTGCCAATGGAGTCAGTCGAGGCCGGGGCCGAGGCAAAGGGAGGGGGGAGGGGAGGGCAAAGGCGCCGGAGAGTTGCAACGAGACCAGAGGCAGCAGAGCAAGTCACCGTACCGTACCGTACCGAGTCTAGTTGTCCCTGTAGTGGGTGGTCGGCCGTCCGGACGCGGCACTTTTTTCAATGCCACCTCGGGTCCTTCGCCCGACAGGGGGGGGGGGTTTTCTCTGGGAGCTTGGGTTGGAGCTCCCGCCCTGCCGGTCCCGGTGGTGGGGCCGATCCACGTCAGTCAAAGTCCCATCGGCAGGGGTCGGGCCAAGCCCAATGTCACCATAGATCACCTCGCTTCCTACGCCATCTACCAAGTATCGCACGCTGGTACAATTACCACCTGGCGAACGGCCTCGCAGGGTCAGGTTCATGGTGACTATGTTGGATGACCCCATGATCCTCCCCTCTTCAGATCCACGCCGCTCGCACCCTCAAATACAACATCGGCACGGCAATCAGGCACGGCGGTGAGCTTGAACACAATGACACTGCATGAGAGATGGTTGCATCCTGGCAAACCGCCAGCCAGGATAACGGGGAACGCGCAAGCAGTTCTCGCGTTGCATCCATCGTGCGATGTAGGGACTCACCACGAGTTATGGCATGCAGGATGTCATGGATTTGGGCGGCGACGGTCATCGACTTTTGCAAAGATCCATTGACTGTGCCATCCATTGCAGAAGGGGGAATATTGTCTCATTAATGTCGTTCTCGTCAAGGCGTAATCTCATGGTCTGAAGCTAAGCCATGTCCAACAGACTCTTCAGCTTATATCGTTGGCCAGCCATCAGCCCAGTCAATGACATTCCACCCCCATTGATAATCAGCGACAGCATAGCCGATTGTTGTGTTGACTAGGCAGTTGACATTAGCAACTTCCACGTCTAGAACCCAAGGGAAGGGAGCGAGCAGACTCACCATATCTGTAGTACAGAATCGGCCCGTACGTCGGGTCGTCGAGGACCCCCTGCCCGCCAGGACCGTAGACGTCACCATGGCTGGCAAGAACATCGTTGCCGCCGCCCTCCAAGCAGCCGGTCCCGTTGCCATCGGTATATGGCCCGCCAACATCAGTGCTCCGGCACGCGCGGACCCGGTACTCCCCACCCTCAGCAGGCCGCGAGACATCATAGTCGTTGGCCTGCCCCTCACTCCAGAACATGTAGAAGTAGTCCCCGTGCTGGAAGGGGAAGCTAGCCTCGACGTCGTGGTCGCCTGGTGGCTTGTAGATGGCTTGGGAAGGATCCCCGTCGGCAGCCGTCGCAACCGAGTCGAATGTCACCAGCTGGATGTCACCCCAGTACGATCCGAACGAGAGATGGTAAGTCCCATCGACCAGGATCATGGTAGGGTCGATGGCGTTGTATGAGGCGTCCGAAGTCGACTCCACGCCCGTCGACCCGTGATCTTCCCAGGTGCCGTTCTCCATGGTCGTGCTGGTCGCGTATGCGATGACCGAGTCCTGGCTTCCAATGGTTGATACACTGTAGTCTATACGACGTTATGAGTCAGACATAGCTAGACCAGTGGAACTTGTCTTTTTCTCAGGATAGTGCAAATAGGGTCGAGAGTCTTTTATGTACTTTGCCAAGGAAGTAAGTTGGTTTGAATAATCACCTACACAATATATAGTTTCCATCTCTCTCGATAACCATTGGTGCCTTGAATTTGCTGTCAGCAATTGACCGCGGCCAGGATGAGAGTGGAATAGTAAGACAATAGAGCAATTTCGAATTGCCAACTCAATCAGATATTCACATGCCCATAAAGCCGTGACATCTGGCAAATCCACAACGGTGCCTTCTGGGAGCACATTTCCGATGGTTTCCCACGGACCAGAAAGAGAGTCAGATCTCATAATATCAATGTATGTGTCCGTGTTGAAGCGGAAGTACACCCCATCTGAGGACCGGCGGACGAGCCCTGGGTCGTGCGCAAAGCATGAACCGAGGCAACGCTCTGGATCGGCATAGCCTCTTACACCAATCTGCTGCGCATTAGTATCTTTCTAGGGAGCGTGAGATAATAGTGTGTTCTGGGGGGTTACTAAACACAACAGACAGGATGCTGTAAGAAAGCAAGGCTTATACTAACGACCAATGCCCAAAGGCATGAGAGGGTTTTGGGAGCAGACACCATGATTTCAGTAGGGAGTGAAGAGCTCAAGATAGATCAAGAGCCGTGACTATCGCTGCGCACAGCTCGTCCCTTACAGAAGACGCCCCAGCCATGATTTATATACTTCGGTGGGGCTTATAGAAAGAAAACAGTTGCCCGGTCAAGAGTACATCGTAATTCTCAGATCGTGAAAAGGAACCGCTCGCGAAATTCCCAGCTGTGGGCACCCAACGCTTGGGCAGGGCCGGAACTCCAGTTCCATCAGAGGTGACGCGTAGGGATACCCTCAAGAAAAGCGGTCAAATATGGGACCCCTCAGTGACAGACCAGTTCTCGAATGCATGTGGGTTCTACGCGTTCACGCACAACTTGCCAATCGGAAGGGAGAAGGGGCTCGTCGCCAGGCACCGCCATGCCGTTGGCCTGTAGGAATGCAGACGGATTCCTCGCGAGCTGAATGTTCTGTGGAGAGTGGCGACTCTTCACTAGGTAGTAAATGTGGTTAGCCGTCAAACATCGGGCGCCTAATGTCTCTGGAGGGATTGACCACCACGATCCCCTCCCGCACAGCCGCGCACGTCTACGCTTACGTTTGGTAAACAAGGGAGGGGTGGCAGGGGAAGGAGGGGTGGGTTTCTCTGAGCCTGGACCTGAGGTTGCGGTACCGGTATTCGAAGAATGATGTTGGAACATGGTCATATGCAGCCGGGGTTGAATTAAGCATTTATTTCCCGAGGTCTAGCCTCGGGAAGATTCCTCGATCTGCATCGGAATCTGTTCCCTAAATCCAGATCTTCTGCATTACCAAGAGGCCTGGAGTAGAGGCATTCGCCTATCTATTATTCTCTGAACAATTCGTGGCAGCAAATATATTCAGATCGTATGCCAAGAGGCATGTTATCTACAGCCCCAAAGGAGATCACATTAATTGTCCTGCAGTAGTCTTGAGGTAGGGCATACTCAGACAGGATTCGTAAGCTACAAGGGACAACGTTGACTTGCATGCATGACGTGCAGGCCCGATCCGCTGTGCCAACTTCTTGCCAACATTCTGCCCGGCAGATGACTCAAGCCCTGCATAGTTACCTAACCCAAGGCTGGCCCTTGTGCAGCAATCACACCTGTAGTCGACATAACTCTCACGTGCCATCTCATCATGTCACATTTCTTTTTTCCAACACTTGTTCAAAGGAACTCTAGTGATTCATGATCCGGTTTTGAACAACGCGGTGTTTGAAGCACAGTAGCATACATATGACGTTGTGTAGAAGCTTGCCGTGAGCCCACGGGCCGGCCAGCAACTCATGACTAACTAGTAGCTTGTGGGCCGGCCTCCGGTTTTCCCAAATCCATCAGGAATGCCCAGCAACCCCCCCAAGTTCTGCTGGCGTTTGGCGAAGAAACCGGTGCCACGAGCGAGATATCGAGCCGGCAAAGTTCCGCGGTGGGAGCAGTCAGTCATCATGCTGTCAACCACGGCTTGGCGACTTGGCATTACAACCAAAGTCCAGAACGTCTGGGCCAGGCTTTTCGGCTGGGTTTCCAGCATTGCAGCAATAATGGGGCCAGCTCCATTCTGGCAAATTTAGGCACCTGCTTAGATCTGGAGGACCATGGTCGAGTCTCAGCCTTAGTCCCACATTCGGACCATGCCGTCGTGAAGATCTGCAACACTCAACATAATCTCGTCTGATAAAAAGAAAATCCATATTTGGTGGTATGTGAGGGCGCGGAATGCAGCTCTAACAAAAGGCCGGGGGTACTCAAAATTTGTGTTCTGTTTGCTTTCCTCCATATTGAAGGAATGATGCTCCTGCTCGCCAAGTTTCCCTTTCACCGAGACTGGTCAAGTTCCAGCGTGTAATATACTGTCGTCTCAATATTTAGCAGCCAAGGTTGAGCTCGTTCTGGATCATGGGGGACTTCTCATCCATACACTTTTCCTCCCTCGTGACTGCCGGCCATTGCCCACAGCAGGTGTCACCCATTCGCTCTCGATGACTCCTACTCGCTCAAGGGCTCTCAACGTTCCCAGAAGTCCTTCTCTGAACCGTCAAAAACTCATCTATCACAATCTGGGTGCTGAATTCCAGACACACGTATGCCGCCCCACGTATTCCGGCCGCTTCGAAGTCAAGGCAAGCATCCCACAGGTGGCGGACTGCTGTTCTCAACGCGTCCTTCCCAGAAGTTTCCCGATTCATGACCTGGTATGGGTCAAGACAGTTGTACCATGAGGGGTAGAGCCTCCTGGCGCTGACGTCGCAAATGGACCTCTCGAGCTCGCTGATGAGCCTCTGTGCCAGTAGCCCCTTGTTGGCTTGGAAAAGGCGGGACAATTTCTTTGTCTTGAAAAAGCCAAGACATGATCTATCAATAGCTGAACCATAAACTCATATGGTATCTTGTTTTAAGAAAACTATCTAAACAATCTCGTTATAAAAGGAAACCCAAAGTTCAAGACACTTTGCTGACCGTGAAAAGATAACTTCCCGTAATATGCCTCCAAGCCATCGCTGTCAGCCATGAAAGAGCCCCCCCCCCCATGTCTGCAAAAACCCACATTCTCCTGATCCGCTTCCGTTACTATACCTCATTAGGATCAACATAGAGGAACTCAACATGTCCGGTGTATTCGCTGTCAATATATCGGGCCAGGTAAGCTTCCTCTCCGTTCTTCTCAAAGAACTTGCGCCGGCGTCTGTCCTCCTCCTCGTCGATGTACCACTGCCGGGTGTAAAGCGGTACGTGCACCCGCACGTGCTCACGAAAGGTCTCGATCTTGATCTTGACGAGGTACTCGAGCTGGTCGACGCGGGAGAGGGACCTGTACCATTTTTTGGTCTGCTCGGGTGTGGCGTTCTCGGGTGTGGCGTTCTCAGGTGAGGTCTTCTGGGCGCTTGCTGTAAACTGGGTTTCGTTGATCGGGGAGGGTGAAGTGCCGTGGAAGCTGCTCTGGGGTGAGGGCTGCTTCGGTGGGAAGATGAGACCGGATGTGGAAAAATCCTTCAAGTACTTGGCATTTGCCAGATATTCAATAGTAGAGGTCATCTTTTTTGCTTTTCTGGATAATATGGTTGGCGAGTGAGGGTGTCAAGTTGTGTAAGGGAAGAATATTATGTTCTGGGCAAGAATGCTGAGGTCTTGGTGTTTGTTTGTCTTGTGGCAGTCAGATGTGGTGATTTTAATTACAAGAGAAATTGGGAGTAAGAGTTTAATGCGAGAGAGCTTCTTATTCATACCTTTCTGAATGAGTTTCCAATAATGTGCCATTTCTTCCAATATTTGTTGACTATACTAGATCGGATGTTGGGGCACTCTAATAGCATATGTATGACTGTGCGGTTGCCAAAGAGGTGCTCAGCTTAACGAAAAGTGCAGATAGCATCACGTAGTTGATATTTTGCAAGGCTAGCAAGCAAACAAACAAGCCTAGAGGATATTTATGGCCGTAGGTGGGCAACCAGTCTGGTTAGCATCATCATCTGGAGAAAGTGATGCAGGAGCAACTGGGTGGACATAGATTCGGAGTCCCATCATCTGATGAGATTCTGAGTACCTAGTTTGTCACTGTGGGGTCCGAAAATCCGAGAGCTTGAAGGGGGACTATTAGATCTTGGGCATACAAACCTCATTCATATCATGCCAAGAGATGATGTATTCAAGAGCCTGAAGTCAAAGTCCATCAACCAATAATCTGCATCCGCACATTCTGTACACTCCTAGCGCATGAAGATAGATTCAAGCCACTATTAACAGAGACTCCTAGTTACCTGGATGACACATTTTCATGTTGAGTAGGACGGACAGCGAATCCTGCAAATCTGTTCACCCTGGTCACTAGTCAGGCAAGGTAGAGGGTGACAACCAGTATTTGATTACGATCTCTCGCAGGAGCCTTCCACTGCGTTCCTGCTAGCTCGACACCTCTGTACTGTGCCTTTGCGAGCCATACCAAAGACTCCTGCCTGGCCTCATGCTGTGCCCCAAAGTTAAGTGGACTATGTAAAACACACCTGGGCGCAGCACTCACACAAAGGTTCTCAGGTCTTGTTTCTGTCAATAAGTCGGAACTCACCTAAGCCTTTTGACACTACAAAACATCAGCACCAACCCTAAGTGATTCGAGACTAGCCACTTAGTTATCCTGCATGAATTGCTAGACAGAGTAGCAACTAAACCGTCTGGCCTCAGCTTTGACCTCAGCAACAGGTCCGAGCTCTCGGGTGCGGGTCTTTGCTAACAAGATTGAGTTAGGGTAGAAGAGTCTTCTGCAAAGCTCCAACAACATTGGATTCAGATGGAATAGCATGATGAGCTCTTCACATGGCGTAAATGGGAAAGGGATCAGGGCGCAGCGGAACAAATCCATGCCGAGGTGCCGAAGTGCCCAAAACTAATGGATCATGGACGGTGAGATTGGAGAAGACTGAAGTCACTATTGCACATTCGGCTCTGCATTGGGAAAAATTCCAACGCACTTGTATGCACGTACCTGGGTATCAATCTATGTAGCCCAATCCCAAAACCAAAGCGGGCACCCAACCAGTTGGGTAGAAAAAAGCAATTCTATGCTCTATCATATAGTAAAGTCTACTCGTATAATTGTCATTCCTGCTGCGTCTCCCTCTGCACCGCCGCAGCCGCCTTCTCCATCTCCTTGCGCTCTTTCCTGTCCCTCTTCTCGATGAGCTTCTTCTCCCTCCTCAGCCTCTTCTCCTTCCTCCACTGGATGCCGTACTTGCCCTCCGCCCACAGGATCGGCATGAAGACAACGCCCAGCAGCGCGAAGAAGGTGAAGCACCAGCCGGCGCCCATCCCCGAGATCATGAGGTCGATGACGGCCGTGGCGGCGGCGCCCATCTCGCACCGCACGAAATTGTTGGCCGCAACCGCGGTGGCCGGCGCCTCCGGACTCAGGTCTACGATGAGCGTGTTGAGGATGCCGAACGACCCCGTGATGCACAGCCCGATGACGAAGTGCAGGCACAGCGGCGCGGCAACCGAGGGTCGGAGCTCCAAGACCCAGCCGTAGATAATCACGGCCACAATGCCGACGGCCACGAAGAAGTAGAGCGGCACGATCCTTGCCTTCTCGATGGGAAAATTGGATAGGTCGTCGCCGCGCTTTTTGTCGATGCTGAATCCGATCTTCTTGGCAGTGCGACGGTAGTACCAATCCAGCATGTAGCCCTGGCCTATAGCCGCCGCGAAACAGCCTGCTCCATAGGGAAGGTAACACAAGCCTATCTCCAGGTCATCATAGCCATACTTTTCTTTGAATTGTGTGGATAATGTTGCCACGGTGGTGATGAACATGAGGTATAGCAACGAGTTGTAAAAGATCACGAGACCAACACCCTTGTCGAAGACAACTGCCAGGGCCCGGAGGGGATTAGGGAAGCGCAGTTTTGGCTTCTGTCGCACGGTGCCGTCCTCATTGAGTTGGACGACAACGGTCTGTGTGCCGCCTTCCTTCTGCTGCTTTCTCTGGCGCCGCTTCTGGGAGACCCAAGCGATGGCCGTCATGTTGAAACCGGTAGGCGTCACTGAGCCATTACCGACAATGGTACGGCATGTCTCCGGAACCATTAGTCCGTAGAGCACAAAGACGGAGCAGGCGAAGATGAAGCAGAACCAGAAAATTGCACGCCAGCCGAGGTACTGAGATAGCAAGCCGCCTATCACAGGTCTGTTTGGCGATACTTGTTAGCGAATGAGCTTTAGAAAGGCGGATTCATTGGTCTCCAGAGAATGACCTGCTTCTTGGGCACAACCCCGAGCAGATACATAAGAACAGTCGGCTGGGCTTAGATTGCACGTACGACAGTGATGGCCCAACGTTGATGCCTGCACCCAACAACGCCCATATACTTGCCCCTTTCAGAGCTGGTAGCTATGTCAGCAACAACAGCGTAGCCAAGGGCCAAGGTGCCGCTGCTGCCGCCACTCTGAACCATACGGAGTATCAAGAGGGCGGCGTAATTGTTTTGGAGGGCGAGACCGAGATTTGCTATATTCGACAGTGTCAGAGAGCCTCTGACAACCGGGGGGCGCTGTTGTGTTGAAGCTTACCGACAATGTAGATGAGTACAGCAACAATAAAAGCCGGTCGCCTGCCGGCCATGTCGCCGAAGTCGCCAAACATAGTTGGCGCGATACCCTGTGCTGCAAATCAGTATGGCGGAGCACTCTTGATACAATCGAGCCAAGAATTGTCGGGGTTCACGCTCGTAGTTCACCCGGTCCGACCGCGAAGACTGACCTGAAAGATCATGTACGTAGTTAATGTGAGGTTGATTAGGCTCACTGAGACGCCCAAGTCGTGGGCAATCGGATTGAGAGCCGGAAAGTAAATATTCTAAAAGAGTTGTTAGACACAATCGTCAAGGTCGTGACAGAACCGTGGGATGCTTCATACAGCAGTCATGGGTGAGATAAAAGATGTCAGGGTCACAACGCCTATGATCCATTTTTTCATGCGACTCGAAAAGACAGCTAATCGATGATCTAAGTTAGTAATTGCAATTTCGAAGGCATGCAGGACAAGAAAAGAGCCACATGTCTTGAGTTTTGCTCGCAGATAGTATCACGCGTATCGATCGAGTATCATCAACAGTGCGCAGCCCCAGGGCTTCACCTACAGTAGACCGGGCCGCTAGTCGATCGGGTAAGAGCTTCCGGGTCCGGGTCGGGGTCCTCAGTGTCCGAATTGCTCGGCGTCGCGCGTGTAAACCCTTTTTGGGAGTCTGCGGGTCTTTCCCCGGACAGATCAACGGCGGGCTGATTGATTATGTGCCTGGGCGATGGATCCTGGCCGGCAATCGCCTGGGCGTCAACGACAGCTGCTGGTGGATTGGGAGGAACGAGGGAGGGAGTCCTCTCCGGACTAGAAAACCCAGCATTTGCCATGGCTTGAGGACAGAGCAGGGCCTTTCTGGTCTCGACAGTGAGTGAAATAAAGCAGGAGCTGTTTCTGGCTACTCATGGGGCAGCAAGAGAGTCTATGTAAGAGATCGAATCACTTGTTCGACAGATCGGGGTCTAGGCCGCAAAGTCCCAGTAGAGGTCCCAGTAGAGCCCAGACTCTCGTGGGGATTATATCGGCGATGAGCAGGGCCAAAGCCATGAGGAAAAGAGGACTGAGAGGCAGGAAAGCCGAGCGATTGGAGACGAAGGTGCCGTCGATGCGTAATAATGCAAGAAGGACAGGAGCAGAGGTCAGGGCCCACCATGAAAGGGCCTTGTTCCCGTTAGCTTCTCCATCACGGTCGAAGTCCGTCCGACCTCACCCTGACAGGCCTGATCGGCGCCTGTTTCCTGGAGGGAATCCGAAGGCAAAACTGGCTCTCGAGTGCCCACACTTGTAAGGCGCCAAAATTCGGCCAACAACCACACGTGGTGGCAGGGGACGGCCGTGTTCCTGCAGGCTTGTGATGGCCGGACTTTCCCAGGCACAGAAGCAGATGGGCCAGCGCAGCTGGTGCTGCTGCTGGGTGTGCTTCTTCAGAAGCCATGGGCAGTCACGGCCACGATTTGTGCCCTGTGGAACCAACTCTGCGACTCGGCTCTGGACGGACCCGCACAACGGCGAGCGGTCTGATGCCCGCGAAGGCTGTCCGGTATCGGCACCGTAGCCGAAAGGCGAATCGTGAACGGCGTTGCCGGACAACCGCTTCGGTACTTCCCCTTGGGCCGTTTCCTCACTGCTCATCCAGGTCGTCGATCGCCTGCCGGAGCACCGAAGAGGAAGGAGGTGCAGAAAGCGCCAATAAAGCTTGGTGTGCTGGCTTGCTTTGACTGGGCTGGCTGGACTGCCTTAGCTCTCTGACTACACAGTAAATAGTCTCCAACGGCGGGAATCTTTCGACTCCTGCATCTTCGGGGTGGTAATCGAGGACTAGTTTGCGAGGAGAGACCAGAGGACGATTTCCAAACCATAAACATGTATTCAACCTGATCGAGCATGAACTAGATCGTGAAACTATGTAGACACTTGATGTCGTAGACTTGAGCCTCATGGGAGATCATAATGGTTAGACTGCGGCAGGAGAATTGTCTTCTTGGACAAACTCGCCGTGTGGACATCTAGGTACCGAAGATCCTGTTGAATATCGCATAGGCTATTGCGTTGAGCCTGGTTGTTGTAACGTCTGGAACGTGTGGACAGTGGCCGAGTCCAACCGGGAGGATGACAGGGGTGTAGGTCTTATCCGCTCCAGAACACGAGGCGATGATCAGATGGACTCGTAATGATGCTGTGATTAATGCGAGGCTGTGTCTGTCGAATCCAGGCAGGCCAGCTCGCCAGGCAGGTTGTCGTCAAGACGTGTGCTCAAGGGGTGCATGCAGGTTGAGTGGTTTTCGGAGCCGAAGCGGGCAGACCTTAATCGCGGATCCCTGCAAGGGAGGAAGGCACAATCTGCGGGAAGGAGGTTGTGGCTGGACCATCCCAAGCCACGCACGACCTGCACTAACAGCGACAAGGTCTAGTGCTGTTCGCAAGCTGGCATCCGTCATTGGCAGCGGCTTGTGGGAAGCTTGCTGTCCCCATCGCAGCTTGGATAACCTTCTGCTTGATCACTTCAGCCTCGTCACTAGTTTTCGCCCTCTAAATTCTTCCCCTAACAGCACTCACAGGAGACACTCAGCATGGAGGTCACCGTCACCTTCAATGAGCTGCTCAAGGCGCGCTCGGCGTCTACCACCCGCGGCGCCCTGCCGGACCTCGACCGAATCGACAGTTACCTCAAGGAAGCATCGTCGATCAACCGCGACATTGTCAACCTGCACAGCGAACTGTCGCATATTCGACAAGCCTACCTGTCCACCGCCGCCCCTCGAAAGACACATCTTCGGAAAGGCGCCCAGGACAACAAATCTATCTATCTCACCGATGCAGACCGCAATGCAGTCGACAAGATGGCCAAGGAGTCACTACAACGGCTCAACCTACGCATCCGCATCTTGGAGGACGAAGAGGCCAAACGACATGACGCGGCCATGAAGGACATCAACCGTAAATACGGGCGCGGCTTGCGCGCGCTGACGGGATGGGCTGCGGGCAGCGCGCTGGGGCAGGACGGGGACGGCGCAAAGAGCCCGGAGCACGCAGCGGCCATCAGATTAGAGATGCAGTTGTTCGTGCACAAGGGGACCGTCATTGGCTACCTCAAGGAGAAGCTGAACGCCACGACCAAGCTGCAGGGCGGCATGATGGAAACGAGGCTCGCGAGGGAGATGGAGAAGAACAGGAGCATACTAGCCAAGGCCAGGAGCTCACAGCTCCCGCCCGCGCTGGCCAAGGAGTTTGGGTTTGACGAACCCGGCGCAGGCTCACCATCTGCGCCCAGGCCGTCCGCACCCGGCCTGGCTGTAGACGAGGAGGAATCGAGGAAGCGGCAGGAAGAGGCTCTCGACCTCACGGACGAGCAGAGGCAGATATTTGAGAAGGACAACCAGGACATGCTAAAGCACTACAACACGGCGCTGGACAAGGTCAAGACGGTGGAGAAGTCGATCATGGAGATCGCGGAGCTGCAGCAGATGCTGGCGGACAACCTGACGGTGCAGTCGGCGCACATTGACCAGCTGGTGACGGACGCGGAGAGGACGGAGGAGAACGTCGGGGGCGGAAACAAGCAGCTGAAGAAGGCGTCGCAGAGGAAGTTCAGCCAGGCGCGGGTGACATTCTATGCGGCCAGCGCTCTGTGTACAGTTCTGGTGCTGTGGGACTTGATAATATAGCACAGCAGGGTGACAGGGGCACACATTTCTGGTCCAATGTGGAGATGCAGCGCTTTGCGCGGTGTTGACAATGAAGCCAACAACATAATTAATTGTGGTGACCAAGCAGAGATCTCACAAGTAGAGAACGAATGAGGTGAAACTCCACAAGCAGGACAACTGTCTGTTCGTAACTTACCAAAATCCAACCTGAGGATACTTCTCTCGGAACACGAGGTCAATCATGAATCATTCTGAAGAGTATTTCGGTTTCCATTATCTCGCTGCTGTACGCCAGGAGCGCCGGGGAAAAACAATTCAGAATGTAAGAACGTGGGAACAAATGCGAACGTAGGTTCACCATAGACGCCGACCTCACACGAGAACAAGAGGTTATCCTACGGGATGGCATCCCATAGGAAATCAACCCTAGGAGGCTGTCCCACAGGATTGAGGCCAAATGGTATCTACAATCTCATCATACACTGCAGGTGATGGAAACCTTGAAAGCCAATATTTGACCTGAAAATCGACGAGTGATCCAATGACGTGCTGATGTTTGGTGAGCAGGCGAGGATGCCCACGGGGCTGTTTTACCTCGGGAACTCGGCCGGGAGCGGATGGGCCTCGCCCGGTAGGCCGAGTTCCAAGCCAGGCCAGACCACCCGGAGCCAGTTGCGGCAGTATCACATGCATTTCATTTGCTTGCTTGCTTGCTGGGTTGACACTTGCAAGCTTTACAGATAAAAGTCCATAGTATACTGAGCCGTGATTGATACCCGACGTGAATGCTGTCGTCCTTCTCACCCGTGCACCCTCGACTTGACTCTTTTGATCTGAACCAGGTGCGGCATTTATCTCGTCACCGTTGACTCCTGACTCCTGTAGTGTTCCGCCCACTCGTATGATTACACCAGGGACCCTTTGGCTGCCGTGGATCCTTCTCGTGCCAAGTGACGCGGGTCTCTTGCACATTCTTGCACACTGCACTGTGGCCCTCTATCTACCTCTTACATCACCGGCGACTGGAGTTTGCTCGGCAAGATCGGGGAAGACGGTCGAAACATAGCGGACGGGAGACTGCACTGTTCGAAACGGCATTGGCGGGCATACGGGGTCTCGGCGATTTTATCCACAATTGCTGTTTGTGGTCATATGGGCTCTAGGGGTTGAATCATTGCGAATTCAGTCTGGGTGGACTGCAAAGCTAATACAGGTTTCCTGACTGGATTATCGTCCGCCAGGCCATCCGCCCGCCCGCCAACCGCTTGTTATTACCACAGTGTTGGATAATACGAACGCTGAACAGGCCAACAGGGCCCCGCCAATCCGTTACCCCAGCCCCTCTTACCCCGGACGGACCTCTATCACCCCTCCCAGCTCGGGTATCCTTACCACAGCTGCTGATAGGTGCTGTGCTGCCACGGCGAGCTGCTACTGCGAGCTGCCACCCCTCCGCGAATACCTGTAGCACGTACCCGTGCTACCCTGTCGATCAAGTGAGTACCTGACCTGTCTGACTGCCTCCTGATCTGCCTGCATAGGTAGTTTTTTGCCCTGAGGTCCCACGGCCTTGTTCCAAGTCCAGCTCAATAACAGTTCATTCCTTTCTCAAGGATGCCTTCCTCGCCCAACAACTCCAACGACAAATCCCAGGCCCAGACTTACAACTCACACAACTCGCCGACCAACCCCACCGACAGGATACGCAGCATCGCCAACCAGATGGCTTCCCCAGTACTCACAACCAGCTTCCCAGCTGATGCTGTCCCTCAAGCGCCTGAGGACCCTCTGTTTGGTCTGATGGCAGCGTACAGGGCAGACACGAGCCCGGACAAGGTCGATCTGGTGGGTCAACACCCTCTCCCTCTGGAGTTCATGATATGACGTCTTCCATGTCGAGTGTTGGAGCTGTCCAGCTAACCAGACGCCTCATCACCAGGGAATCGGAGCGTACCGTGACGATAATGCAAAGCCATGGATCCTGCCAGTCGTCAAGAAGGTGAGCGAGCACGAATCGATATTCTCTACTCGAGACTCGCAGCACTGCACGCTTCATGCACGCCTGTGTGGCATCTGCAACCTCGCAGTCGATTGCATTCTGGGGTTCCCTCCATCTCCCCCCGCTACCCCGGATCCAGATCACCCCAGATTCACCACAACGTGATCATCAGGCCACTCTGCTAACATCGCTTTTCTCTGCTGCGTCTAGGCCGATGAGATCATTCGCAATGATCCAGACCTGAATCACGAATACCTGCCCATCGCCGGTCTTGCCTCCTTCACCACCAAAGCGCGCGACCTGGTCCTCGGGCCTTCGTCAGCCGCCATCGCCGAGAAGCGTGTCACCTCCGTCCAGACCATCTCCGGCACGGGAGCCTGCCACCTGGGCGCCCTCTTCCTCGCCAGGTTCTACAAGGGCAACCGGACGGTCTACCTCTCCAACCCGACATGGGCCAACCACAACCAGATCTTCAGCAATGTCGGCCTGCCCATCGCCACCTACCCGTACTTTGACAAGAAGACCAAGGGCCTCGACTTCGAGGGCATGAAGAAGACCATTTCCGAGGCCCCCGACCGCAGCATCATCCTGCTGCACGCCTGCGCCCACAACCCCACTGGCGTCGACCCGACCGAGCAGCAGTGGCGCGAGATCGCCGACGTGATCCGCGCCAAGAACCACTTCCCCTTCTTCGACACCGCCTACCAGGGCTTCGCCTCGGGGGACCTGGACCGCGACGCCGGCGCCATCCGGTACTTTGTCGAGCAGGGCTTCGAGCTGCTCGTCGCCCAGTCCTTCGCCAAGAACTTCGGCCTGTACGGCGAGCGCGCCGGCTGCTTCCACTTCGTCACGGCGCCCACGGGCCCCTCGGCGCCCGAGACCGTCACCCGCGTCGCCTCGCAGCTGGCCATCCTGCAGCGCTCCGAGATCAGCAACCCGCCCATCTACGGCGCCCGCGTCGCCTCCACCGTGCTCAACGACGACCGCCTCTTCGCCGAGTGGAAAGAGAACCTGCGCACCATGAGCGGCAGGATCATCAGCATGCGCAAGGCGCTGCGGGGGAAGCTCGAGGAGCTCGGCACCCCGGGGACCTGGAACCACATCACCGACCAGATCGGCATGTTCAGCTTCACCGGCCTGACCGAGGCCCAGGTCCTGAAGCTGCGCCAGGAGTTCCACGTCTACATGACCAAGAACGGCCGGATCAGCATGGCGGGCCTGAACACGCGGAACGTCGAGTACTTTGCAAAGGCCGTGGACAAGGTCGTGAGGGACTCTTCATAGTTGTTAGTACCAGGGGAAGCAGCACTTTGTAAAGGGGAAAGGAGAGTCGTTGGTAGGAATGTCCAGTCATCAATCACACCCAGACCATCACTGCTCATTGTAGAGTCCCCCGGGAGGGGGACGGCTGGAAAAAGATAAAAATCAGGAAGAGGACGAGACTCCATAGTGCAGACGTTGAGAATGTCGAATGCTCCAGCCTCTGTTATTTGCAAGGAATGCGTACGTTTGTACATGCTTGTGCCCCATTGTACCCACCCATGCACCAGTGACCCTGAATGCTGCTGAGAAGATGCCACAGCCGCCAACGCCGCCGCTAATATATGATACCTTTAAAATTGACATTTGATGCATGTAATGCAAGTTTGCAACGCCTGGTGGTTGATGAGCCAAAAAGTCCCAAAAATCGAGAAAAGATGTGCCCTTCCTCATGTGTGCCTCGTCGTATCACCAACGACGGCTGTGAAAAACGAGTAGTTAGCAGATCATTCCTCATTGTTGCGTTGTCGGGACAGGGAGAGAACCAAAACTTACCCAAAGGCGTCGTTCAATTTGACTTGCCGCCTCTTCACCGCCGATTTGCTTGGTGCAGTCTTCTTCTTCTTCTTCTCGGGTCGCTCCATACCCAGAAGCTCGTACTCCAGGTCCGACAGGTCTGCAGACTCGGCATCGCTGGTGGCAGCGATTGGCGTAGGCGAGCGTGTCCGGGCTCGTGCCTTGGCGTATGATGGAGACCATTTGCGTGGGGTTTGGTCGTCGCGACTTTGGTCACGGCTGGGGCCACGGTCGTCACGGCCTGGGCGCGAGGGCGGCGGGGAGAGGCGCCTGCTACGGCTCCTCTCGCGATAGGGGTTGCCCCTGTCGCCCGAGTACCCGCTTTGGTATCCCGAGTCGTAGCGCTGTGTTGAGTCACGGGGAGTGAAATGGCCTTTGTTCGAGTCCTCCTTCTGCAGGCGATATCCGCCAGGCGAACGAGAGTAACGGCCTCTGGAATCAGGCCGTCCGGCCTCATCCGGTTGCGGAGACCAAGGATCAAGGCTGACATTGATGTTTGTGCTCCGCGCCGGCGAACGTGACCGTGGGCGCGGCGACACCGGTCGTGGTGGTAGACTGTGCACAATTCTCTCCGGCTGAACCTTGAGGCGCTTGATATCCCTTGCGTTTCCGTCAGGATTCTCATGGCCTCGTTTGCCATTGCTTGACTCAGAGACAAATTGCCCATCTTTGACGGGACTTCCAGCGGGATGATGGACCCGAGGGCTGATAGCATCATTCAAACTTGAATCGCTGGGTCCCCGCGTTACGACCTCTCTATCAGTCAAGGACCCAGTCTCGACCTTGCGAGAGAAATGATACGTGAAATATTCGTGGGTTGCTCCTGGAAAGCGGATGACGACCATACCACGTCGATACCGAAAAACGGGATCTCGCTTGACTTTGGGCCACAGCTTGGATTCCCGGACCGACAATTTCAACGAGTCTGGGCTTTCCGGGTCAAAGAATGCGGACTTGACGCACTTGGCATTATATGCCGGAGGTATAGTTGGCTCGTCGCTCCAGTCTGCTGCAAGAGGCTTCCCCACAGGGTCGGCTGGCTTTGTATCCAGTTCAATAAAGGCTTTCTCCAGATCCCATGAAAACTCCTCGTCAGCTTCGGAGTCCTTCTCGTCAACCTTCACGTCTTCAATCCGGGGTGTCGTCCTCACGCTGTCCTCCCTCTTCTCGCTCTCAACTCTGGGGGTCCGCTGGCGAGAATTGGATGAGGAACGCGTACCCGGCCCTTGATTTCGACGATCACGACCGCGCTGATGTCTGTCGTTACCCCGGCCGGACTGCTTATTCCTGCCACCTTTGTCACGATCGTTGCGCCGGTCTCGATGGTCTCTAGGCCGTGATTGGTTGTGGCCAGCAGAGCTCTGGTGCCAACTTTGACTTGGTGGTGGTGGTGGATATGGGGCTGGGTATGCCCCTTGGGGCTCGTAGCCGGATGAGTACGGAGCTGGTGGGTATGAAGTGGAAGGAGGCGGGGGAAGACCTGGGGGAATTCCTGACGGGAGCCCTGGTGGTGGACCTGGAGGAGCAGAACTGCCGTATGCTGGCGGATAGCTAGCAGGAGGTGGTGCTGGAAGAGGCGGTTGTCCCGGGAAGCTGGGTGGAGGCGCACCACTATACCCTGGATTTGGCGGCTGGTACGGAGGGGCGTAGGAGGGCGGCCCGTATGGCCCCGGAGGAGCGTAAGGTTGAGGAAGGGCTGGTGGAGGGTATGATGGTTGGCTGTATTGTCCATAGCTTGGGCCAGGAGCCGGGGGAGGAGGGACCGGTGGTCCGTAGACGCCTGGCGGCGGATTCACGTTTTGGTACGGAGGTGGGTACGGCGGTACGCTCTGGGGCGGCGGAGGGTAAGGTGCAGGCGGCTGTTGTGCGTATGGGTTGGGAGGCTGGGCTGGGGGAGGATAAGGGCCGCCAGGAGGCCCCCATGCGTTTTGCGGAGCCGGAGGAGGGTATTGAGAGGGAGGTGGGCCATATCGAGTTATCACCAGTCCCTTAGACCGGTTGTTCGGGGAGCCCTGTGAACCGTGACTGTGCATGCTCTTGGCTGCTTGTCGCTGGCGAAAGACCTCTGCGCCGCTGCATCGACCGTTAGCCGTGCGGGAGACAGGGGGCAAGCGGCCGTTGATGGGCAACGGCCGCGGCTCACGTGGTGCCTGAGGCCGGACAAAAGAGAAAGCAACCTACTGTGGCTCCTTGCGCGTCGGTTCAGGACATGCGTAGGCGAAATGAAGCTGGCTACCACAATTAAAGCAGCCTCCTTCGGCCTTTGGGGTGTCAAAGCCTGGCGGATGATCGCCCATGTTGCGCCGACATGAGTGAGGAATACGCGGGCGAAATGCGCTGACCGAGTCAAAATCTGAGAAGAGGAGCGCCGCGTGGCAGGACAGGAGGAACGATCGAATCAAGAGAGCGCGCGGGGACCAGTTCGCGAAGCCCGTATGCGCGAGCAGTGGATCGTACTCAGTATGTGAGGAATAGGATCAATGAGAGTAGGGCAGGGAGGGTATCAAGCATCGAAGTGGATCCTGGCAGTCAGGAATGGGGAGCAACAGAAGCAGCAACACCCGTGGCTGCAGAGGTTTTGCGGATGCTGACAGCGACGACCGCTAGGTAAGACGCTGGGGCATTGACGACACCACACTGGAAACGCCGGCTGCGTGCGGTACGCACCAGCAGAAGCAGGCAGGCCGGCCGGGCGAAGGTCCGGAGGACAGCGTGAAGTGCGGAACGGTGCGGTGCCGTGTGATGCGGTGCGGTACGGTACGGTGCGATTTTGGTGATGTTGAGGGTTTGCGGCAAAGAAAGGCATGCGCCGCCAGCCGAGGATCAAACAGTGGCCTGGCGCCGGCCGTGCGCAACCCTGCGCTCTGCTCTGTTCTGACCTGCTCGCTCGCTCGCTCTCTTCCGTTGAGCCCGCCCCAAGAGCTGGCGCTTCACGGCGGAGACGTCGCAAAATGGGAAATGATTACAGAGAGACAGAGAGATGGAGTATCGGAGGAACTAGTCGCGGCCACATAGAGAGATCGCATGTGAGATTGGATGGCACTTGAGTGTCCCGTGGTTGCGTGGGTGGTGCTCCTGGTGGTTGGGTTGGAGAAATGGACGGGTCGAGCTGACTGACCGGCTCGGAAAGGAAAGGTTCCATCCAACGTTGGCATGGCACTCAAGTCAGTCAGGTCAGTCAGTCAGTCAGTCAGTCGGCTTCAGCCCAGCCCCGCGCCCCTGGCCTGCCTCTCTGCCGTGCCTACCTCTCTCTGCCTCGTATGTCTGATCCGGCTCTATTGGCTTGGTTCTGCTCTGCATTGTTTCTGCCGATGCATCGGCCCGACACATATCCCGCTGCCAGTTAGTTCTCCTGCGACAGGTTCCAAATCTCTATGTCTTGCTCTGCCTAGAAGTAATTCTTGTATAATATGTGCCTGCCAATGCTTCATCGGCCTGTTCGGTCGATGTTCTAGTGTCTATAACGGCGTTTGAATATGCAGGGGAGATCATGTCTAGAAAGAAAAAGACACAGCTGGCTTTGGAATGAGGCCAACACTTAGAAACAAACTGACGAACGAATTGACAGACCAGACCAATCGACACGGGAACAGGGCATGCTGAGCACAACACATGCGTGCACTACAATAGTGCTCTGCTTTCTGACGAAAGGAGGCTGGCCGCAACAGACTCGGAAGGTGCAGAGGTGCGCCATATAACCAGACAAAGCCGACACGAAGGGCTTCTCATCGTATAATACTGAACTGAGGCCCCATCTGGTCGAGGCTCTCGGCTCTCATTATCTTGCTCGGGCCAACTGCGTGCAGCATGACGAACAGAACGCTGGGGATAGGAAAGGGCTGCCCACGTCAAACCTCAGACGGAGCCGGACGTCGAGCACAAATGATGGCTCTGGGGACTTGGGACGCGAATGGTCCACAATAGACAGCCAGACTGGCGAAAGGGACGCAGTGACAACGGACGAGCCTGGAAATAGGGCGGCCGAGCTGCCTCAAACTCGACCCCAAGTCGTAGACCACAACGGGTCCGAACCCAACGACTCCCTGACAGCAAGACAAATGAAATTCGGTCCACCGTGGGATAAAAAGCCTCGATACCTTTGCCTCCCGGCTATCAAGAGCCGAATGGATCGAAGTGAGATCAGACCAGCAATTCTGGGATCGGAGCCTCGTCCGGCATGGCCATCAGAGGGGGGCCCTCGGTGCCTTGCAAAACCGGGAGCGAAGAACAGGCAAGGGGAGGAGTGACAGCATGTGCTGCGGCGAGAGTGAGATGGATAGACGGCGAAAGGGCGAGGCGCAAGGGCAGGAAAGAGGAGGGCGAGGACTGGTTTTAAATCACCTTGGGCCCAGCTTGTGGCCTGAGGCACTAACAGTACGGGCGAGACGTGGGACGCTCCTTCGCAGAAGTTCCCTGCCCCCTAGACTGGGGGGGAAGGGGGTGGCGGGCCACCTTCTGATTACGGAGCAGCTTCCAAGGTTTCTGACGGCTGCGGTGGCACCGGCTCTCGAGCTTCGTCTGACAAAGCTGCTGGTGGGATATCTGGACTGGGTATCCAATCCGCGGGCCAACTTTCTGGATCGAATCACTCATCAACCTCGTCTCCCATGTATTCGTCCACCGTCCAGGCCTCCTGATCGAAACGGCGCTCCATCTGCTTAATGTGAGAGCTTCGAGTACCACCAGCCCGCCGTTCCTCTCCCACGATCATGTTGGTTCTTCGGTCAACCGCCTCAACTATCGCGTCGACCTTCTTTGCCGGGAGAAGTCCACCACATCCACCTCCACGCCCCAGCAACGGTAGCAGAACAACCCCGAGGTAGCTTGACTGACGTCTCGCTCGGCCCCGATTCTCTTCAGGAAAACGAACCTCCCGCCCATATCTGTCTGCGTCGCCTCGCCTCGCCGTGCACCCCACCGCCCCTCCCCGCCCCGCGCCGCTTTCATCCTGGCCGGCTGCCGTAGCCGACCACCACCATGCCCGGCCTGCCAGCATCAGTCGACCTGGACGAATGTATATCGCGCCTCTACAAGAAGGAACTCCTCGCCGAGTCCGTCATCGAGGCCATATGCGCCAAGACGAAGGAGCTGCTCATGCGCGAGAGCAACGTCGTCCACGTGCGCGCCCCCGTCACGGTCGTCGGCGACATACACGGGCAGTTCTTTGACCTGATCGAGATATTCAAGATAGGAGGCTGGTGTCCCGATACCAACTACCTGTTCCTAGGTACGCGTTGCCCCTTGGCCAGACTCGAAGAGCGATGAGGAACAGCTGCTTCACTCCCCAACTTCTCTGGTTCTCTCCCCCTACCTGCCCGTGCACACCGCTGACAAGCTGCGACCACCCGGAACAGGCGACTATGTTGACCGCGGCATGTTCAGCGTCGAAACCATTTCCCTTCTTGTCTGTTTGAAATTAAGATACCCCAACCGAGTGCATTTGATCCGAGGCAACCACGAGTCGCGCGGCGTAACGCAGTCCTACGGCTTCTACACCGAATGTTCCAGGAAATATGGCAATGCCAACGTCTGGCATTACTTTACAGACATGTTTGACTTTTTGACGCTCAGCGTTGTGATAAACGACCAGATCTTTTGTGTACATGGAGGTCAGTCAACATCCACAGAAAACCCAGTGTTTCTCTCGCCAGGAAGAGGACTGTGCTGACTATGATTGGATCCTCAGGGCTCTCCCCCTCCATCCACTCCATCGACCAGATCAAGATCATCGACCGATTCCGCGAGATCCCTCACGAGGGACCCATGGCCGACCTGGTCTGGTCCGACCCGGACCCGGAGCGCGACGAGTTCTCCCTATCGCCCCGGGGCGCGGGGTACACATTCGGCGCGCAGGTGGTCAAGAAGTTCCTCTCCGTCAACAACATGAGCCACATCCTGCGAGCGCACCAGCTGTGCCAGGAGGGCTTCCAGGTGCTGTACGACGACCGGCTGAGCACGGTGTGGAGCGCCCCCAACTACTGCTACCGGTGCGGCAACATGGCGAGCGTCCTCGAGGTGAGCGACACGGGCGAGCGGTTCTTTAACGTATTTGCCGCCGCGCCCGAGAACGACCTGCATAAGGACATGCAGCAGCAGGGCGCCGACAAGGGCCCTGACGGGAACACCCTGCCGGACTACTTCTTATAAGGCCACGAGAAAATTGGGGAGAAAGAGACACAATACTGGATAGCTGCCTACACTCAGCCGTGTGAATACTCGCGCACTTAGACATGGGGGTGTTTATGATTAAAGACTCATGCGCAAACAAATGTCACGAAACATAGACTATGGAGGGCCGGGGGTCATCAAATAACGATCAATTCTGGAGCCCGGTTTCTCTGCTCTTTTCTTTTTCCCCCTCCCCTTGCACGTAGTGCGCGAATCTGGTCGAGTGCTGGTAAGTAAGCCAAAGAAAAACAGGGCAACCGGCGTAATAGAGCATGGACCAGATGGACGGATCAGCTTTCCCACACCTCAAGCCGTCCCGTCCCTCTCTGGTCCAAGTCTTCTTTTTTTAAACGCTCCTCCATTGGCAGAACTCCACCCCTTCCTGGGTTGATCCAACGTTGGCCCACCCCGCCCTAAAGGCTTCTCGCCTCTGCGGCAAAAGGAGGCCAGGTTTCCGAGTCGTAGTCGCGCGAGAGAGAGCAAACATGATAACTACTCTTGCTGCCACCTACTCCCAGTCCTTGGAGATATCGAAGGACCACTCAAATTTCAGGTGCTCCTTCTTGTCGTCGTCGACGAAAGAGGAGACTGCGTTGTAGTGGCCACGGGCCAGCATGCCGGAGGGGGCCTCTTCCTCGTTGACTGTAGGGGGTGGGAGACATGTCAGCCTCGGCTCCTAAAAGGGGGAAATGGTAAGCCAGCGGCGTGGGGGGAACCTACATTTTTTGGTGTAGACAGGCTGCTTGTCGGTATTGGGAGCGTAAGAGCCCTGTAATCCTGTCAGTACCTCCCAACTCCTTCGCTTATCCCCAGCCCTGGCTTGCACGGGCCGGGGCGGGGGGTGGGTGGGCGAGACTCACGATCATCTCGCTGTCCTTGGAGACCCTGACGCCCTTGCGCTTCACGATCTGGACGTAGTGCAGGCCGCTCAGGATCTCGTGCTGGACGCGGAAGGTGGCGGACATGGTGAACTTTGCGCCCTCCTTGATCTTGAAGGGTTTGTCCTTGAGGGTGCTCTCGCTCCCGGCCGTGGAGAGGTCGATGGTGACTGGGGAGCGGCCGGGCGAGTCCATGGCCAGGGCCTCGATGATGCAGACGCGGGGGTCGCTGGGGTCGGAGAGGTCCTTGCCGCCGGTGAGGCCGAGGGACTCCTTGTACCGTTGGAGGGACTCGTCGTTCGAGTCTGTGTGGGCGCGCGGGAAAAGGAGTCGTTAGCGATCATTGCGGGGTCAATTCGGATGATATGCGTGCTCTTTGGCCTGGGCGGTGACCTAGCAACGCTTGCCATGCCACAATGTCGGTGTTGTGAAGATATGAGGAGACGTGAGGTCCCTCTCTGCATTGTCTGTCCTTCTCCGGCAAAGCAAGAAGGGGGGTTGGGCATTGTGCAGACAAGGGAGACCCATTCTCGCCAGGGCCCACGAGAGGGTGCCGGTGCGGATCGTGAGAGGGAGTATGTCCAAGGCGGTGGGCGATGCAAGTTCTCAAAGAGAAGGCGGTCGCCGGTGGAGCAGAATAAGGTGCCAAGATGAAGATAGTCTTGCCTTAGGTTGGGGTCTTTGAAGCTGAAGGTTGACCTGGCGGGGCTCATAGTCGGGTGGGTTTCTCAAAGAGACACCCAATTGCAGGTCACAAAGCACTTGCTTGTTGCGATGGAGTTTGGGACGCCGCCATTGAAGGCACACTTGTTTGCAGAGAGGCCGATGTGCTGCCCATTGATCGTGACCACTTCGCGGGTAGGAGGGTTTGGAAGCTGTCGATCGACATACCCATCTGTTGATATTCAGCTAAGCTCTGCTTGGGCTGGGACAGCTTGTAGCCCTGGGTCTCCTCGGGCATCGTGTCTTCGTCATGGTGTGAGGCCATCTTGGGCGGCTGTTGAGTTCCAAGCGGTGATCGGCTGGTATCTCGAACTGGGATCGTGAGGTCACGGAGTGCTGTGGGAAGGGGGGATAGTTCGGTTCGGTGTGTCGATACGGTGAGCTGAGGGACCATCAATCGGCCGCGACAATGAGGCGGACAGGTCTACCACATGTATTTATTGCCAGCTGCCAGCCTGATGAGGGGCACAGGGCCACAAAGAGCGGGCCGCCCATACCTGGGTAGTGGGGTCCATTATGCATGACCGACCTGGCCTCGCTGTTCTGGAACAGGGCGCGGCCTCTCCATCCGGGAGCCAACCAGCCAATCTGACCAAACAGGCGCAAGTTTTCTCATACAAGAACGGTCTGGAGACTGGAGAATGGAGAACTGGAGATCGTCTCCCTGCTCCCTGCCGACGGTGACAAGCTCCAATCCATGAGCCAAGAATAGGACGGCCGTCAGGATAGATCACTCCTGCCGGCCGTGTGCTTGGCCAGCGTAGTCTATACTTGTAGACTACGCCGTAGACTCCTGTGTGCGCAGTATCCTTCTCTGCTACCCTTCCAAGTCATACACAATAGGTAGATTGCAGGCATGGATGCACGATGTGCACGTAGACTTGCAGGACATGGACCTACAGTACTTGCACCTACAGTAAAAGCCGCCGCCCCTCGCTCACACCGATGCCCCCGACTGCGGCCGCTTTCCCGAGGCTATGCTTATCACCACGCAAGAGCAGATTACGAGTCCCTCATGATTCTGATGTCAATTGTCATGCAAAATACCGTACCAAGGACGGCCATGGATAGCATCACTGGGCCTAAGGACACCTGTTCCTGGAACGGCATGACATGGCTGATATAGTCTGTATAGTCTAGAGCGGGGTCAAGGATGTGAGCTTGAACGGCCACGGCTAGCCACCGGGCCGGATGGCTTGATCAAGGGAGGTTGATCGCATGGTTCGAAGCTTGAGCTTGAGTGTAAGCTCGAGCTTGTTCCCCTGTCCGCGACTCTTACACTACCTCGAAGGTACCTGGCTGCTGCAAGCGACCTTGGGACAAGTAGGTTAAGCTGGTGCTCAGCATCTAGACTACACACTTTCAACCGCGAGTTCTCAGAGATGCTACCTTGGCAGTTTGGCACGCTCTATTAGGTAGGCAAGAACAAACGCGGAAAGAGCACACCGATTGGCTAGGTGCTCTGTGCCTACGAAGCGGTCGATCGTATCGTGGTGGGACGTTTGGGTAGCAAAACGGCCAAATCCCAAGACCAGAGCTGTCAGTCTCCGGCCGACAGCTCCCATTCTGGGGGTCCGGTCCCACTCGGCAAAATTGGGCTTCCAGAAAGGAAGCGTTGCACTGAGATCCGGGCCACGGGACACGTTAGGCAGCTGTGAGAGACCTGGGCGAAATTCACACCAAACTGGCATCGCGACCTTAACAGCCTGAGCCCACCCGAGCCCCTTTCCTCTCCTCACCCAGTGGCCCTGCACCCGCATAGACAAGCACTACGGAGTAGACCCCACCCATATTGGACCCCCCCCCCCAGCTCGTGCACCTCATCTTACCAGGTGGTTAGATACTCCAGCATCTTCACCACATCCGCCCCCTCATACGGTCGCCTTCGATCCGAACCATCCAGACTGCCTGTTAGCAAGAACGACTGTTTCCCCGTACATCGCATTTCATCCCAGGCTCACGATAGCCCTTTTAGAGCAGCACCTTCCTTGCCTACAGTACAGCCGTTAGATTACATCAAGTTTACAGTTCTGACCGACTGCGCGCCCCGCCCGTCGTGAAGACCCCCTTTCGCCGGCCCCGTCCCTTCTTTCTCCACCCAAAAAGTAGCGCGTAACGGGTTCGGCGCACAATCTTGAGACCTTCGTCTTTGCCCACCGAATTGGCCTCAGGTCTCGTTAGTCAAATCGCACACAAGCAGGTGAGGGAGGCCCGAGCTTTTTGGCATTGTCGCATGGGCTGCGTCCAGTGCACGCGCTGACTCGATTTATGCAGCCAGGTGTCGACAATAATCTGCTGCAGAGCTCGTTAGTGTCGCATCGCCTTCCGTCCAAACCTAATACCCACGCTGGCGGAGACGTCGATTCCCTCTCACCACCGTCTTGCTCTGGTCCACCGACCTGGTCGCCATTCTCCCTGACGGCCTGCGTAAACTTTATCCTGTCTATCAAGCTTGCACAATAAGCGCATTCACCATGGCGCCGGCAGTCACGAGGCAGTTGCCTGAGAAGCGCAATCCCTTTATGACCGCGGAGGTGCCAAACCGTACGAGACCTTGCGCGCGTGGCGCCAACGACTGGGTTAGAAGAGAAGCTGACAAGTCCGCTGCAGACACCGACCTTGTTTCACGGCGCCGCCTGGGCCAGACCCAGCTGACCGCGAAGATGGTCGCGGCCCTGCCCGGCGCCGAGGTCGACCCGTCCAACCTCGGTGTCTTCGACTACGCTCACCTACGCGCTCCTCTGCCCAAGGGCATCGTTTCCGGCATCTTCAAGTCGAGCCCGAATAGCTACTTCCTCATGCGCCGAAGCAACGACGGGTTTGTCTCTGCTACTGGAATGTTCAAAGCAAGTTTCCCGTATGCCATGGCCGAGGAGGAGGAGGCAGAACGTCGGTTCATCAAGTCTCTGTCGACTACCAGTCCCGAGGAGACCGCCGGCAACGTGTGGATACCTCCAGAGTCTGCAATAAGCCTCGCTAAGGAGTACGGTATCGAGCCTTGGATCCGCGCTCTGCTGGACTCCGCGGACATTCTGGTGTCGAACGCGACCGAAAACAGCCCCCCGAAGCGAATCAGTGCTCCTCCAAAATACTTTCCTACCGCGTCCGCCACCACTCTCGTCCCGCCTACGCCGACCTCTATGCGAAGCACGCGCAGCCGCCGATCAGCCAGCCCCACCAAGGCCTCCTCAAGTCGCCGCAACGTTACCGCGAGCCCGCGCAAGCGATCCGCTAGAACCGCAGCATCGCAGCCCGAGGCGAGCGAGACACCGAGCAGCAGCCGCAAGACCTCTCTCACCAACGGTGACATCCCAGTCCTCGCCCCTGGCGAGGCTCTCAAGGTCGAGGAGCTCAAGGTTGAGCAAGTTGACAAGGGGCTAGCTGGCACACTCGAGACCGTCCAGGAGGAGCCAAAGGTGAAGGTGAACATCGATCAGGACGTTAAGGTCGAAGAAGATGGCACCGAAGTCGAGCGCACCAAGGTGGGCCTTCAGATGCCCTTCACCGCAGGCGGACCTCCAAGTGCGGACGACGCAGCTCGGATGATTGAAGAGGCGAAGGCTATGGTCGCGACTGCTCAGGTAGATGTCGCCGAAGCTTCCGCCGAAGCTTCCTCCAAATCTGCTAAGGGCAAAAGGAAGGCAGAGGATTACGAGGCTGACATTGAGGAGGAGGGTGCGGAGGGCGAGACCACTCTCGCTCTTCGACCGAGGGCAAAGAAGGTCAAGACCGAGGTCGAGCTGCGCAAGGACAAGGTGAAGAAGCGCGCGTTGGTGGGCATCACCTTTACGCTGGCAGCCGGGTAAGTGCACACGACTCAGGGACCGACCGTGCTACAAGAGCCACATGCTAACAATCGGGCAGAGCTTTGATCCCCTATGCGATGAACTTCCTGTGAGATTGGGCACACGTAAGGAAACGACAGGGCTGTGTGTAGAGGATGTAGGAAACGGCACGGTGTTTGGACAAAGAACGGGCCCCTGAACGGACGAGATTTCTTTGCTTTTCGGCTTGGACTGCGGAGTTTAGGTGGTCGGACATTTCTTCACGTGCAGAAATATGCTCTCAGGCCCGGGGAGATGTCACATTTGACGGGACATGCTTGATACGGCATCACGGTGCGTCTCGCCCTCCTCGCTTGCGTGATCTCGTTCGTTTCAACGAATATCTAGGCAGAGGAGTTGAGAGGGACGGATTCTTTGTAACTAGTGTACACTTCTGGTCTGGAATTGAACCTTTATCACTCAGTTGCGCCCCATGTTTTGAAAGTCCCGTCAATACTTGCTGCCACCACAGATCTCTCTTGAAGCTTAAGTCTGTCTCCCTGGTCCAATTGTCAGCAGCCCTGTCCGTTCCGGGACAAGCCAATCTGCCGCCGGTTACCGCTCCGAATGAGGCTAACCTGTATTTTGGCTGCATTTCCCACCAAATAATATTTCACCTCTGCTTTTCCCCTTTCAAAAACTTCCAAGATGCTTCCACACTTGGCTGTGTTGATCAGGTTGCTGATCTTCACGGAAGCTCTCAGTGCCCGTGCATGTGAGCTCCAAGGCACTGCAGTGCCTTCATGATTACCATCATCATCATTCGTGGCCAGTGTCTTGCGAGGTAAGCGGTCGCAAAGGTGAGTCGGCTCTCAATGGCCGGTGAGGCGGGCTCACCCTCGCGCCCCAACCCGCCGAGGTTGGAGAAGCTCGGCAATGGGCGGCTTTCGTGGGCAGGGACGATCTAGTCGACTACCCCTCCGCCCAGGTTGCTGAGAAACCGCCGAGCTCTAGAGAAGACCAAGCCGTATCTCTGACATTTTGTTGTCGAGCATCGCGTCTCTGCTTTTACCAGCTAACACACAGTCACAATGCGCCCTGTGTCCACAACATGGCGGAAGCTCGGCCTGCCGAGGCGACACTTCTCGTCCTCGCCTCGCAGGCTGGATAACTATGCCTTCATCGGCTTGGGCCAGATGGTGAGTTCGTCCCGCTCGGCACCAAACACACCCCGCGAAACACGACTGACTGAGTCTTGCTAGGGATTTCAAATGGCTCGCAACCTCCAAGCCAAACTCCCCCCGAGCGACAGCCTGAGAATATTTGACATCAACCGTGAGGCCATGCAGAAGCTGGCAGGGGAAATGGCAGCTTCGCAGGCCGGAGGGGCATCTGTTGAGCTGGCGGACAGCGCAGCAGATGCCTCCAAGGAAGCAGTGAGTGTTTTCTCTTTCCAACCCACGCCCTCTCCTATCCGCCGCCTTTTATGATGAGACAAAATGTTCTATCTATGATCTAAGTTGGGGTCAGCTTGCTGGCCCTCCCGTGATTATCCAAACATATAAAGCCAATCCTCTGATACCGGCACCTACAATTCCTTCTTGGAACCACTCAGAAAAAACCAATGCGGAGTTTCCGGCAGGGTAGCTAACCAGTGTGGCCTCACAGGATGTCACCATCACTGCACTCCCCGAGCCTAGCCACGTCAAGGCCGTGTACGCCTCCATCCTAGAAGCCAAGCCCAGCCCACGGCCCAGCCCGCGCCTCTTCATCGACTGCTCGACCATCGACCCCTCGTCCTCACAGGAGGTGGCCGCCCTCGTGACAGAGGCGTTCCCGGGCGGGAAGGCCCACTTCGTCGACGCGCCGATGTCGGGCGGGATCGTGGGCGCGGCGGGGGGCACGCTGACGTTCATGCTCGGGGCGCCGGCGGAGGTGGTGCCCAGGGCCGAGCCGATCCTGCGGCGCATGGGCAAGAACGTGCTCCACTGCGGCGGGCAGGGGACGGGCCTGTCGGCCAAGCTGGCCAACAACTACCTGCTGGCCATCAACAACATCGCCACGGCCGAGGCCATGAACCTGGGGATGCGCTGGGGGCTGGACCCCAGGGTGCTCGCGGGCGTCATCAACGTCAGCACGGGCCGGTGCTGGCCCAGCGAGGTGAACAACCCCGTCCCCGGGGTCGTCGAGAAGGCGCCCGCGGGCAGGGGCTACGCCGGCGGGTTCGGCATCTCGCTGATGCGCAAGGACCTCCGGCTCGCCATGGTCGCGGCGCAGGAGGCCGGCGCGAGGCTCGAGCTGGCCGGTGCCGCCCGGCAGCTGTATGAGACTGCTGAGAAGGACGAGGCTTGTAAGGGCCGGGACTTTAGTGTAGTTTATAGATGGCTCGGGGGGAAGGAATGAGATGAGTGTGCGTTGAACCAGATTGTCGCTTCCTGAATTGTTCTGTGATTGTGCAAGTAAAGAACTGCGGTTAAATACCGCCCACTGACTCGTCAACTGACAAGAAGAACGTGCGTCCCGTACAGCGAGTCAGATGATGGCGCTTGCATATCGTGAATGCCGACCTGCTGTTACCGGCGGTAGGTCAGAATTAGGAGCCTGGCCGTAAGATCTCACATGGCAAATACATGGCAAATACATTGAAGGGCAGGCACTCAAATTTAGGCCAACTGGATGAGCCTATCCCCAGTGGTCGAGGCTATCCCCAGGAATGGTGCAATGAGTCTCTCTACCTGTCAATTCCGGCGCCGGTGTTTTGGGGCGAGCGGGTGCAAAACAGACCGCCAACTTGCACAATTCCCGGCACGACTCCGGGGGCACAAAAGCCAGGCCCGGAGCACAGCTGCTCCGGGTGTGCCAACCCACCTCGCTAGCGCCCGTGTCTGGGCACGCTACCCGCGCTGGTTACCCAATTGGGCCGTGCCTGCAATCCTGCCTCGTCGTGACCAATCCTCCTTCATGGCCGTCTGTTCGCCCGCTCGCCTCGCTGTGTTTTCCAGCGCGCCATCGACCATTTTACTATGGGAGAATACAAAAACACGTGCGCATACACACGCACACAAGGATTTGGCAAGCAACTTATCCGCCCGAGATCCCGTCCCAGGCGTTGACCGTCGGGACAATCGACCCCCAGAGCCTGCCGTCCCTCCCTCAACTCAGCCCAGCCCGGAATCCGGCTGAACAACAATGGGGAGTACAACTTGGCACCATGGAGCTCATTTTGGCACGATGATACGCTTCACCTTGGCTGTCAGCACCCACGGACGGTAGTAGTCCATGAGTGATGATCCTTCCGGCCCACGTCGGTGTCCTGACATCTACAAGGCTCTTGGTCCCCCGGATCTATTGTCCCGTGTGGTCGCCTGGTTGGCAGGTGTACTCTAGCGTGGGTGTGTAGGGGCTTACGGAAACACACCCATGAGTTTGCCGCACCTAGGCCCCGTTTTTCTCGTTCAACGGCCTGGGCCTTACTTATACCTGGGTAGGGGTGTAACTCTCGTTCCTATGCTGTTTTCTCTGCTTTTTTCTTTCGTCCTTGCCCGAAGCGTGATTTCGATTCTCCCGGCGGTCTTTTCCATTATTGTGCGCGAAAGCTGTGTTCACTCGGTCCGCTGTGCTCTGTCCTTGTAGCGTGCCTCCCCCCCGAGTCCCTACCGGTACACTACAGCTCTATCCTATCCCGTCGACGAATTCGGCCGAAGGACGACACCCGTCAGCACCGCCGCAGGGAGGGCGTCTCGTGGTCAACATGGAGTGTACAGAGGTCAGCGAGTTGTGTCCGGTAGAATACACGACACTCGGCTACTACCCGAACAAGCCTCTCAACATCTTTTGCGCCGTTGCTTTCGGCCTGGCCTTGGTAATCCAACTGGTCATTGGGGTCTGGAAGAAAACGTACGCATTTACGGGCTTTATAGTGGCCGGGTGTGCACTCGAAGTGGCTGGTACGTATTTTCTTTCTTCGTTCACGAGGACGTGGTCACGACCACCAGGACTTGTTGCCTCCGAGATCGACACTTCAGCCTTGTTACACCAGGGGTCACAGACGGAGATTTTATGCAACAGCTCCCAACGGTGCTTGTCCGCGAAGCGCGTGCTGTTAATTCGACATGACGATCAAAGAAGGATGGTGCCCAGCTGACAAGACATCACATAGGCTACGCCGCTCGCGTCCCCCTTAACGCCAATCCCTGGAACTCGCAGGCCTTCCAGACGCAGATCTGCGCAATCGTCCTTGCCCCTACACTGACGTGTATATCAATCTACCTCACGCTCAAGCACCTGACCATCGCGCTGAACCCCTCCCTCTCGCGGCTCAGGCCAAGGCTGCTGCCCTTCATCTTTGTGCCCGCCGACGTGAGCTGCCTCCTGGTCCAGGCCATCGGCGGCGCGCTGGCGGCGAGCGGGGGCAGCAAGAACCGGAAGCTGGTCGACGCTGGTAACCAGGCCATCATCGCGGGCATCGCGCTCCAGGTCGTGGTGCTGCTGGCCTTCGGGGCCATGAGCCTGGACTACTGGCTCAGGGCGAGGAAGTGGGTGCGCAGCGCCGACGTCACCCCTTCGGCCCTTGCGCTCTGGAACGACAAGAAGTTCCGGACGTTCGGGTACGCTGTGTTGGGGGCGTATATTTGTGTACAGATACGGTGTATCTACCGGTAAGTTGGCGCGTTTCATCCTCGTCTTTGAAGCCGTTTGTAGCCCTGTATACTGACCTCGCGCAGAGTTGCTGAGATGGCCGGCGGATGGGGCAATGAAATAATGCAGGACGAGCCATCCTTCGCGGTTCTAGACTCCTTCATGATGCTTATCTGCGTCTATCTCTTAAGCTGCTTTCCGCCAGGAATCTTCTTCCCGCAGATGGCCGGGGGTTCAAAGTCAGCACGCGCCAAAACCGGAGGTCCAGAAAGCGCTGGCGAGGAGAGCCAAGCAGAGCAAGGCGGGCTGGCCGTTGACCAAGAACCCAAGGAAGGGCATCTGTCAAAGCCAGAATCATAAAGTATATGTGCAACGCTATGCTTTAGCTCTAACAACGATCTCAATATTTCTAGAAAAGAAAACAATATCAAATAGACCACAAACTTCACACCTCACCATGGGCTTACAACTCCTGCACCTGATCCTGCAGTCTCTGCAGCAGAGGCTCGTTCTCGCCCTCCGTACCTCCGTACGCGAGTCTCTTATACACCCCGCCGGATACCTTTGCCACCCTCCAGGTACCCGCCTCCTTCGCGTCAGTGAAAAATTGCTGGTTATCTTCAAAGCTGCGCCCGCCGCTCTCCGGGAGGTAGACGTAGGTCCAGACGCCAGCAAAGGCGTTCGTCGCAGCGAAGATCAGGAATATCCAGTACTTGAGGTTGTTGAACAGGAGCGGGCTGAGCAGCGTCACGGCGAAGTTGGCAAGCCCCCACACGATGACGGATATCGCAGACGCCTGCGCCCTCGCCGTCGTCGCGTAAATCTCGGTCGGGATGAGCCACACGGTCGCGAGCCAGCCGATGCCGAAGGCGCCCGTCGCGATGAAGAGCGTGACGGTGCCGAGGATCGCGGGCGCGCCGAGGCCGCCCTCCTCGGAGGACGGCGACGAGGTCATGGCGAGCGCGCCGAAGAGCGTGAGGAGGGCGAAGCTGGCGGTCAGCGCGGCGCTGCCGCCGAGGAGGAGCTTGCGGCGGCCGACTGCGTCGATGAGGATCCAGGCCAGGGTCATGAGGAAGAAGTAGGACACGTAGTTGGCCTGTGTGATGTACTCTGCCATCTTGACGTCGAACCCGAGGAGCTGCGTGGGAAGTGGTCAGTCATGTGTCCAGAAGCCTACGCCAGAAGAATGGGCCTACCTCGAAGATCTGAGGGCCATAGACTGAGACGGCGCCGTAGCCTGTCAGGGCCTGGTTTATCTGGCCCATTACCACGATCACAGTAGGATGGAACGTAGGCTTCCCGGGAGTAATCATGTTGGTGTATGTCACTGGTTCATCATCCTTCTCCTTCTCATGTGCCTCGAACAACTCCTTGGCCTTCTCCTCTCCCTCCTCCTCGCCGTAGATATCGACCAGTGCCTCCTTTGCATCATTTTCCTTATCATGGAAGATGAACCACCGGGGGCTCTCAGGCAGTCTCTCGATGACCAGGAAGAGCAGCACGGGGTACACCTGCATGACCACAATGGGAGTCCGCCAGGCCCACTGGTTCGACTTGCCGAGCGTGTGAGTCACGGCAATGTTTATGGCGAAAGCCATGTTGAGCCCAAAGATGTTCATCTGAAACTCCTGTGCCAGCGCCTTGCCCCTCGCGCCGTCGCTGCTCAGCTCGGAGCTGAACACCGGGATAACGGCGTCAATGCCGCCCACGCCCAGCCCCATGACGACCCGCCCGACCCAGAACATATGGATGGCGTGTTGAGTCCACCCTCCCAGCCCGGTGAGGAACATGATCAGGTTCCCCAGGCTCGCCGTCGCCAGACAGGCGAAGATGGCCTTCTTGCGGCCGTGGTTATCCGACAGCCAGGAGAAGAGTACCGCGCCGAGGGAGCAGCCTAGGTAGTAGACCGCCACGAGAATACCGACCATTGGGTCCTCAGGGCCAATTCCCATGGTTTGCAAGTAGTCCTCATTCGTGTTGATGAGCGACATCATGCCCTGGTCGTAGCCATACAGGGCAATGGCTGTCGAGCTGAAGAGGACGACCTCTTGGGTCTTGGACAGGCTGAACGACGGCATCCTGGCGGTGGTGCTGCTGGCCAGTGGAATGTAGATCCGGGGTGGTGATTTTTTCCTCCGAATAGCAGACAGGAATTGAGCCCTGAGACTTCAAGAAATCCAGCCAAGGGAAAATAAGCAAGGAAAAGAAACCCTTCCAATTCCAATCCTCACCATACAGCAGAGGTCAAGCTGGGCGAGGTTCTGCAGGCTTGGGGAGTGTTGGGGAGGAATGGGTGTATGGCGGTGAAAATAGGTGTGGCGGGACTATTAATTGTGCAGGCGAGTGACCTGCCTGCCGTGAGCTAATGAACGGCACCACGGGGTCGGGCGTGTGGTCGCAGACATGACGATGGCGGCAGTAGTGTTGAAAGATTTGGATCGTAGTGCCATGCACCTGCGCCGTGGGGATACGTCATTGCCAGCCCACGCGACTCCCACGACGCCCACTTAAGCGGCGCGCATCAGCCGGGCAGGCGGCTGGCTAGACCGAGATGCGGCGATCCACACTGCCGATCGACCGCAGCCGGGCAGGCCAAAGATGATGGGATTTATACTGGAATTTTCTTCCTTCCCTTGTAGCTATACTGTGCGTATATTGAACCCAGTCACGTCTGTAACAGAAGGGTCGCTTACCTAGGTAAGCCGGGCCCCAGGCTAGACACACCACGCCTGTATGCACCTTGTTATGCAATGCATTGTCATTTAAAGGTTATCATGACTAGTTAGAGAGTGTTGCTTTGCACATAGGGTGTTCAACTCCAGTACCGCCCAAGTACAGCCAGAGAAACGAGATGAGTAACAACACAGAAAGGGCAAAGCGCCATGTTCCAGACGAGCATCATTCCAGCCCGAGTACCTCCTTCAACTCCTCCGTCTCAGTATGGTCTGCTGGATTACGCATCCGACGGCACCACTTCAACTCCCCGCCCTGGAAAAGCCACTCGCCGCCGTTCTGCGACGTCGGCCCACCAGACAGCGGGTGGCCGGAGCTGAGCCCGGACCACATCGAAGACAGGGTGTTCTCCAGCGTGCTCTTCTTGAGGTAGCTCGGGGTCGTGGCCCCCGGCCGGAGCGACGACACCATGCCCAGGATCTTGTAGATCCGCACGCTCGGGTCGGCGCAGATGGGGTACGCGGACCCCGTGTCCTTGGCATAGCCCGGGATGCAGATGGCCTCCCCGCAGCCGATGACCGTGAGGGTTATCTTGGCCTTGGACAGCTTCTCGGGCGGCATACCCTGCATGAGCGCTTCCACGTACTGCTTGCAGCTCTGCTCGGGGCGGTGGTCAGTGTTGGTATCCCCGCCGCGCGTGCGCTTCAGCAGCTCAGGTCGGGTGAGCAGGACTTACGCCGCAGTGGAAGTGGCGGACGAAGACGACGAGCTGCCGCTCATCTGCAGGCTTGTCCGTGTAGAAGGATTTGAAGGGGACGTCATTCCCATCTTTGTCCTTGATGAGGACTTCCCCGGCCTCGCTTAACGTCTTTGGATCAGGCAGCTCACGGTGGGCCGCCTCCTTTTCGTCGGTAGCACCCATGATGCGCGTTCGTTCCCAATGTTGTCGATAGCGTGGGACCTGATGCGTTCTTTCCAGCAGGAATGAAAGAGGGCAGAGCTGTACACGATGGCAAAGCTGACGGCCAAGGCCACCAGCGGAAGGATCTTGGTCGCGGAGTTGGTCACTCGAGCCAAGTTACACACTGGCTTAGTTGACAAGGTTCACCGGGGACGGGGGAGGGGTGGTTCTGTAGCGTGTCTGAAACGTCGGGGAACGTGATGTTGAGGAAAGCGCAGTTCTGAATGAGATTACCACAGCGATCTAATTCAAGCAGAAGAACTAGCTGAACAGAGTATTTAGACAGGAATATGCTAATTCACGGTGTGTTGAGAATATTTGTAATAGAAATTGACTGTCTAATGTTTTCAGATATCTGAGACGGTTCTCACGTCGAAATGGCAACAAAGGCACAATGTGGCAGTGAAGAATAGTTAATTTACAACTAGGGTTGCCTAAGAAAAGGAAAGAAAAGCAAGAACTGCTCAAAGGTCAGATCGCAGCTGTTTTGGAGGCCACTTGGGCTGATGAGATAAGCCAACCAGACGGGCCCACAGTCAGTGACTGGGCCCAGCGCGCGATTAACCCGACGGCCCTGACAATATCCTTTTTATTAAATTAACCGTTGAAGACAACATAGTGTCCTATAATCTGAACAATGAATTTGAACTCGAGATCTTTAAGACAACAAGTGAGAGGAAGAATCAAGTCTGTCTTGTTTTAATGGACATTATTTGGGGATCATAAACTCACTGTGGCATAACAAGTAGCTGTTGTAAAAGCAGACAGCTACTGGATTATCTCGCAGACCAACATTCCAGACGTGGTCAGATGCAGGGTCTACATGTAGTCATACTTGTTGAAGGATAAATGGTGAAATAAGCTTGGTAGTAAAAGGGCACATGCCCAGGATAATGGCATTACGATGTGTTCCTACTTAGACTGATGACCTACCTGGCAGGCCTTGAGGAAATTTCTGAGATATCGGTGTTGGGCCAACACTGTTGGCCTTTCAGATTCTATTCTTTTAATCTGGTAATCTTCTAGATGTTCTATATATACGCCCCGATTTATCATCCCATTCTTCATATCCGAATATCCCGTTCTGGCGATAACCTACTAAAGGCCTTTGGTGTCTTCTCATAAGTCTTCTGTAAATCTTCTCCCTTCAAATATTCTGTTCACTCAGGAAGTCAAAGACCAAGTCAAATGCTTTCCGTGCAACCTCATGCAAGAAGAGATTGTGTCTAAGTCACCGGACAGTTAGTTCCGATATTCTGATCAAAATTCAAAACCGACCTCCAATCATCCAGGAACAACATGGTAAAGACTTTTTTAGATGGTGCAAATGTGAGGAGAGAGTTCTTGCTTACCCAGAAGGCAAATCATCCACGGTCCGCAAGGCCGCCGCAGCCGTGAAGTTGGCACTCAGCCCATCCAGGAGGCCGACACAATATCCACCACAGGCAGAAGTATCGTACTTCCCCTGCAACACCAGTGTCGGCGCCGTCACGTTGCCATATCCTATCTCCGTCGCCAGCAGCGTCGGCAGCTCCGCCACGGCGAACGGCTCGCTCGCGACACCGTACGACCATTCCGCGACGCGGTGCTCAAAGTGCGGGCTCGCAAAGTACGCAAAGGTCTCGGCGTACAGGTCCGAGGACGTCAGGTACCCCGGGCCGAGGTGTCCCCAGCGCTCGGGGTCCTGGGTGCTCGCCACCCGGAACCCCATGCCCGCGCCGAAGGGGCCCGAAGTACTCGAGCGTGCCGCTGAAGCCCGTCAGCACGAGCGCGTCGACGGAGGAGCCGAGGAGCGCGGCCGACTGGGTTGAGATGTACGACCCGTAGCTGTGGCCGATGAGAACGACCTTTTTTGCGCCCGTAGCCTGTCGTGCGTATGTGACGAGGGAGTTGAGGACGGAGACCTCGACTTGGAATTGAGCGTCATTGTAAGGATCCACCCTGGTCTGTGTTAGCAACCTTGACAGTTATTGCTACATAGGTCTTGGGGTAGGACCGCAAAACGGACTTGGAAGATGAGCCGACTCCAATACGGTCGTAGTTCAGCACACTGTACCCCGCCTCCAGAGCAGCATTCACGAAGTTGTATTTAGTCGAGTTCGAGAAACTTGGCTGGAAATACCTGGTTCGTCGTCAGTATAGCCGGAATATCCACCGCGAGGGCTTTCAGACGTACGACTTAGATTCTATTATGCCATGGGTGGTCACTAGAACGGTACCTCCAGTGCCACACAACGTAGCTCCTACGGTGTAGTTGCTCCAGACCGGAGACTCCGACTCGCCGGTGATAGGTAGAGGATCATCTGGCTTGCCAAAGTCTCTGGCTGTCAGACTGAAGGTGAGAGACGCCGCATCCCAATCGTCTTGGATGGTTATGTTCAAGATGGATCGCTTCTCGGCGACAGACACTGGGATCTCGATCTGGGAGCATTGACTGTCCCTTTTGCTGAGGTCTGGGGCTGAAAAGGCGTTGATGGAGCCCGCGAGGGCTAGAGCAAACGTGAGTATTTGCATCCTGATAGCCGTGACGGAAGACAACTGACTCCGTGGAATAACAAGGATACTCGCATGATTAATATTATATGCTTGAACCTCTCAGCAGTAATTGTGCTCGCGTCGTTCTTGGGGAGCGTGTTGGAACGCTAATGATCGCGGACTTACTCAGCGACCTTCCATCTGTCAGCCTGCTTAACAACCACTGGGAAAACCATAATCCAGCTCACAAATCACTGCTACCGTTTTGGGGATACTCCGAGGCACTGCTATTGCAAATGACAAGATTCTGACATTCCCAAGGCTTAAGCCTGCGAGGCTTTGAAACCTCAGGTGGTCTGCCAGTATCTCCGACCGGCTCAGATGGAATCTGCACTTCCTACGAATTTGGGAAAATTGTAGAATTGATAGCTTTGGTTCACCTGTTCCCTTGATCACACAGATGGGTTAATAATATACCTAAATCAAGCAGACGGCCATTTCAAAATATTCAGGGCTTGAGCTGAGAAAACGGACATCCACTCGCCGCGGCTCTTACCTTGACAAGCTTAACAGTGCTTGCCATCTCTTCCCTCCCCTTTCCATAGTTTGGGTCCGGCCCAATGTTCCATAAGTCATAGCTCTCAGGGAAAAAACGACCATCTTTGCTTCCCGCAGGTTTTGCACCCAGCAGCCGGAACAGCAGGGCAATGGGTCCAAACTTGTTCCAGAAGCTAGGCTTCACATGCCAAGGCTGGAACGTAGAAATTGGGTAATGGAAGAGGCCATTACGGTTTGGCTTCTCTTCCACAGCTTTGACGGCCATGAAATCCGGGCGGGGAAGGCACAGATACCGTAGAATGGACTTCCGAGTCAACTGGGTGATGGCAACAAAAGCAGAGACATATGGTCCTGCCTTTTCAATACTAGGCCAATGTTAGCAAATGACCAGTGTGGTGGGCTCTTGATTGCTGATATAGCCACGTGTCTGCTGAGAAGCTTGCAGTATCAAAGTGCAAGTGGCAACTTACCAAAGACTCTGCCTCATCACATCGTCCAGGTTTGATCCCAAGACCTTCCTGGCGAATATTGTGACCCTTTTCCCCATCTTGTTGGTCAAGCTGTCGACATATGCCCTGACATATTTATCACTCGGCTCATTTGGCCTGCGGACCTCCCTCTCGTATTGCACCGTCCAGTCACTCAGCTCTTTCACAAAGTGGACGCCATCCCTCCAGCCATCCTTGGCACTCGGCAGCGGATCAATTGGGATCTCCAGGTCCTCGCCGTAAGCCCGGTGGAACACGCCCACGGCGCACAGCTCCACGTCCGTCAGGGACCGCCACTCCTCCGCCCGGATGGTCCAGAGAATCTCGTGGGCGCCGTCGCCGAGGGTGTGCAGCAGGTCGCTGTCGGTGATCTCGCTGGCCTTTCGGTAACGTGCGCGCAGGAAGTTGATTCGTGCTACCGAGAGCTGGTACCGCTCCGAGTCGCGGGGCTTGGTCTGGCCCTCGCGGAGGAGGATCTCGGTATCCGTGGCGCGCTTGGCGGCGTTGCGAGGTGTATTCTGTCCCGTGACAGCGAAGAGTCTAGACATGCTGGGGATACCGCCGGCCTGGTTGAGCTTGTGTTAGCTATTGCTGTTGAAGGGAATGGTGTATATATATATATAAAGCGGAAAGATACATTCGAGGCGCCGCTCGAGTTGGGATGAATGCTGTGGAGAATAGGGCAAGCCCGTACCTTCAGAAGTGCGACAGCACGAGCCTTGTGGAAAGAAGCCGGGAATTCGAGTTCCTGAAGCTCCAACAAAATCTTGAAGGCATCGTCACCGGTCATGCTGGACAGGGGCCGCTTCCCTGGTCCGTCGCCCCAGCCGGCCTTAATCTTCTCGGCACGTCTGTATCTCAAGCGCCTGACCAGAAGGAGATAAGTCAAAAGGACGAGTGCAGCTATGGTGTATGGGCTGCCCAGGGTCTGAGCTAAAGGGTGCTGTGATAGCATTGTCGAGTTCATGATCGTAAGATGATGGAGTGCGCTGATGCGCCACGGCAATGTTTGGTGTATCTGAATGTGTGACTTGACAAGTGTGAAAGTCCCAAGACAAATGGTAGCGGTGTACAGGCAAAGGTTATATAAGTCTGGTTGATTTTCTTGCACGCGCAGTCTCAAATCTCATGAAAAAGAGCTGGTAGAAGGCTCAAAACAAGTTGGATGCACGAAGCTGCCATTGTGTACCGCGCAATCGGATCAACGGAAATTGTACACCACAGTCTTGTTGAAATGACATCGATTTATTGGTAGAGTGGACACCCAGCTGCCACTCATGAACGTGTCTGTCTCAAGGTTGAAGCGTTTTCTTTATTCTCACCTGAGCTGTTCCGCCCAACAAATGTGCTTCTGTAACAGCCTCCCCAACGTCCCTGATGGCCAGAGGGGTTTACAGCGGGCTCCTCTCCGCCAACCTCGGCATGTAAGTGAGGGACACGCCTTTTGGCCGACCGAGACCAATCCTATTGCGGCTGAATCGCTGACGTCGCAACTATAACCTTCACGTGCAAGGACCTCGGCGGGATGCACTGCGCACTGCCAAGGTGTTTGACAGCCGTCCAAGTCTTTTGGCACGTACATCGGCCGACAAACTCGTTCTTGACAAAATAAACGGGTAGCCATATAAATATGCTGAGTACGGGCCATTTCCTCGACTTGGAATTCATTCCGGGAGTTTTCTCATTGTAGGATCGGTTGGGGACATTCGGGGAGTCAGCGTACGCCCACCCAGCTTCTACAGTACGCCCACCCAGCTTCCAGCGTTGGCCCACCTAGTACAAGGAAATTAGCTGCACGCGCATTAAAATGCAAGTACTGCGGGGTTCTTAATAAGCCAGGGTAGCTATTTTTCAATTTAAGCAATACTGTTGGCTGGGTCACGTATTGCAATACGACGTTTGGTTGGTGTAGTGGTTGATCGTTGTTGACTATGGAAGGAAGGAAGGCAGAAGGCCTGACTGTGCTAGCTATTTTGTATGCAGCGCCAGGGCTGCTGCCTGCCGGGCATCCTGACGGGTCAAAGCTGCCTAGTCCCAAACAGTCCTCCATACAAACGACACCCATTATTCCCACAAATACTTTAAAAATATAAGCCTAAAAAGCCTAAAGGGCTCTAGAGCCCCCAGAGGGCCCCAGAGCCCCCAGAGCGCTTAGAGCGCCTAGAGGGCTGCGAGGGAGCAGAGGGCCGTGAGGGCGCAGAGGCCGTAGAGGGCGTAGAGGGCTGCAAAGGGTGCAGAGGGCGCAGAGGGCGTAGAGGGCTGCAGAGGGCGCAGAGGGCTGAAAAGGGCGCAAAGGGCCGAAGTAACTTTTAAGTTGCAAATAAAGGGGTAGCTATAAAACCCCTTTAGGGTAGCTATAGGACCCCTTTAAAATGGCTATAGCTATGCTTTATTAATAACCCCGCAGTACTAGCATTTTATAGCGTATGCAGCCAATTTTCTTTGTACTGGGTGGGCCAACGCTGGAAGCTGGGTGGGCGTACTGTAGAAGCTGGGTGGGCGTACGCTGACTCACATTCGGGGCATATCCAACTCTGTACGTGTACTTATGCACCACATTAAGCATGGAGGTGTCCTCGCCCCACGTCACCATTGAGACCCTGAAAACATCGCTTGGACGCGGATTTCCCAGAAACCAAGCGGGTCCCGCCTCAAATGCGCGTGTACGTAAGTGTGGGCGAAAAGTCTTTTGCAAGGATGACGGGCAATAAGAAAGTCACCATACGGCTATAACCAGATCCGTCAGGAATGTTATGCTTCCTGATGTAGGCGACAATGGCTGGTCAGCGTCAATAAAACATGTTAACATTGCTAGAGTTACCTCGTGCTCTGTGGATCAGGCGGGTTCAGGCTTCACTGGCAATTCGCAGCTGTACTAATACATACCTATATGATTTCAGGTGAAGTGCATTGGACTTTGCTTTCTTATTCGAAGGCTTTAATTATCCACAAAGGCCTCAGACTAGTGAATACTACCTCAACGACTTTCATTAATTGTGATTAATTCACTCCACGAAATGAAAGATTAAATTATATCACTTGATTCTGTTCCATTCCCGCAGTAACGATCTCCTCTGCAAATACCGGTTCCTCACATAAGCTTCATTGTCCAATCCAACCTGGACAGGTACGTTCATCTCCCTGCCAATACCAGTCCAGTCGTTGAACTGAACCGCGGCGGCGTCAAACTCTTGCTCCCGAGTCAAAACATCAGCGTCAAACACCATCTCGACCATCACGACCTCGCACGCTGACTCCCGAAGCACAAATTTGGTTCGTGCTGCAACAAGAAATGTCCCCTTGTGGTCATAGTGGCTCCAGCCGTCAGGGTTTTCGAATTGCCAGGACTCTTTGCACTTCTCATACAGGTTGAATTCGTCCGACATGCGCGCCAGCACGCACATCCACTGGCGTCCCAAGTCTCCACCCACATCGCCCATCATCTGAGCTAGGTATATGCCTATCCTCGCCGGTTTCTCTTTTCCCAGAAGCGGACATGTCTTGAAATACAAGCAGACCGTGAGCAAAGGGTTGCCCTGACCCAATGACAGGGGGATTGAAGAAGCTTATGCTCCTATGAAGAGAGTCGGGGGGAAATGCTTCGACAAGCTGAAAGTGTCCCATTCCACGCGGAAAGGTTAGCATAAAGCCTGGGTTCTGCATGACTTCATCCTCGAAGCCGTTAAGGGTCAAATCAAGCTCGTATCCGAAAGCCGGATACACTTTAGTGAAATGAGAAACAAGGTATTTCGTTTCCACGGATGTCGCAAGGTCGTAAATCTCGTTCCAGCTTCCAGGCATGCACATATCTGAAAGACTCCTCTTGATGAGGCTGACTGGGGCACGTGCGCGCATATATACCCCATTCTTTCCAACGAGGGGAAGGCAGACTTGACTTCTCCGGAGTCCCTTGTTCGTTTCGACTTCGACGCAATTGAGAACGGCAAGAACCCAAAGTGGAGAGAGAGTCTGAATGAGCGGTGTTCTTAACGAAAGACCGGCGTTCGTCAATGCGAAAGGGGGAGTAATGCTAAAGCGCATACTCGGTCGAAGGTTTCCCATGTCGCGAAAGAGATTGGGGTGGTCTGCCAGGAGAGAGTTCGTGGACAATTGAGTGTCGAACGCCAGAATGCTGTGGTCATCGGACTGCCGGATGATCTCTTCTTGAAGCCGAATAAACGCCCTTTCGCCCTCGCCGTATAGGAGTGGCATATTGATACCGAAGATCCCAAGCAAGCAGTATGCGATATCCTCCGGCCTTGTGGTGACTCGATCGGCAGCCCATGACATCCTTTGGGCTATACTGTACTCTCTCAGGCGCCTCTCGTTCCGGATACAGAGCTGATCAACCCCAGTCACGATGGACAAAAAACTAGCAAGTGCTTTCTTCGAGCCGAGACAAGTCCATGATTGCGAGTAGAAGACCACATGATCTGGAGCGATGAGTTCCTGGAGCGTCCACCCTCTTGAAAACCACCGACTCGATCCCATTAGCTCTAACAAATCAATCCTACAAGGAATTTGACTTGGAATGTCTGTGAGGTATACATAGCAAACCTCTGCCTTCTTATACCACGCGAACATAGAATTGATCGCTTCTGAAAGTTCGGCTGAACTTGATTTGTCGATACACACTGTGTCTATCCAGGCGTACGACAAACCATCGCGGCAGGCTTGCTTGAATGTAGCGAAGATCTTCGCGAATCCCGGCTTGCTGGATTTCCATCGCCGCGTCACCGCTGAGCGCCATTCGGCGAAAGTTGGCTCGTAGTCGCCCCATGTGTGTGATAAAATGGCGTACTTGGGAAGGTTTGGAGGCCCAAACTCCTCGAACTTCAGAGTCTTTGCATTGATGAGTCGCATAACACCGCGCTGGATAGCAAATGATGGAAGTCGATTGGCAACATCCTGCAGATGAGAGCGGAAAGAAGAACGCCAAAAGCTGAACGCCAATACCAGTGGTCAGCATTCAGCCACAGCAGGAGGCAATTCATGGCAACCCAAACCCTGCTTCCAATTACTGCTTATCTAATGGTACATATAACTAACAATAAAGGTTCTTATAAACTACCTAGAAAGCTAGGTTAAAATATATATAAGTGTAATTAATTTAGGAATTAAATAAAAAATGTCATTGTTTTAATTCTTTATATACTTATTAATTTTAAATAGGAATGCTTCTGTAATGAGAAAAGATACACAAATCAAAGTCCGTGGCACGGCTTGTCTTTACTCTGTGTAACCACACAAAAGGCAATGCAGCACAGCCTGCAGACACAGCCACTGACAGCACAATCGTTGTCGAACACACCTGACGCAGCTGATTATAATGACGGCAATACCTCCAGGCTCCCGAGTGACTTGAAAAAAATTTGACGTCTCCACTTTCTCTTCTACCGTAGATGACCCTCAGTGACAGGCCGCGTTCCGCGTAGAGTATTTGTTCGTTGTCCGTTCCAGCGGGCAGCAGTAGCCCTACTCCAGCTCAGCGCCTGGGCACCCACGCGTACAAGGCCAAGCAACTGCAAGGCGTCCTTGTCCGCCACAAGGCGAATACACCATAGCCTTGTCCGCAGTCTCAATGCGAACCGTCAGACAAACGTTTAGAAATGAGAGTTAAATTTTGGTACTCGATAAATGGTTATCCCGCCCCTAACATGTTACACGTCATTAAGAGGGGCAATCTGTATAGTACCGTTCGGTGGACAAGGCTCCACTCAAGGTCTCAACCGAATGTTTTGTGAAGTTTCGTCCTAGCTCTTGATCAATCAAGAAATGATTCTTGAAGGTTACTGCGGTACGTGAAAGACGTACTCCGGTGTACAAGGTCATGGAAGACTTGAGCAGCGGATGCACGTTTGGCAGCCCCTGACTCTTTTACAAGCTACAATCTGAAACGGTACGTACCCTGAGCAATAAGGCTGTGAGGATACTTGGGTACATGTGAATGCCTCGCCATGCGCGTGATTGTAGCGCGGGTGCCGCCTAGGTATTGGGGCTGCTCGGCCCCCTCCGATGACATCCAGCCTCAATCCTTGATCCGCAAGTTTCCTCTGTATATGTTCTTATAATAGCACCGTACAACGCACCGTGGCGAATCCTTGCCCAGGAGCACACACGCAGAGCGCCGAGGGGGCTCCGAGTGACACTGAGGAGATCCGAGTCGTCTCTTCGGTCTAATCCAGACCGATTTCACCCAATGTGCAATCTATCATTCGTAGGCCGGTGTCCTCTGTTCCTGCCAACACCAACACTGTGTGGCGGGCACAAGACTGCCCTTAGGAAAAGTCTCCCAGTATATTGCAAACCCCAAGCCCACCTTCACAGGGTTTGAGCCTCAAGGGCAGTTTTTTTTTTTTTTTTTTTTTTTTTTTTTTTTTTCTCTTTTTCCAGTGATGATTTTATTAATCCAGAGTATGATAAAATCAAAATTACTCTTACTGAATTCATCTATAATACCTTGGCTATAGCAACTGCTCGGGGGATAGAATGCAAAGACAACTCAATTGGCTAGGGGAGGAAAAGAAATGCATAAAGTGGCCTTTATTTCGCCCTTTATGGAAGCTACTACACCCTACGCATTAATAGCAGAAAATTACCATCAAAGGATTTTAAACCCCCTTTTCATCCAGTTCTCAGCATCAGGAAGAGCCAATCGATACTGGGAGAGTTAAAAGAGTCCCAGTCTAGAGAACCGCCCGTCGTGGTTATATCTGAGTTAGCGTACGCCCACCCAGCTTCTACAGTACGCCCACCTAGCTTCCAGCGTTGGCCCACCCAGTATAAGGAAATTAGTTATATGCGCTATAAAATATTAATATTGCAAGGTTATTAATAAAGCATAGCTATAGCTATCCCAAAGGGGTTTTATAGCTACCTTAAAGAAATTTCATAGCTACCCCTTTATTTGCAACTTAAAAGTTACTTCTACCCTTTATCACCCTCTGCCGCCCTTTGCAGCCCTCTGCGCCCTCTGCGCCCTTTAAGCGCTCTACGGCCCTTTGGGCGCTCTGCAGCCCTCTGGGCGCTCTGGGGGCTCTGGGGCCCTCTGGGCGCTCTGGGGCGCTCTAGGCTTTTTAGGCTTATATTTTTAAAGTATTGCTTAAATTAAAAAATAGCTACCCTGGCTTATTGAAAACCCTGCAGTACTTACATTTTAGTGCGGATGCAGCTAATTTTCCTTGTACTGAGTGGGCCAACGCTGAAAGCTGGGTGAGCGTACTGTAAAAGCTGGGTGGGCATACGCTGACTCGTTATATCTTAGTATAATACCTCCCCCTAATTCAAGTCAACCCGAACCCTGCACCCTGCATAGGAGCACTGCTCATTTTGTAGTATATACAACCAACAAGGAAAATCCTCGAAAACCACGTGGAAACCCAGGCTAAGATGCAATCAACTCAGGAGCTGGATCAACGCCCAAGACATGGAGAAGCCCGCAGCATCCTTCCGGTCGCTCCCAGCAGAGCTCCGCCGACTCATCACACGTCAGCTCCACAGTGCCAGTGCCGCGTGCCCCCCACACAACTGTTCCTCGTCGACAAGCAGATGCGTCGCGAGGCACTGGAGGTCTTCTACTCCAACGTCCATCTCGACTTCTACAATGTTAACCTCGGCACAACGCTGTCCTTCCTCCGCGACGTCCTCCCCGCGCGAGGGCCTGTCACGGCTCCGGCGTCTGCAGTTCACCATGACCGAGGCGCAGTGCGAGGGCTGGGCCGCTGGGGCCGTCGCCAGCGGCTACCCGGCCTCGATGCTCGAGCGGGTCGCGGGACCGTATTGGGGCGGCGGCCCGGCGCCCCGGCTTGATTACGAGAACGACTGGCGGGCGATTGTAGCCTTTGTCGCGGAGTGTGCTGACCTCCCCCACCTCAGCATCACCGTGGACATGGACGAGTGCGCCTGGCCCTTCATCGAGGACACCCTGATGTGGGACGACGAGCCTGATCTTTCTTGGTTCCGGTTCGTTTATGACCTCTACATTGACGTGGCCACGGCAACGTGCTCACTAAAAGGACTCGGCGAAGTGAACCTCGAGCTCGGTGTGTTTGAGCAGATGAGGCTTTGGCTGGAAAGAGGGGTGCTCCGATACCATAGGGAGCGCACTTTGAAGTCGCCCCACGCCCGGATGCTCGAAGAGCTCCTGTGGCGGCGGCCTCGCTTTTATCAAGCCATGCCGCGCTGGCACAACGTGAACCGGAGGCTAGAAGGATCAAATTACAAGCCTGATCCATAGACACTCGTGGGCTGGCAACCCGAAAAGCAGTATTTATGGCCAAATGAGGCCCTGCGAACTCGTAACCCCTCAAATATGAGGGTTGCGGTTGCATGTTTGGTGTTCTATGGTAATCAATTCTCCGGGGCTGCTGTATCTAGATGAAACAGCTGCCGTTTAAATATCTGTCAGGCGTTACAAGAGCTGGAGAGCGCAGTGATGAGCAATTTGTATGCAGACTACTCTGCACTTGTATGGACTCCCCTCGAGATTCAGAGCTTTCCTTGGATTACGTTTACATGACCACCTCAACTCCAACCCTCGCTTAGTTAGTACTGGCCAGTCCCAAGGTTCTTCATCAAAGTAATCCTTCATGAGCGGGCGATGGAAACGATACTTGTAGTCTTACACTATTTGCCTATAAGGCGCTCTTCTACACAAGAAACCAACAAATGGTGAATCCACTTGAGTCATTTCAAACTGAAGTTCTATGATAGACACGGCCAATATCTGTACAACTGCGTCTTCATTGTGACTGAATGATGACAGTTGTAAGTGTGCCCGCAATTGGTTTTAACTTCCACAAAACAAGAAGAACAATATGAGGGCATGAAGCACTAACGCTTTTCCGTTTTAACGTTGCGTTCGTGATCACTCCAGAATTTCTTTTTGAGTGGATCAGACAGGCTCGCACATGGCAGTCGCTGTGGCGTGTCATTGAGATTCAAACCCAGATCATGGGATTCCCTCGAGTCCTTGTCCAGTGTCTCTAGGAAAGATGCTTCTGGAAGGATGTCTATCAAATGGTGTGTATTAAAGTGTCACAGCGGGTGCGATTGCGAAGGAGCCAAACTACTCAGACTGTGGAAGGATTGCGAAGGAGCCAAATTAGTTCAGACTGTGGAAGGCTGTTGGTTCTAACCCAATGGCAGATCCTTGCCCAGCTTAGGCAACCTCAATGTGGGTTGGTCTGCGGCTGACCATGCCAAGGTTTTAGTATGTTGAGTGATACCAATATAAGAGCGGGAATGCCAATCTTGTCGCTGCGGTCAGTAGTCCACCAGTCAACACCGCCAAAGTTGACCGAGCCTCAGTTAGCATCCGGAAACGCTTATACCGCCTTCGCTTTGATTGATCGGCCTGCAGTTTTCTATTATTTCTGCCCCAACTCTCCCATCTTAGATAAAAATCTAGCACGCTTACGCGCCTCAACCGAATACAAGCGTCGTCGGGCACTCACAAACACTCCAGTATCCACAATCTCACGCCTTTTCCCCACCACAATGTTTGACGGTTTCGCACCCCGCCACATCCCTGGCCTTTTGTTCGTAAATCTCAGTTTCACTTTCCATCCGAGACTCCTGCGTTCTCCGAGGGACTTCGGCACAGCTGCTAACACTTGAGCCCCACAGCGTCGCCTCGACCATGACGTTCGGGGGCATGTGGCCAATATTCAACGCCCGAGCAGCGATACTCGAGTTCGGTTTCCCGGCTAGGATAGCCGACACGCCCGCGGCGGCCCCGGTAATGGTGGTCGGGTGTGCTCGTACTACTGTTATCGGCCTCCTGGTCTTTATGTTCTACTCCCGCGGCCAGCTTGATCTCGTAGATCAGGTGATGGCTGTTATAGGCTCATACGCTGGGTTGGTCGATAGCTATGTTGTGTGGAAAGAGGGTAGGCCTCGAAAGGCAATTTTCCGGCTCGTCAGTTCTTGGCTGCTTGCTGCCTGGGGGTTCGCTGGGTTGACAGCGTCCAGTAAATGATTCTTACCACCATTTAATGTATTAGGAGGTTTTATGGAGGGATAACACTTCGGACAGCCATGCACTACTCCAAAAGACAGTAGCACCTACCTGATTTGTGATGCTGCCCACTTCGTTCACATTCAGTCGAGACTAGAACGGGCGACACTTGTCAACGCATATCATTCTTTTTCCCTTGATGACCCTGAGGCTGATCAATGCCGGTTACCGGCTTCGAGACGATGTGAGAAGAGTCTTCTCCATGCATTAATGGCAGAAGGCAGTCCAGAGACATTGATGGAATCCCCCTGGAATGGTCTCAAAACAGTCTGTAATTGACATCATCCTTCCTTGTTTGCTTATTTCCGAAATATGTCCCTATAAATCGTATCTAAAACATCTCATATCCCACCTTCACGGCCGTTGGTCTCCTTGCTTGCTCAAGACAGTTGTAAGCGATGTCGAAAAGCTCTATGTCGCGGCCTAGGAGTTGTACAAGTCAGTTCATCCTGAAGACTCCGCATGCCCCGAGAGTGGCCTGCCAGCAAAGACATGCTTACTTGGCTCACCAATGATTGAAATTGCGACGGGAAGGTTCTCAACTCTGCCGGTGACCTTAGAGTCGTACGGTGTTGTTCCAACTTGTTGCATGCGTCCAGCAGTTAGTCTCACGTGTAATTTCCTACAATTTGGGCGCAATCCGAGAGAGACGTACTTGGTATGGTCAATTCAGGGGCACCCAGAATTGGAGACAGGAACAAATTCGGTACACCGACGGGATTGAAAGGTGGCCTGACGATTGTGAGTATAGTTGTCTTCCAACAAGAAAGGGATGTGAGCCCGAGAGGACTCACAACGGCGGGTAATCGCGGTACCGAGGCGCAATGTTCTCGATTGGAATCAACACCAGCGTATCCCTCTTGCCTCGTTGCATCACAACGTCGAGAAACCAGTCTTTGTATATGTCCAACTTCTTCACTGCAACATCTCGTTCTGCTCGAGTGATTTTCGAGGACATGTGCCTTGCAGAAAAGTTTAAGCAACATCCTAACCAAATTGGGGAGAAGATTCAAACTGACAATTGCCAGCGGACTGGAGGGCTCACGTAAGGCTGCTTGCCATAGCGTTGGGTATACTCGTCTCGAAAAGATTCGAAGTTGTGGTAATCATCGAAGAAGAATGAGTTCCGGCAGACCTAGGTGATTTGTGAGTTTGACAGTGTGTTTATCAATGCGTAAGGAGCTCGCAAACATCTTTCATGTAGCCCTCGAGCGACATGCCTCCAGCTGCCTTGGGCGGACAATTAGACCAAAGCTCATTGAAAGAAACTGTCTCATGCTTGATCCCCAAGGATGTTTCAAGATCGTGGACAAAGTCGTCAATGATCGCCAGTTGAGCCTTGTTAGTGATGGTGGACATGTAGTCGGTCGGGTAGATGACGGTGGGAAAGCCCTGAAATACTGATTAGCTTGGGACTTTGGTGAAAGCGAGTGTGAGAATGGGGTTTCTATTATCCCGGACTGACTGATTTCTTGAACGGATTCAAAGTCTGTCCATACCAGAGTCTCGCAAACCGTTGACAAGAGACGAGATCTCTTCCGGAGAATGTAGGCATGTCAAACCGCCTGCATCATACGGCGCGCATTATGTCAGCGCGGCACTCTACTATCTTTTTCGGTACCGTTTGCCCTCACCTGAAGCTTGGAAAATAGCCTTCGTAAGGGAGTACACCATGAGTCGGCCGCATAGCGATGCACCCGTTCCAATGGCCTGGGCGCCTTCCACTTCCGCTCGCTACAGGCTTGGAGTCAATCAGGGCACACACAAGCACTGTCGAGTTGTGATGGCTCACTGTCAGATCCAATTGCAATATCAAGCCAGTCATAGGCACCAATTGCTGCACCACTGCAGCTGCTGCTTCCAGCCGGTGACTGGTAACCGTCGGCTCGCGGATTCCACGGCGCCTGGTAGTCGACACACTCGACAGGCTCTTCCGTAGCAGCGAATGATGCTAACTTGGTGGTCCCGACGATGGCCGCGCCCATGTTGGTGAGAAGCTCAATGCACGCCGCTGTCTTTGGAGGGGGCCTGTCGTGATACAAGTCGAAGTACGCTTTGTTGCAAACGGACGTCGGCATGCCCTTGATCTGAAAAATGTCCTTGACAGCAATTCTCAAGCCTGACATTTGCTGAGCCTTGCTTGTAGTATCGGTGGCCATTCGTGAGGGCACGGCCACTGAGAGCTCCTGCAGGCCATCGCCGCCAATCCGCAGAGGATAGAAATGGCTAGGGAAACCGGTTAGCAGTCAAAAAAGACCAAATAGCTGCTCAATGGTAGAGAAATGGATACTAACCCCGACGTCTCTTGGCCAAGGGCATGAATAAAAGTACCGTGGCTATCGTCATAGACCCGGAAGACAGGTCGCAGACCGAGGCCAGCCTCAATGTGAGGCCCGGAGGCGAGAGTCTCAAATAATAGCGTTGGATGCTTGGTCTATTAGGCTAGCTAACGTCTATTCTACGGGAGGGAAGGCCCTTATTTATAGTTATTATCCTCTATATAGTGGTAAACATATAGGGAAAAGGATATCCCATATTAATAATAACCTAAATATCTAAAATATTTTAATAGCTCCCCTTAAATTAATTCCCTTTTATTTATTTATATATTTATATTTATATTTTAATAATTTTATATATGGAATTTAATTTATAAAAAAGAAATATTTAATTATATAATAAGAAAATCTTATAAAAGGGAAAAACTTACTTATTTAAATATTTATATATTTAAGTAAAAAAAGTAAAAGTTTATTATTATTTAAATTTAAACTTATAATTAATAAAGTATTATATATTAAATTATAATTTTATATAAGATTTATTAATTATTTTATAATAATTATAATATATTATAATATTTTTATATATTAAAGTTATATATTATTTTATTTATATTATATATATTATAAAAATATATTTTTTATATAAAATTAAATATATATAAATATAATATAAGTATATTATAACTTATAATATAATATATAATATATATAAGTTATATAAATAATGTTTATTTTTAAGAAAAATCTTTATTATTTTAATTATTTCTTTTAAGGAAAACCCTTTAATATTTAAGGTAATATTATTATATATATATATAATTAAGTTTACTTTATTTTTTTATTTTTTATAAGTAAAAGAAAGAATTTTAATTATAATTATTAAAAAGTAAATACTTTAATTTATTTTATATATATTATAATATAAATAAAAAAATTCTTTATTTTTTAACTTAATACTTTTATATTATTTTTTTTATTAAATTATACTTTTTTATAAACTTTTTATAATATAATTTATTTATTAATTTTATAAGCTAATTTATTAAATTTTATTTAAAATATATATATTTTAATATTATTTTATTATTTTTTATTACTTTTCTTATATAATAATATATAATATTTATATATTTAGTTTTTTTATAAAATAAGGTATTTTTAATTAATTTCTTAATTTTATTATTATTTATATATATAATAAAAAGTTTAAAATTAAAGTAAATATTTAAATTATTATTAAAATATTTAAGTAAATTATATAAATATTTAGCTTTTTTTATAACTTTTCTTAAAGCTATATATTTTATTTTTATAAAGGAAAGTATTAATATTTTTTTTTAATTAAAGGTTTTAACTTATAAGATTTATTTTATGCCATTCTTTTAGAATGGTTTTGTATCCCGTCCGAGGGATAAGCTCCAAACCCATCTCCCACCAAAAAATATTAATTCTCTCTTATAGGAAACTAAATATATAGGAATATTCTCTAAATCTTTCTCTATGTAATGATATTAGTTGCATAATTTAAAACCTTATATTTATTAAGAAATAAATAGAAAAAGGAAAGTAAAATGTTAAGGATTTATATAGCCTTCCTAAGAAAGTATTAATATTGCTTGGATTTTTAAATTTAATTCTTTTAATTAGCTAATTTTTACCCTGCATGCAAGGTAAGCTATAATAAGAAATAAGAGCTAAGGGATAAGAGCTAAGAAATAAGAGATAAGAAATAAGAGATAAAAGATAAGAGATAAGAGATAAGAGATAAGAAATAAAAGATAAGAAATAAGAGATAAGAAATAAGAGATAAGAAATAAGAGATAAGAAATAAGAGATAAGAGATAAGAAATAAGAAAAGTAGAAAAGAAGAAATAAATAAATAAATAAATAAATAAGATTAAATATATAGGAATATTTTTTAAATTTTTCTTTATATAATAATATTAATTATATAATTTAAAACCTTATATTTATAAAGAAATAAAAAAAAATAAAAAGGTAAAATGTTAAGAATTTATATAGCCAGAGTTATAATAATATCTATATATTTTATATTTTAAAATATAAAATACATAAATATATGTATTTATATTTATATTTAAATACCATATTTATATCTATATTTATATTTATATAGGCCTTGTATTTTATATTTATATTTATATTTATATTTATATTTTTAAAATTTTAAATTTGCATTTTGTATTTAAAATATAAAATATAAATATAGATATAAATTATATAATATTTAATTTAAATCTTATGATTTTAAAATAAAAAGAAATTATATTTAAATTCTATTTAATTTAAGCATTTTAAATATATTTATATTTAATTTTATTAAAAATATATAAATACTTTAAAAATAAAAAACTTAAGGTAGAAACTTGTTAAATAAGAAGATAAGATTTAGATAAGAAAATAAGGTTTTTTTTAAAAAAGTACTTATATATTATATTTAATATCTTTTTAGAAAAAAAAGATATAAAAATAAAAAACATATTCTTAAATAGCTAATTTTAAGCTTACTTTAAAAGGATTTTTAATAAATTTAATTAATTAATATTGATATATAATGTATTTTATATTTATATTTTATATTTATATATTTAAAATATATATATTTATATTTATATTTATATTTTTATATTTATATTTGTATTTTGTATTTTTAAAATTTTATGTATTTATATTTATATTTATATTTTTAAAATTTTCTGTATTTATATCTATATTTATATTTTGTATTCTATATTTTTTATATTTTCATAACTCTGTATATAGCTTTCTTAAGGAAGTATTAATATTATTTAAATCTTTAAATTTAATTTTTTTAATTAGCTATTTTTTACCTTATATATAAAGTAAGCTATAATAAGGGATAAGAAATAAGAAATAAGAGATAAGAAATAAAAGATAAGTAATAAGTAATAAGAAAGAAAGAAAGGAATAAATAAATAAATAAATAAATAAATAAATAAATAAATAAATAAATAAATAAATAAATAAATAAATAAATAAATAAATAAATAAATAAATAAATAAATAAATAAATAAATAAATAAATAAATAAATAAATAAATAAATAAATAAATAAATAAATAAATAAATAAATAAATAAATAAATAAATAAATAAATAAATAAATAAATAAATAAATAAATAAATAAATAAATAAATAAATAAATAAATAAATAAATATTCTTAAGATATAATTATTTAAATAATAATTATTATTTTCTTTAATAATAAATAAGTTTTTAAAATCCTTCTTAATTAATAAAAGATTTAATACCTTATTTCTTTCTTTTATATTTTTATATATAATTAAATAAAATTATATAACTTTTATAATATATATATATTTATATTTTTTATAATAAAAAGTATATATATATATCTTTAATAATAAAAAAAATATATATTTAATAATAAGAATTTAAATAATATCTTTTTTAAATAACTTTTATATATATAATATATATATATATAATATAATTTATTATTAAATAATAAATATTATTAAGTAATAAATTCTTTTAACTTTATTTAATATTTATTTATCTTAATACTTATTTAATATAATTAATTTAATAAAGTTTAATATTAATTAATATTAATTATATTTATTATTTATTTTAAATTAATTTAATTAATTTAAAGAACTTAATATAATTATATTTAAGTTTAAAATAATTAATATTTAATAAGGTATTTTATTTTAATATAAATTATATTTTAACTTTTTATATTAATTTTACTTTAATTTACTTATTTAAATATTTAATATATTTAAAATTAATAATTATTAAAATATTTTAAGAAAATAATATCCTTTAATTATATAAGTAATTAAAAACTTTTAAAAAAAATATAAAACTTATATTTATAACTTAAGCTATTAATATCTTTTATATTTTTAAAATTATATTATATTATAAAATAAATTAATAATAATCTTATAAAAATATATATATTAATTAATATAAACTTAATTAAATTAAAAAGTAAATATTTATTTAATATATTATTAATTAAGATTCTTAAGGATTTTTTTTATAATTATTTAATATAAAAGATATAATTAATTTCTTATTAATATTATATAATATTAAATGTATTAATAAGCATTAAGCTTAATACTTTATAAATATATAATTAAGCCTTAAAATTAAGTTTAATTATCTTTATAATTATTAAAAAGCTTTTTATAAAGATTTAAAGATTATTAAGAACTAATTTAAATTATTTTTAATAATAATTTATAATTAAGAAATTAAATAAATTAATTTTATAAGGGCTTTTTTAAATAATATATTAAAAGAAAAAGTTTTTTAAGTACTTTTAAATAATTTTAATACTTTTATTAAATACATAAGTAAGTTTATTTTAAACTTATTAGCTAAATTTAATTATAATCCTTTTAAAAAGTAAGTTATTTATTTAAATAAGATATTATATAGCTTAAAATAATCTTTAAAAAAATAATAATAAATAATAATTTAGCTATTTAAAAACTTAAATTTTAAGCTTTTTTTTAAATTTAATAATTTTTTATAATAAAGCTTTTAGCTTATTTATTATTATTTATATAAATAATTATTTTATTATAAGGCTTAGAATTTAAAAGATTTAAGCTTTAAAGTAATATATTAATAAAGTATATATTATAAAAGATTAAGGATTAGCTTTTTTTTTTAAGGATTTAAATAATTTAAAATTAAAAAAAATAATTTTTATAATTATCTTAAAATAAATATATTAAAAAAGCTATTAAAACCTTTAATTTAAAGGATTTTAAGCTTATTTTAATTCCCTTATAATTAAATTAACTTATTAAACTTTTTAATAAATCTTTATTAAATAAAACTTAAT